CTATTTGAGAGCTATTCACCATTACTCATAATATTGCTAAAATATTTTTAAAAATCTTAATTTAGCAATTATCCTCTAAAACATGATTATACCATTTTGTAATTTTTTTTTATTTCGTAACATTCAATTTTTCAAAAAAATATTCTCAGACTATGAAAATTAATTAATTATTATTTAATATGATGGTAAAGTTCTTTCAAATTAACATCAATCTAAAATATGATGTTAAATACAAATATAGTCATTTGTAAATAAATTCATATAAACAACGCAAATAAATATAAAGATTCTAAAATAAATTATAGCATTGTTGAGGAAAAAATTAAAAAATCTTTCAAATACGAATTATAAAAAACTACATATTTTCTTTAAAATATTTTAAAATTACTATATTACGATTTATATTGAACTTTGTTATCTTTAATTTAAGCTAAAAATATTATTTTCGAAAATCTTTCATTCACCCTTATGTTTTAGACAATGAAATTGCTCAATGGCATAATACATTCATACATAAATTTAAAATTAAAGAAATATAACATATTATAAAATAAAAATCATGAATAAAATTGGGAGATTTGCACAACTAACATCTTTATGATACACTTTTCTACAAATACCCTCTCTAAGTGTCCATTCTCAAAAATACCATCTTCAATGTATAAAATGACTAAATTACCCTCATTTATTATTACCCATGATGAAAAAAAGGAATATTCTTTCCAAAAAAAGAATTTACCTTCCGAAAAATTTCCCGCTAAATTTTCCCGCAAAAAATTTCCTGCCAAAAAGTTTCCCGCCAAAAAACTTTTCCCGCCAAAAGTTTTCCGCAATTCCTTAAAAAACCTTGTAAATATTTTTAAATCCCTTTAAAAATCCTTGTAAATCTTTTAAAAGTCATCCAAAACCTTTCAAAACTTGAGTATACCTTTTAAAACCATTGTTAATCATTTTATAACATTTATAAACACTTGTAAATCCCTTTAAACCCCTTATAACCGTGATAAATCATTTAATAAAAACTTTTGTAAACTTCTAAAACCCTTGTAAATCCTTAAAACCCATTTTAAAGAACTTGTAAATACAAATCATTAAAAACCCTTGTAAACCCTTTAAAACCATTAAAATCATTTTAAAATTTCTTGTAAATATCTTTAAAAACCCTTGTAAACCCTTTAAAAGACCCTTTAAAAACCTTAAAAACTTATAAATACCTTTTAAAAACCTTATAAACCCTTTTAAAACCACTTAAAAACCTTATAAAACTTGTAAAAACGATTTAAAACCTTTTAAAATATTATAAAATATTTGTATCAAATTTCCAAGTAGAAGTTATTATATAGAAGTACCTTATAAACCATATAAAACTTTATAATTTTTCATATTTAAACATGGATAGATAATAAAGGAGATATTTTTGAAAAGGGTACAACAAAAAGGGTATTTCTCAAAAATTCTTTTTAATTTTTTATAATTATTTTTTAATGTTGTTTAAAAATTATATTTGTATCTTAATATTAACAAAATTAGATATAACATGTTGCGACATCTTATTTTTTACTTGACACTTATCATGATCACGTGAGTTAGTAAATTTAAAAACCAAGTTTCGACATATAATCTCGTTTAATTGTTGAACTTAAACCATAATTTTAATTTATAAAGATAAAGCATAATTCTTATTTATCATTTATATACCTAAACCAACAAATAACCTGATTTAATTGTAAAATTAAAGTTTAAACCTTACAAAAACCGCCATATATTCTTGTTAATTATAAATTTTAAATCTCTATCTTATTAATAAACCAAATTGACATAACTAAAATTAGGTTATTTGTTTAATTTTATTAATAATTTTTTATATATAATTCTTTATAATATTTATTTTATATATTTCCTTTTTCGATATGGTTAATAATATTTCTATTTTATCCAAATATTAATAAAATTAGTTACGACACGTGTCAACATCTTATCGTTTATAATTGACACGTGTCACGATCTTGTTAATGGCTGATTTTGAAAACCAAGGTTTATATAATAAGATAATAAATAAAATTAAAATAATTGTAATTTAGTAATTTTACATATTAAAGAAAACTGTTATACGTGTTTTGGCAATTGTTTTTTTTTTTCCTGAAAGATAATAACATTTATATCTTTCTGTATATAATAAGATATTTAGAGTATTAATAATAATCATTTAATTGTAAAATTTCCTTAAAGGAGCATAAAATGATTAAAATCTGTTGAGCATTCTTGTGAATATACAATTTTTTTAACGATAGACTGACTGATAGGGATATACGATACAAACAATTTTGTCAAGAAATAAACAAAGTATTAACCAAAATTCAGACATATTGTTGTTACTTCATTGATAGAAATGAAAGTGTGCTTTATGTTTTGTTGTTGTCTTATCGATTTATTGCTTCGTAACTTTGTATTAGAGAGACCTACGCGTATATTTTCTTTTAGTTTCAGTTGGAAATAAGCCAAACAGGCTCGGCCTGACTAGTAAGTAGTCTCCACCGTCCAACTTACACCTCACATACATTCGTTACTCAGGTCGACGACTCACAGTCACACCACTCACACACACCAGACTTTTGTTTTTGGTGCTCTGCCCTAGTGTGTAATTGGTTTACAAATTTCTTGTCAAAATTTTATCTTAAAAATGATCGAGAGAGATATAGCAAATAAAAAAATATTTAGGATGTAAGACAAAGAATAGGATGTGTATGTGCAAGATGAGAATTCCTAATTTACAATGGAGATTGTCTTTATCCGAATATATCTTCAAAGTGGAAGATGAACTAAAACAGTAAGGGAAACCGAAATTAATCAATCGAGATAGAAGAGAGTAACAATCTTCCGGAGATTTTTGGCTTCTTGACATGTTTCCATGAGAAGCTTACTGTCATGAAACGCAAAGCAGATGATTTGTTGCACTTGTGATATGATGTCCATGTTACAAAGCCTGCAAACCAAAACACCATTTTTTTTCAAGTTACTTACTTAGAGATACGTACGTCTCAGAATATTTATTTCTACAATCTTAATATATATGCCCATTTTCTTCACGGTTTTGCTACTGTGTGTATGAGAAGTGAGTGACAAACCTGCTGGCTTCTAATAATGGTAAATGGTCGTTGTGAGGCTTTTCTATCACGTTTTGTACCTGTTGCAGACATAACAAAGGAGATTTAGTTGTACTACAGCATAACCAAGAATGGATGAGATTCAGATATATAGCAGACAGATGTTAATAGTTAGAGTTTGTTGAAGCAAACAGAATATTGAAACTAGTCTCTTACTTTTGACAGTAGTTCCTGGCTCTCAGGAGGTTGTTTTTTCAGACTTTGAGGTAAGATAACTGTGAGAAGATCCGGTCGCTCTGCTCTAAGTGCACCTCTTATAACAGCTGCGTTGGTTCCAGATGCACCTGAAGTGTATATATGGTTTTTCTGCAAGGTAAATTATAGGGGAAGATGGTTATAAGATGTGGTGGAACAAAAAATATGATTCAGAAGTTGTAGCCTCGTAGGCCAATAACTTACAGTTATAACCATTGCATAGCTAAGAATCTGAATGAGCTCTTGATGCATGAAACCCATATTTCTTGTTCCAAAGAAGCCAATTGATCTAGGTCCTTGTTGTTGTATAGCCAACAGCTCCTGCAAATTCACATATGGTTACAACCTAAAAGGCTAAAAACATTTGATCTTGCGTTGTATTTGGATATGAAAATTAGGTGAACTTACTTGTATATAATCTACATCAGGGATTGGTTGTAGCTCTGACACAGTAACTGAACCAGGTCCTTCAACGATAGCCTGAGCCTGAGTTGGAATCCGGAGTCCGGTGGTGGTGGTGTCTTCATCAGATTCGAACCTACATTTCACATTGTCCTCTTTGTTTATCCAAATATCAACGTCCTCTTGATCCCTCGTGTGTTCAGGAAAGCACTATATATATACCAGGACATAGAAACAGAGCCCCTGGGAGTAAATCATTAGTGAAAAACCAAATGCAGTAGCTGATATAAGCAACAAAGACCATGACACAAAGATTGGTCTACTCATCAAATCTGCTGTTCTAAGAAAACTAAACTTAGCATATATATAAACGGCTAGCATCATGAAACTAGTAACCATCTAGATGGTAAGATAGAATTGATAGCAGTAGCATCAACAAAGGGACCACAGAGTTCTTAATTGCAGATGATAGGTTCAGCGTTAATCAACGTAATCCCCCTAATAAATGCAATGAACTGTTTGAGTTCTGAAGAGAATTCAATCAACAATGAATTTGGCTACAGGAGTACTATTCAATTCAACCTCTATACTAATGAGTAATAAGTCTCCAACAAATTGATGATGCGAATCAATCTCAAACCACATTAATAAATAAAATCCTTGATAGAATCAGAAATTACCATGGGAATAGAGGGAGAGGAGGATCTAAATCGGCGCCGTCTAACAGAGAAAAGTGGAGAAGGACAAGGAGATTGGGAAGAACACGAAGTAGAGAAAGAGGAACGACGGCGATAGAAATTAGGGTTATCAGATCGGAACGGAGAAGGTAGTGATGTAGTTGTAAGAGGTAACAAAAGCTTCAATGGTAGAGCCGAACTCATCTCCACCACGTAACGTACGACGGTCTCCGACAACTACGTTCTCTTGGAAGATGATTTTACAGAGAGAAATCAAAGATTCCTTGGAATATCTGATGAAATTCGTCGGATTTATGAAGAAGAAGATAACACAACGTTGAATATTGAAATCGGAAGATGAAGCTAACACGGAGAAGTGAGAGATGATGATTGATTGATTGCTATATACATAGTTTTACCAGTGACACCAAATTAATTTCCGGTTTAGTTTTGAGATGCTTTTTGGTTCAGTTAATTAACCGCACACTGGATTATAGACACCTATTGGTCCATTATTGCGAGCTTAAAAAAGGATTCTAACTTTTATCAAGTAAAATCTTAGAGGGTGTTATTGGATACTGTATTTTAATTAGAGTCTAACTCTAAACCAAATCTAGTGTTATTTAATAAATGATTTTAAATCCTTTACTTAAATCAAGTGTTATTGGTTCTTATAATTATAGAATTTTCATTAAAAGAGTTTAAAATCAAGTGTTATTGGTTCTCATATTTATATTGTTTTTATCAAAAGAGTTTTAAATCAAGTGTTATTGGTTCTCATACTTATAATTATTAATCAAAGTCTTATGTTATTCAAGTTTGGTGGATTTTCACAAATGATATCATTTGAAAGGATTTAAAATGAACATGAAACTGATTTCATATGTAAATTATGTCAATCCAAAAACCAACCTTCTACATGAGATTTCACAATCAAATAAACAAAAGTTTCACCCTATCACTCAACGTAATACACATAACTCATCCACCCAACATTTTTCTCTCTTCCTCATTTTCTTTTACGTAGTAGTGTGTCCGTTAAAACAAATATACACACTACGTTCCTCATTTTCCACCCAAAATGAATTTGGTTGCTGTGTGATTCATTTTCGTCACTTTGTTTTTATACTAATTAATTTCCACCTTAAAAAAATATGCTAGAACTTCAAAACAGAAAATGAGAAAAAAAATGTGATAATAAAAAGTTTGGTAGAATTTCATTGAAATTGTGAAAATCATTTGTTATAGAATTCAATTCTATTGTTCAAAACAAAGGATATCATTTGTCATTGTAGAAATACACTTCCACAGATTTGTTAAAATGAATCATAATTCAGTTTAAATGAACCCATATTTTAAAAGTCTTATGATTTTTAAAATCTAATGCAGTTGAATTTAACTTATACAACCAATAACACCCCCTTAGTAGTTCTAACTCCATCCAATTCCAGATAACAAAATTTTTGTTCTTTTGGGTAAGATTTAATATCTCTCTTGTTGATCATATAGTTTTGAAGTTAAACCTTGCTCCATTATATACCAATCTCGCCTGTTCTTTTTTATTGTCAGTCAGCTCTGGTTCACTGGGCATGAACAGTTACCGGTTTTCCCCGCCCCAAAGAGAATCCCCTTGTGCCATCTGGCATCCGTGGTCCTGGTGGCGGCTGTTGCTGTTGATTCCCCATGCTCACTTCATCTGTCTTGTTCCTTTGACTGTTTGAAGGATGATGATTTCCACGCCCACTATGGTTCTGGTTCTGCTTTGCATTTTCGTTTTGGTTTTCACTTCGTCCTCCTCCTCCTCCTCCTCCTTGTACACGGTTATGCCCTCTTCTCTTCTTGTGTCCTTGTTCTTCCTCTCCCTGTTCATGTATAAAAAACTGAGAATCTGAGGAGAAGAAAAGCTAAATAAGTTTTTAAAGTGTTTTTGTCTACTTACTACTGTCTGCTCTTGTACATGACCATCCCTTTCTCCGCCACAATCTTCAAATTGTTTATCATCGGATCTCATCATCGCATCATCTTCTTCCTTTCTTCCTCCTCCTTGAAGAACATGGTTTGCCTCTTTTGTCTGGATGACCAAACACAACAAAAAGCGGTTGGAAAGCTGAGGCCGGTGAAAGCTATTAAGTGCTGTTTAAAATCCCTAAACAATGTTTCATGTACCTATGTACCTGATCCTGCAGCATCAACCGTACCCTAAGACCACTCCTCCAACTTCTTTCTTCATTTAATTCAGCAACCTGCAATATAACATATGCCTACAAGTTATCACATCGTCAAAAAGAGATGTGACATTATTTAGTCTGGGATGAGACCACAAGAGACTTACTGCTTTCTCTGCCAGCTCAACTCTCTCATACTCAACAAAGGCGTGTACCTAATTATACAAAGTTACAAACAAGGTAAAGAAACATCAAATTTGCATAAAAGAAGCACAAAATGCAGCTTCCCCTATTTTCAAATCCAAAATTCAAAACCAAAAACAACATAGCGAGCATCTTAGTCACCTTGTTACTGAAATCAGTTTTTCCTGATTTAGCTGCTGATGGAAAACCATAGCCAGTGTTTTGTGGCTGGCAGGTCCTAATGTGCTTCACACTGACAAATAAATGATCAAATTTCAGAGACTCTGCAGAAAATCGCAGCTGGTCTAGGGAAAAAAAGAAGCAATTCTTCGGTTTATAACATAGATTAGCTGTACCTTCCAACAGCTGAGAAAATCTTCATGAGATTTCGGTAGCAATGATCCTCAGGTAGATTTTTGGCAATCACTATTCGGGACTGGATATTAGGTTGTTATTACAAAGTAAGTACATGATCAAGTTTCTCATAAATGGAAGCTAAAATACTTTGCAAGATGCAAATTTTTTACAAATGATTAGTAATGGGAATGTCATAAAATGGTTGAAGGAAGATCTACATATATATAATAACAGAATGGCTGAAATGAACAACCTGTAACTCTTCAAGAGCAATTTTTGGTAATGGGACATATGCGTCTCACTCTCTGTCCATCTTCACTAACAACCTGTAAGGTGAGTTCAAAGTTAAACTAGAGTTCTTGACGTTTAAAAATGTTATCTATTTGACAAATTGGATAGAGTAGCCAAGAAGAAACAAAGAACAAATAAAACAAAATTAGCATAAGGGTACCCACAAGCTTGGAGGAGTTTTGTAGCACTGTGGCAAGCTGGGAGTTACTGTTGATGAATGTTTTAATTTTGTTGAAAGATGCAATTACATTTAAAGGCACTGAAAATAACAACACCAAAAACTAAGTTTCTGAGAAAACTAGAATGGTGACGAGAGATCAGATAAGTTCCAGAACGAATCATCATTGGCCAAGTAGGACGTCACAGTAGCTAAGACCATTAAGATCTTCATTAATTTGACGAATCAAACGCACGATGGATCCACAAATCGTGCTCACAACTTTTAAGGGTTTCTATATCTGAGATTTAGCATAGACATCTTACCATATCCTTGAGAGTCCTTGCTGATAAATCTCATTAGAAGATCTGTTGTGGCCAAGTTCAAGTCACCGAAATAGTATTCGACCTGATAATGATTGATGCAGCCATTAACTTGGAAGCAAAGCAGAGTATTTTCTAGGGTACTTGATGAGCAATGGTCATGAAAGGGATAAAAAAAGCAGTAAAAGTTGAAGCTTTGTACCTGGTTCACTATCTTCTGGACTATATCCTCAGGCAAACCACTCTTAGGATCAATGGAAGCAGAAGCTCCGGTTTCGGTTTGATCCTTCTTCCTGCGGTCTTTCCGCCGCTCGTGGGGTCCAGTAACGGGAATATGAAACGGAGGCGGAGGAGGGTGGTGGTGGTGGTACATATGAAGAATCCGAGGAGGAGGGATCATCATCCTCGGCGAAGTAGTTCGACCAGGAACGAACTCAGGAGCACTAGCGTTGAGGCGAGAAGAGGAGAGAGTTGTTGAGAGTGGAGGAGCTGGGGAAGAAGAGTGGGAAAGAGACAGAGCATCGGATTGAGGAGGAGTAAGGGAATCTAGGGTTTGTTGATTAGACATTCTTGGTGATGAAAAGATTACAACGAAGAGATGAAGAAGAAGTAATCCCAAACAAAATTTTAGGGTTTAGTGAATGAAGGATTTAGCAATCAAGAGAGTATAATCACCGGAGCAAAAATATTAAACTTCTGATTCACCGGAAAGATGATCGGAGAAGACGATCAAAAGAGAGAGAGAGTGAAGCAATGTAACAAACTTTATTAATCATCAAAAATCTGTTTTACAAAGCTTAACCAAAATACATGAAGTGTATTCTGTATTTATACCATTAACCAATACTCAATAACCGGATCTCTATTGATTCTTGATAACCGGAGTTAACCACCTCATTATCTCAATATACCCCCCTCAAATCTTTATTCTCCAATTGTCTGGTTGGGGAGATAAAGATTTGACAATGACATCTTTGAGAGTAAATGATAGAACGGTCCTGGATGTAATGGTTTGGTGAGGAGATCAGCATGTTGATTGTCTGTACCAACATGCATTGTCTTCAAAGTCCCTGCCTTAAGCTGATCTCTAACTGTGTGACAATCTATCTCTATATGCTTGGTTCTCTCGTGAAAAACCGGATTGTTAGCAATGTGTAGAGCAGACTTATTGTCACAAAACAATTTTGCAGGACAAGTAACTTTGATATGTAAGTCTCGTAGAAGTTGTTGCAGCCAAATGATTTCACATGTTGCTTGTGCCATACTTCTATATTCCGATTCAGTACTACTTCTGCTAGCTACTCCCTGCTTCTTAGATTTCCATGAGATCAGAGATGTACCTAGATAGATGCAGAAACCAGTAATAGACCTCCTAGTATCACTGCAACGTCCCCAGTCCGCATCCGAGAAAGCATTGAGACACAACTCAGAATCTGCAGCATACATCAAACCTTGACCTGGATTAGCCTTGATATATTTGAGAACCTTGTGTGCTGCTTGTAAGTGTATATCAGTGGGAGCAGAGATGAACTGGCTCAACTGATGAACAGGATAAGTGATATCAGGTCTGGTTATTGTCAGATAAAGCAACCTTCCAACCAATTCTCGATAAGAAGTTGGATTTGGTAACAGATTTCCTTTATCTTTGGTGAGGTGCAGGTTTGGATCCATTGGTATTGAACTTGGTTTACATCCTAAGAAACCTGCATCTTCCAATAAGTTCTGAGCATATTTTCTTTGACAGATTGAAATACCTTTTGATGACCTTGATATCTCCAATCCAAGAAAGAATCTTGCTGGTCCAAGGTCTTTAATCTTGAATTCAGACCTTAACAACTGCTTCAAATCTTCCACTGCAACATCATCATTACTTGCAATCATAATATCATCCACATATACTAAAGCAGCTATGAATGATGTATTGGTAATCTTGACAAATAATGTGTTGTCTGCAGGAGATTGAACAAAGTTAGCTCCTAAGAACACTGATGAGAGTCTTTTGTACCACTGTCGGGAGGCTTGCTTTAGGCCATATAGAGATTTTAGTAACCTGCAAACCGGGTTTGGAGGCAAACTCGTTCCCTGTGGAGGTGTATAACCTTGTGGTAAGCTCATAAAGATCTCCTCATCTAAGTCACCATGAAGAAATGCATTAGACACGTCCATTTGTGTTAAGCTCCATCCTGTAGCAGCTGCCAAAGCAAGCATGAATTTTACACTTGTGAGTTTGGCAACAGGTGAGAAAGTGTCTATGTAGTCAATCCCTTCTTGTTGTGTAAACCCTTGAGCCACCAGCCTAGCTTTATATCTCTCTACTGTTCCATCAGGATTGTATTTGATTGTAAATACCCATTTACATCCGACAACATTCTTCCCTGGAGGTAGAGTCTCCACCACATAAGTTTTATTCAGCTCAAGAGCATGAAGCTCCTCATTAGCAGCTTTTGTCCATTTATCTGATTTCATAGCCTGAGCAAAAGTCTTAGGTTCTTTTTCTTGACTGTAAGCAAAGATATAAGATTGATATTGTGGTGTGAATTTATCAAAAGAAACCACTGACTGTATAGGATATGGAGTTGTAAAAGGCTTAAAAGAAATTTGAGTATGAAGAATAGGAAAATTTTTCTCTGGTAAGGAAACTGTAGAAATATTAGAAATAGTAGAAGAAGTAATAGAAGAGGAAGTATTAGAATCAAGAGAAATGAAAGGTATTAGTGAACATTGATACTCAGACAGATAAGTAGGAGCTCTAGTAATCCGTTTAGGCCTAGTAACATGTACAGAATCAATCTCTGTTTCTTGTGTATCGACAGTAGTTGCAGGTAAAACGGTACTAGGTGCTATAGGTGTAGAAGATGATATGCATGCAGGTTCATTAGATGCAACAGGTAATTCATCTCCATTATCATCAAACATAGACAAAGAATCAACAAAATGCAATGGAGCAGGCATAGGTAAGATAGTATTTGGAAACATATCAACTGCTTTAGACAACAATTCTGTTCTTTTAAAAGGAAATGTACTCTCATGAAAAACAACATTACGAGATATTGATATGGAATGAGACTCAAGATCTAAAACTTTGTAACCTTTGTAACCTGCTGGATAGCCTAAGAAAACACATGGTTTGGCCCTAGGTGAAAATTTATTTCTAGTATGCATATGTGTTGATACAAAGCATAAACAACCAAAACTTTTAAGTAAAGTATAATCTGGTAATTTCTTGCATAAAATTTCAAAAGGAGATTTGTTATTCAACAAAGGAGAGGGTAAACGATTAATAAGGAAAACAGCAGTCATTATGCAGTCACTCCAATATTGCAAAGGAACATTAGATTGAAAGAGAAGAGACCTAGCTACATTTAACAAGTGTTGATGTTTACGTTCTACTACAGAGTTTTGCTGTGGAGTATAAGCACATGAATAATGATGTATAATGCCTTGTTCTTTTATAATTTCTGGAAAAGCCAATTCAGGAGCATTATCTGATCTAATCGCTTTAATTTTGGCATTATATTGAGTAGAAACAAGTTTTAAGAAAGCAGGGAAAACAACTGCAACATCACTCTTATTTTTCATCATATAAACCCATGTCACTCGTGTACAATCATCAACAATCGTAAAGAAATACCTAAAACCCTCTATTGATTCAACACTAAAAGGACCCCAAGTATCTAAATGTATTAAATCGAAAGGTAAAGAAGACAAAGTATTATGAGAAATATAAGCTAATCTTTTCTGTTTAGCTAAAGGGCATATAGAACATTGAGATACATCAGGAGTTAAGCTTTTAAAAGAAGGAATGATGCTAACCATTTTACTAAGAACACTAGATGAAGGGTGACCTAATCTTTGATGCCACAATATTCCATCAGACAAGACAGACTCAGTTACAGAACATACTGCAGGAAGTGATGGTGAGAGAGTTGAATTCTCTTGCTCAAGAATGTATAGATTGTTGTATTCTCTACCCCTCCCAATCATCAAGCCCTGAGAAAGTTCCTGAATAAGACAACAAGTAGAAAAGAAATGAGCAGAACAAAACATGGATTTAACCAAACAACTAACACTGATCAAATTGAATTTAAAATCAGGAACATGAAGTACATTATGCAATATCAATGTCTGTGAAATGCAAATTGTGCCAGTGTGTGTAATAGGGACCCTAGTACCATTTGGAAGTGTGACTGTGATACTAGAAACAGGTATTAATTCCCTAAACATTGCTAGATCAGAACACACATGGCTAGAAGCTCCACTATCTATAATCCAAGCATCATGCGGTAAGAAATTTTGTAAAGAAGAAAGTGTATGATTTTGGAATGTGAGATTACTATTCTCATACTTAAGACTAGTTGAAGGAAAAGGAATGTTACCAGAGGTAGAAGTTGCAGCCATAAGACCATGCTCAGTTATCGTTGCTGTATTGCTAGAAGTAGCTGCAGGCTCTTGAACTTTAACTTGTGTATTAAATTGGGAGATAAGCTGTTGAATCTGTTGGGGATTATAATCCTGACCATTCTGTACATTACTAGTAGAAGAACTAACAGCATATGGTGTATTAACAGGCTGAGTTGCATATGGAGAGTGCACAGGCTGACTAGCATACTGAGGAATCACAGATTGAGAAGCATACTGAGAAGGTATATACTGTGGTACTGCATACTGATAAGAACCATCAACAGAAGCTGGAACATAAGAATTTGATTCTGTATAGACATTGGCTATAGCATTTGCCTTCTGAATAGGATCATAAGGCATCATCTGCATCCTTGGTTGTTGTTGAGGCATCCGAGGTTGAAACTGTGATGTCTGCATCCTAGGCTGAACAACCAGCTGATTAGTCTTCTGAGTTTGTCCATTAGTCTTGTATCCAGGTGGAAATCCAATAAGTTTGTAACACTTCTGAACAGTATGACCAATTTTCCCACAATGTGTACATACTGGCTTCTGATTCTTCTGTATATTGTATGCTGCAATATATGCCTCATCTCCTTCATATGCCACTGGAGTCATAGCCTGAAAAGCAACATTATCCATCCTAGTAGGTGGTTTGATCATTCGCTGTCGCTCATCTTGAGTTATCATATGAAAAGCCTCATCAATTGTTGGTATTGGCTTTAACATCAAGATATGTCTCCTTGACTGATCATAGCTCTCATTTAACCCCATTAGAAACTTAGTAACACGGCTACGTTGCTGCAACTTTTCCCATTTGACTGCAGCATCGCACTCACATCTACCACAAGTGCACAAAGGAAGCTCTACATAATTTCTATGTTCTTCACAAAGAGAAATCAATGCCGTATAGTAAGCTGAAACATTTAATGAACCTTGTTCAATCTTACTAAGCCTCTGTTCTATATCAAATATCCTAGGTGCATCATCTTGCTTAAACCTAGTAATCAAACTCGTCCACATTCCTTCAGCAGTCGAGATATACAACAAGCTCTGTCCTATCGTCTTATCTACAGAATTCATCAACCATGTACTTACAATGTCATTGCAACGAGACCAAGTGCCATAATCTGGATGAGCATCAGGAGGTCTCGGTATAGTGCCGTTGATGAAACCGAGTTTATTTCGAACATTCAAAGCCATCCAAATTGATCGCTTCCAAGAATAGAAATCCGATCCTGTAGTTAGCCGATCTGAAACCAAAACAAGCCCAGCATGATCATTACTGTTGAGATAATAAGGATTCTCATATTGATCAGTATGAAATCGATGCATATCAGGTGCTCGAGGTATCGGATTAATCGGATTTGGCGGATTCGGCGGATTCGGCGGAGTCGGTGGATTTGGCGGAATCGTAGCCATTCTCACTCAGTCGTAAAGAATCAAGAAGTGTATGACGAAACAAGAAATTAAGAAGAACTCGTCAACACAAAGGTCAATGAAAAGAAGTGATTAAAAAAAGTAGAACGAAACAGAAGAAAACACCATGGATTAGCTCAGAGATCAAAACAAGAACGATCTGCACAATCCAGGTAAAAGAAATGATAGAACAACTCATCGTTGATACGATACAATCTCACAATGCGTCCGATGATATCAGATAAAGCGGAAGAAACATTTGCACAGCTCTGATACCATATTAAACTTCTGATTCACCGGAAAGATGATCGGAGAAGACGATCAAAAGAGAGAGAGAGTGAAGCAATGTAACAAACTTTATTAATCATCAAAAATCTGTTTTACAAAGCTTAACCAAAATACATGAAGTGTATTCTGTATTTATACCATTAACCAATACTCAATAACCGGATCTCTATTGATTCTTGATAACCGGAGTTAACCACCTCATTATCTCAATAAAAAAGACGGCACTCGTTTTTTTTTTTTGGGGAGAGTGATTCTCGCGTTTTCCTATTTATATGCTTCCATTGTTTTTTGTTTTTTCTTATTTATGATTCGTTTTATTAAAGATAAATCCAATGTCGATCCTACTATAAGTTTTGTGAATAATGCAACAGTTTCTAAAAATAATAATTAGCATATTTTTATACATAAGTTTTGTGAATAATGCAACAGTTTCTAAAAATAATAATTAGCATATTTTTATACAAGTGTTTCTTGCTACTCTTAATTCTATTTTTTCTTCTTCTAGATTAGAGAGTTTTGATTTTAATATTGAATCTTGCAACTATTAAATTAAGTACACATAGTTCTTAACATGTTATTTATGTAGTTTTTTTTTTTGGAAGATATTGATGTGGTTTTAAATAGAAAATTAAAAGGAGAAAATAACACTAATTAAAAACAGTGAAATCCCATAAAATCTAAATTAAACAAATAGTAAATGTGTAATTCAAAATCCCAGCAATGAAATAATGAAATTTAACAGAAAAGAAAATTGAAAACCAATTAATATTGTCAACAACCAATACTTAAAGTATAAAGAGGAAAGGAAAGATAGACAAAGATAAAATTGATGGAAGGTGTGTCTTTGTGATTTAACACACCAAACCACTACCCAACCCAATAAACCTCCCAACCTCCCCCCATATATTTACAGAAGCCCTTTCCTCTTCTTCTTCTTGTTTTTTTTTTCGTTTTACTTGCTATTATTCTTTCTTTCTTCAAGAGATCATATACACACACAGACACAAAAACATAACAAAGATAGAAAGAACAAGGTGAGCAAGAAAAGACTCAATGGATGGTTTGATTCCAATGGCGTTTAAGGCTATGAAGAAAAACAGGACTCGCCGGCGTTACGAGTGTCTCTCTTCCTCAGCCGGCACGACTACATATTCCTACGACCACTTCCCTTTCGCCGCTACATCCGATGTATCTCCACCCTCGTCGTCTTTTGATCATATAGAGACGAATAAAGTTGGTGTTCAACAACGCCACCGCCGTGGTTGGTCGGTTGAAGATTTCTCTTCCATTTCTTGTCGGGAAGGAAGAAGATCTGGTGCCGACGGCAGCGGAGACATCGGTTGCTCCCCGTCACGGCGAGGACAGCTTGTGAGGAATAGAAGCCATAGATTGTTCTCTTGTGTCTCTGGTGAATAATTTAATTATTCATCCCATACAAAAAAAAAAAGCTTTTATTTGCATCATCTGGTTTAGTGTTATGGACCTATGGTTGACTTTTTTTTTGTTACGAAAGTTTGAAGTCGTTGGGGGGAAAGAATGCAAATTTTGTACTTCTGGGTGATATTCCAATATTGATGTGTAAAGTTTTGGGGTTTTAGTTCACAGTTATGTTTATTTGGGGCTCAAATCATAAAAAAGGAAACTTTAGCAGATCGAAATAATTTACTATTTTTGTTTTTTTCCAAAAGTCTTCACCTAATATGTACAGTGGACGATGCGCTAGCTGTAATGCGTACACGGTGTTTGTTTGAAACTTGCGTACATCATCATCACTTAACATTATGGAAACCTTTTTAATAGAAAACCCTTTTTTTTTTTTTTTGAACACCACTTAACATTAAACATGAGAAAACCCTTTTTAATAGAAAAACCTACTACTTATTTTATTCTTCATTGTGCCCACTAATGAAGGATAAAAGAAATATATTTTCAAATTTCAATTAAGATGGCTAATAACTTTTTACGTTCATAATCCATTTCTTGACTAACTATGATTCTCCTTTATGTAGCATGCAAAACTGAAGTTTGAACTTGAGTTTGGGTATAGAAAGTTAGAGCTTCCTCATTTGTTGAAGACTTGAAGTCATTACACAACTCGACCGGTATAAGAGGTGATAACAGGGCCACTCGACCTAGTCAATAGTCATAGTCCCAAAGGTCCCAAAGACATATCCTCAACAACTTTGATGTTTTAATGCCGCAACATTATTTAAGAATTATTCTGAAACTGGTCTGGATTTGATCTTTCTATGAACACTCTTTTTTAGAAATAAGGAATCTTGTGGAACCGCATTAAAAACTGCTATGGAAGTCAACAACCATATACATCATCATCAAAGAAGTAGTAGTAGCTAAACCAGAACAACTTAAGACTTGTTCGTTGACTTTTTTGGTCCCATTTCTCCACAACCACAACTTTTCGGAGTAGAGTAGTGTTATCTCAGAGGTACTGAGCATTGATCTTTATTTTAACATACCAAGACTTGCCTATTTTCTTTACACATCATTCATCTTTTTCTACACCGATCAATACACATAAGCTTAATTTCAAAATTCTAGACTTTACAGTTTCTAAAAGAACCTATGGCTTTAGAACTTGGGTTTCCTCTCCAAATATGTGACGACTGCAAATACAAGACCAGGATTCTTTTTCATCGGCTAAGCTATGACGACTGGTCGACTGCCAAAAAAGAAGAGCAAAACCATGTCAGAGAAGTTACAAACTTAGAATCAAATCCTTAGGTGAGATGCAATAAGTACTTCTTGAGCTGCTTTGACGATACAAAATCCTACAGACACAAAAAAAACAGTAACAAAGACGCTAAAAACATTATCAAGATTTCAAGAGGAGATGCAAAACCACGAAAGCGTTTGTTGATGGTCATCTAAACCAATCGATCAACTCGAGGATGATGAAATCGATATGCATAGATGTCAATCAACAAACACATTCAAGGGTTGCAAAAGAGAAAAACAAAACCCTGTAAAGTTCATAGTAAGTTTAAGATGTATAAAAGCAAGTTTGGGATTGTGCAAGTACAGACATTGACAAGAACATGATTCCAGACAAGAATATTCTTTGGATATTCCTAAGCATATGCTTTGGAATAAACCCTTTTCTTCTTAGCTTATTCTGATCTGAGAGGAATCCTACTGGCTAGCATGATGCAATGGAAGCATATATATATACAGTAAAAACAAATGGAAAACTCCAAACTTGTTCTCGTGGATCGATTGATCTATGCCTAAAATTCATAAAATATTTACGAGCCTTGTTGGCTGTAGACATCTCGAGCAATCTTAAAAACAAGAATTAGGGGCAGTGGGGGTAACAAGAACAGAGGTTTTAACTGAGAGGCTCTGTTTTCTAGCAGAGTGAGGCTCTGTCTTTTGATTAAACTGAGAAAAAAAAAAAAGAGACAATTTCTCAGACTATTGCATAAGCCATAAATTACTGAACCCCTACACGAAACTAACTTCGAAAGACATTGTTATGATATACTGTAGAGCATTTAACACTTCGATTTTACTCTGTTCTTTTCACAACTACCCATTTGAAAGATGCTATTAGACTGACTTCTGCTTCAAAACATTAAAGTGTTCAGTTATATTTTGATAAATTTTGGATTATATTTGATCACCAAAAGACTAGTCACACTTCCGATTTTTTATCTCTAAAGGTTTCTTAATGATCGGAACATTAAAGGTTGTCAACAGAAGATACAATGCAGACGCAGGTTTTGGTTCTCTCATTACAAAGGAAAACTAACCATACCAAGTTAAACACTCTGGTAGCTTCTTAGAGCTAAACACCAAAATTCACAGCTGACTTTTGCGCTGCTATGTTTCTACCTTCAACATCTGGTCAATGTAATCTCACTGAGGTTCTCTTGAAATTTTTCTAGAGGTTTATTCAACGCATGTTTCCCTCTCTCAAGACGTCGATCATGCTATAGATCCGCTTCTCTGCTTTAGACCGGATCTGCAATTCATGAATGTGTTTGTAGTAGATTTTCATATTAAGAAATGCGATATTCGATTCATTGATTTGTTCGAAAGAGTTTCGACGAAGAAGATGTCTAACCTTTTTGGCAAGGAAAAGCACTGCGTCGACTGTACCTTCAGCATATATTGATCTTCCGCAGACATTGTGCTGGAACTCAAAGGACACACTGCAAAAAACAAGGGTTGTTTTAATGTTACAGACCGATCAGTTTCCAGGAAATAGAGAAGACAAAAAATGAAACAATGAATGTCTTAAATCTTGCTATACGTTTTATCTGGTGATGTCAAGTGGTAACGATGGAAAGCATGACCCAAGACATGCTCCTCAGGAACACCTACCACCTCAATCTGCTGCTTAGGATCTCGAATCAATTGTATCTGGTTTCAAAATTAAGCAAATGCAAAATGAAGAATCTTGATGAGGATGAGTACATATTATATACTAGAGAAATGATTAATTTAGAGGACAAAGTACAAGTAAAAAAACACCTGGTCCATGTCGTAAGACACACCCAATTTCTGAAAGCAAGAAATAACAGCTTTTGCAGTACCAGATGCATCCAATTTGCTAGCTTGATGAGACTCCATCACCTATTTAGATTGTACCCAATTACCCGTACTATGATGCAGCCAGTATATTCCATTCAAATGAACACCTCAAATTAGAAAAAGTACCTCTAAGGAATAACCAGCAAATGCACCAGGAAACTGCTCAGACATGATCTCCATGGCTGCAAGAAACGCAACAACCTAGTGGACCAACCAACAAAGCAAAGATAATATGGGTCAATAAGAGTTTACATGCATAATATATAGCTTTAGTGACACACTACGTACTAAGTACGCACCTGTTTACCCATTTGTGGGGAGATCACAGCATATATCCTTGATTCCTCTACAGTTTTATACAATTTTGTCCTGTCTCCTCCAGTTGTACCCATAACGAAGGGAACTCCTACTTTGCCATATAGCTCTGCATTATCTACATTTTGCAAAAGGAATAAAACATAGCCTTTGAAATCAACAAACTGCAGACAAACAGATTCTACGCACAATTTAATCATAATAATGTTAGAAATAGAAGTTTCTAAGATACATAGATGTACCATTTACTGCAGAGGGGATTGTATAGTCCACAACAATTAGTTCGGGGTACTTTTCAAACACCGAAGAAAGAACCTTCTCTCTTTCAGTAGGACCATGAACAAGAATCTCCTTCCCACAGACCTCAACTGTCTGGCCAGCCTCTTCAGCAGAACCAAATGATGTAGGAACAACATTCACTCCAGCGGAATCTGCCGCTTTGATGACAGCTTTTCCAATTTTGCCACTGCATCCATTCACCTAAGGTACAAATTAAAGAGAGAGAAAGAATGGCTTAGCTTAATTCTACAATTACACTGCCACAAGAATCCTACTCGCTTCAAAAACTGTAACTTGACCCTAAAAGATTGCTATTGCTAGCAAAAGGCAAAAGCTTTCTATCCGGGAAATGACAATCATCACAGAAACACATCAATGCAACAAATGCTAAATTTTCACAGCTCAAGAGTTGTTTCGGAAATAATCAGCTACCATGATAGATACGCCTTTACCAGGCGCAATGGAATCTCCCGCTCCCACGGAAGTCTCCGTCTTCGCCATTGACAAAACGACCGGAAAACAGCGTTTCACATTGCCGGTGAAACTAACACGGCCTTTGACACCGATCAGAGCCATTTGAGTCGTTCTAGAAGAAAACGAGAAATTGAGATTTTCAGGACGATGAAGAAACACATTGGACGCCGCCATTAGCCTGTGATCAAATCCCAGACAACGAGCAAAAACAAAATGATCAATTCATAAACCAATGCCAACAAAAAAAAAATGTAACCAGTGCAGAGAAGGTACCCATTCGCCGCCATTTTCTATACGACTCAAGATTTCTAAATTGGTCCGAGTTTGCTCCGGAGGGACGAGATCAAAGTTTAAAGTTCAAACCTTTGTCTGCAAAATTCGATCCGGCGAACAGAGACCGGTAAGATTCTAGGGTTTTAGACATTTTCACTATTACGTCAGCTCCTAAACCTTCTGTTTAAGGGTGCGGTGTTTCAATCTAAACCGGAAAGTATAGCTAAAGTGAAAACGGCAATGTCTCTTTTTTTTGTCGGCAAACGGCAATGTCTCTTTTAATTTTGATTAAACCGGAACTTCTTTAATTTTTTTCCCTAATCTAGTATATTTTAGACTTCACTGCACTTAATAAATTGGTCATGTTCATGTATCATTTTTTAAAAGTCTTTGTTACAAAGAAAATGAAAGTAAACATAGTGTTTTGGTTGAATCCTACGTATCTAATACATGGCTACAACAATTGAATTTGGACCATAAAAATTGGGATATTTAGGGTTAAATGCAATGAACCCAAGTGACCGACCTCAGGGAGAAGCAGATGATGTACATGTTTTTCTTTTTCTTATCATCATTCGTTTAATATCACTTTCATTTTGTGATGCTTGATTAATTAAAGCTTTGATAAAACAAAAGTCTAAACCCATAAAAGTGTATTACTTATTCTTGTCTTTGTCACCCTATTTTTCTTTTTTCTTATGATACTCTGAACCTAATCTTGGATGATGAACCAAGTTATGTCTCACGTCATTTGTCATACTCCTAAATTTTGGATGACAAATGACGAGAGAGCACTTTTCAATTAAATTGCTTTCATGCATGATCATGATGATGATAAAAACATCACTCATGAAAACGACCAATCTCTATTAATAGACCAACCACATAAATGTTCCGGAGCTATTAAATTAGAGATGATTGTCGGGGGAGAGACGGATCTTTAATTTCAAAATAATACTTCAGATTAAATTTCAACATGATGAACAAAATAATTTACGTGTAATTTCGTTTTTAAAAAGCAAACACATACATAATTGGAGAGGATGGGGACTAAAGAGACGTACGAGGAATATTAATAGGCAAGTTGGTTTGGTCGAGAGAGGACTCGAGAGAGGTGATAAAATGCATTGTATCAAAGGCAAAGAGAGCCACGTGAAGTTACATGTGCCGTTCGATCCTCAATGTCTGTCTCATTGCCTTTCTCCTTAATAAATCAACAAAACTATACTGGTCAGAGTATTATTTATTCATCTTACAAAAAAAAAAAGCTGATCAACAAAAGATATTAAAAAACAAAAAAAACTCGAGTGAAACTGTGTATATGGACCTCGTTATATTATATATTGAGATTATTGTAATGCTAATGCATCAAGTGTCTAAGAATTAGACCAAAACATATGATATGTCTATGCATATGGACTGTCGAAAACTTTATGCCTATCGAAATGGTTCTTTAATGTATAAAACTTTATTAACATTTATACAACTTAAATAGTATGTAAGAAACTGTTAATCAGCAAACGTATAATGTGTAGTGTAAAGTATAGATAGGTTGAGATACATTGCTGTATATCAGTATATCCATGCTAGCTAGCTAGTTGATCTTTAGGTAAGGATATTTAGAAAAGAATAGTATATAAATAGAGAGTATATAAGTAGGAATCGTATTGGTCTATCTATATAAACATGCCTGACTCGTTCGTTAGAAAGACAGAGGGAATATATGATAATACTAAAGCTTAAAGAAAAGAAATGTATTGAAGTGTGTAGCAGATCCAGTGGACATCCAATCTAAAAGGTTTGCGGTGTTCAAGGCAATAATCATGCATATGGGTTGCCATATATACACATCTCTACATCTTCACTTTCCACCCTTTCTACTCATTTTTAAAAACACATAATATATATAAAGGATCAATTGATTGAACAAAAGTTAATTAATTGATATGTAATGTCGACGAAAGAGTTTTATTAATTAGTTTGTTTATGGTTTTATAGGAGAAGAGGGTCCATATGCTTTCCTCACTTTGGTCAACGAGATCCATATATGTTTCACCACATCCCCTAAATGATACGATCTTTTCATATCAAGAGTAGGTCTGGAAACTTTATATGGCGGATCTTTCGATCTAAACACACTTCTAGTACTACTTTTTTTTTATATTTAATTTAGGCTTATGCCGTTGCCATCCATGCAAAAATACTTTGTTGGTACACGTCAAATTAAGAGTTTATTTTAAACCTGTACTCTTCGTGTATTGTTAATTAATTTGACCTAATTAATTAAAGTAATGTTGCACGATTTTAATTGAATTAATGTGGATATAATGTAACTAGTGTTTTGTAGTATTTGGTAATCCATCAATTCCCCAAACTAGTATAATCGGTTTATATACTTCCAAAGGTCAAATACAAAAACATATAAACAACTAGACGTTGTTTCTCATGACGCCTCTCCTGACTCCTATATACGTTGCTCAATTCATTGAACCAACCATACGTGTTATCTTTACAACAGATTAAAAAAATGGTAACAAATGTTTTCCGATTTCGTAACTTCATTACGCATGTACATGTTAATCAACTATAAAACCCTTTTTAATGAAAAGATAGCGCAACCAAGGAAGGAAAAGAGTGAAAATAACGAAGAAGAGAGTCTACAGTCGATTACTTAAGCCAAGTTTAATTAATTTAGCTAAGCAAACTTCTATGTTCTCAGTGTACAGCAAACCAATTTAACCAGAACACATACTATTCCGCTCCGGACTAGCTAGACATAAGAAGGCCCGTTGTCACGTTGCTATGTCTGATCCCAGCTATTATATACAGTCAACCTCGCTTTTTATATATGAAAACAATATGAGAATCGAAGAAATGAATATAAGCTTAAATATTGGCCCCAACATATTCCACTAGAGCACATACAATCACCATATGAAATGCCTTGGACATGAACAACACTATGGGGTCCTGATCGATCCGTAAACATCGACAAAATTATTGGTAGGTACGATTAAAACGAACTATAATACTACTCTAATTAAGTCAACAATAGTAATTATACAAACATTAATCCCAGTTAGTCAGAAAAACTACTAGAAGATTACTAGTAGTTCAATTCCCAACAATTACACTGGTTTAACTGCTCTTATTCAAAAACCCATATTTAAACTCATTGATTTAAACTATATACTAAAACAAAGTATATATATATATATATATATATAGAGCGAGAAAGAGAGAGAAGGAGTCCAGGGGAGAAGAACCTTGTGATTGTGGAGGAAGACTAGGCCACACGAAATAGTTCCTTTTTTAAAAACTAAAATAAAATAAAAAATTCAAAAACTTCAAAATTCAGCAACTTGTAGCTTCTCACAATTTTGTCAGCCACTCTCCTGCTCTTCTCTTATATAAAAAACGTGTCCTCTTTTTCGTCTTTTCTAACCAAATCAGAAAAATCCCTAAATTCACTGAACCCTCCTCCCATATCTTCTGATTCTCCTCTGATCCTCTCCATCTCCTCTGCCTTTATTAGTAACCCCTTTCTTTGTTCTCCTTTCATAAGCTACTTGTCTTCCTCATTTGCCTACTAAAGCTTCTTCTTCTGATAAAGGGATTTGGCTCACACAGCTTAAAGGTACTTCCTTTCTACATAAACCAAAAAATACAGATTTTTAGACGTTTCTTTGATCGTGCTCTGTTGTCTATGATTTCTCCAGACCATAATAATCAAAACATGGACAATTTCTCTATGCAGCTTTGTTTCTAAACCGGAATCACATCAGCTCAGAATCACCCTATTTCTTTCTTCTCATCAAAGCTTCCTCTTTTATTAAGTCTCACCCATTTGAGTTAACTCATCAAAGAACTCGGCGACTTGTCTGCATCCTCGGTTTCTGAATCGTGATCTGTCTCGAACTCGTCACCGATCGTTTTGATCAAGCTGCATTGGCTAACCAAAAAAAAAAGCTCGTTGGTTCTAACTTAAAAAAAGATCAGATCTTTGTTCTAATTTGTCTCACCGGTCTTCTAAATCCGAAATCAGAACCAAGGAAAGCCTCGTCAGATGATTCGCGAAATCTCAAACTTAGAAAAAGATATCAAAGGCCGTTGCTCAAACAATCTAGTGATGGACTTGGGAAGAAACAATCGTAAAAACGTGAGCTTTCGAAGTTCGCCGGAGAAAAGCAAGCAAGAGTTACGGCGGAGCTTCTCGTCGCAGAAAAGGCTGATGATCCCGGCGAATTGTTTCAGTTTGGAGTCTCTGTTTCTGCTGGTGTGTCTCACGGCGTCTCTGTTAATACTCCCGTTAGTTTTGCCGCCGTTACCTCCGCCTCCGTTTATGCTGCTTTTGGTTCCGATCGGGATTATGGTTTTACTCCTTGTTCTTGCCTTCATGCCTTCTTCCGATTCTAATGCTTCTGCTCATACTACTAGTAATCGAGATGTAACTTGCCGTTTTATCTAATTTTTATTTCACAACTTCAAAATTACATAGTTAAACCAATGCAATATGGATGTAAAATAATTAAAGCTGAAAGGGCAATATACCACAAATTCGAAATTGCCATGGTACTAATTGATGATATACAGTAGTAGTAACGGAAGTTAAATATTACATTAAATTATTATATTATAATATATATATTTTAGAAGGAGATAAAAAAAACGAACAACGCAATAATAAGGGAAATGGAGAGAATGGGGAAATAGAGACAAATGATTAAAGTAGAAATTATACAAGAAATAAGAAACCCCTCACTCTCACTTGATCATCATCTCAAACCCGATATCCCATATATCCGTTAAAATCGTAAAATTTTGTTGTTTCCTTTCTTATTTGTCAAACTATCCATAGAGAAGGAGGAGTGTAAGCACCAAAAGCAGAGTCCATTTGTTTCAACCGAAAATGGCGGTGAGGTGATGCTCCAGAACCGACATAAGGTGATGAGTCTCGCTTACTTCCACTACTGCAACACCACAACCTTGAAGCTGTCTCACAGCTTCCACAAGCTGTCCTCTTAACCTCTGAGACAGTAAACGCCCATCTGCCTTCACGCACTCTCTGTACAGCGGCATGTAGGCTATCGCTACTCTCAGCGGCGCAGGAAGATCCCTTATTGATATCTCCGACTCCCCTCTTTTCAAAACTCTCATGAAATTCATGAAATCTTCATGACTTTCTCTCATTCCTTTCTCAAAAGCTGATTCAGACCAGTGCTCTTGGAGAAATGATTTTAGATCTGAAGGAACGGATTCGTCTTCTGATGCCCTCGCAATGCTGTCTGCGACTGAGTATGTAGCCGTGGAATCTCCTAAGAAGTCTGATTTGAGCAGAAACTCTACTCCTTGGAGAGACCCTCCGCTTCTTTCTCCAGCTGCTTTGAGGATTTCTATGCTGAGAGCGGTTAGGACAGGTGGTGGAACTCGTGGGAGCAGATAAGCAGCGACCTCCACTTGGCAACTTGAAGTGGCGGCTGTTAGTGCCAAGCACAGCTCCATGTCACGGCAACCTCTTTTCACAAACCATTGAACAACCTGCATGCAACCTCTCTCTGCTGCTCTCATCAAGGGACCCAAGAAGGCAATGGCATTACCTTCTTCCACTAGGCACTTCATTGTACCGATTTTACAATAATGTGAGGCAAAGCCGAGAGCTAAGTCCACATCAACATCTAAGCTGTTCCTTTGAGCAATCTGCACCGATATATCCAAAATTTGAGAAACAAAAAGAGACCTTTAAGTCTAAAAGCAATCAAAAGAATATAAGCTTACCTGCAACAAGACACGGACAAGTTCTGTACTACCAAAACGTGAAGCTTCAAGGAAACATTGATTCACGTTATCTGCACCACCTTCAACCAGCATACCAAGCAGTCCCTGTATGACAGTAGCTGATATCCCAGATGCCCAACCAGGATCAAACGAATTCGAGAACAGAGTAAGGGGGAAACAAGCTGCATCGAAGGCCTCAGTGAAGTCTCTTCCTGAGAGATGGTTTCCTGCTAGATCTAAGAACATCTTGAAAGCAGAAAGCTGTAATTCAATCTCCGCAGCTGAATTTTGGCTAACCCTACCCCTTGCTCCCTGGCATCGGGAGTGGAAACCTATACATTTGAGAGCCCATTCAGTGAACTTCTGAACTTTGGCACCAGCCTCTGCTTTCAGAATCTCATCCCCATTGCACTCTTGGAGACGCTCATGCAACCTATATTTTATTATGTACAAACGAAATATGAACTCGAACTTAAATTTTTACACATTTTTATTGAAGCCATTCATTTAAAAACACCTCTCCCTCTCTTGACCAATGATAGAAAAACCAACAGGCAGATGAAAATGAGAACTACAGACAAGTTTACAACTCATCTATATGGAAAAGCTCATACAAAAGTGCACAAAGAAAAATGCACATCATAAGCTAGCAAGTGGATAAGAAGCCATTAAACATAAATAACTGATTTCATGTTTTACTAACCAAGGATTTTATGTCTATTAAATTTAGCAGTATCAATGCTCACAAACGACTACTTGCAGATGTAACCAATCACACTATAACAAGCAAACATATGTGTGACTAACAAATATATCCGTGAGTGGGGAAAAAGGAATCATAGAAACAGCGAACAAGTCTAAGCATCACTAATGAAAACTAAAGGATGGCATATGTACCTTTGAGCCATAACAGTAACTGTATCAGCAAGACTCATTGTCCGGCTCTGGCAAGCAGAGACACATGAAGCAAGAAACGAAGTCCTAAGTGCAGCTCTCGTAAAGTCATGAGCACCATGACATATGATCTTCTTAATCAATCCTGTGGTCCCCAGAAACTCAGGCTTTGTACTCAAGAACCAAACTGAATCAAGACCAATGCACAACAAATCATTCAAAGTTTGTTGATCAGCCAACTGAATCAATCTCTCAGCAAGTTCCCAATCGAGTGAGGTAACAGCGCCTTGGAAGAGTCGACCCAACTCGATTCTTTCTTGCCTATTAAGCTTTTTCTGCTGCTGCTGCCCAATATTTTCGATCTCAACGAGATCATCACTCCCTTTGAAATGTAGTTTCTTAGCGCTACAACCGCAGCATTCGCCTGAATTAGTACCAGCAGGATCATTTCCTATCAAAGGTGCGTCTCTGGGAAAAACCACATTACTCCCCTCGCCTCCTTCGTATCTCTGAGATGAAGCAATGGTTTCAGTTTTCACCTCGGAGCAGAAAGGCTCATCAGGGTACATCTGATCACTTAACTTGATGTTATCTTCTTCACACACACCTTCTTTCTCCATCCTTTGTCAAGCCGTAACTTCACAAACCAAACTCAAAAAAGAAGCACACGAATCATTCCTCCCAAAAGCTAGGCGGACAAGAGACCCACTAAACAAACAAATCTACTCTAGAGCAAAAACCCATTCCTTGAAATCTCATATTCTTCTAAAAGCAGACAGCCACCGATATCTCCAACAAATGATATGAAAAAATAAAATCAAAAGAGCGAAAAGGGTCTCAACATTTCCGGCAACAGAAATCTACAAATAAAAACCCAAAGCAGTGTGATCCAACCAAAAAGTTCTGATCAGCGTAAATCTCTGGAACGATCGTTTCCCTTGAGCGCGCGCACTTAGCTCATGACCATGGCATAAGAAAATCAACAAGCAAAACAACCCTAGAAATGAAACGAATACATCACCATCAGCCAAAATCTCCAATTAGATTCGCGTATATATATATATGAAAACAAAAAACACAGATTAACAGAGTGGACACCAAATTGGAAACCCGATCGGATAAAAAAACGAATCGAGTTTCAGAAAAAACGCGAAGAAGAACGTAATTTGTAGGTCTAATACATATGAAACCAAAGAGAGAGAGAGAGAGAGAGAATGGAGAAACCTGGACAAGAGAAGGGAGAGAGAAAGAGAAAGAGAGGCTGAGAAAAACCCTGTGCATCGATTCGGGTTCTTGTTTTTTCATTTGACAGATTTTTTTTATTTTTCAATTATTGAATTACTTGACAAATTTGTTGCTTTTTTTACAAACATTATTCTCTTTCGAATTTTTTATTTTACATTTTTCTACCGAATCTTATATTTTATTAACTATAGTAATTATAGATTCTCTATTCTCTTTCTTCGTTCGCTGTTATCTTTTGATTAATTTCCATTTTCATTTTCAGGACCTATATGTATATGATATCTAATAATATTATATACCTCAATGTCTCAATCTAATGACTAGACAAATCATATGAAGGACAAAAAAAGACTTAGGAAGTTTATAGATGAGAATAATTCAACTCACAGTGTAAATGGTCTCTCATTTTTTCTTTTTTTCTTTTGGTTCTCCTGTACATGAGTGAATACAGTATGTTATAGCAAAATTATAAACTTTCTTTTTAAAAAATTCGATCTTTTTTATTCTTAGTGGTAGTGTTGTTTTGTTTTTGTGCAAAAGCAAGTAGTATTGCTTAATGTTGTTTTTTTTAATAATAATTACGTAGATTAAGGAAAAAGGTAAAACAAAGCATATGTAGTATAATATGGATATGACGTAATGAAAAAGGTCGAAAGTGGAAGAGGTTGAGGTGTGTTGTGTCTTTTAGGGGCGTGGGGTTAATTAAATGATCTCAAAAGTGATGGAACTGAAAATTACGAATTTATAATTAAGAAAGTTCAAACACAATTAAGTTTTATACGTTTCACTTCTCTAACTTTTTTAGTATTTGATGAATATTTTTGCAATTGTTCAAAAAAATCCACCAAAATTACTTCTCTCTAGAAAGTAGAATCTATCTCAAGAGCCAAAGAGCCAATTTGTATTGTTTGTTACTCTGTGTATGGATCTGGGTTTCTACAAATCAGCAAAGTATTGGCTATATGGTCTCTTCATACTTCATAGCTGTAAAAGGATCATCAGCTATATCAATCCAAAGTCCATTGGAAAACTGGTACTGAAGCAATGAAGCTTTACGGGATGCAACAAGTAATTAAATAAAGTGTTATTAAGGCTTCACATGAGTCACTTTGTGAAGAAGAGATTCTAAAATACTCGTTAATTATAAGCCATGCACTTGAAGACAGCTCAGTTTGGAGACAATTCACATATTACAACATATAATATGTGAGTTATATACATAAAAAAGCCTCTGCTCAGCCAAGTAATGTACAGTTTTAACTTTATGCAAATTAGTAAGGAAACCATAAAAAAGAGAGTGGTTGATCTATAGCTGCCTTGAATTTTTTAATCAATTCTCAAAACTACGTTCTATTATCTAAGGAAACTAGATTGCTGCACGATGTTACGTCAAATTTGGGGTTTGTATTTATTTATTTTTAATTACTAGTTAACGCGTTTCAATCATGTTAAACATTATAAATTATACAATTTTGTGAAGTATTCAATGGATGGTGATGTAATACTAGATGCTAAACATGGTTTTATTAAATTTATCGAAGAACCCACAATCAATTATTTTCAATAAATAAAATTCAGTAAAAAACATCTATAATGCGTGTAAGCGAGCTAAACAAATACAAGTATATATACTTTTAAATATTTAAAATTATAAGTATCAACATCAACAGGGAAATGCTTTGCTTTTGAAATTATTACAACTAGTTTAAAAGATTATTAATTGTCATCATCATCTCGATTTTAATTGTGCTATGCTTTCTTCCTCTACTTTATTGTTATTGTAATATACGAAAAGGACTTGCAACTTTGTTAATATAGCTTTGTTAATCTATCCCAAGCCTTGTAGTTATATCTCTTCACTTAAATTAGACGATAGTTAAGGTATCGACCCAAAAATATTTATTCTAAGCAATTTCACTAATTAAAATTCTAGTGTAAGTGTACGAAATTTTCTAATTTAATTATTATCATTTTTTGTTGGACTAATTGGTTTTTAGTTTAGTTAAACACTTACTGAGTTATAAAAAAAAAAAATACTTTAGATCTGGGGGAAAATTATTATTAATTTAAAAATATAATTCGACATCTGGTTAATTTGTATTTACGGTTATGCCATGGAAACCTTATTACCCATTCTACAAACAAGGCATCTCTTTTTTCCTTTTTTCTTCTAATAGACAGACAAACTTGGCTCACTCATCTAATCTCCCTCGACGATCTCACAACTCATTTCTCTCTGTATTCATTCACCGATCTCTTTCTCTCTTCTGCTCGAAATCAATCAGCCATGGATGAAGAGTACGAGGTTATCGTTCTCGGCACCGGTCTCAAGGAGTGTATTCTCAGCGGTCTCCTTTCCGTCGATGGTGTCAAGGTCTCGATCCTCTCTCCTCTCGATTCGTTTTTCGTTTGTTTCTTTCTAATCCTTTGATATGAACCTCTGAATTCATTATTGATTTCTGGGTTATTGCTTTGATCGGGATATACGATGAACGGATCTCGGTGAGAATAGATCTCCTATTGTATGATCTGAGCTCCGGTTATGGATTAGATGTGATTAAATAAAAAATTTATTGTCGAGTTTTGAGTGAGGAGATGATTGATAAATTGTTTGGTCTGTAATTACTTCAGATATGTGTTATAATGCGATCGCTTCTGTGAGATTTTACACAAGTTTCCATGGTTCCATTGACCTGCCTCATGATCTGATGGATAATGATGCATTGTTGTTTTAAGAAGTCATTGTTGTAGTCGACTGATTGTGTTGTTTTCTGAATATCTCGGGTAGGTGCTTCACATGGACAGGAATGACTACTATGGTGGAGAATCAACGTCGCTTAATCTCAATCAGGTTCGTCTTTATGAATGTTCTTTCAATGTTTTTACCAGTTACTTTTATTTAAATTTATTTTTTATTTCGTTTTTTTTTTGCAGCTTTGGAAGAAGTTCAGGGGAGAAGAGAAGGCTCCTGAGCACTTAGGCGCTAGCAGGGATTACAATGTTGACATGATGCCTAAGGTATTATTATTGTTATTAGCTGCCATTGTAATATTTTTATGCTAATTGTATCAATGCCACTTTCTAACTTTTATCTCTCAATGCGATTGACCAGTTTATGATGGGAAATGGCAAGCTTGTTCGTACTCTTATTCATACAGATGTTACAAAGTATCTGTCTTTCAAAGCTGTTGATGGGAGCTACGTTTTCGTTAAAGGGAAGGTAAAAGCTTTTCATTGATGTATCGGTTGCAGTATTTTACAAAATCATTTTACTGATGAAAAATTTCTTACAGGTTCAAAAAGTGCCAGCTACTCCTATGGAGGCCCTGAAATCTCCTCTCATGGGTATATTTGAGAAACGTCGAGCCGGCAAATTTTTCAGTTTTGTTCAGGAATACGATGAGACGGACCCAAAAACACACAATGGAATGGATTTGACCAGAGTTACAACAAAGGAACTGATTGCGTAAGCTGGTGTTCTAATTCCTTCTAGCGTTTATTGGCGTTATTGACATTCATTTAAGATTATAAGTGGCTGACCATTTATGTGACATTTTGGCAGGAAATTTGGTCTTGATGACAACACTATTGACTTTATTGGTCATGCAGTGGCACTTCACACGAATGACCAACATCTTCATCAACCCGCCTTCGATACTGTAATGAGAATGAAGGTGAACTTTTTTGTCAGAATTGTCTCCCTTATTTTAAAAGCTCTACATTTAGTTCTGAAGCAGCTAAGTTGACATTCTTGCTTGAAATGCTGGTTAGCTCTATGCAGAATCGCTTGCACGTTTCCAAGGAACCTCTCCGTATATTTATCCTCTCTATGGATTGGGAGAACTACCCCAGGTTTTGTGTCATTTCGATCTTTGCCTTCGTTGCTTGAATTTTCTTAACTTTTAGATGATTATTGCTTGATTCTTCTGTGACTCGCTCTATCTTTTCTCTTTGTTCAGGCATTTGCACGGCTTAGTGCTGTCTATGGTGGCACATATATGTTGAACAAACCTGAGTGCAAGGTATTACTTATCGTTAGCTTTTTGTTTTCTCTTGGTGCAAACTGCAAATTATGCAAGAGGGGAAATGAGCGTGAGATTGTATTGGAGGGATGCTGTACTCATATACAGCAATGTTAATCTTACGCCAGGTAGAGTTTGACGAGGAAGGCAAAGTTACTGGTGTAACATCTGAGGGAGAGACTGCCAAATGCAAAAAGGTTGTGTGTGACCCTTCTTACCTCCCAAACAAGGTAATAATGCAGTTCTTAGCATGTGTAAATATTCAATTATGATTTAACTGTGTCCATGCTGATCTAGTAGAGCAGGACTGTTATAAAGTACATAGCTTTTCCTGATACTTATGACTTTTGCTGTTGGACCTATGGCCTGTTCATTATGCTGGTTGATTTCCATTGTTTTTATTTTCATTTACACATTTAGTTCTTCTCCTGGTGTTGACTAGACTGTGATCTTGGTCAGAATGTTTTAATATACATTTTTTGGGTATATATATATACTCGTTTATGATGTTTCATAATATGATGATTAATCACATTCAAACAGGTTAGGAAGATTGGCAGGGTTGCTCGGGCCATCGCAATTATGAGCCACCCGATTCCAAACACCAACGATTCTCACTCAGTCCAGGTCATCATACCTCAGAAACAGTTGGCCCGCAGATCGGATATGTAAGTTCTTTTTTGCCTTTACTTCGATAAGCCAGTGGCTGAAAGGAAATGAAATGCTTGGTGCATATGCTTTTCTTTCTTTCTCTAGTACCTAAGCTCCATCTGAATATCAATCTGAGATGTGTTTTTAAGCGTTAAGCGTGCTATAAGATTATTTTGGAACCACAGCTTGAATTGCACACACACAGAGAATAATTTCGCCAAAGTGAAAAATACAGTGATGTTTGCTTTGCCCTTTGTAATCATTCTATTGCTATAATTTTGTTGTGTCTGATGTTGTGAACCTCTACACACTGACAGGTATGTCTTCTGTTGTTCGTACTCCCACAACGTTGCTCCCAAGGGAAAATTCATCGCATTTGTGTCTACAGATGCAGAAACTGATAACCCTCAAACCGAACTAAAGCCTGGAACTGATCTGTTGGGTCCTGTTGATGAGATATTCTTCGACATGTATGATAGATACGAGCCTGTCAATGAGCCTGGTTTGGACAACTGCTTTATATCAACGGTGAGCGAGACCCATCTTTAGTTTTTATGGTTGCCTACTTTAAGTTGGATGGTTTCGAAGTATTTAACCCTTTCCCTGTCCTCACAGAGCTATGACGCAACAACACACTTTGAGACAACTGTCGCGGATGTGTTGAACATGTATACTCTAATCACGGGAAAGGTAAAAGTTGTGAAAATCTCAATGGATATATGTTGATGCGATGAAAAAAAAAAACAAAAAAAAATTGACATGATGTGTTTTCTTATGTTGCAGCAACTGGACCTAACTGTTGATCTGAGTGCTGCAAGTGCTGCTGAGGAATGAGGAACCGCTGGATCGCTCTCTCTTATGCTTGTTATGCTCATTTCTCTTTTTCTCTGACTCTTTAACTTTTGGGTTGTTGGTTTTTTATTTTCCGGTTTGAAAACAGAATTTTACCGAATGTTTAGCTCCTGACCTTGTGTTGGATTCCTCGGTTAAAGACATAAATGCTTTAAGCTCAAATCTTTTATAGCTGCTTACATATGTCTTTTTGGGTACTCTTGGAGATTTTAGAATGAAGCTGAATGTGTTTCACCAACGACAGTTTATATCGGCTAATCTTGATACGATTACTCAGAAAATTCGATTTTAGCTAGAGGTTCATCTAAATTCCATTTCATTTGCTCAGAAAATTTTAGTTAATATGTGGATGTTAACATTGTTTTGTTAATTATAGTTATATTGAAAGAAACAGCTAAAAGGTTTCGTGGTGTAGTTGGTTATCACGTCAGTCTAACACACTGAAGGTCTCCGGTTCGAACCCGGGCGAAGCCATTACCATCTTCAAAAATTTTGTTTTTAGCTTGTTTATAACAAAAAATGAAAAACTACGCCGCTGCCGGGGATCGAACCCGGGTCACCCGCGTGACAGGCGGGAATACTTACCACTATACTACAACGACTTCGTTGTTTGGATCATCCGAAGTTTTTATAATATATGTAAGATTGATCACTTTTTGTGGCAAACAAAGTTTTTGTAATACATGTAAGATTGATCACTTTTTGTGGCAAACTTTCACTGACAACAAAAATAAATAGATAAAAACAAATACTCAATCTAGTTTCTTGGACGAATACGTCCGATAGCTTCTCTCTACACACTAAAATTTTGGTTCAATACAGCTAAAATAAAAATGTTTAAAAATTGGAAAAGCGTAGGAGTGAGTACGCACTCGTTTGTTTCCCAGCCTTTACAGGCGAAAATTACGAAAGACAAAGATATATACATATATCAATTCAATGGTCTGTCTACGTTTTCCTTTATTTATATATATATGTATCATGAATACCATCAAACTATTATACCGAATGGTTACAGGTTACAACAATATCTTATCTTGTGTCATAGATAATCGTTTATAAAGAAAGTAAACCAAACTTTATCAACGAATGTAGTACAACAACATTTTGTGTTGCATTTTCAACTGTCTTCCACATTCCCATTTTGAACGATGGTGTGAAGAGTACAAAGACTAATTCAATTATGCAAATTAGTTAGTTCATAAATTCTTAGTATTATAGAATTTGCTGAGTAACATACAATAATACTGTCCTAATATAACGAGAATGTAGGCACAAATTCTAATGTTAGAGTTAAGTTATGCTATAAAAGATTCGCCGAACAGGTTTGTTAATGATACAAATTCTAATTCTAATGTTAGAGTTAAGTTATGCTGTATAAGAGAGTATGTAAAATGGAAGTTTTAGATTTAATTAGAGAAAGAAAAGAAAGAAAATTAAAGGTCGGCAGAGATGGATGGTACGTAGGGAGTGAGTTTATAGGGATTGGCATAAATGGATGGAATCCGTATACACAGTAATATCAATAGTAGAAGTAAGTTAAATCCTCGGAATTACGAGTCGCAGAGAAAGTGTCACAAGAGAAGATCGTTTCAATTGATACATTCATAATTGAAGAGTGTAAAATAATTAGTAAGAGTAGATGAAATTTTATTAAATAAAAGAGAACAGAGGGGGACGTAAAGACGAAGGAGGGAGGGAGCCCATGTGTCAGCACCGAATTGTCCTTCTTCTCGGATAAGAAAGAGGATAAACTCATCCTATCCACATGGACATGCCCTTCTTCTTCTTCTTCTTCTTAACTTCTTCTTCTTCTTCTAGAACACCCCCAAACATTTTATTTATTTGTTTGTAACAGAAATTAAAAACAAAACCATTATTGATTGATATACAGTTCTTGAGTTAATCAAATTCATCACGGCTTCTTTTCTTTCTTACTACATATATATATATATATCTTACAAAAATATACGAATAATAATATAAATTTTGGATGAAAATTGCGTGGTCCTTACTTATCATTCATTTATACTTATTGGAGAAATGAAAGATTATTATTACTAGTCCTTTGAATAATCCGAAAAGATATTATTCATTTGAATGATTCTCTTGTTTCAAATAATAATAAATATAACAAAAGTTGTCATCTTCATTGCGTTTACATTTGTCGTTTTTTTTGCAAGTACATATTTTGGATTATCCACTCTCTCTCTCTCTCTCTCTTCCGTTTGTGTGATGTAAATTCCATCAGAGTTTTATTAAACTTTTGTGTTAGATCTGTCTCCTGTCTTTTACTTACTATCACGATTTAAATTTACTGTTTTGTAGTATTATTTTGTTTTGTCTGTTTTCGCAAAATATCCCGAATTATAAATAAGTGTATTTTGATTATTATTTATCGATTTGAAAGACGGAAGGAAAAAAAAAGAAAGAAAAAGATGATAATTATCTCTAGGGACCGCCTTGTTGAGTGTTCTTATCTTCTTGTTATAAAAAGTGTAGCCTCTGTTCGCACTTGACTTACCCAATCGCATCTTCTTCAGTGTCTCTTACAATTCTTCCCATCTATCAATATCAATTATTAACAAACAAGAAGCTTCTCTACTCATTACAACAATGGGAGTGTCGAAGAAGATATCATCAGGTGGGTTTAAAGGAGATTTAATCCCAGGACTGCCCGAGGAATTAGCTATGGAGTGTTTGGTTAGGGTTCCTTTCGAGTTTCATTCTTCCATGAAACACGTTTCCCGTTCTTGGAAATGTGTTCTCTCCGGTCTTTCTTTCCACAAGGAACGGATCGCTTTCGGTAAAGCTGAATCTCTGCTCTGCCTTGTTCAACCTCTCACTTGTCCACCCATCATTCATGGTGATGACATGATGACTGACGACAGCAAGAAAGAGGAGGAGGAACAAGGCGAGTCTCACTCTCACAACATCATGATCCAGCAGCAGCAACCGCGTGTGACTGTGACGCCACTCTACGGTTTAAGCGTTTACAACGCAACGCTTGACACCTGGTACCGCGTCGCGATTCCCGAACGCGTTCCTCTGTTCTGCGAGTGCGTTGCGCTTCAGGAAGCTGGGAAAGTTTTGTTAATCGGCGGCTGGGATCCGGAGACGTTGCAGCCCGTCAGAGATGTCTTCGTTTTGGATTTCTTCGCCGGAGAAGGAAGCGGCAGGAGGTGGAGAAGAGGGAAGCCGATGTCGGCGGCGCGATCCTTCTTCGCCTGCGCGTCTGTTGGTTCGACCAAGGTTTACGTCGCCGGAGGTCACGATGATCAGAAGAACGCTCTCCGATCGGCTGAAGTGTACGATGTGGTCAAAGACGAGTGGACGATGCTTCCTCCCATGGCGGAAGGGAGAGATGAGTGCCACGGCTTCTCTATGGCGACGGATCTTGGATTTTGCGTGTTGAGCGGATACGGAACGGAGACCCAAGGCCAATTCCGATCTGACGGCGAGATCTACGATCCGATTTCGGGTTCCTGGTCTGTAATCGAAAACGTCTGGCCGTTCCCTGATTTAAGCCCGAGAGGTCGCACCGCCGCGTCTGCTGCTGAATCCGCCGGAGATTTTAGAGGTTGTAGGTTATGGTGCTTTATTGATAGCGAGAGACAGAGTCAGCCACGTTGGGAAATTGAAGATGGTTCGATGAAATGGAAAGTGGTTATGGAGACGATTAGGCTTCCGGTGACGACGATGACGTCGGTTTTCGCAGGAAGCTTGAGTGGCCAAGCGGTGGCAATGATCGGCGGTGGCGGTGAAGAAAGTGGGACGATGATGACGAAGATCACGGCGGAGAAGAATGGCGGGAAGTGGAGCCACGTCAACACTCCCTCTGGTTTTTCGAGTCTTCCTTTCTCGTATTCTTCAATCTATGTCTAGAGAGAGAATCAAGTCAAAAGTATTTCTCTGTTTTCAAAGTCAACGTTAATACTGAAATACATAGAAAACAAATTTAGTAAACGAAAATGGGTTTTTCATTATTATTATTATACAAACATCAAATCTTAGTATAGATGTAAAAAGAATGGTATTTTTTTTTTTTTTTTGTGATAATTGAACAAAGTCACACACTGAAAAAAGAATGGCTAATAAATAATAAGTGTTCAAAGTAATTGCCACTCATCTTCATGTTCCTCACCACAGATCTCTGTAGATGTCAATGTGCTGCTTTCTGCAATTCCGCAGTCATTTGTTCTGTGGGATTGTGTAACGGTGAAGAGAGGAGCACCATTGGAGTCTGCAGCTAGTTTTGTTGCTCGGATACAGAAATCATCAAAATCAGCTGTTACAAAGTAGGGGCAGATATCAGTGTAAAACAAGTTGTTCAAAATAGGTTTTACAAAGTTACCAAATCAAACTGAAAAGTTTTAACTGAACTATTTATACATACATCTTATGTATTCCATTTCTATGAAACTAGTAAATACCTTTGTCAGGGCAATAGAATCCCAGAGCTAGTGACGGGTCAAGTGACTCCAGCGGAACATAGCGGGGCGTACTGTACCAGATATAGTAGGAATAAGAAGTATGAATCTGAGTAGAGGCAGAACACTAAATGAGGCAAAATGATCAATCAAACTCACTTGCAATGGTAAGACGATGTGTCAACATCCCTAGTTTCTTTGTTGACTGTCACTACCTACCAACCATTACCGATAAGGCTCAATCAGTGATACTGAAATGTCATTTGAAGCACATGGACTGAGTAATATCAGTAATTTCTCAGTCCCGAAACCAATTAGACAATAGATGAATGGATGTGATGGTGACAATATAAGCAAAACATGGACCACCTTATATGTCCCAAACTTCAAATCAAAGCGTGCCAGATTCAAAACGTTGAGTTTATTTTGGTACTACTGTAATTCTTGTTGTCTTTATTTAAGGATTTATAAGGAGTGTTGATGAAAACCTGTTGAACATCGTGCGGATCAAGGTAGAAACCTTTGTCTTCTTGAACTCCAACTATGTAAGTTGATGCACCTGGTTTGCCGCCCAAAATGCCAAGGCTTTGCGGGAAAGTGAAAGTGGCTATCAAAGATGGAAGGTACCTGACGACAAAATAATAGTCTTTTCAGAAGGATTTAGCAAAAAATGATAACAAAGTCACTCAAACTCTGCTGTCATCATATCCTCTCCATAGTGTATACGTAGATTAATGTGAGTATGTAATTACAAGCCATCAATTTTTCCTTAATAGAATTGCTTCTAAAAAAAACTAAAAGTTGAATTCTTGACATCTATAGTACACCTATCTATCAGTTTGAATAAATCACAAACCTGGGGTTCACTTTGTCAAGCCCGAGAACCAGTGGCACCAAGAGAAGAACTGGCGTCCACTCAGTTTCTCTGTCTGAAAATTCCACACAAGTTTTGGTGACATCTTCAATACAGAGAATTGGAGCTCCACCTCTCTCTCCATCTTCACTGCCAGAAACGATATGAACAGCCATGGAAAACAACTTGTTTTTAACATCAGTTTCTTCTCTTTTCTTCCGAACTAATGATTCCCATGATCGACAGACAGCATATGGTCCTACCCATGAGCCAGCGGCCAGGCCATAAGATTCTCCAGCTAGTATAAGATTGTGAATAGAGAATGCTGAAGCCTCAGAATCACCAAAATGTTCTAATATCCCTAAGTATTCCTCTTCAGGCGTCTGCATTTCAAACCAAACAAGCTAAATTAAACTGGACTCTTGAGAAACCAGATTTATGTCCCTTGTATTTGTATATTCTGTAGTTAAGGCATAGACAAGATATCACAATTAACTAACCTCGGATTCCTTTTTCCTCCAAGACCTTCCCAGCCTTTGGAATAGCAATGCCTGTTAAAGATCTGGGAATTTAGTATATAGGTGTAAAGTATTGAAGTCTTGAGCTAGAACAACAATATGCAGACCTGTGCGAAGAGCATCTGGCTGCTTCGAAGCATACATCCCCAGTTTACATCACTAGTATAAGTTGTGTCGCCAATAGGCCCAAAACCTGTAAACTAACATAGTGAGTAATTTGTGAAAACTTTAATGCTTGCTCGAATTTGAAGTGAATATACAAACCTCTACGATATGTCATTAGTATTAAGGATGAAAAATCTTGTCCGAATGCAGTCAAGACATGACCAGAATCTGCTTCTTCTGAGGATTCACCCTCTGAGATTTTATAACAGACACCCATGAGCCATATCTCACTTGTGCTGCTGGAAATACCAGTCCGACTCGGCCCTAATACACGCTCTTGAAATCTCCTAATTGCCCCACTAGCCATAGAAGCTGTTTTTAAAATAACTGTCCAACTGTTATGTGGGGTGCAATCTGGCTTATGCTCGGAAGTAGACGCTTCCCTATACGGTTGAGAAACTGGGGAGGAAGATGCAACCACATCCGGGCATACGGCCAAGTTTGACTTGTTATCACTAGATACCGAATCTGAAACTAGAGATGTCCGGGATTTATCACACTTTTCACTTGTGCTTGATGAAGAACATTTTGTAGGAACAAACCTATCACATATAGCCTTCATTACCTAGACATTAAGCACCACATGCGACATATCTGTCTCTTAAAAAGTTGAAGAAAACTCAAACCCCGAGAATCTACCTTTGTCTGCAATAAGAAGCATAAGAGATAAAAAAAAATAGATCACGTTAACATTGAACAGACTTAGCTCTAAGAATCCGTTGACATAGTATGCAAAAGAACACAGGTAAAAACACGAATAAACCAAAACAATCCTCATAGATTATCTTCTATTATCCATAATTCAGCAGGTTTATATCAGCCCAGAACTTTAATGCCAAAGTTTGTTCTCACTATTACACTGTATTTCACTATATGCTCCAAATCTTTCTTGACTCCAATTTAGGAATCAAAGGAACACAACAGTTAAGATAAATGCGTCAAAGTTACTCGAATCCGATAAGCAAACTCCCAAAATTGAACAAATCCACACAAAAATAACAAACATTGGAGACAAAATCATGCAATAACTCAAGACTGCTGACGCAATTTCCCCTCACGGATCTACAGCGATCACAATTGATCAATCAGTCAACTATAGATTTGGCAACTCAATTCTCGCATACACAAAAAATTAAGAATAAGAACAAGGATCAAAAGGAACGAGAGTATGAGCTCGACTAAGAACAACTAAACAAACGTACAGAGTTTCATAATCTGATCCGGAGAAGGAAATTATCACAACTTTTCGAAATTCTAGCAGAGCATAAAGATAGATCACCTGAAAAAATCGTTAAGGCTGACTAGATACGACGGAGATAAGACCTTTGGCGACGGAAAATAGGAGAACGAGAGTGCGAATCAACGGAGACGAAGTTTGAATTGCAGATGAAGGATTTCGTGTTACCTTAAGAAATAAAAGTTTCGTGCTCTCTCTCTCTCCTCTTCTCTTTTACGTAATTACTTTTATTATCTTAAAGCTCCGAATATGGATGATACTAAAGATTTAAAAATAATTAAAAAGATTATCATAATCACTGGTTTTTTATCATGCCGTACTAATAATACACCCATTTATACGGAATAGTTATTATTTTATTGGGCCGGTCCAACAGTCTTAAAAGCCCATTTATGTCCAAAACGGTTTATAGGAGAGATATTCGCAATTACTGATTTACCCTTTTAAGACTGATTTATTGCTTTTTGCGGAGAATTTCAAAATCCTCAGAAAAGGAAAAGAAGCAACTGCCGCTCTTTCTCCGTTACGTCTTTTTACTCTCTGCCTCTGCTTATCATATCCGCCACTGATTCATCATCACCCTCTTCTTCTTCTTCTTCTTATTTGTCTTCTTAAACCATAAGAAACTTCTGCGTTTCCGGTCTCTTACCATGGCTTCCGCCAGTAAGGTAAATTGGATCAGAGTCCTCAGTTCTTTTCAATTATCTTTACGGGCTTTATGTTTTAGTATGATCATAGGTTTCTCTGGTATTTTACTAGGGTTCCGATCAAAATCAAATCAGGAAATCTCTCAGAAAGTTGGAAAAGCAGGTTAGGGACTTGGAGAAAATGGAATCTTCGGATCGGTTGAGTAAGGGGAAGCATGACTTCATAAAGCGCAGTATCCCTTTCATTGTCACACATGCAAAGTCCTTTTCTTTCTTTTTTTTTAAATTTTCCACAATTCTTTAGATTTTCTTGTTTCTTTGTTTTCCCATGAACGAGCCTTGTTTTAAGATATCTACTTGAAGAAGAAATTTAGAAAGAGAGTTAAAGATCATGGCATATTCTGTTCTTGCTCCCTGGACCCTGGTTCTTCAAATCTCTGTGGCAGTGATTGCAACTGTGGGTATGTTCCAAATCTGACTCTTTCTTCTTTGGTTTTACCTATATTTAGTCACTGTGATCACAAATACTCGTCTGATTTTAAAGACTACATTGATTTTGATTGTTGTACTTTTTTGTGTTTCCTAGGATTCTACTCTCAAGCTGTTCATCTAGTTGCAGATGCAGAGGTGAATGCACCAACAAGCCGTTCCAACAAAGACATATCAAAAAGATGAAGATAGTTCAGGTTGGTATATTGCAAATTGGCTTACCAAAACAAAAATTGCATCTTAGGTTAAATAAGTTGTTTCTTGTAGACAGAGAAATGTGGATATGGAATTGAAGCAGATGAAGATATCCCATCAGGAGATTTTATCATTGAATATGTTGGGGAAGGTGATGTTACATTTTTGTTGCTCTTGTTTACTTGTATGTTCTCTTCTTACTATGCCATATATTTATCTTCTTAAATCCTTTATTCACTCTAGTTATCGACGAAAAGATTTGTCAAGAAAGGCTTTGGAAGTTGAAGCAGGTCGAGACAAATTTCTATCTGTGTCAGATTAACTGGAACATGGTGATTGATGCTACTCATAAGGGGAACAAATCAAGATACATCAATCACAGCTGCAATCCTAATACAGAGATGCAGAAGTGGTTTGTTGTTGTTATTGCTCATCTTCTCTTTAATACACTTGAGAAAAAGTTTTATGTATAATATAGAATCCTTTGTTTCCATTAGGATAATTGATGGAGAGACAAGAATTGGCATATTTGCTAATCGTTTCATAAGCAAAGGAGAGCAGTTGACCTACGATTACCAGTAAGAACATTTCCTTGCATCACAACAATGCCTTAGCTTTGTGCATTCTTGGACACCATTGTCTTTTATAAAGTACTTGATGATAAATATTACTAAGGAATATTGCAGGTTTGTGCAGTTTGGTGCAGATCAAGATTGCTACTGTGGTGAAGTGGGTTGCAGAAAAAAGCTGGGTGCAAAACCTACCAAAACTAAGAAGACAACCTTGGAAGAAGCTGTGGAACCAGTGGCATGTGAAGTGACCAGGAAAACTCCCAAGGTTAAATTGAAACTGAAATCTATCTAGAAGAGAAGCTTACATACATATGTTGAATAATACAGAGTTAATGTGTCATATATAAATCATCTTCTTGTAACAATTTTAAGCTTTGCGTTGCTTTTTATAAGTCATCATGTGATTTTGCATGCTAAACAGCAAATCATTATTTCAAACATTTGGTTTAGGTGAAAGCTCGAGGTAGACGCGTTGCCGGTTAGTAATAATTATTTGGGTGTATTTTTGACAAGCTTCTCAATTCGGAGGTAAGAGAAAACAAAAAAATTTGGATGCGTCAGGAAAATCTTGGATCAACAGTAGCAAAAGAAAACTATGTTGCCGGGACTGCATTGGTGTGGTAATCTGGTTAGCACGTCCCATGAACCAGAGGTATAACTATCTTCTGCCAAATTCTGCCACACCTAAGAACCAATAACAAGGCTCAGAAGCATTTATATTGCAATGGAGTTTATATATATATAGATCTATATATTGTACGGCTCAATAGCATTTACTTTGCTTGTTAAGGTGTGGGTTTTGACAGTAGTAGTCAATATTTTCAGGTGTTTTGGCATCATTACACAATACGATGAGTTTTCAAGAAATCACTTGGTATCCATCCCACTTGACTTATAAATCTCAACTCTATTGTTCACCTTGTATCTCATTTTAAGAAATCTAATAAACAAAACTAATCTCTGTCCAGATCATGTATGAGGATGGTGTTACCGAGGTTATCAACATGTCCAGAGAAGTTTGGAAGATCGTAAATGTTTGATATTGTGCTCCAAGTCTGATTCCATTCCCAACATTTGGATTACACTTGAATTGTGAAGTAGTTTTTTTTTTCTTTCTAACCGGGGGTGTATTTGGTATAGTAACCAACCAAACCGTGTAGGTTGGCAAACAGATTTTAGACTGTTGTTGTTGTACTTGTATGTATCCAACTTGAATCAGAAGTTCAGTTCAGTAGTACAAGAAAAAAAGAGAAGAAGAGAAAAGTCTTTTGTATTTTAAACCGGAGTTTGGTTATTTAAGAGAGAAAAATCTCACATACCCGGTTTGATCTGTCCATATTAAGCACGTGATCCTCCAGGGCTACAAAAGCTATCACTAGACTAGTGTCCGTTGTAGCGGTTGTTGATACCCACGGTCCGATGACCGACACAGGGTATTGGCTTTGCTGGTGGTAGGTGATGTGGGGCCCTCCCTCACCTACCTAACTAATTCCTTTTTTTTTTTTTTTTTTCAAAATCTATATATAGCTGGGAAAATAAGAAAATTATTCAAACAAAAGTATTTTTTTTTTTTTTTGTCATCTGGAATTATATTATTGAAATCATAAAATCTTAAAGGTTACAAACATAAGCCGGCGAAAAACAAAATATTCCCGGAGTCTAAAGCCGGCAGAAAACACAGTATCTCCGGAGTCTAAAGCCCTATGGAAGGGAACCTAAAAACTGAAAATACAAAGCTACAATCATAGGGGGATAGGGAAGGAAACCCGTTACAAAATCACACCAAAACGAAAACCTCGATAAAGAAAAATTAAACCAAACCCAACAAGGAATGCAAACATCAAGAGATCCTTTGCTAGTACATATCGAATTCAAACAAAAGTATCTAAATCATCTTTTCCATATAATTGTTTCTTTATCTTTTTCTTTGAGAAAAAAAATTTAAAATAATAAGAAAAGAAACTATTATTTTTGAACATTTTATGTGTTTAGCACAAAAACAATTACTGTAACAACTTTGGGAAAAAAAATTGTGGTAGAATAACATCAATACAGCAAAAATTATTTGCTGAATAAATAAAAAAATTATTTTGAATTATTGAATTTTAAATTTCATAATGTCATAACAATTAATTTTGATAGTTATTTTTAAGTTTAACCGGTTACAAGTAACCACCAAACTTATTGGATGGATAGTAGTATAAAAGAGTGAGTAGACGAAGCACTTAGCCTCTCCACCACTTCCTTGTAATTCCCGAATCTGGATTTGGATCTCGTGCTCAGAAGATGAAGGTGGTTGATAAGATCAAATCCGTGACGGAGCAAGGCAAAACAGCCTTCTCCTTCGAGTTTTTCCCACCCAAGACGGAGGATGGTGTCGAGAATCTCTTTGAACGGATGGATCGTTTGGTCTCTTATGGACCTACCTTCTGCGATATCACTTGGGGTGCCGGAGGATCCACCGCCGATCTCACTCTCGAGATTGCTTCCAGGATGCAGAATGTGATTTGTGTCGAGACTATGATGCATCTCACTTGTACCAACATGCCCGTCGAGAAGATTGACCACGCCCTTGAGACTATTAGATCTAATGGGATTCAGAATGTCCTTGCTCTCAGAGGTGATCCCCCTCATGGTCAAGATAAATTCGTTCAGGTTGAAGGAGGATTTGCCTGCGCTTTGGATCTGGTCAATCACATTCGAACCAAGTATGGTGATTACTTTGGAATCACTGTTGCTGGTTATCCTGGTATTGAAACTTTTTCAGTTTCATTGTTGGTTTTGTTAATGTATTTGTGTTAGTGTTTTCCTATTTCATCTCTAATTGAGGATTTGTGTGTTTTTTGATCAGAGGCTCATCCGGATGTTATTGAAGCTAATGGACTTGCTACTCCTGAATCTTACCAGAGTGATCTTGCTTACCTGAAGAAAAAGGTTCAGACTTTTGTTCTTTGCCTTGCATTTTGTGTGTTGGATTCTCAAGTCGTCTTTGATCTGATGTATTTTGTGGGTTGTGGCTCGTGGAACAGGTTGATGCTGGAGCAGATTTGATTGTTACCCAGCTTTTCTATGATACTGACATTTTCCTCAAATTTGTGAACGACTGTCGGCAAATTGGGATAAATTGTCCTATTGTTCCTGGAATTATGCCCATTTCCAACTACAAGGGTTTCTTGCGTATGGCTGGTTTCTGCAAGACCAAGGTATGTTGTGATCTCTTTTATCAGTCATGATATGGCTTATGGCTTGCTCTGTAGAATAATGTTGTCTCTGTGCTTAAAGGCTTTAAGTTTTTGAGTTTTCTTGCATCTATGTGGTTGCTTATTGACCATATATGATTTAGTTGACATATATAGACCCTTGGTGATGATGCCTTATGACTAATATTCCATTCATGCTATTATTGCTATAGATACCTGCTGAGCTCACTGCTGCCTTGGAGCCTATCAAGGATAATGACGAAGCTGTTAAAGCTTATGGTATTCACTTTGCAACAGAAATGTGCAAAAAGATTTTGGCCCATGGAATCACTACCCTTCATCTGTACACATTGAACGTGGACAAATCAGCTATTGGGATATTAATGGTTGTTCATTATTCCTTCAAAATCTTTTTCGTTGTAGTAATAATATTTAACACCAGCATTTTGGACACGGAAGAACCTAACAATGGTGCTCAAATTGCAGAACCTTGGTCTGATTGATGAATCAAAGATTTCTCGTTCTCTACCTTGGAGACGTCCTGCAAATGTTTTCCGTATTAGTGAAGATGTTCGCCCTATCTTCTGGTAACCTGCATTTTGTTTCTCTTGCTCTGAATTTTGTCTCTGATCTTTAAACTTCTCTTTTGAGGTGAAAATAATACCATTTCTTTCTTCCTAATATTTGCAGGGCAAACCGTCCAAAGAGCTACATATCTAGAACAAAGGGCTGGAATGACTTCCCACATGGACGATGGGGTGATTCACGCAGTGCGTCATATAGTACACTTTCTGATTATCAGGTACCACATATTCATTAGATATTTGACATTTCGCTTTAGATTTTGTTAACTGGAATTCTAAAGGGTTGTGTTTCAAAAAAGAATTCTAAAGGGTTTACTTTAGCTGTTCTTCTTGATTTTACTTGTGATTGTATTTGCATACTATTATTTAATCCTACCATTATCACTTGTAAGGAGATGCTTAGTTTGCTTGCCATCTTCTTATGTGTTTTTCATTGCCAATGATTAGTGCTGATCTTAATGCATGTATTGATAGTTCATGCGCCCAAAAGCACGTGACAAGAAGCTTCAGCAAGAATGGGTTGTCCCATTGAAAAGCATTGACGATGTTCAAGAGGTAACCTTCTTTTGCTAACAGTCAGAAATTGTTTCCTTCTTTTATTTTTATTCTCACTTATAATTTTTCTTGTAAAACTTCCACAAATCAGAAATTTAAAGAGCTCTGTCTTGGAAACTTAAAAAGCAGTCCATGGTCTGAATTAGATGGACTCCAGCCAGAGACAAAGATCATAAACGAGCAACTCGGAAAAGTCAACTCCAACGGTTTCCTGACCATCAATAGCCAACCATCAGTTAATGCAGCCAAATCCGAATTTCCAGCCATTGGTAAGGAAACTCATATCTGCGATCATATATCATACCATTATTTTTTTTTTTTTCACTCAGGATTCATCTATCCTTTCTTGAAAACCTATTAAACCCCTCCAGAGTTTTCTCTTCTTAGCTTATAACAAAAATGTATAATTGCAATTGAAACTTGGCAGGATGGGGAGGTCCTGGTGGTTACGTCTACCAGAAAGCTTATCTAGAGTTCTTCTGTTCAAAGGAGAAGTTAGACACACTTGTGGAGAAATCCAAAGCTTTTCCTTCCATCACCTTCATGGCCGTGAACAAAGCAGAGAATTGGGTATCAAACACCGGTGAGTCTGATGTGAATGCAGTTACTTGGGGAGTGTTCCCAGCTAAGGAGGTTATTCAACCGACAATTGTGGATCCAGCCAGCTTCAAAGTCTGGAAAGACGAAGCGTTTGAGATTTGGTCAAGAAGCTGGGCTAACTTGTACCCAGAAGAGGATCCTTCTAGAAAGTTGCTCGAGGAGGTAAAGAATCTTCTTCACTTTCCTTCTCTTCTTTTCTTAAACCAGATTGGTTTTGGCTGTACTGATGCAAGTATCTAATCAATATGCAGGTGAAGAACAGCTACTATTTGGTAAGCTTAGTGGACAATGATTACATCAATGGTGATATCTTCTCTGTCTTTGCTTGATCTCCGAAAAACCCAACCGCGAAGAGGAAATGTTTGGTTTTGATATTTGTTTTGTACCTTCTACAATTGTTTGTGATTCGTAATAACCTTATTTGATTGATCAACAAAAACATAAGTTTGTTTGCAATGAAAAAAAATTGCCTTTGGAGGCGTGTTCTTTCTTTCTCTCTTTGTCAAAACAACATCTTAATATAGCTCTAACATAAAAATCAAGAAATGTTAGCATTTCTTAAAGATTGTGAAGTAACAAGACCAGAAGATGTTCGCATCAAATGCTCCTCCTTAAGCATCGAAACACCAGATGCATCAGTCTTTAAAAGTGGCTGCACCGATTCCCACATTTTCTTCTTTTGAACCTGCAACAACCAAAAAAGAACAGAGATATTGAAAAATCCATCACTAACAGACCTTGATACTGAAATGATAAGTGGTTTGCAGGCTAAGAGACCTTATTAGGAGGTGCAGGTTCAGGAAGCTGCTCGAGATCATCTTCGTTGCCAAACCACACTCTATCTCCAGGAACAGAGCCTTGTGGTGGAACAAGAAGCTCAACGTTCTCATGAGCAGAGTCAGATGCAGCTAAGAGCATACCACATGACTTAACCCCTCTCATATTCCTCGGCTTCAAATTAGCCAGCACCACTACTGATGCACCCTACAGATTGAGCTCATTGGTTAATTCAGTTGGGAAATTTCCACACGATTCTCACACAATTGGGAATTGGAATCGAACAGAACATGGAGAAGATAGAGAAACAATGAAGCTGACCTGAAGGAGATCGAGAGGAACGTATTTGACGAGACCACTACAGATGATTCTGGGCTCAGCTTCACCAATGTCGACTTCTTCAACATATAGAGAATCTGCTTCCTCGTGTTGCCAAGCTTTCACAATTCGTCCTACTTTAATATCCAACAGATTCGCCGTCTCTTTCACATTCTCCTCTTCCTTCTGAGGTTCACTCTTCTTCTCCGATTCATCCGTTGAAACCGTTGTGTCTGCGTCGGGAGCTGCCGTGCAGAAAGTAGCAAGTCGTGAACAAGAGCTTCGATTACGTTGGTGATGGTTATAAACGGCGGAGACTCGAAGAGATGAGGAGATTGCCGGTACTACCTTCGATGGAGAGGAGAAGAAACGGGCGAATTCGCGGCGAAGAGGAAGTGCTGAGATTTGGACGGCAAGAACTCCAGCCTTCATTTTCAGACCACCGGAGAAAACAGCTATCGTCGCCGCCATGGATTTAGCTAAGATCTATCTGTTCTGTATTCTCTCTCTTCTTCACTATATCTGCTTGCAACTAATATTATTTATACATGTAAACAATTTTGTTTGCTTCCCACTCTACGATTTGACTTGTGAAAAAACAAGGCATCTGAAGAGATTTCCAAAGCTTGAGAAGCTATTCGAATCCATTACCATCTTCTCCAGTCGAAATGGCTATAGGTAACAAGTAAGATTGATGCGCAAATTAATGTTAAGTGCAAATAAATGGTTTTCAAGCAAACCATTGAACAAGGATCCAAAGTTGTTAACGATGACAAAAGAAACAAGTAGTGTACAATCTCCACAACAGTATGATATAATAAAAGCAAACAGAGGGTCTGTGAATCAGTAGTCGTCTCCCTTGGAAAGAACTTCTTTGCAAGTAGGTCGCAGTAAAATGGTGTGCTCATACTGTGACACATAGCTTCCCTTCACATCACACAGAGGAGGATACGGCTGAAATCAAACAAAAGAACCAAGATTTAAGTGTCGAAAAAAAAAAAAACCAAGATTTAAGTTTTTCCAACTCATGACAGATCCGAGCAAACTGAATCATAATTACACTGGTGTGAGAAATTACCTGAACAATGCCAGAGTCGCACAGATTCTTTAGAGCCATTAAGTATTTCGTTTCACCAATGCGGTCCAAATACCGTCTGCAGAAGGCAAGAGTCGAAAAATTCTTGTTAATGGTGGCAAGGAGTTGTTTGGCTCTAGGCAACCTCAAGGGGACGTGGCCAACGTCAAAGTTCTTCATGTAATGGCTACATTCTAAGTCTTCTCGCACGTATCCTTTCCCTACAAAACAACCGAAGCAAAGGATAAAATATTGGTGAAAATACCAAAGATGCAGTGGCCTATTCTTTTAATGGTTGAATGTCCAAATTCCGTTTACCAGTTGATCCAAATGTTTCGATGGCATAAAACTCGCCCTCTTCCATTTTTGTCTGCTCGCCTCCTTTAACGATAGGAACTGATTTCCCAGCATGTATCTGATATGGTCCAATGCTGTGCCCGTTCAAGTTTCTGATACTTTTAACTGCCAAAAGAACGTAACATAATAATGTTAACAATTACATTAACGTCAAAATGTGACCTTGATGTAAGAGCAGCTAATTAGATGTGACTTGGATATCAGTACCTTGGAAGACCTTTCCATTGATTTCAACCTCATAAGACTCCATGACCTCCTGAATTGCAGCACCGATATCACAGAGACGGACATCGATCCCAGCTTCCTGAACCAGCCAAAAAAAACCCACTAAGGAGTTCAGTTATAAATAAAAAAAATTACAACTTAAAGCCTAAATGACACTCAAATTTTCACTGAAGAGATTTGAATCTCAGAATCATTTGGATTCCACTGTAGAGTAGGACAAGAGAGTAGAGAAAACCAAAAGGATAAAGACAACATGCTCAATAGGACAAAGCACAACAACATTGCTTCATCCTACTGGTGATCATACATTCATGAAGCAATGCATATTAACAAAAAGAAGAATCAGTACCTTGATACCAGTATACGTAGCTTCACGAGAGGCTGCTAAGAGAGGATCAAACATAGGGTTGAACGCAACTGTAAACGCACAGTCAATAATACGCCCTGCAAGAGAATAGAATTTTATTTTTCTCTGACATTTGTAACGAGAAAAACAATAACAGAATTGATGACAAGAAAAAAACAAAAAAAAACAATAACAGAAAGGAAGATTTGCCGTCATACCATCAATATGTGTTCCGAAATCCAATTTCATAACATCATCATACTGAAGCACAGTCTTATCTCCAGAGTTTGGTGTCCAATGAGCAGCAACCCTGAATGTTAAAAAGTCATAAGAGAAACATGACAAAAGAAGAAGAACAGAAAATAGTTGATAGAAAAAAAAAGTTGAAGGCAGATGTCATAACAAACCAATTCAAAGAACATCCTGTAGGGAATGCAATACCAGCTTGAAGACCATTCTCTGATATCAACTTACGAACAGTATTCTCTAGGGTCTCACATATATCAGTCATCAACATTCCAGGCTTTGCTATGCTTCTGACATATTTACGAACCTGAAAAAGATGGCCAAAACGATCTTTCAGTCAGCTGCAAAAAAAAAGAGGCCAGAAAAAACTAATCTGTGGTCACTCATTGAAAGAACTCTAAACCTGGCGATGAACTTCTGCAGCTTGGCGAACAGAGTTATATATTGGCTTTTCCAAACGCTCCATCTCTCTCTTCTCTTCAGATGTTGTTCTCCACAGATTACTAAAACAGAGATCAAGCACCAATATATTAAAGAATAAAAAGTGTGATAAAGGTAACAACGAAGAAATTTGAGTTCATGAGCATTATCGGCTCTAACAGCTTTGGCTACCCTTTTGTATTGAGTTTCTATGAGGTCTTGACATGAGAAAGACTGAAAATCAAATAAATTCAAGAGTAGAGAAGACAAAGTGGTATGGATCTTCGACAAAGTCAACTATAACATATAAAAGAATTTCCAAAAAGCTGTCAATGACGGTAAAAAGAATGGCATGAAACTTACTCATCCTTATACTGTTGGATTTCACCTTCAGGAAACTCCCCAGATGGGAAGAGCTCAACAACAGGGATTGAAGGTGGATCAGTCTGTTTAGGGAGTTCCTTCTTCTTCCTACAACATAATCAAAACCATCATTAAAGCAAACTCCAAAAGTTACGAATTAGAAGAAACTTAAAAAAACAAAAAATCTCTTACTTGCTTTTATTTTTCTTCTTCTTCTTCTTCGTTGAAGCCTCGGCTTAAAAAGAGAAAAGAAAAAAAACCACAAAAGTGTTATATTAATCAATGATCAGAACAAATAGACGAATCTAAGAACTTTTCAAAATCACAAGAACCAAAGTCAGATGGACTAATCCTAGAAAAATAGTTCCTTTGACAAATTAATATCGAACATTCATAATCTAACACTCCAAATCTCCAGATTTCCACAGTCTACTACTAACCAATGAGACAGAAAGGTAACAAAAAGAGCCATTTTTCAGTGCAGGAAATAAAAGACGCAAACACAAAACCATGTGATCAATCAGAACCCAAATAAAAAGAAGAAGAAAACAAAACAAATTGTTCACCTTTGCTTCCTTCTTCTTCATCGTTGTCCTCTTGACCATCGTCTGCAATCTCAAGCTTCTTCGAAAGCTCAGATTCCAATTTCTCCTCTTTACCATTAGGGGATTCAGCGCCGCCATTCTCCACCACTGGAGCTACAACAACATCAGGGCTTTCACTAGCCATCTTCAATCGATTCTCACCTCGATAACAAAGCACTAACCAAAATCAAAAAAAAAAAAACAATCGTACAATAAACTCAAAAGCTACACACACACGAAGAAGAAGTAAACCAGTCTTTCTCTTTTGTTACCCCTTTACTCTCTCTCTCAGCTCCGATACTTTGTACGGCAAACCCTTGAAATGTTTTGAGAATTTGCAAAATGAGACAGTTAGACTATATTATTTATGTTAGACCCCCCATACTAGGATTCTTAATGGGCCTTACCAAATCTTTCTTAATGGGCCCTAACTTTGATATTCCACTCGTATATCCACTATGACATCCACACTACTACGTCACTATAAACTACAAAAATGTCATAGTCTAACATCATTGTTCTTTATTTTATTTCAAAGTTAGTTGTCGCTTTAATTTTAAACCTATACTAGTGATGTACCCGCACGTACGTGCGGGGTTAATTTTACAAAATTACGATTTTTTAAGTAGATGTTATTTTGGTAAAATTTTGTTATATGAGTTTATTTGATAAACTATATATAGACATACAATTGTAAAATATAGATATTATATTACATAATACAATTTCAAAATTATTTAAATGAAAATGATAAATGATATTACGTGTTTATTTTTTAAACTAATCAAAACATTTCTAATTGTTTGCTTAGAGATGTTAAATCGGATTTGAGTTTGGCTTTAGTTTGAATTGTTTTATGTATAGTTTAGAATGGAAAACCCGTCCTATCCCTTTCCGTCTCTTCTTGACTCGTCCCGTCCCACCCCGCCCCGTCCCGTCCCGTCTTCTATATGTCATAAAATTTATGTCCCATAATTGTTTCTTTTTAAAACATAATCATTTGCCAATGTTTATTATAAGAAACTTGGTAAAAGATTTAGACAGGATACCCGTATTCTTTGTTTAAATATTTATTTTTATTAAACTAATAAAAATCTAATTATCAATCTAAGTCACATGCTCCCACCATTTTCATTCACAATGCACTGTCTATAATCCTAGCATACACAATCCTTGTTCGATTTTTAATTTATTGATCTTTCAGTTTCATCTTTATTTCTCGTTATTTTCTTCAATTCAAAGATTCATGTTTTAGCCTTTTTGTTTTCTAAAGATTTAGGTATTTCTATATTTTTTATAATACATCGATTTATTGTAGTTTTGTTATCCAAAGTATACGTTATCTTCTTGTACCCGTCATTTCATGTCTAAATATTTGAAATAAATAGGAAAGTGGAAATTAAATTTAGCAATTTAAATTACATGTCCCCGTATCGTACTCGTAGTTTTATATTTGAAAGTTGAAAGTGAATTTAACTTTATGACCGTGTCTCATAACAATTATATCTAATCATGTTTTTTTTTATGAGAAATAATTCAGATAATATTTGTTTTCGAATTATATGTTCCCGTCTCGTATGCATTCCTATAATTTTATATTTGTTTTTTTAAATAAATAACACCTTTTACATGTAACTAAATATAATTTTAATATATGTAAAATTTCATATAATCGTCTAAAAGTAGAGATTTATACGCCCCAAAGTTGAATTTTGTTCAATATTTTGAGATTTTGAGAATTAAATATAACTACCAATTTTTTTTATTTCAACCGGTTATCCAAAAATTATATATTATATTTGTCAAGGATAGTTTAAAATTGTACGTATATGTGAGATAATGTTTGTAGATATTTATTTATTATATCATTTATATCATACCAATTTGACATTTTATTTGTTTTCAATTAGATTAAATCATAAAAATATAATCCATTTATTATTTAAAAATTGGTAATAAGTCGTTAAAATCATTTAAATGTGATATATCCAATTGTTATTTAGTTTTAATCATTTGTGGTAATAAGTCGTTAAAATCATTTAAATGTTTTATGATTTGATAAAACAATTCTTTAATATTTGATAATAGTATTGATATGCAAATTGCCAATGGATGAAGATTTATTTTGTTAAGATTGTGTGAAATTAATAAGAAAAAGAAGTTTAGAATAATCATTAACTAACTGCTTGACCAAATAGAAAAATCATTAACTAATTGAATTAATGATAAATTTTGTAGATATCTTTTATGCTATAATTGCTAGATTGCTTTTTGAATATGAATATTTTTTTATGTGAAATAAGAAATTTATGTGATCTAGAATGTTTATTCGCATAATTTTAGCAAACAAATATTTAATTATCGATTTATTTAAATCTTATTTATATTTTAAAATTTGATGATATGATCAGTTATGTATATATATACTATGTAGAATTTGATTAGTTGGTTAAGCTAACATATTTTTATATCTTTTTTTTTATTTTTCTAAAAAAATGTTATATTTGTTTTTAGATATATGATGATTTTGTTTTATTAGATTTCATTCTATATAAATTATTAATTTCGAAATTATATTAAAATATTAAATTAATATTAGATATGTTTATATATATTCAAAATAGATATGTTTATATATATTTAATTTTGAATTTAATTCTCCACTTTTTATAGTAAAAGATTATTATGATTTACATAAATATAGATAGTTGTTTTTTTGTGTTTTTGTTTTACTGTCATTAATTCTGTTTGGCAACTGGTTTTATTTTCATGAAATTTTTTTTTAAATAGGGTGCTGTTTGGCTTCAAGTTGTCCTTCCTAATTAATAGTATAGATTTGCATTATCGAGTCGATGTTAAAACGAGTGAATTAAGCTAAAAAATGTTTAGCATCACTTTTCTAAACGACTGCTATATACAACTCAAAGTTAAAAAGCAGTTTTTCTTACTAATCGACGTTATTTTAATCGTTTTATTGACTTTACAAAACACGAGAATACTCTACTTTTTATGATGTGCGATCAATATAGTTGTTTTGCTATTAATTAAACAAATAAACAATTATGTTATTCTATGGGTTATTTTTGTTTTTCGTTTAAATTAATGATAATGTAACTCTATTAAACTTTTTATCAATAATATTTTATCTCATTATGTTCTGAAATCTTTAGATTTTTCTTTTTTTTGTTACTCCTCTCAATCACAGTAACACATCAAACAACAAAACCAAACCAGTTAAGAAAACAAGTACATCTGTAGGGAAAAAAAAAAAAAAAGTACATCAGATTCAAGCTTCTAAGAAATTGCAACAACTTTATCTCTGAGAACTCGTTAAAATTTCTCTTCACCTGCCTTGAGAGAATTGTTTTCAATGTACTAACAAGTTTCAAAAATGAGTCGATAAAACTATCCCTGGGAACTCCTTGAACTTCCTCTTCACTGTCTTTAACGATGTTCATCAATGTAACCACATCTTCTTTGCCGCAGTTCTTGATCGCCTTAAGACAGGAGAAAAAAGGGACAAATAGAACAACGTAACATACATAAAAAAAAAAAAAAAAAAAATGTCAAACTAGATTAGTTTTTGCAGTTTTTAGATATTTGATTATTTTTCTTCTTGTTTGGTTTTAAAAAAGATAGCTACGTTAGGTATCTATTTTTAGCACATGCTAAAAAATTTCCAGTAGATGTGTATAAGTAAATATTGAACTAAACGTAGTAGATAAGGACCATCTGAATGTAATATGACGATGGCTTCGAGAGATTTGTCAGAAAATACTGAAAAATATAAATTATCATGGGATGGCTTCGAGAGATTTGTCCGAAAATATTGAAAAATCATGTAGCATTATCGGAATAAATCAAAAAAAGTATCAACGACTCAGAATCAGCTACACACGACCGAATTAAACGAATGTTGGACGTTCAGTTTTATGGCAGCATAAGCATTCGAATGCTTCCTCTGATTAATTTGTCGACAAACGATCCTATATATCTCTACGAACTCATCTTTGAAATTCATATTCACTGACATTAAAGAACTTGTTAGTGCTTTGAATATGATTAATGGCGCGCGTGACTAGCGTGAGTGAGCCTGTTTTTTTCTGTTACTAATTGACAAACTAATATAATTTAATTACTACGTACTATGTAAAAACCAAAATTAATCTACCGTTACAGGGACAGAGAGGAGTGACTTTAGATTTTGCCAACGGCTCATTTTCTATATTTTGAAAACAAAAACACAAAACACCAAAACCGTAACGTATGTTATTATTTTATTTGGCGTAATTTTTTTAAAAAAAATATCAAGTTCTAATGTTTAAAAAGACCGTGACCTGACCTTGACGTGACGAATCCTCGGGCCACTGATAATAGTTATGGAGGCCAAAACAAGCGAACCGAAGCAAAACCAGCCATCAACACCGGCATTATCAACGCGGCGGCCCAGAGTTAGAGAAGTATGTTCCAGATTCATGTCTCCGGTTACTTCTTCATCTTCTTCTTCCTTTTCCTCCGCCGGCGATCTCCACTTTTTCACCACTTCGAGTTCTCCTAAACACCACCGACGCTCTGTTTCTGCTCAAAGGCATATACGTCAGTTAAAAATGTCGGACGGAGACGAGAACCGCTCATCGGAGACGGCGGCGCGTAGCGCAGACTCGCCTTTTACACTCTCTCTGACCGGTAAAGCATCGAAAGTAAGCCACTTGAAGCCGCTCGAGGAGAATTCTTCTCACCGGCTCGAAACGCCTAGGCTGCCGGTCCTTCCTCCGCCGTCTAGATCACGGCTAAGCCAACAAAGATTGCTAACTGCTTCCGCTGCGACGAGGCTTCTCCAGTCAAGCGGCATATCGTCAGCCTCTAATGAGAAAGAAGGAATCATCAACGGTCAGGATAAATCTAAATCCAATGGCTCTGATCAGTTTCCGACGCTTTCTTGTAGAACAAGTCATCCTAAAGTCTTCAACACTTCTGTAACTTCTTCTTTTATCCGATCTGTGAGCTCACCGTTGTCGAGCTGTACCAGTCGTGAGAGCAGTTCGTTTTCGCGGATAGGCTTGACATTGCCTCCCGTGGCACCCAATTCGAAGGCTCCCGCCGATACTAAGAAACAGAGGAAGGCTTCAGTGCAATTGGAAGATGTACATTCTCTGAAAATACTCCACAATCGTTACCTCCAATGGAGATTTGCCAACGCCAATGCACAAGTGAAGACTCAATCTCAAAAATCTCAAACTGAGGTAAATTTTTTATCTCGAGTCTATGAAATGCCTATCATCTTAATCAAGTAAGCTTGTATCTATTTTGAGTATGTTTAAAAAATTTAATGGTATTTTGTTTATCTTCTTGTAGACCATGATCTATTCCTTTGGTTCGAAGATATCAGAATTACATGATTCTGTGCGAAGGAAACGCATAGAGCTTCAACGTTTATCAAGAATTAAAGCACTTCTTGCGATTACAGAATCTCAAGTAAGCTCATCAGAGATACCCTTAGCTTTCACATTGTTTTAATTTCGATATGAGACTAATGGGAATATGTTTCGTTCCATACATATGGAAACTCTAAAACAGACTCCATGTTTGGAGCAATGGGCTGCTATTGAACAAGAGTATTCAACGTCGTTGTCCCAAACCATCCAGGCTTTGTCTAATGCTTCATTACGGCTTCCACTTGATGAAGATATCATGGTATTATATATACACATCTATTGTTCAGTAATATCAATAACTAGTAAGAATCATCTGCACTGCATATATCACTAAGAGTTTGCTTGTGAAAACCCAGGTTGATGATTCTAAACAGTTGGGAGATGCACTTGTGGCTGCTTCAAAAATTATTGACGGCATTACACAAACTGTTGGAAAATATATCCCAAAGGTTAGTAGAATAGTATCAGTCTCAGGGTTTCAAGATTGTTTGTTTATGAAACGAGTATTAAGAATCAGATTTTTAAAAGTCCCTTTGTGATACAATTTTCAGGCAAAGGAGATGGAGAGTTTGGTGTCAGAATTAACAAGAGTGACTAGTAGAGAAAAATCATTGACAGAAGATTGCGGAGTGGCTCTCCTCAAAACACAAGCTTCACATGTATAAAACCTTTGTTTTACATATATACTAGTTTATGTTCCTTGTACAAGAGTTTATAAAAGAATATCTTCTATGCTCTGCAGATTGAAGAATGCTCTCTGAGAAGTCAACTTATCCAGCAAACACCAAAAGAAGATTACTCATCTACTAAGTGAACATGTACAACTCTTGTTCTGTTGGTAGAGAACTATAGTCGGATCAGTACCGCAGCATTAAAGTAGCGATGTATAGACGACTATGAAAGAAATTGATTAAGAATCTCAACTCTTGTATCTATTATTAGAATACAAGTCTGCAAAGGAAAGATAACAAAGTCATAACATTGATCAAGAGAAGAATCAGAAAACATGTACACCAGAGAAGAAATAATAAGACAGGACATGTATATTAATTAAGAGATGCATGGGAAAAGACAGTAAAGAAGAAAGAGAGAAAGTAATGAAAGGGGCTCATGGTTGCTTATTCAAAAGCCCATTGATTCTCCTTGCGAAGCTCTTCTTCCTCCTCGGGTGTAAAATCTCGATACCGAAAAGTGTGCGAATCTCTTCTGGATTTTTACCAGAGATCATGTCAGCAACTGCTTGGAGAGAAAGATCAAGCAGGTCTTTAATGTTTAGGTAATTAGCATAGCAGCCAATATAACATGAAAGAGAGTAGGTGTCTCCATCTCCTTCAAGAAGTCAGCGTCCCACTTGTTGAGTTCCTCTTTGCCTCGTCGGTTGAAGCGTCAGCACCGGCATGCTTCTTGCAGAACTCGATCACTTTCGCGAGTATGGCTCCTGTGACGTTTGCCAGAGGGATCTCGTTACCGACGCAATCGTCTTCAACCATATGTGCTATCGTCTGCGACTGGACTGCGGCTGCTTCCTCCATCTCGAATGACTCACCATCGGAACTCTTCAACATTATCTTCTTCGACATCGTTCCTTCGTTGTGGTGGCGATTGTTTGATGATGTCTAAAAGGATTGTGAGAGGTACTGCGATCAACGTAAAACGTGTATTTTTACTAGAGAGTCCTAATTGTGAGAGTCCGTCCGTGTAATTCTTAATTTTCAAAATATACTATATGGGACAGTTTGACTATGCCAAAATTATTAATTTAACCTAAAAAGTAAATTTCATCGTTAATAGAGGTAAAATTGGAATTTGGAACTAAAACAATGAAAAACAGTTGAAAAAAATTTTAAAAAATAGATATTTGTATACATATATAGATTTTCGTTATAGAAAGAAAATTATAGTAAAATATAAATCTGGTCAACTGGTCAAGTGATTTGTGTTATCAATAACCCGAAAAAGAAAGGAATTAAGTCGACTTTGAGTGAAGTAAACCAGTATAAACCGGATCCTAAATAAGATTAGAAATTTACTTTGACATTCATCTAACGAAGTGACTTCAATGGCTTCCGAGGTTAAATAGTCATGTGACTTTCCTCTTCATGTAGTCAGTCAACTTACGCTAATGTACAAAACCATATCTATCATCACTCCTATATCGAACCCACCACATTGTATTTTTACTTGTTAAGTAATTTAGACTTGAGTTCTTATAAAACTGTAGAGTTGTTTAGAGGAGGTTATGCACCGAATCAGTTTGATGAGATAATCTCATAAGCATAACACATTCATTCTTAAAAGATGAAATGAATAGTCAAACCACTGTTTTTCGGGAAACTTTGCAAAATATAACTTTTCACACCTTGTATTTGTTAATGTTACATCGGTTTGGTTATGACACAGGTTTATAAACCAAAATAACCGGAGTTGAATATCGAAAATGAAGTGTCGTGTACTCTGTTTCGGATTAAAAAAACCCAGTTTACAGAAAGAAAAAACTTGAGCATTTACATATATTCAAGAATTGTTTGAGAAACTAAAGACTTTATTGACAACATGGATCGATCTTGAGATTTGGTTTACTTATATGAATACCAAACAAAAGATCGTCTCTATAGCAAGACAACACACATGAAGAAAACACACTCAGAAGAGATAGACGAAGTCATCATCATCTACATGACTACATTGCATGAATTAAAACTGCAAAAAAAGAAGGATCGATATAGACGAACTCAGTGATTCAGCTAACATTGATGCAGATCATTCGAAAGCCCATTGATTCTCGCTGCGAATCTGAGCTTCTTCCTCGTCTGTGAGATCTTTGGCGATGTTGAACTGTGCGCGGAGCTGTTCTGGAGTTTTGCCTAGTGAGAGCAGATCAGCGACGGTTTGAGCTGTGAGATCAAGAAGGCTTTCGATGTTGAGATAATTCGCAGCCATCATAACATCAAAGAGAATGGGATGTTTGATCTTCTTCATGAACTCAGCGTCCCACTTCTTGAGATCTTCTTCTTTGCTCTTTTCGTCCCCCGTCGAAGAATCAGCCACGTGCTCCTTGCAGTACTCGATCACCATCTCCAGGATCTTGCTTGTGACGTTCGCAAGAGGGATTACATCCCCCGCGCAATCGTCTTCAACCATGTTCCCTATCGTCTTTGATTGGATTGCGATCGCTTCCTCGACCTCGAACGATACACCGTCGGAGCTCTTCAACTTGATCGTCTTCGTCGACATCGTTGGACGTGGGTTTTATCTGGAAGCAGTTTGATCAGAGAAGAAGATTCAAGAATCGAGAGAGCGATTCAAGAATCGAGAGAGCGATTCAAGAGAAATGTCAAGTACTGTAACTAACTTATGAAGCCATGCGCCACTCTGTATTTATAAGCCCTCATCAGAGGCAGAGTCGGTGCTGAACCGGGTCTATTTTACATTTCGCCCAATTTTGTAGGTTCGGTTCCGCCCTTAACTTGAACCGGGTTAATATATTGACTAATCCTTGCAACAAACAGTTCGATAAGCAAGAATGATAATGTGTATGTATGGCAATGTTATATTTGGGATCTGTTATCAAAGAGAAAAAGAACATGTAACAACAACATAAATATGCAAAAACGTAGCTACATATTCGTGGTTTGCCATCAAAATAAGCTACATACAAACAATCTTGTAAAGATGGTGATTAGATGAATAATAAAAGTTACATAAAAAATACACTTGTTCGTAGATCTCACAACAACACATCTTCGATTAACAAGATTCCTCTTCAATCTGCACAAGGGTTTTTACTAGCTTGTTCCATATGCAAGTAACTCCCACCTGAACGGCTGAAAGACATACAGCACTTCCGGGCAACTCTTGAACAAAAGTGCAACACAAACGCAAACAGCTGCTATCGCTACCATCGATAGCATTGCTGGCCTGTAAGCAACAGACCTTTGTTGTGTTCTGACAAACACACGTTTGCAATCACAGAGCTTACATTGCTTGATCTGAGTTATCTTCAAGCTTGAAGAATCCACTAGACTCCTCTTTTCTTCTTTGTGTTCAATGCTGAAAGACTCTGCAATGTTGACCACCACATGTTCTTTCGCCGTTGGTTTCGCATTGAGTTTCCGTTGCACGAGATGAATATATGAGAAGTGACCTCGTAAACGTGCATAGTCTTCTGGTGTGAATCCGGTATTGTCCCGGGATTTCTTCCATGCTTGAGTACCAATCTGAACCAAAAAACGAAGATTATCTTTATCAGACAAATATAGATTTTGAGTATACAGAAGTTATAGAGGGAAATCAGATTCAAATTTACCATTCCGGGATCGTCAGTAAGAGCATCCAACACATCTTCTGACCCGTCTTTACCAGCTGCAATGTGAAGCGGTGTTAAACCGGCTGGACCAGCTGCATCTGGTCTAAATAAACTGGATAATGTCAGGTTCTTCTTCTTGGGAATGAATCTAAGAAGCATCTCAACCATGGGTTTTGAATTTTTCCTCACGGCTCTGTGAAGAAGACACAGTTCTAATAATGCAGCATCAGGTGATAGATCAACCGTTCCTTCTTCAAGGAGTATATTCAATAGCTTTTTGATCACAGCACACCATTCCCGGTCCATTGAGAACTCGATTAGAAACTTAAACCGTATTAAAGGGAATAGATCTTCGGGATTATGATCTGATTCTGCAAATCTTGAATTGAGTTCACTTCTGTGAAGAAGCCAACCGAGTTCGTGGATGAAATCCATTGCTTGCATTGCAGAATCAGTTCCAGTAAACTCTATTGTGCTTTCAAGTCTTCGGATTTCAGAACAAACATCTTCGTCCTCAGATACTATGAAAGGGAAGAAACTGCTGCTTATCCCACCTTGGTCTTCAATCTAGATTATTGCCAAGCAAAATTTCGCGTTTATATCTCAAAGCAACAAGAGTAAAAGCAAAGCACAAAACTGAAAGTACACTCACTTCCATGAAACCTCGACCACTTGTGATAGGAATCTCACAAGAAAATTTGACAATATCAGTCTCATGATTCTCCTGAACATCATCACTCTCTTCCATCACTCCTTGTGTTGCTTCCTGAACCAAGTATTTTCCTTCCACAGCACAAAGTACCCTGTAAAAATGGCTATTAGAATCAGAGGAAAAGATGGAAAGGGTCAAGCTTTGAAGAGTGTATAATATATATATATATACCTTGTGCCAGGTCGATGAAGACTGATCCCTTTTACTGTAAATTGAGCTTTCCTTGTTACAGCAAGCGGTCTAACAGTAATGATTTGGCTATAATCATGGCTTCTTAGAGGTAAAGATGTGTCCAGAACAACCTGACCTGTATCAGGAAAGAAGAAGATACTCAGATCTCAAGAAAAGATATGGACACTTTAACATAGATCCAAAGATTCTTAAAATTGACCATTAAACGCAAATGCAAGTTGGTTTTGCACCCTAAGATAAATCCACCCATCAGTCCATAAAGGATCATCTGAAAGATCTAGAAGCCTCTTCAAGCTGAAACTCAGATCACAACAAAGCTGCCAGAAAAAAAGAAACGAAAGTTGATTCAATGAGACAGATAATAATCTGGAAACAATAAAGAAAGAGGAGTGAAAATGATTGTTACTTCTTCCCAAGAAGCTTCATCTTGACGAAGATAAACGGTCAAAACGACACAACCAGGTCTAATGTAGCTCTCCATGTCAGTTGGAGTATGAGCTAACCAGTCAAGGATCTGAAACTTTAAATATTAGAACAGAACAGTGTCACTTTCCAAATCACAACAAACTGAAGAAATTATATTTACCTGTCCCCGTAAGGCAACTGGAAAATCATTAGGCTCTTTCCCAAATAGTTTGAACACAATACGATCGGTATGGCTCTGAATATGCAACCAAAACAAAACAAGCTATGTTACAGTGAATTATAAGAAACCAAAAATGAATGGATGAAAGGTGAGATTTGTACCTGAGGATCTCTACTGGAACTTGAAGGTGATTGGTCAGAAGCTGAATCTGAGTGCGTACTAGTCTGGGGTGGACTAGAATGACGCGAGTCGTGGTGATAATCAAGAAAACTGGTTGCTGGATTGGTGGGAGGAGGTGATGATCTCTCTATATCTGTAGTATTATCCGAGTCTATATATATATCATTCAAATCAAAATCATTCACTTTGACTTGTTTTTCAGACCTATCCGGGACAGCTCTTTCTTGAGAACCACTGGCATACACTTCTTGCCAAGGCGTTCCAAACACATTTGAATGATGCTTTATATCTTCTTGAGGAGCGTGTCCAAGTGAAAGCAAAGCTTGAGAAGCCTGAAGTCCTCCTCCACCCTGCATAAGCCCAACTAAATTCTTCACTACATGTTCACCAGCTTGGCTTACAAGGCTCTTTAGAAGATGAGACAGCAGATCCTGATCACCTGCTTGGTCTGATTGATTCGCTGCAAACCGAAGACAGGACTGAAGTAAGCCCTTTTAGGACTAAAATTTGGATGTCCAGATAAAACTTTCACGAACAACTTACAATGTATATTGGAGAGTATCTTCAAAAGAGTTATCAACAAATAGTTGCTTGTTTGATCATTACTAGTAGGAGTACCGTCGCCTATAGCAGCAGGATTTGTTTTCCTTCTACGCTTATTATGCCCAGCCAAACGTCTGCGGCAACTTCTCTTTCCTTCATCAAACTCCTCAAGCACATGAAACCTGCATACAAGAGCAATTTCTCTCTACTGAATCAACCAAATTTAGTTACCGACACTGAAACATAAAAGAAGACCCAATACTAAAGTTGAGTCCTTTTCTAAACTTTACCTGCTACATTGCTGACAAAACCGCTGCATAACTCCTCCAACAGGTGCACTAGTAGCTTTAGAATGCATCTCACAAACCTTATGACGTCTATGGTAATCCTTCACTTTGCTTAAATCAGCTCCACAATTCTCTACTTGACAACGAATCGCTCGGCTCTGTAATCCTCCTCCAAGCTTGGTCTTTTTGGCACCATTGCCCTCAATATCACCACAATTTCCACCACCAAGATTCAAAGAAAGCTTAGGGGCATCATCATCATCCCTCAAGTTCCCTTCTTCCGTTGCTGTCACAGTAACAACAGCTCTTCTTTTATTCTTCGCCGTGATATCAACATTTGCTTCATCAGAGCACGCCGAGGAGCTGTTGGACGAACCGTGGTTCAACTGTCTAGCTACAAACAGATCACCATCCCATTTCCAATCATTCAAATCCCACTCCACATTCCTTTTACCACTAAAACCAAATAAACCGTGACCATCTTCTCCACCTTCAGTTCTAGCTTCCATCGCAAACCCCAATTTTACAAGCGCAGAGAAGAAAGTGAAAAAAAATTCAGAAATCAAAAGAGAAGCCAATTCATATCCGATGGATCAGAGCTCGAATAAAGGACTCAGACACGTGCCTTTGTCCAAAATCAAGTCCCTTTCTCCATCGGATGAAACCTAATTCCTCTTTTTTTTTATTTTTCCAATCAGACAAAAACTGACCTATAACTAACTAAAAACGTATCTCAACAGCTGGCAAAAACCTGGAATCAGACAAAGAACTGTCACCGGAGAGAAACAAAGACTTCAGCCGGGTAACGGTAAAGGAAGATGAAGTGAACGGAGAAATAGAAACATTTATTTTTTATAAAGGATATGGTTTTACTTGTATGAACTTACACGGTGGTAGTAGTACAAGAAGAAAATTGTTAGATGTAAAGCATCTTCTTCATTTCGACAGAGAGAGAGAGAGAGAGAAACTGAGAAGAAGAAGAAACACTTTTCTATCTTTTTTATTTTTTAGTTTATTTTTATACAATTTTCTCTTTATTTTAAGGAAAATTTATATATAAAAAAAAGGATAATATGGTGGGAACCACTTTGCCATAAGCCCATACTTCGTGTCTCACTCGGTCTCGCCAGTTCAAAAAAAAAAAAAAAAAAACTTAGATAATCGTGTGTTTCGCGGAACATATGTGTTTTGGGTGCACTCTTTCGTAGTGAGAATTTAGCTACAGTGGGATGAGAATCTCATCATGAGATGTACGTATCTCTTTAAAAGTCAGTTCTTCTGATTTAACTGAGTGAATTGGCAATATTCGTTAGCTGACACGAAACCTACTTTTGGAGATTGCACGAACTGCTAATTAATTTCTCCATCCATATATGGTTTTTAGCCGTATATATTACCGTACACATGCATACTCCCTAGTTCGTATATATGACAAAACCAATACTGCATTAATGTATGACAAGATTATACTGAAACACAAAAAAGATCGGAGATTTGACAAAAAAATAAAAAAGAGGCTTATGACAAAATAACTGAAATTTATATTATATCAATATATAAAATAGAGTTGCACTATCATTAAAAATCTCTATTAATTATAGAAAGAAAGAGAAAAAAAACTAGCTAGCATTATGTTAGACCTGTGTTCGGTCTTTGGTACAACAATACCAAACATAAAACAAGATGAGAACGCCAATACTCGCGACAATGCCGACTGTTATTATTATGGCTACTTGCATTGTCATCCCAAGACTCATCGCAAGAGCCCAACAAATTATTTTATTTGTTCCCCTCTTAACTTTTTCTCCTATATATATCGTCTTCTTCTTTCAAACAATCTCTTGATCTCCTAAGTAATCAAAGTTAACATAAACAAAAAAAGTTAGATTTACAAAATAAAAAAAACGAAGAAGACAAGTTAACATAACAATACGATACATAATATATGACTCTTTGATGTGCAGTCATTTTAGGATATAATATATACATATAGATATCTTTCCTTTTTGATGGATTATATATATACTCCCCCGAATTCTATTAAAATAATACTGAGAATGCAAATGAAACTATCAAACTTTGAAGTTGTGAAATCGTTACATAATTTAATGCCTCTGCATAACCTAGCCACTGCGTACGTGCCATAACTGTTTGATCAACAAATACCACTACGAAGAGATTTCAATATGATGCCTTCGAATCTTATTATGATTATATATATATATCACTTCTAAACATGAAAGTTTATAATCATAAAAAAGTATGGATGGATGGGTAACTACAATACTACTACTTCATCTCAAATTATTGTAACATTCTTTATTAAGTGCTGGACGAGGAGACACACATCTAGAGGAAAACTTCTTTCGGGAACTACATATTATTCTTGCGCATAATTGGATTGGATTCGCTTTATTTGGTTTTGGACCTTTGGTGTGTTGCTAATTATTTGCCAAACAATGGAACGAACACACGTCCTATATTATTGAGTTGCTAATATTATTATTTTCTGTTTTATGTTAACTCTGGAAAAAGTCATTAAATTATTTGTCGGATGAATCGATTCATACTGATACATTTGACAAATACGAACTAGTGACAATATTATACTGCGAACGGAGAAACAAAATGTCGGAAATTTCAACTTATGAAAATATGAAATATCATTTAAATGTAAATAATAATAGGGTTACAATTATATCATGAAACCTAAAAGATAATATATAAAAACTTCATTTTAAATAGCGAAATAACTAGATTGATATGCTGTCGTATATAGGCTACATACTAAAACTAATTGGTAATTCATTAAAAATAAGAAATAGGTGAATACATGATAAAAGTTACGCAGTTGGGGTTTCAGCCTGTGTTCTGTTACCAAGAAACTTAGAACATAGACTAGCCACTATCAAGATGATAATAAAAACAACGAATGCAGCTGAGCAGACAATTTGGAATGTTCCAAAAACCATATTGTTTCTTCAACACACCAAAACTTGCTGTCTCTGTATATATCTTTTTCTTGTGTCTTCGTCTTTTTAACAAGATTACTTTGTATAAAACGAGCAATGGCATGTATACATATATATACAAGGTCTAGTTGCCTAATCTCCACATTCTGGCAATCAAAATTAATATAACGGAAAAGTTAACATTACATAATTGAAAAAGAAAAGAAAAGAAATTTAGCATAACAATAAGAAGGAAATATACAATTCTGTGATGGCGGAGGCGCCGTCAATCATTAGAGATATTTATAGAGCTTTTTCTCTCTTTTTTGATAGATTATACATTAATATACCCGCCTGAATCCTTATTAAACCCTAAATCATTGTGATTTTCAGAATGCAAATGAAATTTTTTATTTTTTTGTAAGCTGTAAATCGTTACAAAGTTATTACGTACGTGCGTATTGTTTGATCAACAAATACGCACTACACAAAAGATTTCAAGTTGAGGATCTTTTTTTTCTCCTTTTTTTGTCAGCCAAGTTTGGGATCTCGTATTATAAGATTACATAAACATGAATAAATAATGTTATCTAATAAAATAAATGAAATAATAATAATAATAATAATAATAATAATGTGTCTAATAAATAGTGAGGATTAATAATCGGATCGGATATCCACATTGTGCTAATAATATGACACTGAATTAAAAAGGTCTCGCAGAATTATTTATATCAATGATTTCTAAAACGTTTTAGATGATAGTGACCCATCCGAAACTGAAGTTTGGCTTCATCTTCTTTTTTTTTTTTTTTTTTTGTGGTGAGTGTCTTAGGCAATTTTACGTAGATGTGTAGCAGCACTAGAATTTTTCAACGTTTGTTGTATTTTTGCAATTTAGTGTAGTCATTTTTTATGTGTTTAATTTTTGTTTGTTTTGTCTAAAATTATAAGTGTTATTTTTATTTATTTCTTCTATTTATTAATGTATTTCGTTCATCAAGCGATTGTTTGATGTGGTTTCTAGCAGTTCAAGAATTTTGTGTGTTTCCACTAGCGATCGTCTGGTCTTTAGCGATTATGAGTGTTTTGTATGTATTCGTCGAATGACTGTTTGTCCACACTTAGTTAATTTTTGTGTGTTTCGTTGAGCGATCGTTTCGTACTTTTGTGCAAGTCGTTTCTCCGCGCACACACACTTACACTATCTATTATGTACATGTATCAGTTCACGCGACTTATACAGGCTATATATATATATATATATATATATATATCTATTATGCATGTGACACTTTCATATATATTCTCATACGGAGAAAAATATATATTTCATTACATACATAGTCCGTTTAACTTCAATAGCTTGTCCAAGCATTATATGGGAAACTCTCGGACGAACACAGTCACTTGCACCCTCTGCATAACAAAATCAAAATCATTCTCTTCATTACATTGCAAAATTGAATAAAAGATCTCTAATTTTCTTACCTCCAAAACAAGAAACGGCATTGAGTTCGCGTTTCAGCCCCTCCTGCGATCCAAGAAGAAGAGCCACTAATTTTCTTACCTCCAAATCATTACTAATTAACGTGTTTGATAAAATTTTTGCCACCGTTTTAATCTTTAGTGATGTTCTGTAAATTTAGAAATTTTGCCATTGTTGTTGATTTGAACAAAACCTGTGGAGAGAGAGATTGTAGCACCCTTCTTTTTCTATTTTAAGCCATCGTCTGTTTACTTTACATTAAATAAAAATAAGATAGCCGTTACAAACATTTTTTTAAAAGCCTAAATATTAAATAATCAAGAACTATAAATGTTAAAATATTTGGTCGTAGTCTGTGGAAATCCCAGTAAGTAAAAGTTCGTGAATGTTATTTTTTTTTAAACCTGATTGGCATGTGGATATTATTTCTAATTGTGTAATTGGAAACTGAAATTTTATTAGAAAAATAAAATAAAATGGGAAACTATGGGAAGAAAATAATGATGAGTTTTTTTGTTGTTGTTGTCACCCTATCTATCTTGATAACTTAGATGGATTTAAGAGCTTGCTTATTGAGTTGCTTAAGCCTCAGTTCAATCTGTTTCTTTCGTTGACCTGAATGGTTGAGTTTCTGAGACATTGGTTCCGTTCCACTATATTCGGTGCCGTAACGATCACTATCAACACAACCAGACGAAATCTAACCATCACTATCAACACAGCCAGATGAAATCTAACCATCCATATATTGGCCAAATATTCATTCAAAAAATTTGGCCAAAGAACATATTACAATGACTAATGGCGACTTTTTGGCCGAATGGCGACTTTCTTGAAGATATTAGCTTATATTTGGTGCTTTTTGTTTTTGGTATTTTAGCTAATATTTAATTAAGATATGGAGTATGCTTTAGGGGGTGCATACTCAAAAAATGGAAGTATATTATTGATATTGGAAAGTTGATTAGCTCATTTACACTAATTTAGTTACTATGATGTATTGAAATATGCGTGCAATTATGACATTAGTATGCATATATATAATACAGTAAAGATTACATATTTTGGGGGATTTAGCTCGTCTTGATCGAGAGCAAAAGGTAAGACGAACAGTTTTGAGAATAAAGAAGAATACGAAGTAAATCGCAGTCTTGCGAGCAGAGCAAAGCCGGTTTACAAGAAAAGTACAACGCAATTGTCAAATGAATGACACAAACAATTGTATATATCTTAATTACCACACGAGATTGACCAGCTACAAACGGAAAAGAACAGGTTAGATGTATTGGTGTGGTCAAATTTATTTTCAAGTTTGTGTTTGATCAGTGAAGAATCGACTTTGTTTTAGGTGTAAACCGAGTTTAGAATCGTAACCTTAGCAATATGTGTATTGCTTGCACATCAAGATTGATCTCACATTGTGGGGTCTCTTTACGTTAAAAAAATAAAATAAAACTTCAAAAATGTGAGACCATATAATTTTCATTTATTATTACTTTGATTGGAAAGCTCGAAATTGTTTTGATTGAGAGTTTTCATAAACATTTATACGGTAAAACCTCTATAAATTAATAATGTTGAGACCGCAAGATTTTATTAATTTATGTCCCAACATTATTAATTTATAGTGATATTAATTTATCTTTTTTTTTTCTTCTGGGACTCGCGGTGAAGCGAGAACCCTCCAAAAATAGGCGTATGCCACCTAGCGTGGAGAGCACACGGTATTCTTTAGTAAAAGGCGAAAGAATAGTTCGCTTTGTGCTCACCACATGGCTGCGTATATTAATTTATTTATAAATTAATAAATTAATAAATAGTGTAAATTAATTTATAGTAGTATTTTTAACTCTTAAAGTTTTTTGAAAATATGAATTGGGACAATTTTACAAAACAAGAATAGTCTTTAAGATTATATAATTTTTCTAGTTTAGAATTGAATTCTATATTTATAAAAAAAATAACAATGAATTCTAAATATTATAAATAAATCCACATCTATACAAAGTAAATACATAAGTTCAAATTTATTATTAATACCTCAATTGTTATCTTTTACCATCCTATAAAACAAACAAAAAATTAATATGATGCATATTTATAATTAGAAAAAATTTAAAAAAAATGTTTATTTTATGATGTTAAGGAATATATTATAATATTATAGTTTAAAAATATAACATAATTTTTTATAGAGATGAGGTCTAGGAGAAATTCATTTTAGAAAAAAACTAAAAGCATATTTCAACATAACTACTTATATCACATATATATATATATGTATATACATAGTGATTATTAATTTATGATATTATTGAGACTATATTTACATAGGGATTTCAAAAAAAATTATTATCTTATTATCTTATCGAAAATTTATTATTGGCCCGACTTGGGACTAGAAAAATTTATTAATTTATGGGGGAATTTCAAAAATACCCCTTTTCTAATACCACTTTTTAAAAATACCACTCTTTCTAATTTTATCAAAAAGTCACAATAAAAATTGAAATTTATCAAAAAATATGTATAAACTTATATTTATAGACACAAATTATATTTACATGTGTGTAAATTTATATATATATTTCATAAGTACCGTACAAATACTTTTTAAAAATCATATAAAAAGCTTATAAAAACTGTGTAAACCTTTTAAAAACCTTATAAAAACCATATAAATGCCGTTTAGAACCTTTTAAAACCTTCTAAATATTTGGATTTAGTCTCCCTGTAGTAATGATGATCTTGATGTGCCTTATCAACCATATAAAAGTTTATAATTTTTCATATTTGAAAAATTAAAAATAAATAGAAAAGAGAGGTATTTTTAAAAAGGGGTATACCAAAAAAGTTATTTATCAAAAATTCTCTTTATTTATAGTGTTTATTCATTTATAGTGTATTAATTTATAGAGGTTTTACTGTATATATATTGTATGTTGTTGACATGCATATAGGCCGGCCTAACGATTCCTTTACCACCTGACCACCATACAGCTATTTTCATTGGGTCAACAATAACAATTCAGAGGTATATAATATATATCTTTGGTCTTAAATTAATTCAACAGTTATTAATGGGTTACTACCATATACAAAATTAATAACAAAAGGCCATAAATAATCAAATTTGTTTGACTTTTTAATAAAACTATTGGCAATTTTTTTTTTTAATTTAAATTACCGCCGTAATGAAGGTCTGATTCTGATAGCGACTGGGACACACGCGCTAGATCTTAATATTTTTGTGTTATAAAAAAAGGGACATAGATTGAAAAAGTATAATGTTATAAAAAAAGGGATCCCAATATTTTTACCCCCAAAATCAAGAAACCGTTACAAATTCCGCCTGATAAACTCAAATACTCCACTCAATCGCCGCTTACACTCCGGCGACGCTCGTTCGATCTCCGTCGTTCTCTGATCGGACAAGAGGAAGAAGCGGCCTACTCTTAACTCGTTCCGCATCCATCACCGCCTAAACTCCGGCGAATCTCGGTAGATCTCGAAACCCTACTCGCTCTGTCTCATGTTTTTCTCTCGGTGTTGGGTTTGTCTTTTTTTTTTTTGTGTTTACATTTGATCGCTCTTGTCAGTTTTCGAGAGATTCTCTTCGACAAGAAGCTTTATCACGTCTTAATCGGAAAATTTCAGGATTGTTGGTTGTTTTGTAAGAGGATTTAGGGTATTTTAGCAAAAAAGTAGAAGAAGAGGATTTAGGGTAGAATTGTGGAATCCTTGAATCTCGCGATCGTTGAGGATATATATATATAACAGATTGTTTTTCCTTGGTTCAGTTTTCAAGAATTTTCATCAAATCTTTCGTTTTTTGTTGTTGTTTCCCATAGGAAAACAATGGAACAAGAGACCGTTATAGTCGCCCCTACGCGATACCAATCACAATGTCATATGTGGGACTGCGGCCGAACCTCATCAGGCTTATATTGCAGTTTTGGACATGGATTCCGTTCCCACACTGAAGAAGCGAAACCCCGAGCAGCTGTCTATGTTGATTTTCTAAGCGTGGAAAAAGAAGCATCACTGAGCTTGAAGATTCTGAATACCAAGTCCCAGAGTCTAGGCTGCGGTGTCCCTAAGTTGGCTTCAGTGGTTTTACAAGGAAACCCGTCTGCATCTCCCCATATCTTTAATTTCCAACGCATGGGGGATGAGGCACTGCGAAACTGGGCCTTCATCTCAGATACAGTCCCCCCACCAGGCATTTGGGCAAGATACAACACTACGACTGTCTTGGGTATGGAAAGGGTTTCTTGGCAATTGAAGCCCCCACCAACAGTTGGTTGGTACAGGCTTCGCCGTTACACGCTTCCAAGTGATGCTTATTCATTGTATTGGCTGTACTATGAATGGACCAAAGGAAAAAAGACAACTGGAAACACTGCCTCTGTCTCTATACCACAGACTCAAAACAAAGGTCCCCCGAATCCTGGTGGTGGTGGTCCATTTGGCGCAAGTACATCTGCGTATATGAGTCTCAAAGCAAGTTACGGTGCAAGTACATCTGGCTCTTGTAACAAGACCGTCATGAGTGACAAAGGAACTGAGGCACAGGTAATTCCTTTGAACCAGTGCAGCCTCCTATGGTTCTGATTTCTTTGTCATTTACATTGGGGAAACTATAATGTTATTGCTGAGTTCTAATGATACTGTCAAAATTATCTTGCAGCTTCGTGGTTTTATGCCCTTGTCACTTAATCACTCTGTCCCCTCGTCCCTTTTAATCCTTTCTAGGTTGGCTCCAGACTACATCTTTTCTCTTTACCTCGTTCTTTTCTTCCTCGGTTTCATGCGAGTAAATTTCTGATAGCAGCTAATATACAGGGCACTAATAGCTTCTGGAAGAATCAACGCAGTGGATGCTGTCCGAGCTACTCTTTCTTCTATTGCTTGGGATACTGTTGGCATTACTTCTCTGCCATCTGAAGACTCTGTTTCTGAGCTTAGAAGGAAGTTATGGTACCTTGGGACACAAGACGAGTCGATAATGGTCTGTGCACAAGCCACTTGATTGTGTTGTACTATGCTTGTTTGACGAAGTTAGTGAGCTCAAATTTTCCATGTTTCATATTGATACATGTGTAGGGAGATGAAGAAGACCTGGCAAGGATTAATAAGAGCGTTATAAGTGGTGAAGAGGATAAGCTGCTGCAAGAGATGACCACATTAACGGCCAGCAAAGCACAAGAACATGCTAGAACTAGAATTCTTGACCAGCAAGATGATCTTTGCAAGCTTAGCTGTGCATTGGCCCTTTTAGCTTCCACTTCTGTAAGAAAAATGCGTCTTCTATTTTGCAACTATGAACATGCAGAGCTGTTTCATCCAGTACGTATTTGAGTGAGAGTCTGTTTCTATCTTTTTTTTATATACAGTCGGAGCGTAGAGAGCAAGGAGAACTATTGAGGCTGCTCAGGAAAGAGGTACAGGGTCCACAAAAGCATAATAAGCTCATGCCAAGAAGTAGTTTGCTTGATCAGCATTTTCTGTCTTAGATTTAAAAGACATTGTTTTTCTGTTGCTCCAGGTGGAGTTCTATTACACAATGGTCGAAAAAGCTGCGGAAGCAGACGAGGTTTCCTATGCGCTAATGGAGAAGGTAAAAAAGACTTTTTTTGTTTTTGTTTTTAAATGGTTCTTGAAGAATATCAAAGTCCCTTGATATTTATACCAGAGCTAACTTTACAAGCATACTTCTGTAAGGTTGATGGTTTGCTGCAAAACTTCGAGAAGGAATTATTTGGGGTGGATGTCAATATTGGCAAGGGCTGTCAGCATCTTGACAGGTATTTGTTCTCCAATATTCTTTTTGGTGGTCTGAAGCTTGAGTTTCTAAAATTGTGATGACGTTTGAGTGCACACAGGGATGGTTGCGACAATGCATTTGAAGGACACAGTCGCTCATGAAACAGACCAACAGCAAAACTAATGAAAAAGGACACACTCGCTAAAGAAAAAACTAATCAGTAGTCTCTTACCTTACTTTGAGTCGTACTATCGTTAGCTTAGCTTTTAAAGACATTTTTGAGATAAAACTAACATTACGCCAAGAAATATTTGGCTATATTGATTGTATTGTATCGTCTATATCGTCAATTTGTTAACAGTGTTGCCTTTTTTTTATCAAAAGGGCAATATGTTAATAGTGTTGCCTCTTTATCAAAAGAGTTTACCTAATCCACTGGCGTATATCGTATCAAAGATTTGGCTACATTTCCTTCTCCTCTCTCTCTCTCTCTCTCTTTTTATTTTTTTTCAATTCAACAACAACCTCTTCTCTTCCTATTTAATAACTTATACCTATTGCAAAGATGGACGGATTGGATAAACCTCACGTAAACTACGCTAGTTATGCAAGACGGTTCTTGAGTACTAAGCTCGAATTAAAGGGAGTTTCCGGATTGATTTGGAAAATCATGCATAGTGCTCATGACTTGCCAGAGCTGGACGAGTCTTGCTGATACAGTAACAATTATGACCCAAAGGTACATATGCAACTTTCGGATGCTTAGACAGATTGGGTGTTTACCTGCTTATTGTAGTGCTTATTGCAGTGGTTGCTTAAATCTACAATTACCCGTCTGTGCTAAATTATAGGTTCATCAAATGATACTGCGCATAATATTACTTTTTATCAGCTGTTCCACATTCAGAACAAGAGCTGAGAAAATGGAGAGATGGAGAGTGTCAGAGTGGTGATAATGGAGTGAACAGAAAAGAAAATTCATGTAAGAAACTAAATGGTCGAAGGAGAAAGAAGTCGAGTCTCATACAGAACATAAACAATCCCAACCAACAAGGTAATCCTGTAAATAAAAAGATAATTTTCACGCTCTTGACGAAGAAGTCACATAAGTGAGTTAGCCACTCTGAAATCGCATTTTCCTAGAAGTGAAATTCCATGAAGCATCGCTATAAACCCTTTTGGTATGCAAACTTATGCCATCATCTACCACAGCTTCTGCATTACATTTCTTCCCTAGAAAACTCTTCTCCAACTGTTCAAACTCTTCATTAGTTCCTCCATAATTCAGAACATGCAATGCCTTCACTTGGTTCGAAGGCATGGAGACATCCCATGTGTAGCCTTTCAGATCCTAAAGAAGCATCAATCAAAAAGATGTATGTAAATGATCAACCCACTAAGTTCGTGTATATGTATTTCTTCATAGGTTTCGCTTGTTAAAGTATACCTGGATGATTAAAGTTTCAAGCTTTGGAGACTGCTTAAGCATATTTGCCAGCAATTTCCAACCTCGTTTATTCTTACTCCCAAAAGATAAATTAATCAGATTGCTGAATACCGGTAAAATTAGCCCACGTTTACAGCATGAACAGATCACCTGAAATACACAATCACAGTGTTATAATGTCCAAGAGTTTTTAAACGATAGAAAGAAATTGGCTAACTTACATCAACCGAAGAGGGAGATAGATGAAGGATCTCAACATTTCTTATCCCCATAATGAGATTAGTTACATCCGGCCTCTCCAAATTTCCAGCCCGAAAAAGATCCAGCTTAGCTTCAACAAGGGATTCCAAGTTAACTTGTGGATACTCATACAAGGAGAAATCAGAGTAGTCGAGGTACTCTAGGTTTGGCAGGTCAAATGACAGTTCGCTCTCGCTATGAAGGTTGTAGTCAACTGATAGTCTTTTGACCGTTGGACTCGATATTGTGTGAGGGATAGCTTGGTCATGGTGATGGACTGATAATTCCTCGAGCACCGGGCAACCAGCAAGAAGCACAAAACACAAATCTTCATATTCGAAGAAAACTGTATCGATGAAGAGAATCTTAAGAGATGGAAGTGACACATATGAAGGAAGCTTTCCAAGGTAGAGCTCTGTTCCTAGTGTCAACTTAACCAGTGTCTTGGTTGCGAAGAGCTGAGGAGGTAGAAAATGTATACCCCGATCTTTTATCCCTAGGTCCAATTCAAAAATACCGCGTCCTACAACATTGGATATCCATCGTCCCACACAAGCCTTTTGGCCTTCATTTTCCGCGCCAACGTGGCATTTTAGTGAGAATTTCTTGATCGAATAATCACACTGCAAAGCCAATGTTCGATCCACAATATATTTGAAGCTATCTGGAAACACATAACTTGTTTGTTCACCATCTTCCGCAAGCAGCGAGACGGAATCATCAAAATCAAGACTATCCACCAATCTATACATATAACTCCACTTTTTGGAGAGAACAGATGTTGATACAGCCTGTTTTGTCGGCAGCAAGGACAAAATTTTGCCCAAAACTTCGTGTGGGAGCCCGCTGATTGTATCTCCCGAGCAGGTTTTGGTATCCATAGAGATTAACAGTGCCTGAAACATAGAGTGATTCAACAATGCACCAACCAAAAAGATCAGATATTTCTATAAGTTAGAAGAATCTCAAATTTGCGCCAATGGAGATCACAAGTAGATAAATTTCAGCAACCAACTAAAAAAATGTCAGAGAGGGCCAAGAAACTAAAGGGTCAAGCTTTTTCGTTTTTTTTGAATTGAAAAACATAAAAAAATTCGAGCTAGAGTGACCAAAGGGAACAATATGCCACCACAAAGCAATAAGTGCTCAGTATATTATATCCATACCCGTACGGAAGCTCAAAAGAACACACACTTGCTGTTTGAGAAGAACCAGAGGGACCTTAATCACAAAAAGAACCACGGAGAACAAACGTCACTTTCCACAGTTACAGTGTATTACGAACTACGAAGGTCGACATAGAAAGAAAAAACCAAAAAAAAAGACCGCTTTTTTTTTTTTTTTAATGAATTTGTTGTGCTTTCACGCTCGAATAATTTAACTGATGGATCACCCAGAATGCACCAACCACAAAAATTGAATAGATTCAAGAGAAGCGGAGAGAGAACAAATATATATATATATATATATATATATATATATATATATTGGAGCAAGCATACCACATTAACATGATAAGCGGAATCAAGCGATAATTGAGAGAGAGAGAGAGAGAGAGAAAGGACAGAACATTCAAAGAGAAATACGAACCCGTGACAGAGGCGAAGGGCAATAACAGATACAGAGACTGATGGCGTTCGTCTCGATCGCAGTCTCCGATTTAGATCTTATGGATTTTTGGGTCTAGCTATCTCTAATCTCGGTCAGTTAGATAATAGTTTTTAACCATACAAGAAAAACAAAACCTAAAAACAAAAAGGACAACTGGTAATTCTTACAAAATAAAAAGTTCTCTATTATATAGTTTAGGCAAACAAAAAAATTAATTTTACATATTTTGTTTTTTCTTCTTGGTAATTCTCATAAATACCAATATTATTTTATTTTTCAACAATATCATTATTAATTTTATTTCTAAAAAATACTAATAAATTTTTTTTTTTCGAAAGTACCACAAATCTAAAGTTAATCTTTAAACCTTCAAAACTAATTATAAATCCTAAACTCTAAATTCTCATTGTAACTCTAGTCCAAGAATTTGGAGAAGGCTTTTTTAGGATAAACTAGATTGTGTGTTGTTTGTAAACCTAGTTGCCATTTTTAAAAGAGTAAAATGACAGAACGTTAACTTTTATTGTGTTATTCTCTTCTTCCTTTTTAGCCTTGTTTTGTTAAATCCCTTCAAGAATATACTATTCATGATTATACAAAGAATATACTATTCATTCGCACAACTCTGATTTTCAATTTGGACGACGACATTCTTTGCATTCGTTAAAATATGCAGTTATTAGTGAATAATGACCTTCATACTTAATACTTAGAATTGTACACATTAAACATAAATTCATACATATACAGATTATTATATTTGAATTTTTAAAGACATTCAGAGTTACGACCAGGACCTCCATAGTAAAAGAAAACTCCCCATGACCTATAACCAGTTCACCACTTCACCTCCCCACTCGATCAAGTTGGTCGAGTCTGCTAGGCTTGGGAATAGTTCGTTTGGCCAATATCCTATCAAGTCTTTCTCGTTCAATTGCAACCACCAATTTCCGGTTTGTAAATCCTATGAACGATATAACAAAATCTTATATATTTAGGAAAATTTTGCTACATGATTTATTTTGCTTTTGCCAGAATGAAAATTTAAATAAATGTGTATGTGTAAGAATTCAGTTTTGCTAATGAAGTAAAAAACCAACCTTCCACATATGTACGGCTATTAGAAATTGAGAGCCATTATAGGTGGAGATGGGTGTTATCAGAGCACCAAGAGAGACTCTTTTGCTGATTTGAACAAAGCATGAGCTTTGAGGAGATTGAAGCACCCTTTTTTTTTGGTACATCCATCTGTTTAATTTTTATTTTTAAAATTGTAATCTTATTATATAAATGAGTAATTCGTAAGTTTGAGACACGTGTCAAATTTATCGATAAAATTTTAACACATAAAAAAGTTATATAAAAAATAATTATACAATATATTAAAACTCCGATAAATAAAATGTTTACAATTATAAAAAGTATTTAAAACAGTAAATTACTAATCCTAAGAAGAAAATAACTGCAGTTTACTATTTTTTTTGTAAGCATATATTAAGAAGGAAATTATATGTTTAAGAAAATATTCAACTCATCTAAGCTGACTTTTGTATTGAATCCAGAATTACATGAGTTTAAAGTTACATAGCATATATTGTGCATAAAGTAGATAACTTATGTGACTTTGAAGTGGCACTTGGATGGAAGTGAAACTCCAAGAAGCATCATTAGATCCCTTTTGGTTTGCAACATTATGCCATCATCCTCTGCAGCTATTGCAACATCCACTTGAACCAGTTCAAGACACTTGAACTCCCCCAGAAAACTCTTCAATTGTTTCAACTCATCTGAAGTTCCTCGGTAACCAAGAATGTGCAACACCTTCACTTTGTTCGGAGGCATGGAGACATCGCCAGTGTATCTATTCAGATCCTGAAGAAGATGCAAATGATCAACCACTAAGTCCTTGTAACATATATGTTCATCGGTTTTGCTTACTGAATATACCTTGACGATTAGAGTTTCAAGCTTTGTAGACTGCTTAAGCAGATCTGCTAGCAGTTTCCAACCTCGGTTATTCTTACTCCCCAAAGATAAATTAACAAGATTGTCAAACACTGGTAGCCCATATTTACAGTGTAAATAAATGACCTGAAACATACAAACACAGTTCAAGAATGTCCAAGCTTTTCAATACGAAAGAAAGAAAGAAAATGGGGAAACTTACATCAGCAGAACCAGGAGAAAGATGCAGGGTCTGGACGTTTCTTATCCCTATAATGAGATCAGTTACATCCAGCCTATTGACCCTTCTTTCCAGCCAAAGGTCCAGCTTAGCTTCGACAAGGGAAGGCAGGTTAACTTGAGGATACTCACCCAATGCACAGTGAGAATACTCAAGGTAGACAAGTTTTGGCAGGTCAAATGACATGTGACACAAACTATCAACATCATCAGGAGAATCGTAGTGAACTGATAGTTTCTTGACGGTTGTACTCGATATGGTGTGAGGCGTTGCAAAGAAGTTAATGTGATGGACTGATAACTCCTCGAGCAGGGGGCAACCAGCGAGAAGCACACAACACAAATCTCCATATTCAAAGAAAACCGAATCGATAAAGAGAAACTTACGAGATGGAAGTGAGACATATGAAGGAAGCTTTCCAAGATAGAGCTGTGTCCCTATTGTCAGCTTAACCAGTGTTTTGCTTGCGAAGAGCAGAGGAGGCAGAAAGTGTACACCCTGATCTTTAATGCTTAGGTACAGTTCGAAAACACCGCGCCACACGACATTAGATATCCAGCGGGCCACACAAGCTTTCTGGCGCTCATCGTCCGCGCCAACGTGACATTTTAGGGATAATATCTTGATTGGGTAATCATATTGCAAAGCCAGAGTTCGATCCACAAAACCCTCGAAGCTCTCTGAAAACACATACCTGACCTGTTTATCCTCTCTTGCTGCATGCGAGAGAGAATCGTCAAAGTCGAGACAATCCACCAATCTAAACACATCCCTCCAGTTTCTCGAGAGAAGGGATGTTGAAGCAGCTTGTTTTGTTGGAAGTAAGGACAAGATTTTGCCCAGAACCTCGTCAGGGAGCCAGCTGATTGCATCTCTCGAGCAGCTTGTTTTAAACCTTTTGGCATCCATAGAGATTAAAAGTGCCTGTAACATTAAGTGATTCAACAACTGGATTAACCACAAAGATTTGAGCAATCAACTACATGATGTAGCGGAATTGACAATGTAGTAGGAAACAATAATTGAATAAATGGCCAACGACGGCAAAGAAACTTTAAGGTTCGAGCTGGAGTTGAAGAAAACGAACGTTACCTCACTTGCCGTCGTTTGAGCGCTTTCAACTCTTACGAACCAGTTCCAGAAATTGATGGCGTTGGTCGTCTCGATTCGAAATTAGATTTTTGGGTTATACACTGAAAGAAAGAAAAACATAACAGGACGAAGATACTTAAATCAAAAAAGTCAAACAACAATTGAATTTATCGTTTATGTTAAAGTAATTTCTCAGTTCGATAGATTAAATCAAAGTATATTCTGTTTCCTTTTTTTTTTTGTTTGGATATATTCAACCTTTGCTTTCGATAAATGAGTAACTGCACAAGCTACCAAAACTTTTGATGGCGGTCTATGTTCTTTTAGAATCACTTTTATTTTTCTTTTCTTGGAAAACAACAAGAATTTAGGCTACAAGAATTGGTAAATAAGAGAACAAACAAAACCTAAATTAACAACAACAAATAGGAAGAAAAAAAACCCTATCATCTCCTATATTTCATCATCTTGGGAACTAAATGAACATAATGTCCTTTCTTCACCATCTCTCTTATTACCTTCCGAGCCTCTGTAAGCTTCCCTGCCTTTCTTAAATAGCTCACCAATGTACTATACACTACGAAATTCGGGTTACACCCTCTAGCTTCCATTTCCTTTAGCAACCAACACGCCTCTCTGAACTCTCCCGCCATGCACAACCCACGAATCATCGAGTTGTATGTGAACACATTTGGTAATTGCCCTTTCACCGTCATCTTTCTAAACATCTCCTTTGCCTTCTCCAGCTCCCCGGATACCACATACCCTGTTATCATCACAGTGTAACAAATAACATCCGGTGCACACCCAGCTTTCACCATTTCATCTAGAAAGTACTCGCACGCTTCCAGATTCCCTGCACGGCTCAGACCGTCTATCAAAGTGGTGAAATGGAGTACGCTCGGGTCTATTCCTACTTCCTTCATATGGTTCAATGTAGTCAGAGCAGCGAGAGGTTTATTTCCTTTCCCCAAAATGTGCAGCAAAATGTTGTATGTGTAGCAATCCAGAGACAACCCATCTCGAGCCATCTCATCAAACAGCCTGTCGAATCGTTCCATTTTCCCTAACCTATAGTTGGTCCACAAGAGAATGTTATAAGTTAGAACATCTGGCGCAAACCCGTCTTCTAACATCTGCTCGTAAACCCACTCAATCAATTTGTACTGTTTTACACCTAACAAAGAATTCAAAATCGCATTATAGGAGTGTTTGAAAGGTCGGTAATTGAAAGTCTTGGACTTTATGAACTGCACAACAGCTTGTTTTGCCAAACCTGCTTCACCGCAACTACAAATCAACAGATTAAACGTCCTCGCTGTTGTCGGGAGACCGTCTTGAACCATTTCATCAACTAATCTCCACATTGCCTTATACTCTCCACACTCTGCAAATATCTTCATAAGCAAATGATAAGAATTCACTGTGTGCCTGAAACACTCTTGTTCTCCAGACCACACGAAAAATCTATAAGCTAGTTTCGCACGTCTGGTCTTATTATCATAACTCAAGTTCCTTAAGATCCCTACAAGAACCTCCCTCACTAGAAGACCTGAGACTCTAACATTCAGCTCATCTAAAGCTGATTTGGTGCCGAATCCAGAGTCATCTTGCTTTAATTTCTCGAGAACCCGAGACGCACCAATCTTGGCACTCTCCAAAAAGCTACTCTGAACAGAGATCTCTTCTCGATCGATGCTTCGGAGCTTACTGATACAGGCTTCCTTGTCAAATTCACAATCCAAATCTAAACAATTGATACCAATATGTGCTTCATCACTACCGAAGTTACCATTGCAGAATTTTCTGGAGCTTAAGAGAAAGCGATAAGCTTTACGAACTACATTTGTGCCAAAAACAAGTGCCAAGTTCATATCTGATCTCAATCTCCATTATTTTCTGCGATCTTTCCTGCAAACAAAACAAAATACATATTCAAAAATTTAGTTTCCAATTTCGACGTAATCCACATTAAAGACATAGATGTTTATATTGTGTTTCTGATTACCTAGATAGTCAAAATAGCAGACGATAAATGCTTATCTTGCTCGTCGAGAAGACGACCTTATCGGATTCATCAGATGACGATGGCTCCAGGACCGAATCTGAGAGTGTGACTAATTGTACAGTCCCCAGAAATTAGGGTTTCTAGCCGAAGAAGAGGAAGAAGACTAACACTACTGAGTACTGACGGAAAAAAAAAAAAAGTAAAAAGAAAAAACAAAAAGGAATTCATATGAAAAGTTTTAAATTATAGTATTACTGTATATCCGACCCGACTCGACCCGGTTATGGCATACATTATAAAAGCCCACTAAGAAATAAAACAACGGAATTGATGGGCCTAATTTAAAACCTTCTCTAGCTTTACATTTTGAAAAACAAGCCAACTTACTGAGCCTGGTCCAGCAACTGAGAGTAACCAAGGCAACGTTCAACATCCCGGGTCTGAAGAGACATCTCATCTCATCAATGGAAGATCTGGGGTTAATGATCGACAGTAACTCTGGTACATGTGATTGTGTTTAGTAATGTGATCTGTGTCCTTACGGTTTACCCAGCTTTTACCAATCAAAGATTCTTCAGTACGTATTACATTGTCTAATCAAATATAAAACATCTTTGTGAATATTACAAAGGGTCAAAATCCCCGAACAATCAAACACGAGATCCCACATGATTTTTTTCTTCTGATACAAGTAACTGATGTCACACTGTGATATATCCTTATGTACAAAACCGTCGAATGAAGAATCTAGAAAATTCTGTATAAGTAAGAGATTAGTGGACCTGAAATCAAGCATGTCGAACAAAGTAAACCTCAGAAGACCATTTTTTTCATTCTAGTAACGGCTCACGTAGGGGCTTCGATAGTGATCCACCAGCTTCAAGCTCCATAAAGAATGTTACAGCGACACCAACAAACGAGCACAATGCTGGAACAAGACCCAAACCGTATCTTGTAACTGAAAGGTAAGCACTTGGTTGGTTATTGTTTAGTTGGGTTCTTGGTGAAGTACCTGTAAACCAAAAACAGTTTTAGCAAAACCAGTGTGAAATGATTGGTTCGGCTGCTACAACCAAAACTCTAAACTTTATAGGGCCGTGTCTCAGTCATCATATTAAGTGGTTATCTGACTTTGATTAAGTGAAACTTACTTTGGTGTGACTGAAGAACATAGAGAGCAAGCCCACAAGACATCTTGTCTAAGAAGCTTAACGAACCACAGACAAATGCACATCCACCGACTTCCGCACCAACCAACACACTCTGCATACTGATTGCTGTAACCTGTGGAGTTGTATAACCGATGAATTTAAATTAGACATACACTAACATGGTTTATAATCAACAGTGATATCCAAGTGAGCGGTAGAGAACGTAATACCATCATTAATGCATTCGCGATGCCAATAAAGACGGATATGGCATACATGAAAGAACTTATGTTTCTAGGCAATAGAAGAATTGCTGCACCGCAGAATATCCAAATAATACCACCAGCTGTATAATACGCCTTTAAGCGTCTCCCATTCCATGGAATCTCCTAACATAATTATACGTACAGAGAATAGTTGTAATTCCGTAACCGAAACAATGGAAAGAAGCTTTCTACATATGTATGAGAAGTTTGAAACCTGAAGCAGAACCGATACAACAAAACTGCAGATATAGATAATTGCAGGAACCTGAATAATATAACATTGGATCAGAATACCTACATAAAATCATAATGTAAAATGAAAATATAAATCTTATTAGATATATTACCAATGCTTTAGCGGATTGATCCATTTGCAAATCATCGATAACAAAAAATGCAAGATAAGCCTGAAAAGTGAGAAGAATGGAATATAACACCTGGTGTGAGAATTTACCGCAGTATGAACATAAACAGAAGCAAGAAAGAAAGGAGAAACAGACCTGAGAAACATTCAATACTAATCGAGTGAGGAGGTAAACCATAGCGACTTGATAGTATAGAAGTTTCCGGAACCAATAGACCCATGGTATTCTCGCTCGGCTAGTTTCTCTCAGATCTAGCCTAAGCCTTTAATCATCACAATGCATATAATATTCATATAACTACACAAATTTCTTGTTAAATGAAAAAAAAATGGGAGAATTGAGCATATGCAGACCTTGGCTCCTTGGTCCCCATAAGAAATATGATCACAAAGCAGCATCCAATTGTGATAGATGAATATGCAATCCAGCGATACTGCAGAGTTAAAGAGAAAGCATGCACTCAATACTGAAACACACTTACTCCAATATAAACATAATGTAGAAGTCAACACAAAGTAGGAAACCTGTGTTTCCGTATCTTCTTTCGACCCAGCCTTAATAACACCGAATACGACTAAAGCAATCGCATATAAGCCAAGATTAGCAACCTGAAAAGCAAATCACTGTTAAATCATATAAGAAGCATATTTGGTACCAAACCAAGATCAGTAAAAGAGCTTAACCATTGTAAACGCGTTACGGCAGCTTGTTAAAGCTACTCTGCTTGTTGAGTTTAATGAAATGCAATTAACCATAGCCCTGTAGAGTAATAAAGCAGCCACACAGTCACACAGATATACACGAGTAGAATAAAGAGGATATGGCTAAAGGTGACCAAAAAGAGATGAGAAAGATGAGATTACATGTGGGAAACTTGAGTAGCTGCCCATCCTATGTTAAATATAGCTGCAAACATGCTGTAGGAGAAGGTTTCGAGCGTCAAAGAGTCGTTATGAAGGATTGAACAAGGCAGACAACCTCCGAAAACCGAGGAAAAAGATATTGCAACCAGTAATGATCCTGCAGCATGCCAAACTTTGAAATGCCCAAATCTATCTATCTGCCATAACAAAAGACCAAATTGTTCCAACTCTAGATAGTTTACCAACAAATTAGAAACATTAAGCTTATGGCTGAATCGGAGACTGAGAAGTATAGTACCAATTCACCAGTGAAGATAGTAGCAAACCCATCAGCAACTTGGCCAGAGAGCATAACAATAGCTGCATCTCTACAGAGGGGGAAAAATAAAAGTCGATGATGATTGGATTACTACAAAATGCAGGGTCAGAATTACACAAAACATAGATGAAAATTTCACCTTGGGGAGAGACCAATTTGTGTCAAGAATAGGAGGAGGTAAGTGAACCAACAAGAAGCAGTGATGTCGTTAAGCATATGTCCGACTCCATAGAAGAAGACAGACCATCTTCCGATGGGTTTTGTGAAGGGATCCTCCTCACTCCCTCCGGTCATTTCCTCAACCGCTTCGAAATTTCCCAGAAATTATAAAGTGAGAAATTTTGAATCAATCTTGCCCAGGAAAGCCTTACCAGTAAGGCTATTAAACTCCTCGATGATATCGAATTCACATCAGAAACAAAAAGAGATGGGAATTGAGCTATTAAACCCCAAATAGGAACTTTGTTTTGAACTTTCAGACCTCGAAAACAGAGGAATGAAAAAAATTCAAACCCATGAGCAAAAACAATTAAAGGAAGGAGCTTTATCGAACCCAGAATCAAACTTTCAAATCAAAACCCTTGTGATGAGAAATCGATTGTTAAGAATCCTTGAAAGCAACAAACTTTCCCCAAAAGGAGGGAAAAAAATGGCGTAAAGAAGACAAGTAGAAGAAACTGGTTTCATTTGAACACTCTCTCCACTAACCCCAATACCTGTCTCCCAACGTCATTATGTGCTCACGAGACGTTTTCTTTTGGTTTGAAATCTAGAAAAACAAACAAATATTATAAAGTCTTTGGATATTGCAAGTATTTTTAATAGAGATTGAAGTGATCGTTCACAAAAGAAAAAAAGAAAAAAAGAGAGATTGAAGTGATCCGACAGAGAAGGAGAAAAGATAGAAGAGATAGAGTGGGGAAAATCATGCGGTCATGTCTGGTTTTATTTCCAGATTTAGTTATGGCTGAATTTTGGAATTTTGCTTGTATCATCAGTTTAATGCCTTAAATGGGATAGAATCTCGAGAGCAATTGGTCAGAGAGATTCTTTTTAAAAGTTGAGATATTTTTGCTGGCATATGTGAATTTAATTGAAAGTCTCAAAAATAAAAATAATAAAGAGTTGAAGTGTTAAAAAAATAAAAAATAAAAAATAAAAAGATAGCGTCGCCTGAGAGATTCGAACTCTCGCGGGAAAATCCCATGTACTTAGCAGGCACACGCCTTAACCACTCGGCCAAAGCGACTTTTTGTTTAAAATGTGCCTTTCTATTTATTAGATTTAATGTCTTTATTTTATAATCATGAAATATCATCATATTCATACATATGTGCCCCCCAAAAAACACTATCATATATCACAAAATAGTATATTTCATCATACGAGATTACAACATATATTAATTTACAGCCAAAACGTTGTTCGTTTGGATGTTACAATGACCAACACTCCAAAAAAACGAACAATATAATATCTCTTGACAACAGTGATTATTCGTCGCAAATGTCAACGATTGTCAAAAAGAACAAATCGGTCATTCCCTTGATCTAATGAAAAATGTAACATTTTTTTTTTTTGTGTAAACGACAAAGACCAATATCAAAACTTATTTTGGGAAAATAAAAGGTAGCAAAGTAGTTATCATTCACACAAATACAAATTTATAAAATAATCTAACAAATTTATTAGATTATCACACTAACCAAAACGAAACATATTAAAGACACACTACCAAACCTTGAGAATAAAGCCAAGTAAAATGGTATTGGTAGGCCCTTAACCAATATTTTTAAAAAAGGGCCTTTGGAAATGAAACCAATCATAAACCCATTATCACATTCACTCACTACTCCTCCTCCTCTCAAGTCTCAACCACAGCCACTAACCTTTTTGTTTCCACACGTTTTCTTTTTCGCAATTCGCAATTCGCAATTCGCAACCACCACCACTCCTCAATGTCGTCTTCCACCACAACAACAACCACCGTCCACGGCGATCCTGAACGTCGAACTTACTGGTGCCACGAATGCGACATGAGTCTCTCCCTCCTCTCTTCCTCCGACTCCGATCCCGATTCGTCTCCTCTCTTATGTCCTCAGTGCGATCTCGATTTCCTCGAACGTATGGATCACGAGTCTTCTTCTAATCTCTTTGACGTTACCATCGGTGATTTCGAAGACGGAGACGATGAAGATGCAGATAACGATGACGACGAAGATGAAGAAGATTGGTGTTTCGTCGACCCGACTGTTAACTCCGATGATAATTTCCTCCTCGATAGTCCTTACCTCCACCGTCTTCTCCGTCACCTCGCTTCCGATAACTCCGGATCTTCTTCTTCTTCTTCCTCTTCTTCCTCTTCGTTGCTGAAATCTTCGGATATCGATTCCATTCCTACGGTTCAGATCTCGTCTTCTATGCTCTGTTCCACCGACGGTTCAGATCCCGATCCAGATTCCGTTTTACTCTGCGCCGTTTGCAAGGATGATTTCGTCGTCGGGGAATCTGCCCGGAGGTTGCCGTGCAGCCACATATATCACTCTGATTGCATCGTTCCTTGGCTCTCGGATCATAACTCGTGCCCGCTTTGCCGGTTCGAGCTCCCTACGGCGGCCAAGGCTGGAATCGGTGGTTCGGAGAGCATCAGGCTGTCGGATCTGGCTACGATTGCGGCAGATGGTGATGACGTGGAAGACGATTGGCTTGGGATTAGAAACGCGCTGAGAAGACTGGCTCGTCGTCACGAGCAGATGAGGTTGGGAGTGGGAGAGATGGAGAGGAGTTTGGCTCGGACTGTTTCAGGTCTTGGGATTGGTATGAGAAGAGAAGAGCTCATCCAAGGTGGTGATGAGAGAAGCAACTCGACGACGACGCCATTGTAAAAGCTGTTTTTTTTTTTGCAAAAATCAAATAAAAGAAACGAGTGTGTTCTTCTCTGATTTTATTTTTACTTATCACAGATCGGCTTTTTTTAATCGATTCTTGATTTACATATTACATAAACAAGAGTTGCTGTTTTGGGTTAATGATATGATGGTTTTATCCCAATCGTGTACATCTCTTTGCTTCATCATCTATTTGGATGCAATATGGAATCAACGTTAAGGCCTGCAATGATTTGTTCATTTCTTCTACGTTTTCAGAATCACGCCGATATTATTGACTGATTTAAGATTAAAAACAAATTTGGGCTGTGTGAGTCTCGTGGCTGTCACTAAAAGCTTTCAACTAGAGAGACTCGATGCATCCAAAGAAATTTGGATTATCAGTTGTAGTGTATGATCTATATACATGGTCTTTTAGTAGTATATAGGGAGATTAGTTTCTCATCAGGAGGTACAAGGTGATTAAGTCAACAAATAAGTACAATCCCGCGTATCATCATCTTAGATTAAGAGGGGTATATGCCTTTTGTTCTTACAAAGTATGTTACAGCCAACTCACTCTCACCTACAAATGTCAAATCCGTTATAAACTTTTTATATTAATCGGAACACGAGAATGTCAAACTATCATCTATTTTTTTAGGAATTAATCTATATACATTTGACCTTTAAATCGGTTGATGCAACATTCAAGTAGTGAACAAAAGAAAGAAAAAACTCGATTGATGTTTATAACTAATTTTTTTTACTAGTTTGGATAACCAAATTGTCTGACCTCTCCACATGATTAGTGGCCATTGTTTTTCTGGATAATTAGTCAGCCTAATCAAAAAAACAAACAAAAAGATCCCTTCCACGTGCACTGTTAAATCACATATCACGTGCGAGAGTATATGTCGTGTCTGTTAAGTTATTATTAGGTCTTTAGGTCACATAGTTTTCCTTTTTTTCTTTTTTTTTTTGGTTGATTGGATTGTACCTAATCTCTTTCTAAGACAAATGTAAGTTTCTAATATCAAATTATCAACCAAAGTCGTAAGTTACATACTATGTATGTATAAATAAATAAACGATGTTTAGTTGTTTACCATAGACCATATACAATCCTTAGAAACACTTGGAAGAATGTTTTGTTTTGCTTTTCTTAACATTTATACAAAAAGAATGTTTTTTATGTACAAAAGTAGAAGAAACCATGTGTTCAGATTAAATATGCCGACATTTTTTTAATAAATTCGTAAAATAAAACAAAGTCAAATTCGCATCCAAAGGTTAAGCGTCGACGAGCTAATTAATTAAAGTCAATTCCTCCACTTAGTCATAAAATAAAAAATCGCTCACGCCATCTACTCGTATGTATGTTGTTACTTATTTATATATATATATACTAATTGATTGTTAATATATCAGTTGGAAACTTTATAAAAAACAATTTTATTCCGATAGCGTAAGAGAAACAGATCATTTTCTTGGAGAATTACAGCTTATTTAAATCAACTTGTTGTTATGTGTGTAATGGAGGGCAAGTCTAAACCTATATCATCTTATATTTTTTTTTGTTTCATATTCAATTTGTCCTTAACAAATGCTTTTTCTATTAATGTTTTTGACCAACCAACAATTTTATTGTATTTAATTACATACTTTATTATCATATTTACTTTTTGTCTTTTTTTTGTGTATATATATATATATATAGACAAATAATCCACAACAGATGCATATTCTTTTCTTGAAACAAAACAAGAAACCTCAATCTCCAACAACAACCACAACAAAAACTAGATCTTCTTTCCTGTTTGTTTGAAATGGTGAGAAATACAATGAAGTCTGAGTATGACCTTGATCATCTTCCTCATCAAAGCTTCTATGGAGACTATTCAAAAACTTTGGTTCCCATGAACAAGAACTCCCAAATAATAACCAAGATCAAGCCTAAGATCCGTATCATCCATATATTTGCGCCAGAGATCATCAACACCGACGTCAAGAACTTCCGTGCACTCGTCCAAAGTCTGACCGGCAAACCGGAGATTTCCAAATCCGGTTCTAAGAAAAAGATAACCAAAACAAATTTTCAACCACCGCCGCCCCTGCCTCAAGAATCCGACCAACAACATACGGGGGAGCTGGTCAACAGAGTAATAGGGAGCCACTCGGTGAAGGAAGAATGGGGATCAAGTTCCAACACCAATACTTACTTTGATTTAGATGGTCTGATCGATCTTGATGAAGACGACAACATATTCTCAAGTCGATGGTTTGATCTTCAACAACAATAAATAACTCGGTCACACCTAATTACCCTGATATTGGTTTTGATGATTTGATCATATCTTTCCATATGATATATATGGGACATAACAAGACATGGTCGATCGAGGCGTATACCATGTTTGAGACGACGATCATCAATTCATCATATAGGTATAGGAACATATACATAACTTCTACATATATGTACACAGATTTGATTTGATTTTTTTTTGGGTTCCCTTTGATTTAATTTGGTAGACTGACTTAATTTGCCAAAAAAGTGTGTAGTGATGAGTTTAACTTGGTAGACTGATTTTGCCAAGTGAAAAATAAGTTTGAGTTTTGATCTCCGATCATGTGAAAACTCTACTTAAAATTGGTGTAACACGTTGTACTTACGCGTGCGTGTATTAATAATAATTCTTTGAATGTATTTGTGATCGACTCTATAGCTGCTCAAGTTTATATATGGAAACGCGAGAATGATACTTTCATCGATTTTTTTGTTTTGTTTTGTGTTCAAATATATATATTATATTAGTCATAATTTATAGAATAATGTTTTGCTTTAGTTAAGAACTTAAGGTTACTTGATGGTTACACGATTATAATGGGTTGTAATGATATATTGTACGTAGCGTTGCCAAAATGATTTCAGATGCCATAGTTTCCAATTTCAATCATTGAAATATCAATTAGTTTATCGTTGGACGACATCACATAATGATCAATCACAATATATAGTGTTGTATGCCACAATTCATTATTGTTATTTGTTAATAGTTGTATTACATCATTCAAGAGTATTTTAAAAGAATAGAAAGACTTATTACATTAAAACCTCTATAAATTAATACTCTATAAATTAATAAACACTATAAATTAATAAATTTTGCTGGTCCTAAGTCGGGCCAGTGTAAAATTACTTAAATTCGATAAGATAATAAAATAATAATTTTTTTGACATCCCTATGTAAAATATAGTCCCAATAATATCATAAATTAATAATCACTATATATATACATATATATATATATATAAGTAGATATGTTAAAATATGTTTTTACCTCTTTTTGTAAAAATGATTTTTTCTCCTAGATCTCATCTCTATAAATAATACTTATGTTATATTTTTAAACTATAATCTTAAAATATATTCCATAATCTCACAAAATAACCAAAATTTTCTTTATGTTTTCTATATATATAAACGCATCATATTCATTTTTTGTTTTGTTTTATAGAATGTTAAAAGATAATAATTGAGGTTTTAATCATATATTTGATTTTTTTGTATTTAACTATATATATTTTTATATTTTTAATTTATTGTTAAATTATTTTTCTAAATATATAATTCAATTCTAAACTACAAACATTCATATAATTTTAAAAAAAATCTTAGTTTTTAAAATTTTCCCAATTCATATTTTCAAAAAACTTTAAAAGTTAAAAATACTACTATAAATTAATAATTATTAATTTACACTATAAATTAATATCACTATAAATTAATAAAATCTTGTGGTTCCAACATTATTAATTTATAGAGGTTTTACTGTATTACTAATGGAAAATGAAGAATACCGAACCGCCTATTCGACCAAGATATTATAATAACGAAGTTTGTTTTTTTCTCACAACTATATGTAATTTGATTGAGAAACTTTTATATTGTCCAACAAAAAAAAGTTTTAAGTTAAGTTAAACTAAAAATATACGTTTTATGCAACCAATCAGCTACTTTTTGCAATCTATTATTTTCTTCTTCTTTTTTTTTTTTATCATCATGAGTCATGAGCTTGTTTTGAGGCTTTAGAATCGTACGGCTGCTTCGAGTCTTGGGAGTCACGGACTAAACCGTATATAACCCGATCGGTTTGGTTTAATATGTTGTAATCAAGAGTAAATTGGTTGATTATTCCGGTTGAGTTGGAAGAATCCGTGTTTTGGTTATACTGTATGTTGTATTTTTGGTAGTCTCTCTCTGATGAACACAGAAACGCTTGTTCATCACGTTGCAGTACTCTTGCAGATATATCTCAACATCCTAACATCTCTCGAATTTTCTGTGAACGTTGAAACATTCGAATCTCCGGTGAATTCCTCTCCACGCTTTCTCGTTCCCTTACATCTCCTCTCTAGTTTGGCCACTCTCGATTGCTTTTGCTTGTATACCTAACCGATCAATGTTTTTGTGGCAGGTGTGAGTGTTTTGAAGAATGGTGTTTTATCGCGGCGTATCAGCCATTTCAAGGCTTCGTTCACGAGCTGTGAGTAGAATTGGCTTGACCCTTTTTTGTGTGTGTGTTTTGTCTGATGTGAATCGAATCGATTGATGATCAGATTTAATATTAGCAGGTCGTGCAACAATCTTCGCTTAGCAAATCCGTCAGATGGATCCAGACGCAAAGCTCTTCTGAATTGGTTAGTTTCTTATGTTCTCGTGTGATGTTTGTTATCAAGCGGTTCAATGTTTGGTGTTGATGTTGTTTAAATGATGGCAATGCAGGACTTAAAGTCGCAGATGCGAGAGATAATTCCAGAACAACAGGTTAGCTTCTACGTCATTGTCTTCCATTTGAAATTTTATACTTTTTAGTTCTAGTGAAGGACACTGTTTCTAAGTTTAGGGCAGATCACATGCAGTGAAGCTCTTCTCTCTGTTCTCGTTATAGTCTTTTTCATACAAAACTTCCATTCTCAGGACCGTTTGAAGAAACTGAAATCAGAACATGGAAAGGTTCAATTGGGGAACATCACTGTTGATATGGTATTGCTTCTAATGATTTTTATCCGCTCTGTTGGATTATGAAGGCTTTCTCTTACGAAATATTGTACTCTCCTATTTGTTGTGGTTTTTTGTGAAGGTACTTGGTGGAATGAGAGGGATGACTGGATTACTCTGGGAAACATCATTGCTTGATGCGGATGAGGTATGTCTATACTTTTGTTTGTAAAGATGAACTATCTTGTCTGTATCTTTAAGTGTTATTGTAATGATCTTATCTTTTATTTCAGGGAATACGCTTTAGGGGCATGTCGATTCCTGAATGCCAGAAAGTATTACCTTCTGCTCAATCTGGAGAAGAGCCTTTGCCTGAGGGTCTTTTGTGGCTTCTGTTAACGGGAAAGGTTGGATTAACTTAAACGTCTTAATATGGTTACGGTAATGTACGGTACATTATGTACCATACAATTTAAGTTTCTCTTTATGCATGAATGCTCCTAAAGTATAGTTTTCCCTCTTTTCGATATAGGTGCCAAGCAAAGAGCAAGTTAATGCTTTGTCAAAAGAGTTGGCTCATCGTGCTGCTGTGCCAGGTTTGTAGTTCACCTGTAGACTCTGTTTGTCCGTGATCTCAATTTAATGACTCATCAATACATGGCAAAATACAAGCTGATGGTTATTATAAACTGAATGTTATGATTTTTGTCAACGCAAGTCTAGTTTATACTTAATCTTTACATTGCAGATTACGTTTACAAAACTATAGATGCTCTGCCTTCGACAGCTCATCCAATGACTCAATTTGCTAGCGGTGTTATGGCCCTTCAGGTGGATGGCTCTGTTCTTTATTAGTTTGGTCTATGTAACTTTTTAAAAAATTATTGATTTTGGGGATGATCTTATCTTGTTGAGTTGTTATTCAGGTTCAAAGTGAGTTTCAGAAGGCATATGAGCAGGGTGACGTTCATAAGTCAAAGTATAAACTTTCAGTAGTTCTAGTTTCTTTCTTGATGCCCTTATAGTAGCAGGCATCAGATAAACTGAGTACTTTTCCTCGTAGGTTCTGGGAGCCAACTTATGAGGATGCCCTAAACTTGATTGCTCGTGTTCCTGTTGTAGCCTCATATGTTTATCGAAGGTAAACGTCTATGCCCTTTTCCAATGCCTTCTTAGGGACTTGTTACTTATTTCTGTTCCTGAATTAACATTTCAGGATGTACAAGGATGGTAGCATCATCCCATTAGATGATTCTTTGGATTATGGTGCAAATTTTTCACACATGCTGGGATATGATAGTCCTCAGATGAAAGAGCTCATGAGGCTTTATGTCACTATCCACAGGTTTCTTCTGGTTTTCTAACATGACTCAAAAGTCGAAACATAATCAATAAGCTAAAAGTTTTAATGTGTATTTTGGTTTTTTGTTGTATTGTTGTTGCTTAGTGATCATGAAGGTGGAAATGTTAGTGCCCACGCTGGTCACCTGGTATGTATTGCTACATGATCTTGCCATCAAGTGAATTATGTGTTGGTCTTGATGCATGATAAATGTTCCACTTTTAGTTTGTACTCCAAATGTTTTAAATTTATAGACATTTTTCTGACTGTTCTGTTTTTGGCTTATGGTTTTTTCTTAATTAAGGTTGGGAGTGCACTTTCGGATCCATATCTTTCATTTGCAGCTGCGTTAAATGGTTTAGCTGGGCCACTCCACGGTTTGGCTAATCAGGTACTCATCTTATTTATCTCCTCAATGAATCTTCTTTTGTTCAAAACTAAAAGTTTATAAACCAGAGTTCCAAGAATGACTCTTATAAACTGCTAAGTTTGTGATGTTCAAGTTCAACTAAGAATGTTGAAAACTTAGTCTGTTTTTTTTTTCAATGGTCTTGTTGTAGGAAGTTTTGCTGTGGATCAAATCAGTTGTGGAGGAATGTGGACAAAATATATCAAAGGAACAGCTAAAAGATTATGTCTGGAAAACGTTAAAAAGTGGCAAGGTAAACAAAATTCTGCTCTGCTTATACCTTTCAAACTATTGTATAGCTAACATGCTCTGAAATGAAAGCTGAGAGAAATAGACCGTTGGTATCACGTGCTAATCATGTCAGGCAATAACTTGAATCATTGTACAACTAGCTAATAATAACAGCTTGGGATTATGTTTTTGATTTTTGGGTATGCCTGTGAATATTGCCAGAAGACTTGATCAAAAGTTTGTCTTGCAGGTTGTTCCAGGATATGGCCATGGTGTTTTGCGCAAAACGGATCCAAGATATGAGTGCCAAAGAGAGTTTGCCTTGAAGCATCTACCTGATGATCCTCTTTTTCAGCTGGTAACTTTTTTTACCCCTTAACCTTTGGCCATGCTCTTAAATTTGTACTGGCCGCTCACAAATTATTCAACTCCATAGGTCTCAAAGCTTTATGAAGTGGTGCCTCCTATTCTAACTGAGCTGGGGAAGGTAATATTTACATTATGATTCGAGTGCTACCAGATTTCTGATTTGGTTTGGTTTTATGAATCTTGAAATCTCTGTTACAGGTCAAGAACCCATGGCCGAACGTTGATGCTCATAGCGGAGTGCTACTGAACTATTATGGTCTAACCGAAGCCAGGTACAAATTGCATCCTTTATCACTTAAAGTCTGACTAACCTTGGACCTTCTTTTGCTGAATCTTGTTTATAGTAGAGTGACATTTCTTTCAAATATAGATACTACACTGTGCTTTTTGGCGTCTCAAGGAGTCTCGGCATCTGCTCACAGGTACATATATGCAGACATACATTCGCACTATAGATCACATCACAGTATCCATGGAAATAAACTCTAACTCATCTTTATGATGCTGTTTTCTCTTTCTCGTTTCAGCTGATATGGGACCGGGCTCTTGGATTGCCACTTGAGCGGCCAAAGAGTGTAAACATGGACTGGCTGGATAACTTCATGCGCTCGAAACGCTAAGTTGAACCCTGACTGTGGTTGGTCAAGGTTCTCTATTTCATTTAAACCAGCATTCTCTTCCATTTGGATGGGTATCTTTTGGCACTTTTAGAGAAACAAACGATTTTGAGTCTAAACTTTTTTCTTCAGAGTTATCGTTTTGGTTCTTCCGCAAAAACAATAATGTCAAAGAAGTGAAGAAACAATCTTTCTCAAACTGAGACGTACACCGTATTACTATTCCTAAACTCTTATGTAGACAAGTCAACCTACTGGTTCAAGTCATCCATTGATCTGTTTTGACTTGTTAGAAACCAAGAGAAGAGGTTTTAACGACAAGGAACAGATTGTTGGAACAAATCCTAGTTCGGCCAGTCCAGTGGGCAGTGGTTCAAGAAAAACATACAATTCCAACTCAAGTAATCGGCATCCTTGACGCTTACGGAATCCTCTTCTCGAACCCAAGTCAAGTGACACGGACTCTTGACATGAACTGTGCAAGGATGACTAGACAGTAGACACGTCCTGGTAAAAGCAAGTCGAGATTATTCTTGGTTCCAACATGAGTTCCATGTTATTGTTAAAGATCATGAGGACTTGATGATTCGTCATCCTTTGGCGCTGGAGTCAATCTTTCCGCGTTTTCTGGGCTTCTTTGACCCGTCTCGCCTCCTTGCAAAGGGTTGGTCACGAGTATCTTAATGATATTGGCTTTATAAAAAATAATCTCCTTTCTTACCATTTATCTTTTGCGTGTGAATGTGAACTATAAAGTATATGAATTATTTAACGATGGGTTTAACTTTAAGAAGTTTTATAAATTAAAAAGTTTTATAGAATCATGTCATCAAACCCATCAAGACCTGTCTGTAACTCTGTATCACACAAACAAACGTTCGTGTGTGTATTTTGTACTAAATGCGAATATTTTATTCATACACCCTTTTTTATATACGATTTTACTATTATTTTTTGCGGTTGACCTCATCTGGGTCCAATTTCCCTCCAATTAAGGCCCATTTACACCTCATAATTTAAAAGCCCATATCTGATTGAAACGGATAAATTCCCATGCCCAGCCTCACATTTACAAACATCGATATAAAACGAACATTCCATTTCCAGTAACCCACGGAGGGCATTCTTGTAAATATGTATACCTTCCTCCCCTCCGTAGACGGTTGTTGCACACGAAGCGAGGTCTGGGTTGACCCGACCCGTAAATATTGATATATAAACACACGAAATGGGTAAAGCAAAGGTGAAAAATCTTGTACGTAGGTCTATATCATTTCCATATGAAGTGGAGAAATATATAGCTAACAAGACCTAAACACTTAAATCATATAGTTTTTCATATTTCGAAAAGGCTTCAGAATACGAATCAAAGTTGATAAGAAAGAAAAAAAAACAAATTAAATTGAAAAATAAAATAAAATAATAAATCCCTAAAAACTGCGAGCGAGCGAGCGTGTTGTTATGAAGGAGGAAGAAGAAGAAGAAGAAACAGTGATATCGAACGGCATGAACGACGACGACGATACTAACAATATTAACAGTTGCAGTGGTTTTGATAACAACCGTGTCGGAGACGGAGACGGAGACGATAACAGTAATCTCAATCAGATCAGTCAAGTATGGGGAACGTGGGATGAGTTGGTGTTAGCATGCGCCGTTAAGCGTCATGCTTTTACCGATTGGGACTCCGTCGCTAAAGAGGTTCAGGCTCGTTCCCGGAGTTCTCTCATCGTCTCCGCCGTCAATTGCAGGCTTAAGTATCAAGATCTCAAACGTAGGTTCGAAGATTCCGTCGACGGCGGTGAAAGAAACAGCGACGCGGCGGCGGCAGCGGTGGAGGACGATGAAGTCGGAGAAATCTCTTGGCTCGACCAGTTACGGAGTCTTCGTGTTGCAGAGCTCCGGCGAGACGTTCAACGATGTGACGACTCGATATTGTACGGAGAAGTCTCTATTTCTCCGCCGCTGGATCTGAGTTTTTATTTAGTTTTCTTGTTTATTGTTTTTAAATATTCATTTTTGAATTCATGTTCTTGTTTTTGGTTAGGTCGCTTCAGTTAAAAGTTAAGAAATTAGAGGAGGAGAAAGACGGAGATGATGGAGACAATAAACCAGATCTGGGAAACGACGAAACTAAACCGGAGAAACTTAACCGGGAAACGGCGGAGTCTGACCGTGATGAAAATAGGTCGATGAACGAGTCCAACTCGACAGCCTCCGTCGATAAAATCGCCGATCACGACCGGTTAGACGGGGACAAAATGGTACCGGCTTATCCAGATCCCGATCCGGTATACAAGGACGCGGAGGAGGGAGAAAAAACGGTTAGTAAAAGATCGGAAATGAGTAACTCGGGGGAGTTGGATGAATCGGGAACGTCAACAGGTAATGGAAAGAGGAAAGAAAAGAAATACAGAAGCGGCGGAGGTGGCGGTGATATCAAATCGGCGGGCTATAAATCACAGCCGTTGAAAGATATCATTAAGCTGATCCGGTCTCATCCTCGTGGTTCAGTGTTCGAATCCCATCTTCGGAGCCAGGTAAGCATTTTCCTTATTTTTCTGCATTTCTTCTTTTTCTCTCTTTTTGGTAGTAAATATTATTAGTACTAATATAATAATTAACACATTATTACAAATTTTATCTCGTTGTTTTTTTGTCGTCGTTTTCCAACGTTATGATTTCTGCTGATTTGCAACATTGCGTAATTACTATATATAAAGAAAAAAAAATCTTTTATTTTCACAACTGAAATTTTTGACATTAAATGGTAGATATTGCATTCTAATAATATAATAATGTTGTTTCCTTAATAAGACGTATATAATAGAGTATTTAGAACATATATAATTTTGCTCTAAAAGAAGTAACTATATTTATATAGTTGGGCATATATTCAGGCCTATATATAGTCAACCAACTGTGTTTTTCTTTTTTAATTCAAGTCCAACTTAAAATAAAATATATATGTTTCTTTCAGAACTTATTTTAACTCTCTCTCTCGCCAAATAAATGCAAAACGTATTTTGTTTAAGAATGATTGGCTAAATATGCTACTTAATTTTCGCATTATATCTTTCTTGTTTTTTTTTTAAAGCATTATATATTTATGTTTCAATTATATATATTTTTCTTCTTCTTCTTCTTCCCTCTTAAGAATTTTCAAGGACGACCAATAAAATTTTGAGAAATTATCCACACATTGTCCAATTTGGTGGGGACCACCCCTATTACAAAAAAAACTTTTGATAAGAACTTTCACTTCTTTTTTTTTTTTCCCCGATCATCACCTTTTCCATTTGTCTAATTACGCTTAATTGTTTCGTATTGTATTGATTTTCATATGGTATCAAATATCTCTATAATGCATGGATGTTTTCTTAATTCTTATACATGTGTTTGATCTTTAAAGTTCAGTTCCATATCCGATTTTATGTTTTTTCTTAAATGGGATCCTTTATTTTTGACGTTATTGTTGTTACAATTTACAAACACTGGAAACTTTCGTCGAACAGAGAGAATTTTGTTTTATTTTTTCTTTCTTCACCCATTTACCATTTGGGACACCTGGCAGCTTCCCGTTGAAGCATGGCTTTGTCGTGTCTTTCAAGATATGGTCAACTTATTGACTTTTCAGCCGCCTTTTTTAAGCTAGACAGTTTTTGGGCTCGTTTTAGTTGGCCTTCTGCAAGCCCATTACGTAAGACGTTTCTTTTTTTGTGGGTCTCAATCTCATATTCTTCTATCTTTTGTTATCTCGCAGGAGACAAAGGATTACAAGAGGTTGATAAGGCAGCATTTGGACATCAAGACAATAGAGAAGAAGTTGGAGAAAGGATCCTATGTTTCTTCAACTCTCTCTTTCTACAGAGACCTCAAGCTTCTCTTCACAAACGCCATTGTCTTCTTTCCTCCATCTTCCTCCGAATCCATGGCTGCACATGAGCTAAGATCCCTCGTCTCTAACCAAATAAAGAAACCAACCGGGATGTTGGGTCACGATGTCGTCAAAGCAGAGGCTGGGTCGTCGGTTTCTAGACCAAAATCCTCTGTTCTTCCTCTGGTTGCCTGTAAGAAGAACAGTTCCTCTTCGAAGAAGTCCTCTCCTTCTTCAAGCTCTAAACAAAAAGATGATAAAAAGTCTCAGGAAGTTTCAGAGGAGAAGACTGTGACTACAACTACTACTACTACAACAAGTGCAAGAAGCTCGAGGAGAACGAGCAAAGAGGTCGCTGTTGTTGCCAAAGATACTAAAACGGGAAGAGCTAAGAATAATAATAAGAAACAAAAAAAGGTTACGAAAACAGAGTCATCGAGTGATGATGATAGTGAGAAAGAAGAGACTCCTAAAACAGAGAAGAAGACAGTAGCGATAGCATCGGATAAGAAGAAGAGTGTGGCTGATTTCTTGAAGAGAATAAAGAAGAACTCACCAAAGAAAGGAAAAGAAACAACAAGTAAAGCTCAGAAGAAGAGTGATGGAAACAGTAAGAAAGAAAGCGAACATCAGAAGAAGAGTGATGGAAACAGTAAGAAAGAAAGCGAACATCAGAAGAAGAGCGATGGAAATGCTAAGAAAGAGAACAGTAAAGCGAAACCGAGGGAATTGAGGAGTAACAGTACGGGTAAAAAGAAGGCTGAAGTAGAGAATAATAATAGTAAGAGTTCATCGAAACGAAAACAACCGAAAGAAACAGCAGAGCCTACTACAGTGAAACGAGGTAGGGAATCCGTAAAAGAGAGTAAACAGCCAAAAAAAAGAAGCAGAAGATGAAAACCGAATTTGTCTGTGTGGTTAGGTATTTGTACATTTGATGTGCCTCAAGTATTCATCAATCCTCTTTTAATTAATTAACATTAGTGTTTTGGAGGGAATCATAGGTCTTGTTAGATTTTTACCTTTTTTATTCTCATAGTTTACCAGTTTAGTTTTTAATTAACCTGTGGTTTCCTTGTTAGAGGGTTAAATGGTTCATGTTCATGGTATGGTCGCCATTTATTTGTTTGATACAATATAACGAGGCTGGTTCACAAAACCTGAAATCCGGTTTAGACTTTGGAAATTAAAATCTATACAACTCTACAAAGCACTTATGAAGGCCCCAAAAGTCAAAATTGTTCTTTTTCCAACATGCCCCCAGATAATCTTGGGCCAGAGAAAATGTGTTATCAAATGCAAATGCTCAATTAATGAAAATTAGTTATACGTCCAACAGAACTGCTTTGTAGTTAGGTTCACACAAGGACCTTTATAGTTAGCATGCAAGTTGAGTTCTCTCACCGGAGACTCACATCTTGATGTAGCGTGGAAAATATGTTACGATCAACTAGTTAAATGTTTTGGACACTAACGCTATCAACGTTCTGGTGCATGCATTACATGAGAAGTTTGTTTGTGTTCTCTTTTTAGATGCTAACATTGAGATTCGTATCAAATTGAAGATTGTTCTTCTTTGAGTAGAGAGAAATATAGTAAGTTAGTAACCTATACGAAATTAGAACATTCCCTTAGCATAGTGTTCCTCCCTAGCCCTCTCTTCATTATTAAATGTTGAAGATTGTTTCCCTTTGTTGACAGTTTTTTCCATTACTATATGCATGTATGTATCGATATATGGATTATAGACATATTGGGTGAAGCAAGTGACTGGTTTGAGACATGTGCTTCAGAGCTTCTTAAGAACAGTTTGATCAACATCGCCCGCTGCATGCACGCCAAGTTGGATTCGCACTACTGGGAGATCCAAAAAAAGATTGCAAGTTAAATGTTTAAATGTGTATTACCTTATCCGGCCAACAAATTTTATTATTAGGTTCGTGAGATATTCCATTTTATGGGCATTCCTCACTAAGTATCGCAACTCCTGCGGTGTTTCTTTTTTTTTGTGAGGAATAAGACAAGAGGTTGGCACTGTTCAAGATTGTTCCACGGGGATTAAAAGCACCACTTTCGTTGACTGTTTCGAGTTTACTATTCAACCACAATATATATAATGCTTTACATAGTCCATTTTATGGTCGGCTTTGATTATCTTTTTCCCCATCCAAGTATAGGAGATAAGTACATATATCTATACCAAGATGATGTGCTATTTTTAAAGCCCATTATCTAAACAAATGAATTCGTATTGTAAATGATATATATAATGATTTTACGAAGTCAGAAATCTTATGAATAATCTATTTATTTTGTTTTCTCAAAATACAACAATCCTTTTTTTAAGCTGTAAATATTCATATCAATGAAAAGTTGGGTAAGAAGAATGTTTCCCCTTTACATTGGTACTTTGGTACTCTGGCAAAAAGAAAAAAAAAGAAAAAACAAGGTAGCAAATTGTAACCCGAGAGGTTTAATAAATTACAATCAACGAATCCAAAGAAGCATTAAGTTACTAAAACGTCTACTCCATCTTCTTGCGGATATAAAGTAGCTGAACCTCCCTGTCAATGTCTTTAAAGATTATCCAAGGGGGGAAGAAATGATTTGAAGGTTGTGACAATCTTAATACAAACACATATGTGATGTGTTTATCACATAAATCATAATCGAATTATTTTGTTTCCGAAAAAATCAAATATCCGTGCTAATGAGCCGCCTGATGTTTATCATTATACATTTCAGTTATTAATTATTAGTTTTTGCGTAATTATATCGGTCAGTTTTGTCTAATAATAACTTGATATATATGCTTCAAACTACTTTTAACGTTTTCCTTATTGAATTATACCTACCCATGCATACTTACGTATTGAGAACAACGATCAAAATGAGTTATTTGTTTTATACCTACATATATACCCTACCATTTTATATAGATTTTCTATATGACCGTTAATTTAATCTACCCTGCATGCTTAAGCAATGATATTATGAGAACAACAAAAGAGTTATTTGTTTTTTTTCCTAAACTAAAGATATATTTATATGTATAGCTGCATAATATATTTTTCTGTCCGACCGTTATAAAATGTTATTATTGTTTTTTCACTAAAATTTCTTGCCCCTTTTCTGAAATAATTATATAACAATTTCTGTTCTTTAAATTATGATAAAAAAGAAGAAGATTGCATGCTCTTTATGTTTGTCTGTTTGTTAAAGCCAGGCCCTTCTTTGAGTTGGTTGATTTAGGATATCATATAGTGACAATCATCATCGTCAACGTACGTCCTAGTGATGATTACAGTTTGGTTATGGTATCATAATTAACAGTACTATTTATATAAAAAGATACAGACAATTTTGAAACGGAAGAGTGCATGCATACTTTTCCATTTTCCTCCTCGTAGACTTTGGGAAACGGTGAAAAGATTTTAATCATTTGTTTTTTTTTTTTTTGGTTACATGGTTTTTGTTACATTAATCATTACTTTCATCAATATATTGACATAATTCTGTGTAAGTCCAAACCTAGCGAAGGGATCTCGCCGTCGCCGGCACTGTATAAATTTAATGATATTAATTAAGTCTCAGTTTTGATTTTGAGTATGAGTCAACATAGGAGCAATCTGTAGACTGTGGTTGGTTCAACATCACACAGCGCCAAGACCACAAAGCGACTATTATTATTTTATTCCATTATCTCTTTACATTGTTGCAAGCAGATTATTTGACCAAAAAACAAGAGATGAAGATATTAACGGTCAGGATGCGTAGTTGGACTAGATGGTGTATGAATTTTCTACGTCACGTTCCTTCGCATAATTTTAAAACTAATCCCTTTGCCTGCCTATATATACCCTTCATATATCTCATCACTTCTCTCACAACTCAACAATCTCTACATTCTTTCATTGAGAAAGGAAAATAATATTTGTTCGTTCCTTTACTTCGCAAGAAGAAAATAACATTATTTCGTATTGAAAAATTAACAAAGGATCTTAGCAATTTGGTATGACTAAGTTTTCCTCTTCTTTCTCAAAGTTATGTTACTGATTTTTGTACTTCATCCCCTCACGATCAGTTGGCTCATGATCTTGTGTATATGTGTCTATGCAGATCTAGAGAGTTCCTCTAACAGACAGATCATTTACAAGAATGACGCAGTAAGTGATCATCAAACTTCAATAGAACAACAACCTTCTGCCAAAATTTTATCCTTAGAAAAAAAGCATTTTCTGATAATGTTTGTGTGCTAATTAATTAATTAATATTAACAGAAGGAAGCACATTTACTCAAAGCAGAACTCCTTGGGCCGATCTGATTTTCCGGAGGGTTTTCTCTTCGGCACGGCCTCATCGGCTTACCAATATGAAGGAGCCATAATCGAAGCTCCTCGAGGACAGAGTGTTTGGGACACATTTGTTCGCAAATATCCAGGTATATTACTTTGTTATATTTAGGTGTATAGGTATAATATTTATCCAAGTATAACTTTAATGAAATGGGAATTTTGCAGAAAGAAATTGCTACTCTAACGCGGATCAAGCAATCGATTTCTATAACCATTACAAGGAAGATATCCAAAGAATGAAGGATATTAACATGGATGCTTTCAGATTCTCTATCTCTTGGCCTCGGATTTTTCCTCGTTAGTTCTCAACTCATAAAATATAAACCACTACTTTCTTGATTAAAACATATACTTTCTTGATTTAAACATAGTATTAATCAGTGATCTTTGAAACTATTCAATAGATTTAATTCTTGTTTTATTTCTTCATATATATTCCCAATAATAATATAGATGGAAAGAAGAGCAAAGGAGTGAACAAAGAAGGAATCAAATTCTATAACGATCTCATCGACGAACTCCTTGCTAACGGTAGTTAACTAATCTATCTTACATGCATGTAGAGCCTAATCTTCTTGATTGACATATTCTAACATATTTCACATATATGTGTATGAACAGGAATCAAACCTCTAGCTACTTTATTTCATTGGGATACTCCTCAAGCACTTGAAGATGAATACAATGGATTTCTAAGCGAAAAAGCTGTGTAAGTAAAGTGATTTTTAACTATCAATATGTATTAGTGCATGTTTGACTATAATTTTCAGATCAAGGAATCTAACATATGCATGCATAAAAATAAACCATCTTTCAGTGAAGACTTCAAAGATTTTGCGGCCTTGTGTTTCGAAGAATTTGGCGACCGTGTGAAACTTTGGGTAACACTAAACGAACCATGGGTCTATAGTATTGGTGGTTATGACACGGGAAGAAAAGCACCCGGACGTGCCTCCAAATACATGAACGAAGCAGCGGTTGCTGGAGAATCTGGCCTCGAGGTTTACACTGTTAGTCACAATCTACTTCTGGCTCACGCCGAAGCATTTGAAACCTTCAGGAACAATCCAAAAGTAATTAAGGAAACAAAATAGCTTATATCTTTTTGATAAGCGATCTAAGTTTTTGAGGACATATTTACTGATGATAACGTACGTTTATATATGTTTGAATAACAGTGTAAAGATGGCAAGATCGGTATCGCTCACTGTCCTGTATGGTTTGAGCCTTATGACTCGAGCAGCCCTGATGATAAAGAAGCATGCCACCGAGCTATGGAGTTTATGTTTGGTTGGTGAGTGGTTTAATTTATTTCTTGATAATATATAATTAAGGAAAATACCACAAATGTTTTGTTGAGTTTCTAACAATTATTTTGGTGTCGTATATGTAAACTGATCAGGCAAATGGATCCTACGGTGTACGGCGATTACCCTGAAGTCATGAAAAAATCTATCGGAAATAGATTACCATCATTTACCGCAACCCAATCCAAGAAGCTACAAGGATCTTTTGACTTCGTTGGAGTGAATTATTACAGTGCTTTCTACGTCAAAAGTATTGCTGAAGTGAACCATGACACGCCCAATTGGAGATCAGACGCACGCATTGAATGGAGAAGTAAGTGGAATTCCATATATAACACTGAACTCATTACTCATATCATATTAGGGTTTCTATTCATTTATTGGATCCAAGCATTTTGTAACGTACCCGTTTCTTTTCTCACAAGCTTCTGATTTCTATTGGTACAGAACAAAACAAAGCAGGACAAATATTGGGTGTAAGAGGTGGTTCAGAGTGGGACTTTCTATACCCACAAGGACTTAGAAAGTTTCTAAATTATGCCAAGAATAAATACGAAAGCCCAAAATTTATGATCACTGAAAACGGTATATATATATCATAAGGTCTTTCAAAAAAGTCTTACTCTATTTTATTTATATGGGATTATAGCTTACTAAACTTTTTTTGTTAAAACTTTTCTTCAGGACACTGTGATATAGATTACGAGAAAAAACCGAAACTTTCTAACTTGATGGATCTCCAAAGGACAGAGTACCACAAGAAACATCTCCAAAGCATCCAACAAGCCATCAAGTAAGTGTATTCAATAAAACGTAAAAACTACACTCAGTTTCTCGGCTCACAAGAATCTCAATTGTGTTGAAACCTAAATTACTTAGTTGCTTACTGATGATGATAACTGTTTTGTTGCTCAGGGAGGATGGAGTTGAAGTTGAAGGATACTTTGCATGGTCGTTATTAGACAACTGTGAATGGAACGCAGGTTATGGAGTCCGATACGGACTGTTCTACGTCGATTACAACAACGGACTAAAACGTTTTCCGAAAATGTCAGCGATGTGGTTCAAAGAGTTCTTGAAGAGAGAAGAAGAAGAAGAAGTTGAAGTTGAAGATTCAGAGGAAGAAGAGTACGTGTTGAAATCTGCAACGAGCAAGAAGAGATTCTTATTAGCAACTGGTCCAGCTTCATACTTTATTCCTAAGATGTCTGAATCTTCTAAATCCCTCGAACTGTTTTTCTAGATTTATTTTGTCAAAAAACTTTATAGCAAAACAAAGTATCTTCAATAAAAAGGCATTTATTAATGGTTCTTTGCGGCTTTAAAGTTTCTTCTACTTTTGGTCTCCTTTGTTCACTATCAATTCTTGGATTTCACATCAATTAAAATAACATATAAAGATCATATGCTGATATGCATCAAACTGAAAAAATAAAACTAGAAAAAAAAGAAATGTTCAAATGATGCGTTCGTTGGCTTAAATACGAAATAAACGTTCATCCTTGTTTCACGCGCTGGGATCTTGTAGAAATTGTAATTTGGTTTTAAAAAAAAAAAACAGCGTTGGTGGGCTTTACGGGCGGTTGGTGCGCGTTGTGTTTTTTTTCTTTCACTCGAGTGTCCGATAAATAACGTGTGGGCTTTATATTTTAGTTTAAGAGATCAATAATATATTTATTTGGACTTTTGGCGGACCCAATCCCATAGCCCATTACTCCATGATACAAATAAGGAAATGTTTTGGGCTTTATTCGACGGAAGGAAAGAAATTAATAATAGTATTGGTTTTAATTTTTCTTCTGGATAAAATATTCGTTTTAGATTAAATAATTTCCCACGTTGGCTTTATTTATTTGTTTATTTTTCATACGTTGACCAAAAATAATCGTGTCCACTTGTTTCGCTCAACAAAGTAAAAATAATACAAGATTAAAAATAATAGACTAAACAAAAATCAAAGCATAGGAAATTCAAAAATAATGCACAAAACTTGTAGATATTTTCTGACATTTCATCGTTTTTTTTTATAATGGTTTGAAAGGGATGTTGTAATCGTTATCAGAGGCTTTATTTTCAGAAGTGGTGGTTAGATGAGAAATGTATGTTTTCACAGTTCTCACGCATTTGCTTTCGAATATTTTTGTTGATGTGATGAGTCAGCGTTCGATCTAATTAAGAGTTGTATGGTTTTGTTTTTTTTCCACAATACTTTTACAGGATAAGGTTTCTTGCAACAATTAGAAAATTGTTTGATGTCCTATAATATAAGAAACAATTACTTATAAATAATGTCGACAATGTTACTTATATGCTACACTATCTCTCCCCTCCAACAACTCTATTTATAGATATAGGAGTAGGAGCAGATCAATTCTAAACATTTCCCTTTCTTCTATAAAGTTTCTCACAACCAAAAAATTTCATTATCAAACAAAAAAATAAAACTTGAATTAGTTTGTTTTTTACAGCAATGAGCACTAGTAAATATATCAGTTTACTGTTGTTACTCATTACTTTGGCCTGCATTGGGGTTTCCGCCAAGAAGCATTCGTCAAGGCCTAGATTAAGCAGAAACGATTTTCCTGAAGATTTCATTTTCGGATCTGCAACTTCTGCTTATCAGGTTTGTTTGCTTCTTTTATATTTTACTTATTCCCTTCTTTTGAATCTTCTTCTTCTATTTTGTCTTTGTTTTGGTTAATTTTTTATGGATTCTGCAGTGTGAAGGTGCTGCTCACGAAGATGGTAGAGGTCCAAGTATCTGGGACTACTTCTCTGAAAATTTCCCAGGTTTCTCTTTTGGATCTCTTTATACATTCAAGACTTTAAATTGTTGGAATTTGGTTTATGTTTATGAATCTGCTTTTAATCTTTGTGTTCATAGCAAACATGGATTAATATATGACCATTCTTGATACTTCTCTCTTTTTCTTGATATGAAATTAATAATTATTTCAGAGAAGATATTGGATGGTAGTAATGGCTCCATTGCAGATGATTCTTACAACCTTTACAAGGTATTATATTGTCTTCTTCACTCAAAACAAAAGTCAATCACACATCCAACATTACAATTTTTTTTTTTTGTTCTTCATGAAAAAACAGGAAGATGTGAACTTGCTGCATCAAATTGGCTTTGATGCTTACCGGTTCTCGATCTCTTGGTCTCGGATTTTACCTCGTAAGATTATCAATCCGATTAGATCTTTGTAAGAGTTGTTATATATCCATGAGGGAATTAGTAAATGGAGTTCTCATTTTGTGTTTTGTTAGGTGGGACTTTAAAGGGAGGGATCAACCAAGCTGGAATTGACTATTACGACAATTTGATTAATCAACTTCTTTCTAAAGGTAATGTTTCTTTTCTCAGTCTACGCTAAACATTAGTAGAGGACTCTTGCTTGCTTTTTTAATACATGTTGAGGAAATCTTGGGGATGTTATTTTTTTCAAGAGCGCAACATTTAATGTTATTTGTATTGTTGTACATGTGATAGGAGTGAAGCCATATGTCACACTCTTTCACTGGGATTTACCTCAGGCACTTGAAGATGCTTACGGTGGCTTCCTAGGAGCTGAGATTGTGTAAGTTTTATTTAGTTAACATCTCTATATGATAAGATCATGACATTGCAAAGATATTAAGAATGAGTTTTTGTTGTTGTTGTAATCTTTTGGTAATGACATAGGGATGATTTCCGAGACTATGCAGACCTTTGTTTCCTGAAGTTTGGAGATAGAGTGAAGCAGTGGATGACACTTAACGAGCCATATACAGTAGTACATGAAGGTTATATAACAGGTCAAAAGGCACCTGGAAGATGTTCCAATTTCACTAAACCTGATTGTACCGGGGGTGATGCAGCCACCGAGCCTTACATTGTCGGCCATAACTTCCTCCTCGCTCATGGAGCTGCCGTCAAAGTCTACAGAGAAAAGTACCAGGTATGTTTTCTCTATTCATGATTTACACTTTGATAGTTTGTTTGTTTGTTTGTGTTTGCCTTTGATTTTATATTTATGTGTTCTTTTGCTTTCCCAAAAGGTCTCAACATATCTATCATCTTAACAAAAGATTTAACTGTAAAATGAAAAAAGACAAACTCAATCAAAAGACTTTCTTCCCGCTTGCGTTTTATATTTTCAAATTATCTATAAAAGAAATGATTCTTAAATCTGATTTACTCAATTGTGCACATTGTCTTGTTTGGACCCTGCTCTGTTTTTACTCTGTTTCCTATCTGCTCTGCTTCTAGTCTGTTCTGTTTTTAGTTTTTACTCTGTTCTTGGTCTGCTCTGTTTTTATTCTGTCTTCCGGTCTGCTCTGTATTTATTCTGTCTTCCTGTCTGCTCTATCTATTCTCTATTTCCGCTCTTGCCTGTTTGCTTACCGTCATAGATGATTGAGTCTACAGGAAACTCAGAAAGGTGAAATCGGAATAGCATTGAACACAGTATGGCACTACCCTTATTCAGAGTCATATGCTGACCAGTTAGCTGCGGCTCGAGCCACAGCCTTCACCTTCGACTACTTCATGGAGCCAATTGTCTACGGTAGATACCCAATCGAAATGGTGAGCCATGTTAAAGACGGCCGTCTACCTACATTCACTCCAGAAGAGTCCGAAATGCTCAAAGGATCATATGATTTCGTAGGCCTTAACTATTACTCATCTCTTTACGCGAAAGACGTGCCATGTGCAACTGAAAACATCACCATGTCCACCGATTCTTGCGTCAGCGTCGTAGGTCCGTGAACCATATGGCTTTCCTTGACCTATAAATTGATCGTTTCTCGAATTAATATTGGCATATTCATATTCTATTCTTTCATTTACATCCTCGTATAATTATTATTTTGCATATTGTCTTAGGTGAACGAAATGGCGTGCCTATCGGACCAACGGTATGATTCTTCTATTTAGCTTTGTTTAGTGATCAATCTCCCTATCAAATCAAGATTTTTTTCATGATAGTTTAAGTTAATGATCTTCACTATTTATCCGAAACAATTGTTTAACATGTGTAACGTATATATATAATCTATAATCCATTTCAGGCTGGGTCGGATTGGCTTTTCATTTATCCCGAGGGTATTCGTAATCTCCTACTACATGCAAAAACCAAATACAATGATCCCATCTTGTACATTACAGAAAATGGTAAATCATAGTATTTAATAGATTTTTTTAAAAGAAAAATATCCTCGAGTTTTCTCTAGAAACAGAAACTAATACAGACTAATCTTATCTTATTGTATTGCTGTAGGAGTGGATGAAGCTAATATTGGCAAAATATTTCTTGACGACGATTTGAGAATTGATTACTACGCTCATCATCTTAAGATGGTTAGCGATGCTATCTCGTAAGTCATATTTTCTGATCACATCAATAAACATATCATATCATTAGATATGCCCGGATCGGTATGAATCGTAAACAGAATGTTAGTTTTCTTTATTAGTTCCTGCGTATCATAAACCAAAACTAGATAGGATAACCTTGAAATGTATGTTTTCACTTCACGGCGCAAGCAGATATACTAATAACGTTTGTGGAAATATGTATTTGACATAAAATGTAGGGTCGGGGTGAATGTGAAAGGATATTTCGCGTGGTCGTTGATGGATAATTTTGAATGGGCGGAAGGATACACTGTCCGGTTTGGACTAGTATTTGTGGACTTTGAAGATGGACGTAAGAGGTATCCGAAGAAATCAGCCAAGTGGTTTAGGAAATTGTTAAAGGGAGAGCGTAATGGGACGAAGCAGCAGGTGGCTGCTATTTGATTTGATAAATCACACGAGCCATATTGGTTTATCTATCTAGTCTACTATTCGGTGTCTATACAAATACGTACTGTTTCTTTTCGATATGTACAGAAAATAAACGTTTCAAATAAGAGGTGGTAGCAAGTTGGACATAAATGATCATGCTTTCTCACCAATTATTTTTCATCATCTAGAACTTCTTCTGTTTTGAATTTGATACTTGACTAATGGATTATAATTAGAGCCCACGAGAAAAAAAAACACAGGAAAGACTACGTAGTCTTTGCTCTTTAATTTGTGGTCTACGTAGTCTTTAGAACTTGGAATGACTACATATATATAGGCATGTTGACTCACAAGAAACATAAACTAAACTTTATACCCATAAAAAAAGAAGCATGAAAGTACCCATTATATTTATGTAGAATGTCTAAATGAGTAAAATGTAATTAGGTTTGATTGTTTTGTGCGACTAATTCCTCTTGTTTGTTGTTGAAGGTAATTTACTAATTTGCTACAAACTCCTGATTAAACAGCTTCTGTTCACGTACATGCAATATAATGATATTTTAGAGGTAAAACATCCGTGTTGACAATCGAAAAACATAAAAAAGTCAACACATGCATAGGTCCATTTTTTACTAGTTGTTCTCATCTCGTTCTTGACAACTGGACGTGTCATAAAATTTGTTGAAGTACTTTTTTTTTTAATCTTTCTTAATCATAATTATCCTATTTGCATACGACAATTACCTATACTATTCTATTTTTTTCTAAAAACAATGATTGGTTTTTTTTTCATACAGCTGTTGTTACTAGACTTTGCTCTGGATGTTTGAACTCTGATGCATCTGTTTTGGTTATCAGAATTTGCTTATGGGTGGTTTGTGCGACTTGGATTATAAGTAAATTCATCAGGTGCCAAAAGAAAAACAATCATCGTATATTCGTATTCGTCGATCGTATATATGACCAAAAAAGAAGTGGTGAAGTTGTAAACGAAGTTAAGCACATACATATATGATATAAATTTGGATGATGGTGAAGGGATAAGAGAGAAGATAACAAGATATAGGCCCATCTCATAGCCTCGTATACAAAATATATAATTTCTTAATATGAAAACATGTCACAACTCAGAAGCAGGGGCGGACCCACATAGAAGAAGGTTGGGGCAGTTGCACCCACCAACCTATTAAAAACTAAAAATTTTGCATTAAAATTAAAGTTATATGTGTCAAAATGGTTAAAGTGCCTCCATATAGTGTTTGAGATCATGGGTTCAAACCTAATTTGCTACCTTTTGCCCTCAATTAATTTTTTTTCTGGGTCCGCCCCTGCTCAGAAGCCAATTAATTGTTCTCATCTCTTATTTTCCTCAGTGGAATCTGATAAGGACTTTTCCTCATATCTCTTTTTTCCTCTATTTTTTTGAAAATTATTTGTTCCTTGTATAAAATTATTCTCAAGGGGTAACTAAGTAAGAAGAAAATCTTTGTTGCTGTTTCTAATATGATTCTTACCAGTTACATTCTTAATTTTGGTGCATCTTTTAGTAAGATATCCAAAAAAAATCAGTGCATATATATATGAGAGAGGATTTATTCTAATTAATTACTGATTAAAGTATTATCTTCATTGTCTAAAACATATATTCTGAAAACCTTATTTCTGCGAAGTATCCAGTAAGATTAAAATTGTTAGAGAAACTTAGCAAGATTTTTGGATAAAGATGACACGTACTATTTGTCTATTTACCAAACAAAAAAAAATGTGGACTTACTATATATTACGGCTACGATATTGTTTCCAATAATTAAAAACTGAAACACTAATAACACAAAAAAGATTACACATGACTTAGCATCGCGCACAACACGAAAATTCTAGAAAACAAAGCTAATAAAGTTATAAATCTTTACGTTACACTTGTGAGACTGTAACCGTACCACGACGTACATGCACTCTTCGCAGAATATGTTACTCAGTGAACGTCTCCATGATGTTGACCACATTCAACACCAACACTAATTTACTAACATGCATGTAAATGTAATTAAGTGAACCTGAGCAGTAATCACGGGAATATTCAAAGAAGCCGATGGTGAATGTGAGTAGAGATCACGGGCACATTCAGAGATGACGATGGACAAAAACAACCTCATGAGCTTTTTAGTTGGCAATATCCATATAATGGTCCGAAACTTGGAAAGAAATATCAGGTGATTATAAAAATACTATAAGTTCTATATATCTATCTATATCTAGATATATGTGATATATATGTCCAAACATTTCCACGTAGATGACGTATATCACTTCCTATATGAAAATTCTCTATATAAGAAGAGAATATCTAGTAAATCTAATCACTTAGGAATCTCAATACCCAAATAAAATAGAAAAGAGTGTGTGTGTTTGAGAGAGAGAGAGAGAGAGAGAGAGAGAGAGAGAGAGAGAGAGAGAGAGAGAGAGAGAGAGAGGGATTAAGAAAAAAATGGGTAGGGACCGATCAAGTTTCATCATCATCCTTTCGACCATCTCATTGTTAGCAAATACGATTACTTCTCTAAAACTAGGCCGGCACAGTTTCCCCGATGGTTTCATTTTTGGGACAGCTGCTTCGGCATTTCAGGTAATTTCATCATTTCATGAATAGTAATCTGCTGTGTCATGATTAGCAAATGGCTATGTGATATACTGATATCGATTCTACAACTTTAATCCGTCACAAGGTTAAAGCTGTCAGCTATTCTATTTTCTTTTTTTTTGTTCTGTTATTTTGATAATTTGATTGATATAATAATTATGGAACTCTAATATTTCATAGCTAAATTCAAATTCTCTCAGCGTAACAAATATATTAAAGTGAACTGAAAAAGCTGTTTTAATTACAAAAAAAAAAATACAAAACATGCTCTTTTTGGGTCTTTTTTTTTGGCTATATGCTCTCTCTCTTTTTATAAAAAAAAAAAAAAAATCATAGTGATAACGCTGTTATGAGTTTCAATTTCAACTACGAGAAAAATCAAATATATATAATTTGCTGACGTCTATAGATCTTGACGTTCTGTTTTAATTTGTTCTTCCATTTTTTTCCCACTCAAATGTTCCATTCTTGTCATATAAAATCGAGATTATATAAAGTAGCTTGCATCATCGTACAAACATTATAACAACTATTTGGTTAGGGGACAAAATAATATCTTACGAATTACTTTGCCAAAATCATAATTTATTCTAGCACACAAAAATAAACGAATTACTACTATCTAGTAAAGTTTCTTTCGTAAAAAGTTGTATCATGTTTCGTATCGTTCTTATTTTGTCATTCTAAACTAGCCTTGCAATAACTTAATGTAATTAAAAAACATAAATATAACTGTGCACCATATATATATGTATAGTATGAAGGTGCAACAAACGAAGGTGGCAAATCTCCAACTATATGGGACCACTTCAGCCGCACTTATCCAGGTTTGTCCCAAATTACAGAATCTATCCGACCGATCTAATATATATATTGGTCAATTGAATAATTATTATTTGTGTGAGCTGTTAATGATTATTTTATTAAATATTTGACTGCGTGCAGAAAGGACCAAAATGCATAACGCCGATGTAGCCATTGATTTTTATCATCGTTATAAGGTACTCATCGTTATAACCCCAGCCTACTTTATATAAAACATGCATGCATCTATAATCCATCTTGTTATTTTAAATTTAAATCAAACTATCATACTAAAGGAGTTATTAAATAAATAAGAATCATCTACTTATCTCAAGATTTTGTTTTGGTTATAGTCAATATAATAGTATTGTTACTTATTTGTTCTTTGGTTAATCAATATGTTTGTCTAACACGACAAAAACAAAAATAGGATGACATCAAATTGATGAAGGAGTTAAACATGGATGCTTTTCGATTCTCGATCTCGTGGTCAAGATTAATTCCCAGTAAGTAATTCAACTTTTCTTACTAATTAATTCTTATTTATATATTTGAGTTTTATTTAGGATGTAAACTTTTAATTATTCTATAGGTGGAAAGCTAAAAGATGGAGTAAACAAAGAAGGTGTACAATTCTACAAGGATCTCATCGACGAACTTCTTGCTAATGGTACGATTTTTAATCCACGCATGAATTAAAGTTCTCTCTATTCAAACAAACTAATAAAGGTGTTACTATTTACTCAAAAATAACCAAATTTAATTATAGTATATAGTACTGATGTACGTAATTAACTAATTATGTTGCTGTACTTAGTTTTCTATTATATGGTCTTCATAAACATGCAGACATACAACCTTCGATGACTCTCTATCATTGGGATCACCCACAAACATTGGAAGACGAATACGGTGGTTTCTTGAGCCCTAAAATAGTGTAAGCAAACTAAATGGAAGATACTATAAGTTGTATATTTCCAATTCTCAAAAACTATCACTAATATCGAAATGATTAATTTTAGTTGAATGATTTTGATCAAAACAGGGAAGATTTTCGAGATTTCGCAAGAACTTGTTTCGAAGAGTTTGGAGATAAAGTTAAGATGTGGACAACAATCAATGAACCATATATAATGACCGTTGCGGGTTATGATCAAGGTAACAAGGCTGCAGGACGATGCTCGAAATGGGTAGACGAGAAGTGTCATGCTGGCGACTCGAGTACCGAGCCTTACATTGTTTCACATCATACACTTCTTGCTCATGCCGCTGCAGTAGAAGAATTCCGAAAATGCAAACAGATTTCGCATGACAGCCAAATCGGGATAGTACTGTCACCACGGTGGTTCGAGCCTTATCATTCCAACTCTGTTGATGATATAGAAGCAGCTGAACGCACTCTTGCTTTTGAAATTGGATGGTAAGTTATCTAAACTAAATACTTTAATTATTTTTATAACGTCAATGATATATAAATTTTATTTTCTTGATTCTATATATGTATATATGTATAGGCATCTCGATCCAGTGATTCATGGAGATTATCCAGAAATTGTAAAAAGATACGCAGGAGATAAATTGCCTTCGTTTACTGAGGAACAATCAAAGATGTTGAAAAATTCATCTGATTTTGTCGGAGTAAATTACTATACGGCACGCTTCGCTACTCATATGCCTCATATCGACCCTGAAAAGCCTCGCTTCAAAACTGATCATCATGTCGAATGGAAAAGTACGTATATACTGCTAATTCCTAAAGATTGGTCCATATATATAATAACTCAATTAAAGCTTTAGATGGCCGTATACTTATAAACACCGTTTATAAATTGCTTTGAAACAGTTACCAACCACAGTGGCCACATTATTGGACTTGGGGTATGTACTTAATTCTCTTTCGTAATTAAATGTACTAATTTCTAAATGCGACTTATAATAACAGCCTAATTAATATGACTTTTCTTTCGCAGGAAGAAAGGGGTTTGTTGCTGTCATACCCGGAAGGCTTGCGAAAAGTTTTAAACTACATCAAAGACAAATACAATAACATGCCAGTCTACATCAAAGAAAATGGTTAGCAACATCTTCTGTTAACTTAGAGATTCAGCAAAATTTATTTGTTTTATTAGGAAATTCTGAAATTTTTTTATTGCATAATCTCCGTAACTTCCCCAAGAAAAAAATATTGTCTTAGCACTTGAGATTGATATATTTTCTGTTTTGTGTTTTCTTTTTTCTTGATGCGACTAATTATGTATAACGATGATGACTACCACTAATTTGCAGGAATCAATGACAACGACGATGGTACAAAACCAAGAGAAGAGATTCTTAAGGACACCTTTAGGATTGAATACCATACGACACATTTCGAAGAACTGCACAAAGCTATAGTGTTAGTTCTTGATCTTTCTTACAGTATTTATGTGTTTCTTTTAAATTGATCAAACTTATGATATAAATCATAATATGTTTAATAGGGAAGATGGATGCGACGTAAGAGGATACTACGCATGGTCACTGATGGACAACTTTGAATGGGAACATGGATACACAGCCAGATTTGGTCTTTATTATGTTGACTTTGTCAATGGTCTAAAACGTTATCCAAAAGATTCGGTCAAATGGTTCAAGCGGTTCCTTAAAAGATCGGTCGGAGAGACTAAAGAAGAGGATGAAGCAAAGGAGATGTCATGTAAGAAGTCACGTGCGAAGGTGAATAAGACACTGTATGAGCAATCTGCGGGGTTCTTTGTATCTTTCATGGCGGCGAACCAATCTAGGAGAGAAGAAGAGACAAATCGTTGCTCGTTTGATTATCCTTATAATCATTTTGGTGTTTTGCAAGAGATAGAGAACCCATCGTCATTTTATTGATTTCATGTATCCCTTATTGTTTCTTTTATTTTTCTTTCATCGCTTATGGTTAAATATGTTGTTGTTAAAAATTGGTTTGGTACTTACATATGAAAATATTATTTTTGGAAGCTAATGGGTGGTGGCACGATGCTATAATTTGTGTATATTTTCCTAATTACTTTTCTTTTTTTACGACGTTGTTTCAACTTTTTTCTCTTTGGAAATTTATTAATTGAAACAGGGATCACAATATTAGTTACTGTTATTTTATATTTTCAATGAAACTTTATATAAAAATGATTACATATCTTTGTCATCACATCAGCACGAGATGCTGGAAATATCTCTATATAACCCTATCTAACAAGTGTCTAGTTGTGGCTTTCTTAAAAATCAGACGACAACAGCCGTCACAGAGAATGCTCTCACTAGATTTCTTCTACTTTCTTTTTCGTCAACGATACTTATCGCTTATATAAAACATTGCATCAAAGTTAGAAACGTAATTTACAAAAAGCAGTCCGAGGTAAGAAAAACTAGTGTAATTACACACAAGAAAGAAACCCTTAGGTTAGTACATCTGTACAATGTACATGTAATACAATTCCATGTAAGCCCCTTTCCTTGTCAGTAGAATTTGGTTTCTTCTGTAAGATAGAGCCAACATCGATGACATTCCAAGAAACAAATCGGTCATGAGTCATGGGTATACTAGTCGTGGTGAAGTGTCTTTTCTTCTAATTTTTACAATGTGGCCAAATTATATTGTGACGTATTTTAGACACTCTGTATGTGCTTTTACACGTACACTAATGAAAAATGTAAGACTCAGAAGATTGCCTGAGTAATAAGACCTGGTTCATATCTGTGCATAGGACAGCTTTCGTGGCACTATGGTACTGTCTGTACATTTCCAAAATTGTATTAACCCAATCCATAATACATACATTCGGGTTTATATTGGTAACCATAAAAAAAAAAAAGTGTAAACCGAAACATAAAAAAAAGAAGTGTAAACCGAAACCGAAACAAAAACCGAAACTAATTTAACTAGTGTACCAGAATAGTTGCAGTTAATTAGGGTAAACCGATTTGGATCAGCGGTTCAAAAACCAACAACCAATAAACCGGTTTGGTTAAGTTTCAACCGGCTCCGATAGACTCTCCCACTAAAAAATAGTTTAGAGACGACGGAGATGGCGGTGAGAGAGAAAGCTATGGCGACGTTGCCGAAATTGATTCAAAGCATGAGGAAGGAAGCTCTGAAGCAGCCAAATCTTGTTTTGCCATCTCTCAGACGAGCTTTCTCTCTATACGATCAGATCAATCTCATCGATAACGTTCCTGAGGATCAGCTTCGATTCAGGAGTAAGTAAATCCCCCCTTCCTAATTTGAAAATTTCAGCAATGGAATTTGAATTTTTGGGTATGCAAATGAATTCGATTAGTGGTGGCTTTTTCAGGTTTGATGAGACGAGTTTCAAGGTGAATGGGGTTAAATACGAAGGTAGCTTGCTCTGTGTTGGGAATTTGCTTATGTCATGGAGCCCTCGTAACTTCTCCCAGATCACAACCGATAGGTAGCATCATCTCTCTTTTCTTCAGCTTGTTGAGAAACTAATATGATAAATTAGAGTCAAAGAGAAATAGAAACTGCATAAAGTTTTGATCTTTCATTGTGTTTTAGTGTGAACTTGTATTGTAGCCAGTTCTCTGTTTACTGTGTCATTGCTTAACAAACTTACATATCTATTTCATGGATGCAGCTTGTCAATCTTCCAGACAGTTCGACCAATTCCAGGTACTATTCATTAACATTGCAGTAACCAATTTTACTGTGGTTGAATTGGATTGTTAAGAAACCATAGTATATGTAGGCTTTACACCATGTTGCTAGTGACTAGAAAGTAAAAACCTTTTGCACATATTGGAGTATATCATCACTGGTTTGTGACTTTTTTCCTTTTTTCTGCGATTTTTTTAAACTACAATCCCTAGAGCTCTTGATTGTTGGGTGTGGAAGATACAACCACCCACTGAATCCCCAAGTCCGTCAGTTCATAAAGTCAATTGGCATGAAGCTGGAAATACTTGATTCTGTAAGCTTTATCCTCTTGCTTGGTTCTTTTCAATTCCTTCTTCTGTTTGTTTGTAGTATTTGTCTGTGATTATTAATTTAACGCTCTGTTTTATCCAGAGAAATGCTGCATCAACTTACAACATACTAAATGAGGAAGGCAGGATTGTGGCTGCTGCTTTGCTTCCCTATGGAGTTACATCGTAAGAAACTCAACACCTCTGCTGGAATACTGTAAAACAAACTTTGAACCACTCGAGTCGATCGTCATAGTTGAAACACCAACACTGTCTTTTCTTTTTTTCTTTTCTTTTTTGGGGTCAAACACTGTATTTTTACTGTAAATAAAGATGCTTCACTCAAAACTTTTGCTAGAGAATCAAAATGTCCATCGTTATCTGCTCAGGATAACAGCATTATTGAAACTTTCCTTGTTCACAGCTTAAACTTGGTTGAGCGTTATCTGAATAATAGAAGATACTTTCCTGCTTTATTTCATTGTTTACATGATTTTTCATCCAAGAACACATTGAACTCAGTAAAGAACCTAAACCACAAGCACTTCTGTGACTAGCATAAAAGATACTGAAAAACAAATGTTGAGTTTTCTTTGATACGCCTTGCTTCTAACCATGGTACTACTCTCTCGATGCCTTTGCTCAACTTATATACTAAATAGCTAGTTAGACTTTCAACTTATTCTTAACTGTTGAACTGATATTTCGTTTTCTCGGCAAAAGATCATCATCATCTTGCGGTGATACTTAGCTGAGAAGATCATTCGAGCTGGTAAAGTGGTTAGAACTCAGCGAGTACTCTTTTATGAGTTTGGAGAAGAAAGAATCTTCTCTCTGTAGCAGTTTTGCAGGTGAGTCAAACTCTGCGATTCGCCCTGCTCATGAAAAAGTGATTTAAAACTCGTTGCTATGTGTGTGAATGTATGTAAAAACACACGTATATTGTTCTTACCATCACTCAGAACCAGAACAAGATCACTCTCAATCACTGTGTGGATTCTGTGTGCTATAGTCACCACTGTTCGATCTTTAAACTCTTGACTGATGATCTTTTGTATCACACCATCTGTTGCAGAATCAACTGAAGCTGTGGCTTCATCAAGCACCAGAATGTTGCATTTCTTCAACAACACCCTTCCAAGACAGACCAACTGTCTTTGCCCTACGCTCCAATTTTCTCCATTTTCAACCACTGTTACATACATTCAAGAATCTTAGTTTTCATTGTCCTGGAAACATTTTTCCTCATAAAGATTGCAGAATACTCACCTGTAGCATCCAGCTTCTCATTCTTTGCACGAATAATATCTCCCAATTGGCATTTATCTAGAGCCTAAATACCACCTTGTATTAGAATATTTGTCAAAGTAAATCAGAGAAGAATTACACAGAGTTTTGCAGGTTTCTTACCTCCCATATTTCGTTATCAGTGTACTGAGCTAGAGGGTCTAGATTCAATCTGATTGTTCCATCAAATAGTGCTGGATCTTGAGGAATAATCCCAAGCCTAGATCTCAGGTCATGTAGACCTATCTTGGTTATATCCACATTATCAATAACTATGGTTCCTTGACTTGGCTCTACAATCCTAAATAACGCCTGAATTAAAGTTGATTTTCCGCTTCCTGTTCTTCCTACAACTCCAATCTTTTTTCCTCCTGGAAACTCACAGGTGATGTTCTTCAAGACAGCTGGGAAATGTTCTGCATAGCGGACCTGGAACAAAGACATCTCAGGATTGAGAATCTTGATTACATCTGTTTCTATGAACTTGGTTCTGCATTTCACAGTCATATGCTCAAGAAATATGTTTTTAGCATCTACTTTGTTATTTACCTGTAGGTCTCTGAAGACGATTGATCCTACGTTTGGCCAGTTATCATGAGGTCTGTGATCATTAATTACTAGAGGTGCTTCACTGGGGATTTTGGAGTACTGAAGAATTCTTTCTACAGAAATCATCTTGTTTTCTGCATTGCATATGTTCCATATCACTGTGGCTTGTAGAACATTCAGACTTAAGCCATATGTGACCCCAAGACCAGCAATACCTGTCAGAAAAGGTGAACATGAGTTTGAGTTCTGATCCCATTAGCAAAAGTATTTACTATTTTATGATGTACGAAACTTACTTGGATTGATGACACCTTCAGGGAGAGTCACAAGTAACACCAAAGAAAAAGCAAAGACAAAATGAGACAGCAAATTCAACCGGAAGGAAAGCCACTCCATTGCTGATGCAACATGGAACCATGGCCTTGAATGGTTATCTATTAGAATAAGGTTTGAGCTAATGAAGCGATCTTGTTGATCAAAAGCACGTATTGTTGTTGCACCAGCAAGCGATTCAGCGAAATGGTGGAGGATTGGAGCTCTTTCTACTCCCGACATGCGCGACAGTTCTCTTGCTGCTGGTGTGTAATATCTCTGAAGAAAACACGAGAAAAAAAAAGTAAGCAAGAATTGTTGTATCATTGTCAAGAAGTTGGATTTTTTTTTCTCTCTTACTTGGTAAAACACGCAGGCTACTGCTACTGGAAGGAAGATGACACAAACTTGCCAAGCAACTTGCGACATGACGAAGATGGTTCCAACAATCTGAATGATAGAAAAAGCACACCAACCTAGTTTGACTGCCATTTCCAAATCCAGGACACTTTGATCTGTGGATGCCTATTATAAAACATGAAAAAACCAAGTTATTTTCAGTCTTGATTCAGTAAAAAAGAAAAAACCATGTTTTTTGTTGGATTGATTCTGGTACTTTACCCGGTTCAAGATTCTTCCTGTTGGAGTTGAATCGAAAAATGACATGGGAGCTCTGAAAATGCTGCAGAGCATCCTTGAGAAGAACGTCTCTGCTGTTAAAAGTCCACCTATCGCGACTAGAATAGTCCGTGCTAAAACACAAAGTGAACTTCCTGCAGCAAGAAGTGCATAAACAAGTAAAATCCGATCCATTCTTAACTTTGGTGCGGATTCAGCAGTTGGAGGAGCAGTCCATGCCATCCAGTAATTGCTAGCAATCTGTAGCATTTGGAAGCAAGACTGAGCCAATATTATGAGTGGCACAAGCAATCCGCCTTTTACAGTTGTTAAATATGCCATGTAAACTTCTTTGCCAATTACTCCTTTCTCTGTTTCTTCATCTTGCACTAACTTTGCTTCTTTCTTTTTATTTTCTGTTGAGATGTTATGCTCGGAGTCACACTGTGTCTGTAGACTCTCTGAAATTGATGTTGTGTCATCGTTTGATTTCTCTTTGAAGTTTCTGCTTGATTTTTCAATTGATAGGATTGAGTCTAGTGCTTCGTTATGAGCTCCTACAAGAACTTCAAAGCCTAAATTTTGTTTTAGAAGCTCTTCGAATTTGCCTGCTTGCAGCACTCTTCCGTTTTGCATCACCTGTTATAGAGTACAAACACTAATGTTAATGAAAACTACAGCTTCTTTTGCATTTTCTTATGACCAATGGTTGTTTCTCTTACCAGGATGAGATCTGCTGCTGGTAGAAACTCAACTTGATGGGTAACGTAAAGTACAGTTTTATCTTTCAGTATCCCCATTAAGCAGTCCTGCAAAACCAGTAGAAAAAGAACATTGTCAACTGTGGCGTTTTAAGAGCCAAAGGATCAAAGATTAAAAAAAATTTCGTGAACATTATTATACTTCAAAGAGTTGTCTTCCTGTATGAGCGTCAACAGCACTAAAAGGATCATCCAGTAGATATATATCAGCATTCTGATAAACCGCTCGAGCAATCTGTATCCTTTGCTTCTGACCTCCACTCATGTTTATCCCTCTCTCTCCAATCTCTGTCAAGTCTCCATTAGAGAAAAGCTCAAAGTCCTTTATCAAAGCACATGCTTTAACAGTTCTCTCATACTTCTCGCTTTCATAAATGCTTCCAAACAAAATGTTATCTCTTATAGTCCCGCTTAGTATCCATGGAGATTGAGGAACATAAGCTTGTTTACCACTGACTCTGACTGTTCCTTTCAGCTTCTGAATCTCCCCTAAGATTGATGAGAGTAAGCTTGATTTCCCTGATCCTACAGCTCCACAAACCGCCACTTTCATTCCGCTTTTCACTTTCAGTTCTATCTCATCAAGAGTCGGTCTGCTTGGCTCAGGTTCCCAACTGAATGCTCCATTTTCTATTTCAACGCTTAATTCTGAACGATCATTTGAGGAATACTCGACTGCATCCTTCTGAGTCTCGCTTTGTTGAAGGTAAGAAGCTATTCTATCTGCAGAAACCTTGCACTGAACAAGCGCTGAGAGAAGATCAGGTAAACCGAAGATCGGACTTTGTAACATTTGAAACGTTGCAAGAGCAGACAAGACCGCACCAGATGTAAGCTTCATTCCCATTAGCATACAAGTAACAAAAGTCACCACAGAGATCAATGAAGGAGCTCCCCAAAGGATGAAAGTAGTGAAGGCTTGTAACCTCAAAGACTTCCATAAACAATCATACTCTTTCTTTCTTAATGTTTTAACCTTGTCAAGAAATTGGTTATCCCATGCCTGAAGCTTCAGAATCTTCATGTTTTTAAGAATCTCTGAAGTTGCTTTCATTCTATCATCTTTGGCATTCATGATATCTGATTGGTAGTTTCTCTGAAGCCTTGTCAGGGGGTAATTGCAAGCCATCACCATTAAAGTTGTGACCAATGCAGCTAAAGCTCCAAGTCCCAGATGTTTTTGCAAGATATAAATCGCCGAGAAAATCTGTATAGGTAACATCCATATGGTGTTTACATACCAAATGAAATCAGTGATTCTTTGAACATCTACACTCATGTAGTTGATGATCTCTCCGCTTGTGTGGCTTTGCCGAGATTGACTTGATAAAAGTAATCCTTTTTGGTATATATGAGATATCAAAGCTGCTCGAAGACGTAGTCCTAGCTGACGAGCTCCAAAGATCCATTGTCTTTGAGTAACTGTCTCAACGATTTTCGCACTTAAAAACCCGAGTGCAAGAAGGTAACCATGGTTTAAGCTCTGGGATTGTTTCTCACTTAGAAACTCTACAAAGTCATTGATGAGATATGGTCCAATGTAAGCTGTGCTCGCGTTTACAACTGCGAATACCGCGTTGATGGCAGCTTTCCTCCAGACATAGCGAAGAACCGAGTTATAGAAGAAAGCATTTCCAGGTCCTTCTTTTTCTTTGGTGATTTTCAGTTTCTGGTCAAAGGCATGAGAGCAAAATCGAGCAGAGTCTTTCACATCGATATCTGGTACATCGTCTTTTTCAAGAGGTCTCTTGTATCCGAGGGAGAACAAAGGGTTGATCCATGAGAAAGTGATGCGTTGGAAGACAGTAGCGTTTCCATATGGTGAAGTAGAAGAAGAAGAAGAATCTTTCTTGTCCTGCTCAGTTTCGCCACCAAGTAGTAGCGGCTCTGTGATTCCGCTGGATTCAAGAAGACGGAAACCTGTTTGCCCTCTGATTGAAATAGCCAGCAAGAACAATGATGCAAGAAGACCAGTCAAGTCTACATAATCCTGAAACCCGAGAGGCTTGTGTTTCGCGGTTATGAAATGAGCATCAAAGGCAAAGGATAAGATGAAACTACAGAGCCACCAGGATCTTAACGTCCAAGGAAACTTAACAAGCCTCTTTTCTCTGATCTTCACCACAGAAAGAGAAACAATCAACCACGAGAAAGCCTGCGAAATCTCAGCGGAGAAGACAGAAACAGAGGAATCACACCGTGACACAACGCTGTCTCGAAAAAGCAAAAGCAAGATAAAGCAATGAGTCCCTAAGATCGAAACAGAGCAGATAAGAGCTACGTTATAAGAGAAGCTCTGCTTCACGGTTATGCTCTGCTTCTTCAAGTCTTCTTCTACATCATTATATCCTCGGTTTCTCACTACACCAAACCATTTCAGTGCCAAATGAGTAACAAAGAAAGCAAGGAAGGCCACTTGCATAGCGATGCTTATACGTTCCTTCAAGCAAAGCGAGTTTTGTTGCAACCATTGCGTTCTCAAGAGATGAAAACCCGTTTCTGCTGCTCATATTAAAGCAAACACAATCAGGTAAAAAGACGAAAAGATTGAAGGCATAAAGTTTCTAAATTTTCGTGTGAAAGATATCAACTTTACCTGCGGAACCAAGGAGCTTGAACATAGCTTCTTCTTGGTTTTAAGAAGACACGTCTACGCACCGAGAGTCTTAGTAAGAGGCACTAGAGATGATTGGAGACAATCAAGTTCATGCTTTGTTTTCAGATAGAGTTGCAGAAACTTGTTATGTGTGTAAGAGAGAAAGAGAGAGCTAGTGAGACAAGTATTGAGTTTATAGTGAAAAGTGACGCCAGCGCTACAAAACAAAACAAAAACCTTTCATTGAATGATTGATATGCTTGAGAGCTTTGGAGAAAAACAAATTGAATTCTCTTATTAATTAACTCGACGCCCTAAAAAATTAATTTTTAAAAACCTATATCTCTAAAACGATCATCTTTCTTAGTAGTATTGTTTTGAAAACGTGACTTTTCAAATCAATTAAAAAAAAATCAAAATCAAAATCTAGTTTTTTTTGTTATCAATAGCATGCATTGTGGTAACCGGTGAGGGTTTGATGACTGTACTAAACACTATGATTGCCATAAAGTATGACATAACTAATGATTACCATAACGGCATAACCTATGACATAATGAGTATAATTAAGGAGTTTAGATTAGATAAAACCTGTAAAATTGTTTAGCGAAATATATAGTTGGAATAAAGTTAATATTGGAGAGACTCTCAACAATATTGATGAGCTGAATTCTAAATGAGTTGAATAATGATGTGGTCACTGTACTAGAAACATCAATGGTGTGGCCTTGAATAACATTAATCAGGTCTAAAGTTTTTCTGCTTTCCCAGCCATACGCACGTACCAGGCCATGCAAGTCGATCGTGTTACATATATACATACAACGTAAATATAATCTCGTACGCGTGTGTAAATATTGTATTTATGAAAAGAATATACAACGTAACAATCAATATTAGGGAAAGATAGTGAAATCGTTGAACTAGAAACACATGTTACTTCGTAGAATTAATTTTGATTAGAATTTGGTATTTATAGAAAGTTTTGCTGTTTAGCGTAAGGATGCATACGTACGTGTCAGATTCGTAGAATATGAGTAATTTCCTTATACGAAAGAAAGTTAGGCTTGATACTTTTGGAAATGAGCGAGTGAGAGAGATTCCAATTCGATTTGATCCCAATGCATGCTGTCCTTTGCGACGATATTGTAGGTGGTTGGGACCATACATACATATAAGCGACTACTGCGATGGCGATGTTACACAAACACAAGATGTACCCTTCAACTGTTTATACCAATAATATATAATAGACTTGATCGGTTGATCCGATACTATCCTCAAATCATCATCAACGTCACCATATACCCCAGTTAGGGTTGTTCGAGCTCTTTGAAAAGTTCAAAGAAAAAAGGGTATATATACAGAAATAAATAAAAAGCTATAATAAACTTTTCTTCTAATTATGTGATTAATTAAATACCCTTTTCTATATGATTTTTTGTTGGTTGATATATAGATTCTACTTGCCATAATATTTTCTTAAATTGCTATGTTTAGTTATTTTCTTAGCTTTGATAGAAGTGATATAAAGTTTAAACAAAAAAAAAAAAGAAAAAGACAGAAAATGATATCCAATCTTTGTTTGCCGCGAGTCCCACCGTGAGAGTCAATCACTCCCACTAATTGTTGCATTTGCATGCAAGCGTGGAAAGCATCGAGTCCACTCATCAGTTCCCTTAATAAAATATTTTGACCTCCTAATATCAATTGTTAATTAGTTACTTTAACTCTGAAACTAATATATATGTATGAAGTGTTGTTAACTTACAGCCTACAGGATTGTTAAACAAAAGGTATTTATAAGAATATACACACATATACGTATGCAAGATTCATATAAAAAATGAAGCAACACGTTGACGATCAAAGGGTATGAGTCATTATTTATATATGTCGATGTCTTTTGTTGGTCCATAAAATTGGCTGCTGACCAAAATATTCCTCCATCGAAATACGTACTACCGATAAAGGTTTTCTTGACAGAAGCGTTTCCAATATTGATGTGACGGGTTTAAACCGGTCTCTTACTAGAGCCGGATGGAACCGGTTTTGGTCTTAGAACCGTTTGAAAATACGCTGTGTTTTGTCCAAAGTAGGTATAGGAGTTCGGATTTAAGCTTCTTTTTAATTCGCATCATTTATATAAAGATAATTTAATCAATCGTTTGGATTTTATAACTATTTGGTTTGGATTCGACTAAATACAAATACATGTTATAAGATGACATAAAATTGTTTGTAATGATAACAAAGTTACAAGTGAAATGTCTTGTCCTCATACGCTTATGTTAGTGATTTCCATGTGAGTTTCTTGGCGGTTTCGGTCCTTTTCTCTTATAATGTTTAGATGCGTCATCAGCTTGCTTTTTCCTTTAACTTTGCAAAAATACAAAACCATAAAGAGCTAAAAAAAGAAAAAGGTACATTAGAAAAAGACCAACCTCAATTAATTAAAATGCTAAAGTCCGTGATAATATAGATAGCAACCCATATATAAGAACAATTCACGACACTTCAGTTTATTGCATCCATCTAAATGAGACTAATCCCTTAGATTTATTTAAGGCCCCAGAGGAGCCGTATGAGGCGAAGGATTTAAGATTGTACTTACTCTGACTAATACTATATTCCTAAGTGCATATTATTAGTACTCTATTGCATAGAACGTGGATAAGCAAACAAATTAAAGCTAAGGTATTCATCCATTTGACTGTTACGTGTGGGGGTTTTGGGTTTGGGCCTTGCTGGTATGAGCAAAACTTGAGATTAGATACATTCATAAATCAGATGAAAGCGCATCAACTTTTTGGATACACCTGTTTCCTTATTTATAAGGTGAAAACAAGATGTTAGATCACGTTTGAAAAAACAAGGCTAGGCTACGCGTCGAGATTATTTGTTGCTGAATAAAAATAGATCACACCGGCAGGAACAAACACTAGATTCGCAGAATCTAAACACAGATTGAACAAACTTCTAAGCATTGATTGGCGTATTTGGGCAACTTTTAAGTGAATCTTTGAGAAGACTCATCATTATAGTTTTTTGCTGAGAAGAAAAGTGCAACTGTGCAAGTCAAGAAATAGTTTAAAGAAAGAGATTCACTTGCAGGCTCGTGACTGTCGGTTGATTCAAGGTTATCCATGATCTGCGTCATATTGCCACTTAAGCATATATATATTCCCTTTTCTCAAGGGACGTCCGTTCATATCGCCGCCATAAGAAGACAACCGTTTTTGCGAAAACCTCAATTTCTGATATTGTTGCTTTTTGTATTTGGAACTCGTTAAAATTGACATACGGTTTCGAAATTTTCATATTCTTACTATAGTTTCCATATTTTATAAACAAACTAGGTTTATTATCTGTATTATAATCCCTTTTTCCTTATTTTGTGTTATTTAAACCTAGAATATCGTGTTAATGTTACAATCATTAGACACTATAACTAATTAATACATAAATTAATTCCAAAGTACTTCCCTATTGTCTTTCCTATTTAACCTTCTTTTTTTTTTTTTGGCTATATGGTAAATATTTTATTGAAATGAAAATAGTTTGGGTTTCTATTTAACCTACATTTATATATCTTCAATCCAATAACGAACTATAGGTTGCTTGCGTGAGGGAGAGGTAGATTTGGAAGGGAGGTAACGTCAAGTTCTAAGATTAAAATTAAACGTAAGATAAAAAGCGACACATTATAAAAGCAATTACGAAAAGAGAAATGAGCACGTAATATCTTGTGTTGTTAAAACCATTTTTATTTTAAATTCTATGTCGTATACAAACAAGAAGTTCTTATTAGAGTAAACAAGTACCTGGCTTAGCTAATGAGTCTCTGACAGGTCATAGGCATTGAGTAAACAGAGAATTCGAGATTAGAGAGCTACGTTACTCGTCGAGATTCTTTGTTGCTGAACAAATCGATCACACCGGCCGGAAAAAGCAGTGAGAGCAGAGGATTCGCCGGCGGTAACGGCGGAATCTCAGCTCTACACAACGGACACTTGGACATTTCACCTAGCCATGTATCTATGTGTCAAGAAACCCAACTTTGTATGAATGATTTCTTAGTTTATTCCATCGGAGGCTGAAGCCTTTATATACAACATGTGTTAATTAACCTAAGTACTTACATCTATTTGCACAAAGGTACTTAGACTATATAAGATATACACATGATACTATATCCTCCTCAATACCCCCCCTCAAGTTGGAGTATGGAGGTCACAAATACCCAACTTGGGAGTAATATCTTCAAACTCTTTGCGTCCAAGAGCCTTTGTAAGAATATCGGCAAGTTGCACCCGTGTAGAAACGTATTGAGGAGCAATCACACCTTTAACAATCTCATCCCGGATGAAGTGACAATCCGACTCAATATGTTTCGTCCGTTCATGAAAAACCGGATTTTTACTAATATGTATAGCAGATTGGTTGTCGCAGTGGAGAGGAATCGGGTAAGAACAATCCACACCAAGAGCCATGAGTAATTCCCGCAGCCATAGAAGCTCACAAACCGTTTCGGACATCGCACGATATTCCGACTCAGCCGAGGATCGAGAAACAACCTCTTGTTTCCTTGTTTTCCAAGAAACGGGAGAGCCACCAAGTTGAATGAACCATGCCGTGAGGGAGCGACGAGTACGAAGACAGCCAGCATAGTCAGCATCACACCAAGCAGTGATGCGAAGATCAGAATGAGCACGCAGAAGTATCCCTTGACCCGGATTATTCTTGAGATAACGAACCACACGAAGTGCAGCTTCCCAATGAGCTTCCTTAGGAGCATGCATGAACTGAGAAAGCATGTGAATCGCATAGGACAAATCGGGACGAGTAACAGCAAGATATATAAGGCGTCCCACCAACCGTCGATATGGGAAAGGATCCGGGAGTGTATCCCCACCAGCCAAGGCAAGCTTATGATCTTGTTCAATAGGATGAGAAACAGGTTTAGCGCCAAGTAAACCCACGTCTGAAATGATATCGAGAGTATACTTGCGTTGACACAAATACATACCCGTCGAATTACGTGCAACCTCAATCCCTAAGAAATACTTGGAGACACCGAGGTCCTTCATGTGAAACCAAGAACTTAAATACGATTTGAAACCATTGATCACCATAAGAGAACTCCCGGTAACAATCAAATCGTCCACATACACCAGAACGTACAAACTAACCTCTCCATTGGTATAAGTAAACAGCGAGTAATCCTTGACGCATTGTTGAAAACCATATTCTTTCAAAGCCACTGAAAGCTTGTCAAACCAACAACGAGGAGCCTGACGAAGACCGTATAAAGACTTATGTAAGCGACACACCTGTGTCTTATCAGCAGTACGAAACCCAGGGGGAAATTGTATAAACACCTCTTCAGCTAAGTCCCCATGTAAAAAAGCATTGTGGACATCCATCTGATGAACTTCCCAATCCCGAGACACTGCAACTTCAAGAAAAGTACGAACCGTAGTCATCTTACACACGGGTGCAAATGTCTCCTCATAATCTAAACCCTCGGTTTGATTATTTCCAAGTACAACCAACCTCGCCTTATGTCTCTCAAGTGTACCATCAGAACGATATTTCAATGTAAAAACCCACTTGCAGCCCAAAGCTTTCTTCCCGGGAGGTAGAGTCTCAATAGTCCATGTACCTCTATCCTCTAAAGCTTCAATCTCTCCACGTACTGCATTCCTCCAATTTTCGTCCAAAATAGCCTCGCCAAACGTCTTTGGAATAACACCTGCGGTAATAGCAGCCAAAAACGCCCTATGATTGTGCGAAAAATTGGAACAATCGACGTAGAAACCAATCGGATACCAACTCGAATCTGTAAAATCACCATCAGTCGCTGCAACTGTCGTGTTCACCACATAATCACGAAGTTTGGCTGGGACAAATTTCTGTCTACAGCCGCGACCCATGTTCTCCTCTTGTTCAGCAGAATCATGACCAGACCCACTCTCGTCCATGATTTCAGAATCCGAGCTAGTAACCGGAGACAAAGGAGAGGGAGAAGCGATGGTCGGAGAAGATGGAGTAGGTGACACGACCAGCGAGTCAGTTTCTGCAATTTCCGAAGAAGAAGAAATCACCACTGCAGGCGACGAATCATCATCAACAGAAGCGAGAGGAGAGGTCGTAAAGGTTTGAGCGGGAGGAAGTAATGGGGATAGTTCATCCTCACAATCGTCATCGTCACAAAAACGAGAATGCAAACTTGGAGAAGACAAAGAGAGAGACGTCGTTGGTGTATCAGTAGCATATGGAAAATCCGATTCCAAAAAAATAACATCCCGAGACACCGAGATGACACCACTGTCAAGGTTATACACCTTCCATCCCTTCTTCCCAAAAGGATAGCCAATAAAAATCGATCTATTACTCCGAGAAGCAAACTTATCACCATCTCGACGTTGATCATGGACGTAACATAGGCAGCCAAAAACCCGCAAATGATTCATTGGAGGAGAACGAGTATAGAGCATTTCAAATGGAGTTTTACCATTGAGAACCGCTGTTGGTGTGCGGTTTATTAAATATCCGGCCGTTAGAGCACAAAAGCTCCAAAACTCAACAGGGAGATTAGCTTGAAACCGTAGAGCACGCGCGACGTTCAGTATATGTCTATGTTTGCGCTCGACACGGCCGTTTTGTTGGGGTGTACCAACACAAGAGGTTTCGTGATGAATTCCTCTTTCACGAAAATAGCCACCGAGGCTCAAAAATTCGGATCCATTATCACTCCGAATCGTTTTAACTTTCTTATCAAATTGTCTTTCGACAAGTGAAATAAACTCCCGGAGTGTAGTAGCAGTTTGTGACTTGGCAGGTAACAAATAAATCCATACGGCACGGGAGAAATCATCGACTATGGTTAAAAAAAACCTTGAACCACAAATTGCTGTTGTCCGGTACGGACCCCATAAATCACAATGTACTAATTCAAAAGCCATAGTCGTCTTATTAATACTCAAAGGGAAAGAGTCTCGTGTCTGTTTTGCACGAATACAAACGTCACAAGACTTGAAATCAAAAACAGTCGTACTAGTAGTCTTAGATAGCTGCAACATCTCCAAAGCTTTAGAGGACGGATGACCCAAGCGTCTATGCCACATATCCAATGGTGTTGAATCCGAGATTTGTGTCACCGCTACAGCTTCCACACCTCTAAAAAAATAGAGACCATTCAACTGCTCACCGGCTCCAATCACCGTCTGAGTGATGCGGTCCTGAAGAACACAAAGTCTGTCAGAGAACTGGAATATACAACCCCTATCCCTAGTCAACTGAGAAACCGAGATGAGATGACACTGCAAACCATCCACAAAAAAAACATTTTTCAATGCTAGTTGTGAACCAAGAGAGACCTTTCCCTGTTTAGTAGCAGTACTAAAACGTCCATCAGGGAGCTTAATGAAAACCGGAGCCATATCACAAACCTCAACAAGGTAATCTAAGCTTCCCGTCATGTGATTAGAAGCTCCTGTATCAATAACCCATGATTCGATAAAAAGCTTACCCGAGAGACGATCACCATGACCAGAAGCTCGTTCGGTCAACATCTGCTTCAGAGCTTTCCACTCGTGATCATCCAAGCCAATCAAGCCAACACGGTCGGCATCAGTGATGACTGCATTCGCCTGGAACGTTGGTGTTGGAGCCACAACTTGATTCGCATGAGAAGAGACAGACCGTGAGGAAGAGGAAGTAGGAGCCATTGATGACACACGCCGATCACCATTAGAGCCATTGGAAGGAGCTTGCGGTGTAGGAGGTCCTTTGGAACGAGGACGATCACCCCACCACCAAGGGTAACCAATCTTACGGAAACAATTTTCAGCAAGGTGTCCCTTTCTCCCACAGCTCGTGCACACCGCCGAAGGATCACGAACCACCGTCTGTTGCTGAGCACGAGAAGATGACTGAACCGCAAAACTAACGCCTTCATTACGTTCATCCATACTGCGGCTCGCCTTCTTTGAATCCTCATCTTGTTGAACCACTTGATATGCCTCATCCAAAGAGGGTAAAGGGTCACGAGAGACAAAGATGACTTCACAGCCCCAAAAATATTTTCATCAAGTCCCATAAGAAATTGATGAAGTTTATCTTCTTCTCGTTCTTTGGCTATCTCGTCCGCTGTTTTAGCTCTTTGAAAATCAGCAAGGCTCGTCCATAGCTTAGTAAGTCTGCCATAGTATGCTTCCACGGCTGCTCCCTTTTGTTGGCAATTCGCGAGTTCAGTCTTTAAACGTTGAACCCGTTGGCCATTCTTCACGGAGAAACGCTTTTGTATATGCGTCCATAAGTCAGATGCCACTTCATGATGAGAAAGAGAACTACTGAGATCAGGAGCAATCGTGAGTTTGATCCATGACACCACCATGGCGTTATTTGCCCACCAATCTTCAATATCCTCAGAGTCATCCGCTGGTTTAGGGATCGAACCATCCGCAAAACCAAACTTCTTTCTTGCACGTAAGGCAAGTCGTATGTTGAGTGATCATTCGTCGTAGTTAGGACCTCGCAACTGTGGTTGTGAGATGACTGAGCCTGGATTATCTCCAGAGGAGAGATCATACGGATCAATTCGACGCCGTGTGGACTCAGTCCTTGTTGATCGGTTTTTAGTAACGGAGGACCCATCATCTTCACCCAACATTGTTAAGAAAGTATCACGATAAGAATAGATCTATGATACCTAGGTCAAGAGAAGGAGAATAAAGGGAGAACAGAAGAGTATACAGAGGATCGAATGACCTAAAATTTTAGGTAAAGCTCTGATACCATGTCAAGAAACCCAACTTTGTATGAATGATTTCTTAGTTTATTCCATCGGAGGCTGAAGCCTTTATATACAACATGTGTTAATTAACCTAAGTACTTACATCTATTTGCACAAAGGTACTTAGACTATATAAGATATACACATGATACTATATCCTCCTCAATACTATGCAATCCGCGTGGAAACAGTGTCGGCAAATCGTCAATCGCCTCATCTTCTCACCTTCCTCTGCCTCTTCCAGGCACACGACACAGTACGGCGGAGACGAATGATCTTTCGCAGCCATTCTCCACCTGCTGACCGTGAATGTGCGGTGTCGACGCCATGGACGTGTGATTATGAAAGTGGCAAATCTTAAAAAGAGACGTGTAGAGAAGATAGAGACGGAGGCAACCAAAATAGAAACAGTGATAAGCTCGCAAAATCCAGACACAGATTGAGCTAACATCATCCAGTAATTGACTTGACGAACGAACCAGATAATCTTTATGTGGCATTATGTATATCTCTGTTTTTTTCTTTTTTTTTAAATAAAAATTGTACATCTCTGTTTTCTAAGCTGGAAGAGATGAACGGTCACCATTTGATATTTATAAGAAAGTCGACGGTGGCAATTCTATCTAATTTTAATAATTACAAGACTTGTAACGTCAATGGCCTTGCAAGTTGTAACCAGGTAACTTCTTGGATTTGGAAATATCAATGGGACTTGTGACTAGGTAACTTCTTGGATGTGGAAGCTTGATTTATAAGTCAAGGCCTAACAAGTCCTTGACTAAAAAGTAGTTATGTGACGAAACTGTGGCTTTATAATGAGAACTTGCAAAACGTCGAGATATTTACATCAAACATAAGCACACTTATGTAAACGTAGTTACGTATAGGGCAAGGCACATGTACTTCGGAAGTCTCTGTTTTGTTTTGTTCGGTGATTCCTAGTCCTTGATGCTGAGTTGCTGACACAGACTACGACAAATCACAAATCAAACGATAATTAACTAAATATTTCTACAAGGACTAGTCAAAAAAAAAAAAAACTGTATGGTCTGGATGATCAAGAGCTGTACCTTGTCAAGTTTCAGATGTAAACAGAACTTTGACTGCCTCGAAAACCTCTTCACTGGGTTTTGCAGCATTAATCTGGTGGAGGAATCAGAAACAAGAATCAGGAACAGCATATGATAGTAATGATTATGGAAGAGAACTGGAAAAAACAAATCCTAACCTTTCGAAGTTTCCCTTTAGATTCATAGTAGCTAACAATAGGGAGGGTAGATTCAACATACACTTTAAATCGCTTCTTTATCGTCTCTATATTGTCGTCTTCTCTTCCCTTCATAACCAAGAAACAACTGGTAAAAGATAAACAAGATCGGAACTAGATATCATTTTTCAGTTAAGATTAATTCCAACCTGGTTCCTGTTCATAATGCGTCTTTCCAGCTCTTCTTCTGGACAATCAAAGAATAGAACAAAAGCAGGCTCGATTTTAGCCTGTCAAGATCCAGAAAGTATTAAACCAAGGCTTCAACGAGACAAGCAGGACTCGATTAGACTCTATAACAGGCATCAACGAGAAGTCAGTTGACAATTAGATTAAGACATGGGTTAAGATGATCCTTACAACATTTTCGAATACGATCCGATTTTCTTCATTGCGAGGAAAACCATCAATGAGGAACTTATCATTACCACTTTCCTCCATAGCTTTACACAAAAGTTTTACAGTTATCTCAGACGGCACAATTCTCCCCTCTGCAATCATACTTTGGATCATGGCTCTGAAAATATCCACAGAAAAAAAGAAAGCAGAAAACTTCACCAACTGTTGGGTTTTCAATTTTTCATCATACAAAATCATCATAATCCTAGAATAAAATCATCATATAGTATGAGACTGAAGCAGAACTTACCCAAATTCAGAACCAGACTTGATTTCTGCTCTAAGAAGATCACCAGCACTTAAATGGGTATAGCTGAAGTGCTTCACAACGTTAGCACACTGAGTACCTTTTCCACTCCCAGGACCACCTAGAGCCAATCAACCATTCAACACCACACAAAATAAAAATCCAACCTTTAAGCATGATTTTACATATATAGAGTGGAATTACTATTACCCAACACAAAAACCACGGTTGACTTCTTCCACCTAGGGCTTTCACGTTCGTCCTGTAACTAAATAACATCGTTGAGTTTACGGAAAAATTCCAGATTCTTTTAGTTTCAGGAAAAATGAAATTGGATACACAGGTGAAATCGATACCTTAGTGGAAGCTTCAACATGAGTTTCCATGATTAAAGACGATATGACGGTGAACCAAACGCTGAAGTTTGAGTACAGGCGAAGATGATTCAGGTGAAGATAGACACTAACGGCGTGTAGTCTGCAAACGGGTATGATTTAACGGCGTACAGCCATCTTCAAAGTGAGACAACACGGCGTTTAATAGGTGGCATTCAAAATAGATTATAAAACACGTTCAGTGGTCCCAGACAGTTCCAATAAAACGGCGCACACTCTACTAGTCATGAAGTAAACGCCATGGCGTTTATAAATAGCAATGGCAGAGTTATTACAAAACGTCCCAAGAGTCCCCAACAAGGTCTGATCATGATCATATTCATATACATACAAAGACACAGGCGATGAACTATGTTACAAGCCGACGAACGTGTTATCAACACGCGAATTTATAGTTCTCTACTTATAAAATAAACCATCACCAGAAATACACACACACTGACACACATATTGGCTTTTATCATCGTACCCAAGCAACAGCATCAATCTCATCTCTCGCTTTCTTATATAACTCGAGCCTCTTCGCGCACTCTAGTCTCCTATCCATCAATGCCGGATCTTCATCTAGTAATTGTCCCAACTGTTTCCCCTGTGAAACAAATATAAGATTTGACACGCATTGCAGAGAATCCATAAGATTTGAGACATGTTTGTTATTTTTGACTTCAGTTTACCTCTCTCTTACTGATCTGTGAGTAGAAGTAATTGAGCAACGCGAGCTTGGCTTGTCTAACCTGACAATAAACACAGGCTTTTGGAATTGTGTTACGAAGTGTGTCTGAAACCATGTTGACATACGCGGATACATTTGATGCTATCCTTCTGAAATGTCCATCTCCATACTGATCTAATGTTGCAGGCGAAGGAGAAGCGGCTTGATTTTTCTGGTTGCTTACTGGTCTTTCCATTTCTTGAGGAAGTTTCCGGAAGAAATCAGCCGTTAGATACGCAGATTCCATGTCAACAAGTCGAACAACCGACTTCCTGCTTTCTTCCCTGAATTTCTCCAAAGAGCTGTTGGCTGCTGCAGCGAGCTCAACTTGCAGCGAGGGGAAACGCTTTAGCTCCTGCATTTTTTCCATCAGGGATATCCAGTAAAAACCTTATCTTACATTCTACCAGTAATATGAAAATCAATAGTTTGAAGAAAAAAAGTCTCACCTCAGTTTCTGATATTGACTTCCTCACCAGCTCTTTCAAGACAAAGTGAACCTGTTGCATATGCGCCAAACTCATTACGGTCTTATGTATATGTTAAAGTGAAGTGAAGAGACAATGTAGAAGAACTTACAGCATCTACAGAAGCTTCGGCTGGACCTCTAAAGTATCCCAGCGCCCCTTCAATAAGACGGCGATAACCCTGTTCTGGTGCAATCAAGTGAGGTTGATAGCCATCAGCCTCAGACACGATTCTCTTAACGCTTTGCAGAGAAAGATGGCGATCAAAAGGAAGCTTTTTGAGTGCAGCTGGAAGTTGATTGTCGAATACTCCATAGATACGGTCACCTCCAGGACGCCTAAAAATGTAACATGATGTTAACCAAAAAAACCAGCAACTTACGCATAAGGATTTCCGCAGGAAGATGAGTTACAATGTTTACCCGCCATCCAGATGTTCCTTGAATATTTTATCGAATGCACGGCACATCTCCAATATAGTGTATAGTTGAGCCTGAGAAAGAAACCAACAGATTTAGCCCATAGTAAAAAATGTATAACTTCACTGAAGAGAAATAGTTTCACATCGATGTACTCTCTCACCCCAGCATCGACTGCGACAGGCCTACCCATGCGGTCTAACTCCCTTTCAAGTTCTTCAATGCTTTTGTTTATTAATGATAGGATACTTGGAATACGGGTCCTGATAACAGACTCCAAGTGCTGTGGAAAAAAAAAAGATCATACAGCAATTGAAGAACAATGTATAAAACCATAAAATAAAGTCGCAAGCATTTCAGGAATTGATTGAAAACCTTTGAAAGAAGCTTGGCCAGATACACTGAACCCATTTTGCTGGCTAAGTGACCATAGTCAGGACTGGTGTCGAAATATTCTCGTTCTTTCCGCCTCGCAAGCATCATATCAACATTCTTATTGATATCTGCTTGTGAACGGTTCACTATCCCAACCCAAGGATGTTGCAGCCTATATGATCTTCCTTCAAGAACCTAAGGCAAGCAGTTAGGTATGTTAGATCAAATATTCTTAATAAAAAAGGTAAGAAGAGGAAAGAACGCTGTAGATTTAGCTACTTATGATCATACATAATCATTACGGTGAACCATGACACATGAACCAAAAGAGATGAAGAGGTGCTTACTTCCAATGCATTAGTTCCTTTGTCCATCAAGTCTAACTTGGTAAGGACACCAAATGTCCTCTCACCTGACACAACCAAAAACTTATGTCATCATCAAAAGGCATTACTTCCTGCCAAATCTATCATTTCATTTGCAACAGAATAGCAAACAAACCTGTTGGATCGACATCTTTCGCGAGCTTAATTGCATCCGATGTGGCTATGTCTTGGTTGGCAGGAGATATAGCTAATATGATACAATTGGGCTGGAAACAAACAGAATTAGCCAATTTTGGAACTGGAAGATGCATCTTAAGAATTATAAGCAGAGAGAGTAAAATTTTGAAACAACGCAAATAGAGCCTGATCATATATAGCTTTACAGTCTCACCAACAAAAGTTGGTGATACACAAAACCAGCAGTTCTCACCTTATCAACATACGTGCGAACCATGGTTTCGATATCCTCAACGATGGTTTCCGGCTGTCCCTCTGGAAATCAAAGACGATATCAATAACCTTCATAGGGCCATCAAATAATAAAGAAATGGAAACCAAAGCTAGAGTTAAAAGAATCATACCAACAGCAACCTTAGTCAAACCGGGTAAATCAACGAGAGTAAGATTGACAACTGTTTGGAACACAACATAACAAGGGGCAAGCATCAATGTTAGTTCCCAAAAAAAACAAGTTCACTACGGGAAGTAAAACCCCACAAACTGTAATTAAAGCTGACCATTTGGAGAGAAGATACTGAGGTGAATAGGAACTGGAGATATCTGTTTGCTCTTCCCTGTGATTCGATCAGTCTCATCCTCAATCTCCTTGCGAACCAAAGCTGCAACACCAAAGAAAATTCAATGAACACTCTCAACTACTGTCTCTGACCAGACCCACACACCAACCAGAACATGAGAAAATTCATACGATAGAGAAACCAAAACACACTCTAGGTAACAAAGAAAACAGTAAAGAAGCAGAGCACAAATATACATTTAAACAATACCTTATAAAGACAAAACATTATATAGAGATACATACCGAAATCTGTGAATTGTCTCTTGGGAAGATGAAGGAACTCTGCATATTCCTCTGTTCCATCATCCGTCTTATGAAGCTGCAACACTAAAGGCCGTCTCGTAACGATACCTGCAGAAATACATGTTTCTCAAAATCAAAGCTCCTTGCTTTTATTAACAAACACAAAAGAAGAGAACATTGAAGAAGATTTAAAATTCACAAACCAGATCCTCTAGGAAGAAAATCTCTCCCAACAATGCTCTCAAGAACAGAAGATTTCCCAGAGCTCTGCATAAACCCCAAAAGAAAAAAAAGAAAAAGCAAGTTGAAGAGTCAACAGAGTAAAACAGACAAAAAAACAAAAACCTAGGAAGAAGTCAAAGAGCTAATTAAACCGGAGAAATCACCTGACCACCAACGACGGCGACGGTTGGAAGAGCTTCCCAGAGAGAATTGAAAGCGTTATTTCCAGTTCCACCACCATAGTCACCAAGCACGGTACATGCTCTCTGTATCCTATTAACTAACCCAATCAAGCTCTCCATAGTCGTCATCTTCCTTCTTCGTCAGTTTCAGATGAAAATTTAAAAGTTCCAAAGACGAAAATTCAGTTTAGAAAATGGGAAAGCTGCTTGAAAATTCGACAACAGACCACAAAAGACTTGAAGAGAGACAAAGAAGAAAACTGTTAGGGGCAAAATAGGGAAATGAATTAGGAGAATAAATGTCGTATGGTTCTAGAAGGTTTGATTTGTGTGCCTGTGTGGTTCGGTCGGATTTACAGAGATAGCTTTGCCGTCGTCACGGAGTCGCCTGTCGCCTGGCTTTGGTTCGGTACGGTCTGGTCTGGTCCATCCAAAAGGGTCAAATCTAAAATAATAAAGTGTTCAAGATTTGTGGTGAGCCTTTTTTGTAACGCGTAGTACATACAGTAGTTTGAAATTTCGAATTTTGAAGTTACACGTGGACCCCTCACCCAAACACACAAAGAGATGCTGTCGGGAGCATTATTTGAAAGGCCCAATAAACAGAGAAGAGTTTTGTGTACCTTGGACCCGCTATTAGCATTTTCGGAAGGCCCAGAAGGCTTTTTAAATAAATAAAGGGAAGTCTTTTTAAAGCCCAATAAATAAATAAAGTTTAAGGCCCATGAAAAGGGGTAGGAACACCACGTGGCAAGAGACTGGAGAAACGGACGAACATTCGTGTGGGATGGATGGATGTGTTGGAAAAGAGAAACGATGGCTCGTTTTCACCTAATACTTGTCGGCTTCTATCATCCATCGTCACATGCTTCCCTTTTAGATTTTTTTTTTTTTTATATATATCTTTTATGAATAGATTAAATAAGATTAGTCTTGGAGAGATATATATATATTAGTATTATTAGTTCAAGAATCAAGTGTTTGTTTTTCTTTTAAGGTCAGTGGCTGAGGTAATCACTAAACATCCTCTTATTCAAAATCCAATGGTATTGGTCCGATATTTATATAAACGCAATGTCAACTATATAACTAGATTTTATTGTTAAAGCGGTGGGAGACTTATTTTTCTAACGTGTCTGAGTGGGCAAAATGCGTAATAGATAAACACCGCAGCAAGTAAACAAAAAAAGTCACTAATCAACGTAACTGTAAATAAAAGATTATCACAAGTCAAATAACCAAATATAGCAAAAATCATTTCTGGTCCACAGTTACTAGTTTAGATGAGATCAGTACTATTTTGTAAGTTGGTAAAAATTCCCAACCAAAAACAAATCAATTCATTAACAAATAGAGTAGTGACAATTTTGCATTAAAAAAATATATATAAAAATGGGTTAGTGATAAAACGATCTGTCAAAATGGAGTGCTTACAAATCTCCAATTAATAAGCTCATAATTTCTCTCTCTTTCTCTATTATATTCTATCTGTATTTTTTATTTTAATTATTATTATTTCCGACAGAGAATGCTTTATCTCACCTCCGACTCTTCATCCGTGGTCTAAAAACAGAGAGATCTTAGAAGAAGAAGACAAAATCTTTACCACCAGATCTTTCTGCTTCCTTCTCTTTCTTCCTTGTTCATCTTTTACAGGTTGTCACATCACTATAATCTCACCGATACTCTCGGACCCCAAAAAGCTTTCTTTCTTTTTTTTCTTCTCAGAAAACTCAATCCTTTAGTCCATATCCTCCGATGAGGTGTAAGAGACACACCGTCGATTTCAGCAGCACAAACGGCGTATGCGCTTCTTGCCTCCGTGAACGTCTCCTCTCCCTCGCCGCTTCCGCCGCCGTCACAGCCGCCGTTGAAGATAACAACAATCGTAACCAATCACGCAAATCTAAGAACCCTCCTCCTCCTCCTCCTCCGCTTTTAGTCTTCCCTCGCTCTGTTTCTCCTTATGTAACCCGTAGAAAATCCGACGCCGGAGACGGAGGAGGTGATCCTTCAACCACTTCTAATCGGAGGTTCATCACCACGCCTCAGGTAGATCTCGTCGGATACTCATGCAAGGACTTGGAATCGAATCGGTCTCATAAACCAAAAGAAGGTAAAAAATTGTCTAGATTCTCTAATCTATTCAGAGCTAGATCTGAAGATTTCGATTCAAATCCTAAATCCAACAATCCTAGATTCTCTTGCGACGCGTCCGAGTCTTCGTCGTCATCTTCACGGTCATGGATCTCGTCGATTCTCTCCACCGGTCGCCGGAAAAAGCAACCGTGTTACATAGAAGACGTAATCGCAGGTCGCAGACCTCAACGTATATACTGTAGAGGAATGTCACCTGCCAGAGATACCGAACCGGAGCCAGAGCCGGAGCCGGAATCAATAGATGAATCGAGAAGAACACCGGCGGCGAAAACCCCGGGGAGGAGAAAGATTGGGAGTGGGATAGGGAAGAAGAGCATGTCGGGGATGGCTTTTTGTTTGAGTCCGTTGGTGAGAGCGAGTCCCAATTGTCCGTTTAAACGGAAAATGAGATTTCCATCGGAATTCGGTAACTCCGGCGATGTAACGGTGACGGAGAAGCCTCATATATCAGCAGCGGCGTCGTTTTGCGCAAATAGATCGAAGAAGCTTGTGGATTTAGGTCGAGTTGATCGCCGCCATTGAGTTTTGGGTGGTTTTAGTCTGGTCAACGTGTTCTGTTTGACTAGTGGATTGGATAGTAACTATACAAATTCACTCGTGGCTTTTCTAAAGATGGATTTTTCCAAATCAAGCTTTTTAATTGGCTTGAGGTGAATAATCAGAATGGAAAATAGTTTTTTTTTTCTAAATACTTTTTTTACCAACTTGTAATGTTTTGTTTCTGATTGTAATTGTAGAGTTTGATGGCCTAAATAGTTGTGCCTAAGAGGAGATTCAGATAAGCAATGTAGTGTTTTTGTTTTTGTTTTTGTTTTATGAGAATTGTTAGAAACCTATGAAATAGATCAAACCGGATCTAAATTCCAACAAGCTTGGGTCAAATCGTATAACGATTAGATCCTAGTAGTATATATATAAAACCATACTACTAGTACCGAATCAGGTTTTAGTCAATCTATATGAGCTCAAGTATTAATTCAGATGTATGTGATTAGACTAATCATTACGGTTTTGAATAGTCGTAATGCGGGAGCTAAGATTTTGAAAATTTAAACTGAATTTTGACACATGATTTTATGGCTTATCATAAAAGAGTGTGATAGTTTTGACTTGTTTATTTTGTCTTCACCTTAGAAAAGTTTATCTAGGTTTACACAATCCTTCTTTTCTTTCTCTAAGTCCCACTTTTCAACGCATAAACCTACAAATTACAAAACTGATATTGGAATCGCTTATGACACAAGTATCAAAATTTCTTTTATCTGACTTTTTATAAAATACAGAGAGTGTTTTCAATTAAACTTTGTAAAGTTGTCTATTTAAGCAAGAGGGTCCATGGGATCGATGGGTCCGTGAACGCTCATAGAAAATGAAGTTTGGTAATGGTACGAAAAAAGATCAAATTATCTAAAACGCAACTTAGTTTGAGTTATCTAAAAAAGAAAAGTTGATTGGAATTTCATTTGTATTGTTTTGACCTAATGACATCACTTTATTACCTTTCCAACCGTACAAGTTTCTGTCCCGAAAGCTCGTAATATCTATCAATTTGCTGTTAACCAACTAAGCTACGAGCATAAGGTATTATTAACTGTCCTATGAGAAAGTTGCAAATACAAAAAAAATCTCTTTGAGGGAACATTGTTGACTGATAACAGCTCTTACATTCTGGCTTGTGAGAAGAATCTAATGTCAGGAACAAGTGATTGGAACAAAAGAACACATGCTGTCACTGATATTACAAGAAAAACAAAACCTGAAACTCTTTGGTAGATGATACCACCATTGAATTCAATGCTAAATATCACTGGACGACTGCTAACAAGTCGCTTTCTTTGCAAAAGCAATGCTTAGCATCTGTTCCAAAATCAACCTGAAGAAATCGAGAGAGAGAGAGAGAGAGATGTCTCAGTTTCACAAGTATGATAAAAGTCATAACAAAATAGTGTTTACTCAATGTTACATCATAATCATCAAATACAAACCTCATAGGCGCTCATATCAGAGAACACAACCTGTAAAAGAGACAAGGGCATGAGTGAATGAAGAAGGGGATCCATACAGTGATTTCATTTATCTATCAAGTCAAAGATGAGTCCATTACCTTCTTGCCAGGTCCTACTTCCCCAACCTCAGACCCAACAGAGACAACCTGAAAATAATCAACTCCTCCATCATCAATTGTTTCTTCTCAAGTCTTGTAGCAAACCAAGTAAAAGAGCAGGGGAGAGAGAGTGAGAGAGAGGCTTACCTCGCCTGTTAGGTACCTCTCGAATTTGACAGCTGATTTAGGCAACAGTACTCCACCTGAGGATGTCTGCACACAAGTAAAATACTTTGCCACATCAACAACATGATATAATCAATATAATTCACAGCAAGGATTGTAACCATTCCCTAAATACATTCTCTCTGAATACATTGATTAACCAAGACTCGAGAAAGACTCATGATTCGTTAACTGAAACCGCAATACCACGAGCTGAGAAACTAAACTAATAAGTTTTTTTTTTGTTTCTTTTCGTAATTTCAGTGTCCTAATAAATTGTTCCCCACTTATTGTATCTTTCGAAACGAGAAACAATCCCAAGACTTTCAGATCATAAGGGGACATTTCAAATCGACAGCTAAGGAATCATAGGAAGAAAGCTAATGACATCGACTGAGAAAGCAAAAAAAAAAAAAAGGAAGAAAGAGAAGAGACAGGACCTCAGGAAGCACTTCAAGACGGACAAGGACCCTGTCTGCTTGTGGAACAACCTGCAAAACCCAATTACAAACAAGAATGATCTCCACGGGTTAAACCGAAAACACCACCACGGACAAGACGACGAAAGAAAAAGAAAAAAAGAGGTGTACCTTTGCCGGTTCCCATTTGGTGGAAACGGCGTTAATTAGAAGGGAATTTCTTCGAAAGCCTATAGAAGAAATAAATAAACAAGAAGGAATTCATCAATGTAGAGAGATGACACAAAACAAAAGCCCCTACCACAGAAAACAGAGAAACACTAACTAAGATTTGTACCGAGAAAGGTCTGATTAGGTAGACTAGGAGCATTGGTTTTGATGGGAAGAGATAAGAAGGGTTTAGGTACTGTAACGAAAGTAGAAGCCATTGGATAAGGTTAGGTTCCTTCTCGATGAGTCACACGACACGGCGGAGTTATTAGGTTGGGAAGGTGAGTAGAATCGTTCCGTTCGTTCTTACCGTGTTTTTTTGTTGTTGGACAAACATTTCTTCTACACACTTCTCACGAGTGCCTTTTGAAAAGTCTCTTGTCCTTTCTTCGAATTGATTTTGGGCCTTATAACTATCTCGGCCCAGTTACTTTTACGCTCATCTTTGGAACACCAGTTTCAGTCACGGTTTGGTTTTCATGATAATCCAACCTGAATGCCACGGTGTGAAAGAAGCTAGAAGTCTCTTCATCTGATTAATTTTGTAACAAAATTTGACCTTTTTGTGGTTTTGGTATATCCCGGTTATAGATTGTTGAGTTCTGATATATCCAAAACATAAGTTATGTCTATCCAAATTAAAATTTGGTATCATCTGGAATCAATGGTTTAAATGAACGAATCACATTGGACACACGAATTACTCAAAATTGTCAGATTGGAAGAGAAAATATAGACCATACGAAGTAGTAATATATAATATAACTAGACAATTCATCTGTTATATCGTCAGAAAATAAGTAAAACAACCAAAAAAAAATATCCGTAGTTGAAGCGAAGAACTTCAGATACTGTTTATATATATGTACAAACCAAAAAACAATGCTCTGTTTTTTTGTTTTTTTTGGTTTTTTGGTTTTTTGGTTAAAACGAAGAGAATGAATAAAATGTCACCGACTCACTCACCAGTCACCAGTCTCACACTCCTGATAGCCACCGGAAAAGCTCACTTATCTCTTCTCCGGCATGATTCGCTTCTAAATCCACCACGTTCATTTCCTCGCTCCGGCGACTGCTCCCCGTAAAAAATCTACCAGAGCTTCTAAAGGACATTGCACGCGACGATATACCTCTCGAGAGCCTGTCCACGTAATCCTTGAGCCAGCTTCTAGAACCTTCGTTACCTACATCCGCCGCTAAACTCGCTTCAACCGCCGTTGTTGTTGTTGCAGCCGCGTCTTCTTGTTTTCCCGATGTGCTTCTACGGTTAAAATTCGACTCCGAGATTTCTGATTCGACGTCGTCGACAATGTAATCGAACGAACCGATTGAGTAGGATCGGTGCTGATCAGGAGACTCTGGAATCGGTATCTGACGACGGCTGATGGATCCGATTTCGAGACGGAAGCTGTTTTCTCCTCCGCTGCTGTTGTTGTTGTTTCCGCCGGCGACGACGAGAGACTTCATGAGATCGGACTCGGAGGCGAAGAGAGGAGAACGACAGAGAGGACAAGTCTGGTTCGAGACTAGCCAGATATCGATACAATCGGCGTGAAAAGCGTGGCAACAGAGAGGAAGAAGACGGAGCTGATCCTCCGGTTCAAACTTCGACAAACAGACGGCGCAATCGCCGGAATTCGAGGAAGTAGATCGACGAGTCACGGAGGAGAATTTGAAAATAGGAAGCGAATCGAGAACCGATGATCGCTCTGTTTCCGGAGCGACTCGGTGTCCGGAGAAACGACGGGAATCTGAAGAGAAGGGGACGGCGGAGGAGGAGGAAGGAGGAAGAAGCGAGCTGTGGGTACAGCGGTTGAGACAGCGGAGGAGGAAACAAATGGAGACGGAGATGAGAAGAGTCATGAGAAGGATGAGGATGATGACAACTACGCTAGGTTTGAGATTATCGAGAGAAGAGGAGTGAGATTCGTAGTTTCCGCCATGGCTGGGATTGATGAGAGAATCCATTGATGAGAGAGTAGGCTTCACAGAGAGATAGAGAGAGAAGGGAGATACAAATTTAATTCCCAACTGTTTTTTATATTAATGGGTGCGAAGAAGGGAGAAGAGAGGCACGTGAGAGAGAGTGAAAGAGAGGTCACGTGAGAGTCATGGACCGGTCTTACGGTATAAAGACGAAGCGGGGACGGACGTTGGGAAAGAGGCAGAGAAATAAATGTCATCGAACCAACTCAATGTGTCCATATTTAATACCATAAAAGTTAAATCAAATCAATTGGCTTTTCCACTTCTTATCTTTCACCTTCTTTTCTTTTTTGTATTTATTCTAGGTATTTTGTTAACAACATTGTTAAGGTAGTAATAAATTGACGAGAGCAACATGTAGTATTTATTTCTGTAAACATATTCTACACTATAGATTGATTTAAAATATGAAAGAATTGGATCGTTATAGTTAATGAGATTAATGTGATAGTTTCCTAACAGATAAATAATAGAAAAAAAAAAACAAAATATGTAGATGCAAGAAATGTGTTTAGAAAAGTATGGTTTTGTATTTGGAGGTTACGGAATCATATCTTTGAGTTCCTTACTTTATGCTTACCTTGTTGAGTCTAAAAACAGATGGATACCATTTTTGACATTTTTTCCCACAACATTGATTCTTATGATAATTGCTTTTTTGGATAGGAGCACAGCTATCATTATCTTCACACTGTCCTTTTCTTATACTACTATCCCATTACTAGCTTCTTCTTTTTTTGCTTCCTGCCAAGTGTTACAAAATCCGAGGTTTCTATTTTATGCAATAGAGTCCGGAAAAGTTTGTCTCCTTGCGTGAACGAAACCAAGAAAGCCACACCGGTTTAAAAGGGAAAAAAAGTTTGAAATTTAGTTCGTAAATTTGTTTGTTAGGAAATGGCACTGATGAACATAGATCTTGTTTTGCTAGTATTGTTTAATTTGAATAGAATGTTAAACATTCTATATTATCCAGAACCTTAGTTAATTTATATACTAGTTTAGTACCCGTCCAATGGACGGGTTATCTTTATTTAAAATTAAATTTAAATTAAAATATATTATAACTATTAAAAAATAATTTCCAAATATATTTTTTGAAAAAATAAGAGAAATTATTTTTTATTTGGAAAGAGATTTTATTTGGTTTGAAGTATCAAATAAACGTGTATGTATAACCAAATATACAACATAATATACAAAATTTATTAATTTATAGTGTTTATATATATATATATATATTTGGGAGCTATTTGGGAGCTATTTGGGAGCTATTTGGGAGCTATTCGGGAGCTATTTGGGAGCTATTTGGGAGCTATTCACCATTATTCATAATATTGCTAAAATATTTTTAAAATTCTTAATTTAGCAATTATCCTCTAAAGCATGATTATACCATTTTGTAAAAATTAATATTTCTTAACTTTCATTTTTTCAAAAAATAATCATTCTCATACTATGAAAATTAATTATTTTTATTTAATATGATGGTAAAGTTCTTTCAAATTAACATCAATCTAAAATATGATGTTCTAGACAAATATAATCATTTGTAAATAAGTTCATATAAACAACGCAAATAAACATAACGATTCTAAAATAAATTATAGCATCGTTAAGGAAAACATTAAAAAATCTTTCAATACGAATTATAAAAAACTACATATTTTTAAAAAAAAAAAAGTTTTAATTATTATATTACGAATTATCATTAACTTTTGTTATCTTTGATTTAAGCTAAAAAAATTATTTTCAAAAATCTTTTATTCACCCTTATGGTTTAGACAATGAAATTGCTCAATGGCATAATACATTCATACATAAATTAAAAATTAAAAAAATATAACATATTATAAACTAAAAATCATGAATAAAAATATTTATTTAGTTAACTCAAAATCTATTTTATTTGTCAAATGTAAATCCTAATTCTCCTTTATGAACCCAAACTGATAAATAACTTTTTTTAATTGTAAAACCTAAATCTCACACCTCTTTTATAAACTCAAACCGATAAATAATCTCGTTTAATTATAAAATCTAAAATATAATGTGCAATTATAAACTCAAACCAACATATAATCCTTATAACTGTAAAACCTAAATTTGGCCAAACCAAAAATTAGGTTAATAGTTGAAAGAGAATTTTTGAGAAATACCCCTTTTGGTATAAACTTTTAAAAATACACCAATTTTCTATCCTTTTTTAAAAATACCTCTTTTCAAATATGAAAAATTGTAAACTTTAATATAGTTTATAAGGTATATCTAGATCATTATTGCTACTCGGAGACTCAATACAAATATTTATAAAGTTTTAGAAGGTTCTAAACAACATTTATAAGACTTTTATAAAGTTTTTATAAGGTTTACAAAGTTTTTATATGGTTTTGAAATAATTGTTAAAAAATTTTAAAAAGATATTTATACGGTATTTATAAATATAAACATAAATTTACCACTTTTTAAAAATACCCCTATTTCAAACTTTATCAAAAAAACCACTAAAAAGGTTAAATTTTATCCAAATATGTGTGTAAACTTATAAATATACACAAAAATTACCTTTATATATGTATAATTTTTATATATCTTTCATAAATAGCGTAATATACTTTATAAATACCTTTTAAAATTTTAAAAACCTTATAAACCCTTTTAAAAACCATTTAAAAACCTTATAAAACTTGTAAAAACGATTTAAACATTTTAAAACTTATAAAATATTTGTATCAAATTTCAAAGTAGTAGTTATTATATAAAAGTACCTTATAAACCTTATAGAACTTTATAATTTTGTAATTAAACAGGGATATTTTTGAAAATTGATAGATAAAGGGGGTATTTTTGAAAAGGGGTACACCAAAATGGGTATTTATCAAAAGTTCTCTTTAATTTTTTATAATTAATTTATATATTTTATTTTTAAATGTTTTTAAAAAAACTATATTTTTATCTTAATATTAACAAAATTATATATAACATGCTGTGATATCTTATGTTTTACTTGACACTTATCATGATCACGTGAGTTAGTAAATTTAAAAACCAAGTTTTGACATATAATCTCGTTTAATTGTTAAACTTAAGCCATAATTTAAGTTTAAAAAGATAAACCATACTTCTCATTTATCATTTATATATCCAAAACAACAAATAACCTGTTTTAATTGTAAAATTTAAGTTTAAAACCTTAATCCTCTTCTGTAAACAAAAACCGACATATATTCTTTTTAATTATAAATTTTAAATCTTTTTCTTATTAATAAACCAAATTGACATAACTGAAATTAGGTTATTTGTTTAATTTTATTAATATATAATTCTACATAATATTTATTTTATATATTTCCTTTTCGATAGAGTTAATAATATTTCAATTTTATCTAAATATTAACGAAATTAGTTATGCCACGTGTCAACATCTTATCGTTTATAATTGACACATGTCACGATGTTGTTAATGACTGACTTTAAAAACCAAGGTTTATATAATAAGATATGGTCAAAATACGTTTCTAATTAATAAACACTCAGGACGAGCCAAAACAAAAAACTATATAGTAGTAATATATGAATTCCACAAGTTAGTTGGGTTAAGAATTAATACGACTCCGCAGGGGACATGTGAAGGAACACAGCTCTTATTAGGATTTAGGATTATATATATGCACAAATCAGAATGACACTTGTAATATTAAGTCCGTCACGTAATGCATTGAGGTAGAGAGAGACACGTGCATGACTACTCATTGTTGGATATTATTGTTTTTCTTTTTTTGGGGTTTATATTAATCTGTATATTTTTGCGTAAACTGAGGTTGCGGTTGCACGTTCGTCGCATGCCCTCTTACTCCATTTAGGTCTTACAATAAAAGTTCATAGTTTGGAGTTTTCACTGCTTTTATTTTATTTTTATATAGATAGATAAGAAAAGCATAGAGTGTACAAATATATTCGAAGATATATAATAATATCAAGCTATCCCAGAAACTATGCCACCAAATACGTAAATCGCATGTAGTTTACAACCTGTAACTGTAAGCATTATGTATTCGATTATCGATTATGATAACTTTTAAACCCTATTAAACAACCATCTCTCAGTGTTCTCCCAATCATTATACTTAAAGTCTTTGCCAACATTTTCCCATTTTTTTGTGCTTCTTACACCTTTATGTGTACAGTTCTATAGTATATAACATGTATAAAGAATGTGTTTAATTATCATACATATATAGATCAAATGCGGTTTGCCATTTGACAAAAAAAAAAAATTAATAATAATACTAAGCTAAAACATTAGTTATCAATCAATTTTTAAAAAATAAATTTGGATTCATCTTTTTACATAGTATAGAATAGTAGGTGGAGTAGTTTAATAATAAAACACCTATGTTATTAAATTGTTTGAACTTATATGTTCGGATAGTGTACCAAAATTAATATTTTATTTTGCTGTATAATTTTGATACAAGCTACTTGTATATAAATTCATATGTCAATTTTGTTTTGGTTTAAAATGGTTAAACCAAAGTAAAAAAAAAAAAAAAAACAGTAAATGTAATGAGGAAAGGAAAGAATCAAAGAAACATGTATGGTTGTGAGCTATTGTGTCTGTACCCCTCAAAGGACAACAGAGTCATTAAAACAGACAACCTACTTTTATTCATCAAAAACGTGAATATTTTCCACGTCACCTGTTTTTTTAGTATTGTCTTTTCCAAATCCATTTTGTTTACTTGATTTTTTCCTACTTTACTTGTATTGCACTCTAAGCATGTTCTTCTTTTTCCTATTCTACAACTACAACAATAAAAAATTTAGGAAAAAAAACCCTGAGAAATTTTTTTTTTAAATTAGATCGGTAGCTCAAAGTCAAAGGGTCCAATAAAAAGCAGCTGACGGTGTAAAAAAGATCGAACAAATCGTGAGCCTAGATGATTAAAGTGTAATCTCAAAAGAACGTAAGATGTTGAGATTATTCTCAACTTGTAAACAATTCACACTATCTCTTTTAAAAATAAAGGACCAGACCAATCAACCTACAATAAATACGGTATTTTCACTAATATAGGAAAGTGAGGTTTTAAGACGCTATCAAGGATCAAACTAGTGATATTGCCCAAAACAGAGCAATATTGTCTCTCTACAAAAAAACTTAGTAAAAAGAAGAAATACTGGTTCTGTTAACAATACTGGAATTGGAAATGATCATCTGAGTAGAATAGAGGGTATTTAGATTAACCACATTTCATTAATGGTTTCTCATAGTATAACAACACTATATAAATCAAAAGTTTTGTTTTCTTCAGCTTTGATGCTTCTTCACTAAATAACAACTATTTTCGTCTGCATTTTCAAAGTCCCTGCCAAGATAGAAACAGTGCTTGTAAAGGTATGACTTCTTGCCTCTGTATCCTCCTGGAAAAGAAATGTAAATAAGATGAGACATTGTATTTCTCCTGTAAAATGTAAATAAGAGTAGACACAGATGCGATAAGGTAAATCAAACAATCTTGAAAACCCTTACAAAATTTAGGCATTTCATTGGTGATCACAAAGTACGTACATGGGGGAAAAGAGATGATACTTGCAATAGAAAGCACAGTTTGAGAACCATCATTTTAAATTTCACAGAACATGAAATAGAAACCAAACCTACTCACCATTTATATTCATCGACAAAAGAGTCTCATTCTCAAATAAGCTTTCAGATAGATCACTAACACAAGCCAGATAAGACCGGAAGCTCCTGATTAAGTTAGTCCCCAAAGACCACAATTACTCTCTTTTCCCATGCATTGATTCTCAAAATAAGCTTAGATTCAGCTTTGGAGTATTTCCCTTGACGCAATTCTCCGAATTCATCACAAATTCTTGACAAATGCAGTAGATTAAGAGCCAAGTAAGCGAGCAAAAATGTATCTTAAAACTTATCAAATTCGAAGGCCTTTGTAAATGATCTAATGGGCTGAAGACTGACGACACCCATCTCTATTTGGGCTCCCAAAGACATATAAATGTAGTAGAAAGTAGAAACAACAATTAATGTGAAAAGTACTAAAAATGCAATAGTTAAAAAATGTAAAATGTAAAAACGGAATAAGCGAACCGTTGCAAAACTGTAAAAAAGTCGTGGTATGTACATCGAATCACAAATACTGGACAACAAATGTTATTGCATGCAAAAGCAAGACGACGCGAGTCTCTAACATTCGCGGCTTTCAGTTGCTGCCAGGTTGCCACGTATCATAAGACTCTGACCTTAGCTGGCGCACGACGGCACGAGCGTTTAGAGATGGTGCGAGCGGAGGGGAACAGAAAAGATGGTGCGAGCGGAGGGGAACAGAAGGTAGCTGTAATGGGCCCAAAGAGACAAGATATTTGGGCCTTGTTAGTAGTAACGTGGGCCATCATTCATCTTTTTAGTGATTCCTTTTGTCGTGTTGCCAAGGTTGCCTCGTCAGATCCCAGTTCTATTCCGGACAATGTGGGTCCACTCTAAACTCGACTCGACGGTTTTTTTGTGGACCAAACTCATGTAGTGACGAATATTAGTTTTCTTTTTATTTGTAAATAATTTATTGATGTTTATTATACAGTGAAAAAATAATATAGAAAATTAATGCCAAATGAATTATTGGAGCTCAACTTTTATTATTATTTATAGTTATAAGAAACTAAATTATGTAAACCTTAATTGTTATGGAAAAAATTAATTATATTGATATAAAAATCATAATATAAAAATTATTAGCTCATAATCTTGTAATCAACTCTGATTTAAATACATCTAAACTCAGTTCTTTAGCTGTTAAACAATGTCAAATTTACAAATCATAAATCGAAAAGTCCATAGATCATGCACAATGCATGATGTTGTTGGCCAAGAGAGATAATAATGGAACCCGGAAAAGGAATTAGGGCAGACTCATTTGATTCCCTCGACGAACCAGGTCCACCCAACTATTCATATTTTATTAAACCATAGTATATGTAAAAAAATCATATTTTTTCTTGTTATGCTAAAACTCGAATATTATGCTAGTTCATTTTCGTGAAATCTATCATCCCGATATAGCTTAGCAATTAGCATGGTAGACACTCTTGTGTGTAGTTTTTTACACACGCAAAACCAAAAATTAAAGATTCTATTAATAAAACAATTTTTTTTGTTACGTGAGATAGTGTCATAAAGGGAGTTAGAAAGTACTCACCCAACCTAAGAAAACTACAATTAAACACCACCGAACTCCCTTTTTTTAATTTAATCATTGAATTAGAACTTAAATCACGGATACTTAAAATAAAATTTGATGATCATTGTATTGATTTGAATAGGAATGAACGGTCACGAAAAATACAAAATGGTAAACCACAGAGCTAGAATGGTCCGGGGCACAGGCAATCAGATACGCTGGCTTTCTTTCTATATAAGACCCATCAGTCCACCACGGTTTATGAGCTTCTTCTTCCTCCTCCTTGGAACGTGAACGTCCCATCTCCTTCTTCTTGATTCCATTAGCTATCATAAAAATCCGGTTGTGAATAAACCAATGGATTCCTCCTATTACGTTGGGTTTTCGGAAAACGAGGAGCCACACTTTCTAGAATCTTGCTCTCTTTGTCGCAAAGCCTTATCTATCAACTCCGACATTTTCATGTACAGGTACTTCATTCATTCGTTGCTTGCGATCCAAACAAATCGGTCTTTAAACTCTGTTTTCGGATCTGGTTTCTGAATACCCGTGAACAAACAACTTGCCATTTTGGATACTAGCTTGTTAATCTTATAAATTAATTAAGCTTTTTAAGTTTATGGTTTTGGTATTTTATTCTGATCGGTTCAAAATGATTGCAGAGGAGACATGGCGTTCTGTAGCCAAGAGTGTAGGCAAGAACAGATTGAGTATGACGAAATTAAATCAAAGAGCTGGAGAAAAAAGTCGTCGTCCAGATGGAAACCGTCTGATTCGAAAGATTCGGTCGCCGGCGAAACCATACGGACAAAAACTCTCATCATGGCTTAGTTAGCTGACCTTTGTAGATTATATTGGAGGATGTGGAGCTTAATAAATAAAGAAAAAGAGAGAGAGAGAGTTAGAACGGAGAAGCCAACGTATATTACTAGCTGTGATGTTTTTGTTCTCTCTCTCTCTGCTTACATTTTTGGTTTAATTCTGGGTTTTTTTACCACTGAGAAACGAGAAAAGGTATTTGTGTGTGTTTCTTGATGATTCTCTTCGTTTAAAGAGAAAGAAAATAATGCTTAAAAAACTAAAGTTTCTTTTACAATTCAACTGGGCTTCCTTTTAAAATGCGTGGCCCGATTTTAACTTTTGTGGCCTACTTTTAATATTGGGCCTTTTTCGTAGTTTCTCTGAATAAATAATACCGGGACTACGCACGTCCATAAAATGATTTAAGAGGTGTACTTGTACAAGTAACTCAAGTTAAATACAACAATTACTGTCCCGAGAAAAAAGCAAATTCTAAAAGTACACAATAAAGTGGAAACCACCTTATTAGTCACATAAAGAGATTACCTAACTTTTCTACTAAGAGGGGAGTCTTTTATGTACACAAATGAATCTTGTAAATTCTGTCATAGCTAATACTTCGAAATCACCTAACTATCATATATGGTATTGACAACAATGCATAATATTATTATTCACTAAAAAATGTATGATTTGACATATCAAAAATCACCGATGGATTAATTTCACATCATGAGTAAAATTTACAAAACAATACATAAATGTAATTAATAGTTTAATACCAATGATTGTCATATATTTATTCTTGAAATTTATAGCTAAATGTAAATGTAGAAAATACTAATTACTGTATGCTTTTCATATGTGTCTTAATTTTACAATAATGAATTTGTTACATGTCGTTTTAAATTCATTATTAGCTTGTTTTGTTTTTAATGTTGAAATTTCAGCATTAAGTTTTGTTTTTTTTGTCTTGTCAACGCTACCTTTATTTTTTTATCCAACTGAAATAACAAAAATATCTTCCACCTGACCTATAACTACATTTTTTATTTTTCTAAATTATCAAGTTTTTTTCTTTTATTATAATTAATTTTAAAATAATGAAAAACAAAAAAATTGGCTGAGTTAGTTCAGTTTCTTCGCGATCGCCTGAAACCTCTATTGATATTTTCTTTCCATTGACCGGAACAAAGTATTCTGAAGCTACGAGATTAACTTATTTTAACTGTCGACTATACCCTTACATTTCACATTATTTACTATTCTGGTTCTTATGTTTATTTTTTCACTTATTTATTTATTTCCTTTTTTTTTTTTTTTTTTTTTTTAATGACTTGCATTGTTGTTGTTGTTGTTGTTTCTCTTCATTCATCTTCTCTCCCCGTCTTTTCTTGGTCCTATAATCATGTCCGTCCAATAAAACCCTAATTTTATCTTTCCTTGCGTCGTTTCACTCCATTACAGAGCTGTAGAATTTAGCTTGAAAAAAAAGTGTGAAGATTAGGGTTTGTTATAGATGTCCTACAATCAATCAAGGCCCGACAGAAGCGAGACTCAATACCGTAGAACTGGTCGATCCACCGGTAACCATCACCAACCGCAGCAACAGCGATCTTCTCCCGCCGCCGGTTATGGTAAGGGAGCCGGCGCTCCTGGTTCTGCTGCGCCTGCCCCTTCCACTTATGTAGATTCTAATCGCAGGTTTTCAATTCAAATTCCACTCCTATTTTTTATTTTCCGTTTTAACTTTGGAGGATTCTCTCAGCCATCATTCATTATTAGTCATCAAAATTTTGATCCTTTTTTGGTATTTGTCGCAGTTTTAAGAAGCCCAGCAATGCTCAAGGAGGAGGAGGAGGGCAGCCGAGGGTCAATTTACCACCTGTGAATCATTCGATTTCTAAGGATGGTTTGCATCCTAACAATCACAATGCACCCTATCGCTCTCAAGGTATGATCTTCAATCACGGAGGCCCTTCTATTGCTCATTAGTCTTTTAATTGGATAGTTTCAGGTGAATTTGGTCACTGTGTGAGTGATCGTCTGGTTTAGTTTAACCTTTCTTACTTACACTGTTTGTTAGTTACAGGACTTTCTGGTGAACCGGTTGCTGGTGGAACACCTAATCCAACTGATTCATTCAACAGAAACAGTGGACCTATTCCGAAGGCTCCAACATCTCAGCCTTCCAAGAACCATGAGATCCCCAACACAGCTAAAGGTCGGTCTTGTTGAATCTCTTTTTTTTTTTTTGTCTGTCCACTGAGTGTTGAAGCTTGACTAAATTCCTCTGTACATCCGTAAAAATATTAGTTATATCACGAGTTCTTCTATTTTTGTTTTGTTTTGTTTGTGGCAGCCTCTGGATCTGGAGACGCTTCTCAAGCATTTTCTTTCCAATTTGGGTCTATTGCTCCTGATTTGATGAAGGTATCTTGTTTTTCCTTCCTTTTGTTTGTTTGATTTGTCCATCAACACCTAAATCATCTACCCTGTTGGTTTACTAGGTTCCTGCTCGAACTAGCTCAGCACCTCCGAATATGGATGAGCAGAAACGTGCACAGGTCCACCTTTTAGTATTTTACATCCGCTGTTAATGTGATTGTTGCCGACATGAATAGTTCCTGGTTATAGGATGATGTCTAGTTCCAAATGCTCTGTTATTCGTCTTGTATTGTGTATACTGGCCTGATGCTGTGATCTCCATAAGCTATATCTACTGAAAATATTTTGATGACTTTTATTACATTTTGTTCTGAACTTTCCTTTCGACTGTGACATGACCAACCATTGTTTTTCAGATGCAGCAAGCTTCTTTAAGAACAGCGACAAATGTTCCTGCTTCTGTACCCAAAAAAGATTTATCAAATAAGGGTGCAGATAATCAGTCGATGAGGAAAGAGGGGATCAATCCATCGAGTGAAAAAGCTGATAATAAAGTCCCACATATATCTCCTCCAAGTCATACGCAGAAGTCTCCAATTACAAATATTCGCATGCCTTCTGTGCAGACACCATATCAGCATGCTCAGGTTCCTCACCCTGTACATTTCGGTGGGCCGAATATGCATATGCAGCCTCCCGTGACTGCAACCTCGTTTCAGATGCCAATGCCAATGGCATTATCTTTGGGAAATACACCTCAAATCCCACCGCAGTTGTTTTTTCAGGGTCTTCCATCACATCCGATGCATCATCAGGGTATGATGCATCAGGCTCAGGGACATGGTTTTGCAACTCCAATGGGTGCTCAGGTTCATCCTCAGTTAAGCCACGTGGGTGTGAGTTTGAACCCACAATATCCCCAGCAGCAAGGAGGAAAATTTGGTGGGGCACGCAAGACGACGCCTGTAAAGATTACACATCCTGACACACATGAAGAGCTGAGGCTTGATAGACGTGGTGACCCATATCCAGAAGGCGAATCAGCAGCTTCAAAACAGCATTCTAACACACCCCCCAGATCACAGCCATCACCATTTACTCCACGACCAGTCAATCTGGTGCAACCCTCATATAACTCCAATACTATGATATATCCTCCGGTTTCCGTACCCTTAAATAGTGGTCCTATGTCCTCTGCTCAGGCACCAAGATATCATTTCCCTGTTATTGACGGGCCTCAGAGAGTACAACTTATTAACCAACCTGCTCATACCGCTCCCCAGCTTATCAGACCTGTAGCTCCGGGACATGTTGCATCTGATTCTTCTTCCTCTATGAAAGCACGCAATACCCAAAATATGATGTCATCTGCTTTACCTGCAAACGCGAAGTTATCAGTAAAGCCAGTTGGGGCTTCTGAAAAGCTTGGATCACCAAAAGCCAGGTCACATGGAGAAGTTAACATATCTCTGTCGCAAAAGGACGTGGAGACAGGTTCATTGAGCTCTTCACAGCAGCCGAAACCTTTTGTTGTCTCTGGAGTACCAAATTCGTCTGCTCTGCAAGCGAAATCATCTGTGGAGACTGCTCCAGTTCCAACGACTGAAATCAGAAGAGCGGAAAGGGTGAATGAGTCTATCTCAGTTGAAGATCAGATATGTAAGGTGGAACCCCCTCATAGTCTGACTGAGGTACGATACTGTATTTTGTTTTTGGGTATTATTCATTAATTACTTTTTGTTACTTGATCAAGTGACTTTGCTTTTTGGCTCTGTTTCACTCAGGATCGTGAACAGGCTATGCCAGAATCTCTTGTCTCTGATCCCGAAACATATTCCGTTGCTGCCAAAGAAAATTCGTCACTCCCAGCTAGCAGTGGGTTTAAAAATCAACTCATGGAGGTGTCTCCTACATCTGATGCTCCAAATTCTGACTCAGTAGATACAAGTATTGACAAATCTATGCAAGGGTCAGGCCATGCCACATCAGAAATTTCTGGTTCTTCACCTCAAGAGAAAGACCTAAAATGTGATGAACGGACTGTTTCGGACAAGCTCGTAGAAAGGTCTGTAATTTCAGATGAAAAACATGAAACAGTGTCAGGCGTGCTTGAGAAGGCACAGAATGAGGTAGATGGTGTCACAGAGGTTTGTCCGGACTCTGAAAATTTTGCTGAAGTTACAGATGATACAAACTCTGAGCTTCCACATTCTACTCATGGTCAGTCATCTACCGTCCCCCTTGGACATTCGGAAACATTATTCAGACATCATGGTGTAGAAAATTCTGGCGATAGTTTGATCTCTCCCCCAGTTATGCTTTCCAAAGATAAATCTGCTTCTGAATCGAACACAAGAAGAAATACTTCTACGAAAGGAAAGAAGAAGATTAAAGAAATCCTTCAAAAAGCAGATGCTGCGGGGACAACTTCTGATCTTTATATGGCTTACAAAGGCCCTGAAGAAAAGAAAGATAGAAAAATGCCGTTAGAGAGCTCAAATGTTGTTCATGATGTTTTGGACCAGAAGCTGCCACCTGCCATACCTCAGGCTGCTGCTGAAGCCACTGTGGATGCTGAACCAATTAAAAATGAACCAGAAGACTGGGAAGATGCAGCTGATGTTTCTACACCAAAGTTGGAAACTTCAGATTCTTCATTGAATGCTAAGAAAGGTTCTTCAGATGAGGTCAGAGACAGCTGCAGCAATACAGAAAAGAAGTACTCTCGGGATTTCCTTCTTAAGTTTGCAGACCTGTGTACTGCTCTCCCTGAGGGATTTGACGTTTCGCCTGATATTGCAAATGGCTTGATTTTTGTTTATATGGGTACATCTCATCATGAACATGATTCTTATCCTACTCCTGGAAAGGTTATGGATCGCCAAGGAAGTGGTGCTCGATTAGATCGTCGTCCCAGCAATATGGTTGTTGATGATAGATGGACGAAGAATCAGGGTTCTCTTCCAGCAGGATATGGGGGTAACATGGGTTTCCGACCTGGTCAAGGAGTAAACTCAGGAGTTTTAAGAAACCCTCGTATGCAGGGACCTATTATGTCTAGACCGATACAACCTCTGGGTCCTATGGGAGGAATGGGCAGAAATACCCCTGACTTGTGGCAGCGTGGTTCAAATTTCCATCAAAAAGGAATTATTTCTTCTCCACATGCTCATATGCAGGTGATGCACAAAGCCGAGAGAAAATACCAAGTGGGTACAGTTGCAGATGAAGAACAAGCAAAGCAAAGGCAATTAAAGGGCATCCTGAACAAGTTGACCCCGCAAAACTTTGAGAAACTGTTTGAGCAAGTTAAAAATGTGAACATTGACAACGCTGGTACACTTTCTGGTGTAATTTCACAGATATTTGACAAAGCCTTGATGGAGCCTACCTTCTGTGAGATGTATGCAGATTTCTGTGTACATCTGTCTGGGGCGTTACCTGATTTTAATGAGGATGGTGAAAAGATTACCTTCAAAAGATTGCTTCTCAATAAATGTCAGGAAGAATTTGAAAGAGGGGAGAAAGAAGAGGAGGAAGTGAGTAGAGTTGCCGAAAAAGGACAAGTAGAACAAACTGAGGAGGAGCGGGAAGAGAAAAGACTCACGGTGCGGAGGAGAATGCTCGGTAATATTAGACTTATTGGTGAGTTATACAAGAAAAGGATGTTGACTGAGAAAATCATGCACGCATGCATCCAGAAGTTGCTCGGGAATAATCAGGATCCACATGAAGAAAATATTGAGGCTCTGTGTAAACTAATGAGTACTATAGGAGTTATGATCGATCATAGCAAAGCCAAGATCCATATGGATGCATATTTTGAGCAAATGAAAATGCTATCATGCAAACAAGAATTGTCTTCTAGGGTGAGGTTCATGTTGATCAATGCTATCGATTTGCGAAAGAACAAATGGCAGGAGAGAATGAAGGTCGAGGGGCCAAAAAAAATTGAGGAGGTGCACAGAGATGCTGCACAAGAACGCCAAACTCAAGCTAACAGGCTCTCACGTGGATCCTCGATGAATTCGTCAGCAAGAAGAGGGCATATGGAGTTTAGTCCTAGGGGAGGAGGAGGAATGCTATCACCTCCAAGTGCCCAAATGGGTGGTTTCCATGGACCACCTCAAGGTCGTGGCTTTAGTAATCAGGACATTCGATTTGATGAAAGGCCACCTTATGAACCAACTAGGCTGGTTTCAATGCCTCAAAGGTCAGTAGGTGATGAGCCTATTACCTTGGGTCCGCAAGGTGGTCTTGGTCAGGGAATGTCTAAAAGGCCTACAGTAGTATCAAACACTTTTCATTCTGATGCTACTCATGCCGGTGGTGGAGATGCTAGGCGAACAGCTGGTGGTTTGAATGGTTTTGGCTCACAAAGACCTGCAAGTCCTGTTACTCACGGACGGTCAAGTCCTCAAGAGCGGGGAACAGCTTATGTCCACAGGGAATTTGCAAGTCTGTCTCGTGCTTCTGATCCGTCACCAGAAGTTTCATCTGCTAGGCCAGTATTACAAGGCCCATCGTCTACAGTAAACAGTCCTCGAGAAAATACTTTGTCTGAGGAACGGTTACATAATATGTCACTGTCAGCAATTAAGGAATATTACAGGTACTAAATCTCTCCTTTCTTGTTGGTCATTTGTTGATTTCTCTGCACAGTGATCAGATACTTCCACATTTAGCAAAAAATACTTTATGGAATCCTACATGGGAACAATTGGATCGAACTACAGTTTATTTGTTTACAGCTAACGCGTTTGTTTTTCAACGGTAGATCATCTGATAAAGTGTATGTATGGTTCTCGAAGTAGATAAACTAGAACTGGTTCCTAACGAAACGGATTTATAAATACTTGTGAGAGACATTGTTCTTTGATTTTAGTAGAATCTCTAAAAAAAATGGTGAACATCTGACTGGTTTATACCACATGTGACAGTTAGAGAGTCTGTCCCTTTTATACTGAATGAAGTGTTATGTTGTTAGTTTCTGTACTTTTGCCCTATTGTGGTCACCTATTTTATTATTGATAAGCACTTTGGTGAGTTATGAATGATTTTGTTGTTATGCAGTGCCCGAGATGAGAAGGAGATTGGTTTGTGCATGAAAGATATAAATTCACCAGCTTATCACCCAACAATGATTTCTCTCTGGGTATCTGATTCGTTTGAGAGAAAAGACAAAGAAAGGGATCTTTTAGCAAAGCTCCTTGTTAACCTGGTGAAATCTGCTGACAACGCCTTAACCGAAGTCCAACTAGTGAAAGGGTAAGTAAACAAATCCCCCCCTTAAATGTCTAAGTCATACTCTGATCAAATCTTATTGTTTATTTTATTGCTTAAACACCGGCTGCCATTCTTTACAGGTTTGAATCTGTTTTGAAAACCCTGGAGGATGCCGTAAATGATGCTCCAAAAGCAGCAGAGTTTCTTGGTAGAATATTTGGTAAAAGTGTGACTGAGAAAGTAGTGACATTGACAGAGATTGGTCGGTTAATCCGAGAAGGAGGAGAAGAACCAGGAAGTCTAATAGAGTTTGGATTAGGCGGCGATGTTCTTGGGAGTGTTTTGGAGATGATAAAGGCAGAAGCTGGCGAAGAAGCGTTGGCTGAGATTCGCCGGAGCTCAGGTCTGAGGATTGAAGATTTCAAACCTCTTGCACCTAGCCGGTCTAAGATATTAGAGAAATTTACTTAGGAAAAAAAAAATTGGAACCATCTTTTGAGTTCCTTTTCTTCTTTTTTTGTTTGTTTCTTCTTTCTCTTAAAAGTCTTTTTCTCTTTGCTTCGACAAAACTAATTTGTTAAAAAGGAGTTTCTCTATTTTATTATATAGCAAAACCTTCCAAATTTTTTATTTTTTCATCTAACCTTATTCGTAAATATAAACTAAATTTAATACCACAGAGAGCTCGATGTTCTTTCACTATGTAACATAACAAATTTGAGTAAATTCGATCCGATCAGAGTAGTTATATGACGTCTGAGTGCAAAAGATTCTAAGATGTTGTGGTGAACTAGAGTTAGAGAAAGCAACAAGGCTCGTATTATATCTTTTAGAGTTGGTCTAATTTGATGGCCCATATAATAAGATGGTCATAAGGCCCATATTAAAAAATGCCCTAACAACGATTCGTATATAAAGGGTGCTTGAGGAACCTGTTAACTAGGGTTTCTTATCAACGGCGTAGTGTTCCTCCTCCTGCCTGCTCTGAAAATGGTGAAACTCCTTCTTCCTTTCTATTCGATATATTGTTCTTATGTCTTTGTTATTCCCTTTGATATCTACTTCCTTCTGTCCTCGTTTCGAGATGCGTTGTTTAAGTTGATCTGAGGTTTCGGATATGAATCTAGTTTGTGGTTACCTCTACTGACTTCTTTACTCTCTTGAAATGTTCCACAGGCGAAGAGAACGAAGAAGGTTGGAATCGTCGGCAAATACGGTATGGTTTCTCAGTCTAATGTCGTTTATGTATCTCTTAATGTATGGTTTAGGATGGTAAAATCAGGATCTGCAATTTGCTTAGTCTTGTAGCTCATTTGGAACAACCAAGTTTCTTAATGGATGTTTACGAGTATTTCTCATTACTAGACTCGTTCATTTCTCATATTACGATGTCGATATGTTAGAGATCTATCTTCGTGGTTCGATTTACATGTTTATTTGAAAATTGCTAATAACATGATTGGTCTCAGTTTTTGTTAATGAAATGCGTGTTCTCTGTCTTTACACATCAATGGTTGTGATTCAGGAACACGTTATGGTGCGAGTATCAGGAAGCAGATTAAGAAGATGGAGGTCAGCCAGCACAGCAAGTATTTCTGTGAGTTCTGTGGCAAGGTAAGAGATCATCTTTTCACTTTTGTCTGTTTTTGTGGTTTCCTGAATTCGTTTTTGGTTTGAATTTTTATTTTAACTGTGGTTTGATGAAATGTTGCAGTACGGAGTGAAGCGAAAGGCTGTTGGTATTTGGGGATGCAAGGATTGTGGCAAGGTCAAGGCCGGAGGTGCTTACACCATGAAGTAAGCGTTGCTCATTAATAGTTTGTGATTTCTTAATCAATTATTATCTTTCTGCTGACAAGACTGTGTATTCGTTTGTGAATTACAGCACCGCCAGTGCGGTCACCGTTAGAAGCACTATCAGGAGGTTGAGGGAGCAGATCGAGGGTTAATTAATATCTGCTGGCTTTTATATTTTGTTTCTTCGTTTTGACAATTGAGTTTTGTAGACTCTATGCTTTTGTGGTTTTGAATCCAGACTTTATTACATTAAGCAGTGAAGCAGTTTTTCATTCAATATTGACTTGTTTTACGAAAAGTTCTTACATCCTACATAACTAGGTTTTGAGCCTTAAGGTTTGAATTAATATCGGAATTATTGAAATTTATTCCCAACCTTAAAATTAAGTACTACATATTTTTGATATTATTGGTCAGTTACAAATACTAGATTTTAGGGTAAAATTTGTTACAATAATATGAAAATACTTGTTGACCAAAAAAAAAAAAAAATATGAAAATACTTATCAGTTTAGATGGTTAACTGTTGTTCATTTTGATTACACATTTTCTAAACCGAATCTGGTATGTTCAAACCGGCTGCACTTAACTTACCAAACAGAATTTTTGTTTAATCTGGCAAGTGGTAACTGTATCTCTTAATGAGAAAATACTACATTACTCTCTTGAGATATAATTAGGAGGAGGCTCTTCTGATTATAGATTAACCTTCAACTGAACCATTTCTGAGGTTTTTACATGAAATTAGAAAGACAAATAATAATAAGCTGACAAGAGAAACAACAGTTAAAACAAAATCCAACTAACTGGGGAAAAACTCTTTTCGGAGACAGACCTATAAGTGTCTTTCTTTCTTTTCCCTCAAAGAGCCAGGCTGTTTGCACATACAAGTTTTCTTGGAACTTCGTTCAGATTATTTCAAGATTCCATCTTCCAACTTCATTTTAGCTCTCATCCTCTCTCTACCCAATGATTGATGTATGCTCCATTCAAACCGCAGCTATCGTCTCAGTTGTTGTTCATCCGGATGCAAAGGCCAAGCCACAAGATGTATCACCATTGAGAATGCAGAGCAGTGGTATCATGGTTTGTGTACCTTGAAACCAAAGATTTTTGGAACGTAGTTTTGAGTCGGTTTCTGCGGCTTTAAGTTCCCATAAGTCATCAAGAACAAGTGAGGGAATGTGGTTCCAAAGTATGCTCCATCAATATCTGCAGAAGTCATTTAAGGAAAACGCTAAGATACAATAACACTCAAGATCAGAGTGTCTCAACTGAAGCAGAAGCAGAGCTAAGCTTGAAACTCTAAAATTGGTATAGCCAAAATTATGGACAATGAACAGAGAAAAAGGATACTGCCTTGGAATTTAGATCGCGGGTAAGATATGTCTTCGCATTTTGGGCAGTATATCTTCACAGTACTCGATCTTGGGATGTCGGATTGTCCAACAGGGAGACAAGACTGACCGCAACAGAAAACTCGCGGGCATCTCCCGAAATCACAGTTCTTGTACTTGTCAGTCTAGCAGAGATCAGTAACAAGAGAAGTAGTTAAGCAAACAAGGAAGTTGAAAAAAAACAAAAAACAAAAACACAAGAGTAAAGAAACACAAACCATTGCAGCCATTCCTTTAGTTGTCAAAATGTAACGAACATGAATAAGACCATATAGCATTTCAGCAGCTGATTCCACCATTTCATTCTGTTCTTCCGTAAACATCTCACCTAAATCCCCAAAAAGATAAAGATAACTCAGGCCAAAAGTTTCTTACTTTCACATTCAACTTTTAGATTCTAGTTTAACCAAAAAAAGAAGAAGAGAGATAGTACTTACTGTTGGAAGATTCGACATCTAGAATGAGATCAAGAGCATAATCATAGTAAGGAACTTGACCACTTAATCCACAAAGATTGAAATCATCTTGAATATAATCTTCATCGACTTCACAGAAGAAATCATTGCCTCTCAAATTACAAAACCAAGAGATCCACGATGTATCATCACCTTCCGACCCACTTACATCAGACCCTTCACTATCAGTTTCAGATTCCACTGCAAACAAGAATCATAAGAACAAATGCAATCAAACTAGCACTACAAAAACCACAGATGTGAAAGAAAGAAGAAGAAACAAACCATCGGGGAGCTGAGATTTAGCAGTGGAGGTAGATGTGAAGGAAAAGGGATCTTTGTCTTTAGAAGTGAAGACCCTAGATGTGGTGGAAGTTGAAGATTTCTCTAGTTTCTTATTGAGTGCATCGTTGATTCGTTTCCGATCAATAGCTCCACCGAGAATCTCCGATCTCGACGACCCACCTCCTCCACTACGTTCCTTGTACATAATTCGATTCCTCCAGAACAGAGAAAAGAAGACAAAATTTGGAGCTTTTAGATTCTCAAAGTCTCAGACTTTCTCAAGCTTGAGAGAGAAAGGAAAGGAGAGAGACGGAGAAATCTAGGGTTTTCATTCTTTTTTTTAATTTAATTTTTAATTTTAATTTTTAAATTAATATATCAACTTTGGTTACAGAGTGGAGGACAGGACATAGGAGATGTAAAGATGGTCTCTCTTTCTTATTTTTTTCTCCACTGTTTGTTTGTTTTCTTCTTCTTATTTTTACTTTAGTTTTAATTTTTTTTTTTTTACAATGGGCTTCTCTGATTGGGCCTTCTGTGTGTGACGATGATGATTCATTGTAAGTAGAGCTGTCAATTAGGACAAAAGACCGCGGGCTAGAGTCCAATCCGCTTTACAATTGAGCGGTCTAGGATTTTAGTTTTGGTGTTCGCGGTCAAGCGGGCTGAATCCGCTGCGGTCTAAAATCATTGGCGGGCTAATTGTTGCGGTCAGCGGGCTAAACCGCAGGCTAATTGAAACCTAATTTTCTATTTAAGTATTTAACTTGATTTTTTAAGACGGTTCTACAAACCTATGACTCTATGTCTCTATTAAGTTTATTTGTGTTTTGTTGACACATTAGAGGATCTTGTAAAAGGTTTTTGGCTTTGATCTAGAAGATATACAAAAGACTTTCTCTAAATGTTTATTATTTTATTATTATGCTTGTTTTTCTCTATATTGGTAGAAATATGATTTGTGTGATATACTTATATTAGGCTTGATATTTTTACTTTGTCATGAAATGTTGAATGAGTCCATAGTGTAGTAATTTACAATTAGTGACACTTGTGACTAGTAACTTGTTTAATTGTGGGTATAAGTTGTATACCCTAATAATCAACTTTAAAAAATCTTTTAAATGTAATAACAATAATAACTAATTAGAAAAAGTACAGTTTATTACTTATAGATTTAACTATATTAAAGTTTAATTGGTTTTGTTCTTATTAAATAAAAGACCGCGGACTGAACCGCATATCCGCATATATGAAGTGGGTTGGATTAGGATTATGAATTTTATGACCGCGGATCAAAGCGGGCTGGCCCGCCAAAACCCGCATTAAAAAAAACCCGCCGCGGTTAGGGCTGAAAATCCGCGGTCTAGCCCTAATTGACAGCTCTAATTGTAAGCAAAGAATTGTGTCGTCGATACTATTTGCTAAAAGAGGCTTCTTAATTACTTTGCAACTTGTAACATTTAGTACCAAAAGATAGTACTAAATGATAGTGTATATATGTTAGGAATGTTAAAGTTGGGAGATGGAATGTTAAGTTGGACTGCTGGAGTAGATTCCTCTTGCGTTTTTTTTATGTCACAACTCCATGGAAACTCCAGCCCCTTGTTCTTCACTTATCGGTACTCGTATAAAGTTTCTTCGGGGCAAAGCTAGTAACTAGTAAGCTTCTCACTCGGAAGCTCTCAACAAGTTGGGCTACTGTTCTCAAGGTCTTCATGGATAAGCCTCTTGGAAACAGTCGTCTTTTTATTTTGTTTTGGACAAAATAAATAATCCAGTCCACGGTTCACAAACGGTATTAGAAGGCATGGAGAAGTCCCAGTTTAATCAGCTCAGCTGATCCTTGGATTAGACAAGCAGGGAATTTAACAAAACGGAAAAAGAAAAAAAAAAAAAAAGAGAGAAGCAGGTTTAATCACGATTTTTTGGAATGGGAGTGTGTTGGAACATGCATTGGTCAACAGACAGAGGTTAGACCGGACAAAGGTCATTGGAGAATGAATATATATATATATCGTAAACGTCAAGGAAAGTATAGTAGTTAATATTATTAAATAATTAAAAATTAAACAATCTGACATGAATAGCACGAAGTGAACTTTACAAAAATGGTGGTAACTCCGTATAGAGAGATGAATCGTGTTTCAAAGATATTCGAGCAGCTAGCTTGTGCTGGCGTACGTGGTGCACGACCGACTCTGCATTAAACTACTTCTTATATCATCAGTACGTAAATAGCCTAAGCATTTGTGGCTAAATGGCTAAAAAATTAAAAGCGTAGCGAAACGTATACTTTCTTAGACACCTGAGTCCATCAATACTACAAAAGTCATTTGGGTGGAGCAACATCAGTTTTGAGGTCTACGCTAATCGATTACTAATGCACATGCATAATTCTTATGCTTTTTAATGTAAAAATATCAATATATTTCGCATTTCGAGTGTTTAGATAAAGTATATGTGATGCACGTAATAACGTCTGGGTTATATACTAATAGACTACTAGTACACAGTATAGTGTATGTAATTTGTATCTCAATACACAGTAAAATATTGACACAAATTAGACATAGTTTTTGGGATCTAGAAATTATTGGTATGCAGAACGAACGGAGACTTTGTCGGAGAAAGTAGTCATGCCTCGTTACACCGACTTTTATGACAATTCCCGAGTCGAGAGTTTCATACTCCGAGTCGTAAATCTAATAATATACTGTATATATATATTCGAATATTTCAGAACTAATTTTCCATTTATATATATTTTTGCATCAAACGTAAAGGATCTAATAATATGTCACATACTAACATATATGCAAATAATAAGTGAATGTGGTTTAATCAATGAGAGGAACAAAAAGAAAAGGGAAAATCACACGCGGGTCGGCTACTGTTAAACCATACCGGTCATAGTATTTGGCCCACGCCTTAATCAAACTGTCTCCCCCGTGAAAGCAAGCATCGCACTTACTTAGCTCCATGTGAATATATATGATGGATTAGCTTTCATGTAAGACAACATTATTACTTCTATAAAGCTAATAAAATCTTACTCATATTCGATAATTCAGTTTTAGATTCTTTTTTTTTATTTCTCATTTTAAATTGAAAGCGATTAATTTTCTTTTGTTTGATTATAGTTTGTCTTATTTACTTTTAATAAGTTTTATTTTTTTGTCGACAATGTAGATTTGGCACCTAATATTTTGTTAATTATAAGGTAATTCCAAAATTGTTGTATGTAGTTTGTAATTAGCCTAATCATTCCTTCACCGCTTATTTAACTATTCAATGGGGTTTGTTGGTATAGATGAAGAAAAAAGGAAAACAAATAACCGTAATTTAATCATTTGGTTAAACCGAATTAGATTCATCTAAATATCACCAGGGATGATGTAAAGTATATTGTAACTAATTATCTAATTTCGAATTATAATGTTACAACAGTATTAACGATGGTTAAAAATATAGAGAGAGAGAGAGAGAGGGATTGAAAGATAATAAAATGAAATAGAAGATTGTCGTTGACGTCCGACTTAAATACCGATGACCGCACGCACGAGTCCTTCACTTTTCCGTTACGAATCCTTTTTCTTAGCGGTTGATCCGCACGCGCCATATCCTCTCGTTATTAATTTCCTTTTTTTTTTTTTTTTAGCTTAGAACCCAAAGAAGGAGAAAAAGGAAGAGAAACAAATAGGAAACGAAACGGCCGAATCTTCACAAATTCCTTTATCTCATTTACAAACCAAAAAAAAAAAGGCTCAATCGCCGCCCTAAGCTCCCGGCGACACTCGGTGTAGATCTCGACAGCAGTGACGCCCCGATTTCTTCGTCTCCGGCGGTATATTACTTTTATCGTTTTATTTCTCTTCTCTATTTCTTTCTTCTATGTTTAGGTGGATTTTTTTTCGTTTGTTTGTTAATCAGTTTCTCTCATGATATCGATTACGTTTTTTTGCGATTCGCATTGCGTCTGTGTTTGATCAGATTCCGAAAAGTTCTGATTGATCCGATATAAATGTATTGTGATTGAAGAGATTTGGCGATTGAGGAGGTGAACGCAGCGGAACAAACGAGGAAGAGAGAGAGAGAGAGAGAGAGAGAGATGGATGATAGGGGAGGCTCGTTCGTAGCAGTGAGGCGGATTTCACAAGGTCTAGAACGGGGAAGCGTTTATCATTCTTCTTCTGGTAATATATATATCTTCCATCACTCTCACTCTCCTTTATTGTTTCTATCGTACGATTGCTTTACTCCTTTGTTTCCTTTTTTTTTTTTTTTTTTTGTGTGCGCTTCTCTTATGGAACAAACGCGTTTTCATATCTCTATCTCTCTCTCTCTCTCACTTTATCCACGTTTCCTCTTTCTCTTCGTTGGCGATTGCTTTTTTTTTTTTTTTTGAAATTGATTAGAGATTTGGTGTGGCAAATCTATCTATGTTGTTTCGCCGTTTGCTTTTGTTGCTCTTCTGATAGATTTTCCTGGAGTTGATTATTATTATTATGTGTGTGGATCTTCTTTGTAAGTGCTATTTTTAGTAATTCTATACGAATTTGCTCCTGTTTATGTTTTCAAAGAGGTATTCGAGTTCTATAGACAGTTGAGGTTTACTATATTCGCGCGTTAGCCTTTCATCTTTATATTCACTTTAGTTTCAATGCTTCCGTTTTGATTGTCAAAAAAAAATAAAGAAGAGGGAAGCCAAAGCTATAATGGATGTAAAACAGTTTTTATTGGGAATTAACTACTTTGAAAATTTTCTTCCTTCTGTCTTTGTGTAAGTTTTGATGCTTAAACGGCGTTGTTGTATGCTTCTCACGTTTCCTAGAGACATTTTAATATCATATTCTTCTCTTCTTTAACTCTATTATGTTTGACTAGTCATTATTCTCCATTTTTTTAATTATTGTAGCTGAAGTTGTTGCTGGATCGGCTGCATGGTTAGGCCGCGGCCTTTCCTGTGTTTGTGCTCAGGGAAGAGATAGTGATGCCCGTCCTTCATTTGATCTAACACCTGCTCAGGTATCTGTTTCTTCTTCACTGCATCATTCCATTATGATAACTTGTTTCTCCTCTCATATAAGTCGACTTCTGGGTTACTGATGTATTCAATAAGCTTATAACTTCTAACCTTATTTTCGGTCGTTGCAGGAGGAATGCCTGCAGAGGTTGCAGAACCGCATTGATGTTGCCTATGAAAGCTCAATACCTCAGCATCAGGTACACTTTTTTCCTTACGGATTGTTATTGTCATGACTGCTCAAAACAAATTAGTGCCAACTAAATAGATGGTAGCTGTTTCAAGTTTACCAACGCTTTAATTTTTACTTCATGCTAGCTTCATAAGTCACACTGTTCCTGCATTACATAAATATTGGCTGAAATGTAGGAAGCTCTGAAGGATCTTTGGAAACTTGCCTTCCCTGAAGAAGAGCTACACGGAATTGTATCTGAACAGTGGAAACAAATGGGTTGGCAGGGAAAAGATCCATCAACAGATTTTAGGTAATGTCCAGTCTCATCTCATTGTCATTATCCTTACGTTTTTCCTCTTCAATATTGACTCACGGCCCAACATCTCGCAGAGGTGGTGGTTTCATATCTCTTGAAAACTTGTTGTACTTCGCTAGGAAATTCCCGGTAAGCCTCTATAAAACTGTTATAAATGTTTCTCAAAACTGTATCTGTAGATTTTTTTTAATTTGTTACAGTCACATATGAAATTTTTACCTGGTAATGACATTGTAAAGTTTCGGTTCCACTTGTTTGTTTTCTGTAGAAATCCTTCCAGGACCTTTTGTGGAAACAGGTAGGGGATCGTTCTGTGTGGGAATACCCCTTTGCTGTCGCTGGCATTAATATTACATTCATGCTCATCCAGATGCTTGACCTAGAAGCAGGTATAGCCACATTTATTATTTCCATGAGTGCATAGATAGTCCTTTGCGAACTGCTGTTATATCCATTAGGCAGCAATATGGCAACGACTAGCTTAAATAGTGTGATCACTCATAGTTTTGAAATTCAAATTGGGTATTGCCTTAGGCTTATGTACTTATTTTGAGTACCCTATCTGATATACTCAGGTTCAACAACTTTTATCCTAGTTGTGTATACTAACAATAGATAGCCTTTAATATTACAGTGAAACCACGAAGTATTGTTGGGGAAACATTTCTGAGATTCCTTTCAGGTAAATTTCTGAATATATCTCATTACTCCTTCTCTCTGTCACGAGTTAGAATACTAAGTGTGTGTCCTACGACTTGTGTTGTATTGTAATGCAGTGAACGAATCTGCGTTTGACCTTCTTTATTGCATTGCCTTCAAGCTGATGGATCAGCAGTGGCTTTCCATGCGTGCGTCATACATGGAGTTTAATGTAAGTGTATTCTTTCACCTAATTTAGTGTAGCTAAAAGTTTCAGATTTGAAGAAACATGGGTATAACTTTGTCATATATTTGCCTTTCTTGGAGATTTTATCTTGGCCTTCACCAAATGAATTGTGGCTAAACTGATAATTGTGTGAATAACAGACTGTAATGAAATCTACAAGGCGGCAACTGGAGAGAGAGATTATGATTAAAGACATTACACGTCTTGAAGAGTTGCCATCATACAGTCTTCTCAGTCAATAGGAAATAGCTTACTAAAGACTACCTTGTAAGTAAAAAAATCTAACACCTCAAAAACACTATATCAATGCCTAAAACAACAACTGAGCAAACAAGCACAACGATGACAAGCCTAAAACAACAACTGAGCAAACAAGCAAAAAGAAGACAAGGCTTGTCTCTCTCTCCCTCTCTCGCTCTGTCTTTCTCTCTCTCATCACTTCATCTTCCTCCTGTTTTGGTTTCTGCGATTTTTCCTCTATATTAGTGTTGGTTTCAAGAAATATGGGACATTGGTTGTTATTTCTTTGAGACCAGGTTTAGATTTTGTTTTGTATGGGGTCTGGTTTCTAACTTGTGGTGCTTGCAAAACGTTGTTGGTTCTTGTTTGGGCTAATAATCATTTGGTAACATTGTCAGTACTCTGAAAACCCGAAATGGGCTCTTATGTAAAAGCTTTTCTTAACAAAATCTTAGTCTAAGCGACCACTATTAATCATGCTTTTAGTTCCTGTACTAATCTCAACATTTTGGACCAAAAACAAGTGCATTATGGGTTCTTTACAAAAAGTTAAACTTGTTAAGTTTAATTCCTTAGCACTAGGTTTAGCAAAATTATCTTCTACTTGTGATTTTTAAAAAAATTGTTTCCTCAGCAAAGGAAGGCAAAGAAAGACTTACTTGCCTAACACACTCCTTCCTAGCTTGGTTTGGTGGTTTCTCTTTGAAGTTCTCTTTGTTTAATTCATCCCTATTAAACCTTCTATGTTCTAAGTTTGCTTGATATGGATTCCTTATGAATTGACTCAGTTTTGCTCTTATCTTCAAATTTTTTTGTACTTTGTATTTGCAACTTTCGATTTTTTTTGTAAGCTCGGGAATAGCTACGAGAGACTAGTTTCAAGTAATCAAAAAAATAAAATATCGTTACACACAAATTAAAGAGCATGCATGTATGTATGTAGTGATGAAGTAGTTCCAAAAGACAGAGCGAGACCAAAAAGATATCGAGCAAAATAAAAATGCTCTGTTTCAACCCTTTGACTTAGGCCGTAACACCGTACATCAATATCATCGCGGCTCCAATTATTCCATAGCTCATGACTCCCTTAGACGCAGCGTTTGGTGGCGACGGAGACAGCGTAGGCGTCAATGGAGACGGTGGAGGAGTCAATGATTCGTCTGACTCCGGTGTGCCATTGGCCGGGGGAGATGCAGATGGAAGAGGCGAACCGGTTTTGGGCGGCGAGCGAGGGGAAAGCGGTGGAGAAGGTGGCGAAGAAGGGGTGGCTGGAGATGAAGCGGCGGCGAGGACGGGAACAGCGAGTTTCATGCCACCGAGGCAGTGACCAGAAGAAGGGCAAAGGAAGTGCATTGTTCCTACTGTTTTAAGATTGATCTTAGTGTTTCCATCGGCGAAGCTCTGTGTTGCTCCGCTACTGTCGCAGCCATCGTAGCCGGCTTTATCAACCACGGACACCGAGTGTGAAGGACCGTATATGAACTCTGAAAGAATTAGAATAAGTATCTTTGTTGTTAATTAGGGGAAAAATGTGTTTCTTGTAAAACAAGTAACATACGTGGAGTGAAAACAAAAAACAAGTATGTTATTCACCTAGAGTGTCACCAACTCTGAAAGTCTTTCCCGTGACCCAAGTCGTGTAATCGATGCCACTGGTCCATCCAGAAGTATCGCCAACCTTGAAAGTTACGGCAAAGACGGCAGGGACTGCGGCTAGGAGGAGGAGGAGGAGAGCGGCCGTTGCTGTAGATCCCATTGAGATATATAATGTAAAAGTTAGATAGTTGAACGAAAGAGAGACAGAGAGAGATGATGGAGAGAGTAAAATGGTGAGATGACTTTATATATTGAGAAAGGCTCTGAGGACGACTACTAAAGAGAGAGTTATAGTTAAAAAATGAAGAATGTTTGAAGAAGTCGTGGCTTGATCATCAATGCCAACTCAATTCATCAATTTCGTCAGCTATTAATTTTTATCTTTACTTTATAAAACTCATTGTTGTTATGTTTACCAATTCTTTCTTAACCTTTCATCTTCTTCTTTTTTTCGTAGTAAATGACGAACGATCCATGTGCAAATATTAGCTCACCTTTTTTATTTTAAGAAACATGTGCATAAGTGAAAAGTATGTATGTTCTCAACCAGTTTCACTTTGATCAAGTCATGAATTAGTAGTATGTTTGGAGATAATTTTTTGTTATATTTATAATAATATGAGAGCATCTATATAAGATCAAAAATGTATTTTACACTTTTCCGAATATATAAAAGAAGAAAACTTAACATGTTTAGAAGAATAAGGGAAATAAAAATGGCCACCACGTTCTCTATCTAATATCTTTTTAGAATATAGTAGTAGAGAGATTGTACACAGATTCGGGTACGGTGTGTGTGTTCCTGGCAAATACACTTTCTTAGATTTCTACGATCAAATTGTGTCAATGACAAAGCAAATAATCCCATAGAATATTAATCACTACTAATTATATTAATTATGACTCATGATACCATTTAGGTTCGAGTAAACATTGGCCACGGAGATTCGAGATTTAACATGATTTTTTCCGGTCCCAAAAAATTAGTTTTTAGGTCTCGAAAGCTTTTGAGATCACTTCTGAGCTATAAAAAAAAAAAATACTACTAATTATTAGTATTCGTTGACTTTAAAAAAAAAACAATAATAATAATTATTAAGAAAAGCCAATAATTTCTCTGGCCATTAATCTTCGAAATGTGCCTGTTTTATTATAAAAACGTGTGAAACCAAACATACCAGAGAAATTGTAAATGGTTGACATGTTTTTTTTAAACACTGAATCAATTCATTAATGAGAATGGTTGACATGTTTGTTTGTTCTTTTTGCAACAAACAAAACAATAACAATGTGAAACGAAAATATTTTCTAAACATATTTGAAAATTATAAATATTAATTTTTCTTTTCTTTTTGGAAATGTGAAACGAAAATATTTTCTTAAAAGAACGAATTTTTTCTTGTGTGTGTATGTGTGTGTTTATCATTAAACTTTGTTTTAAACAAACAATTATTTGTTGAGAAAAAAAAACAATGATTTAATTTTATGACCGGAAAAACAAATGATTGATGAGACTCCAAAGGGCTATAGAGCTGCCCAAGGCCGAAACTTGTTACTACAAAAAAAAGATGGGCTTACAATTCTTCGGCCCAAACACCGACATAATCCAAAGTTCCAAACTCAACGCGTTTAAGATGCCACCAAAAGATCTTTTTGTTTTATGACATTTTCATTTCACACATCACTTGGGGGAAAGAAGTGGCAGATTGGATTTTGGAACCAGCTCCCATCAACTTGAAACTGTCTCTCAATTGTCACCACTTATTTTATGTTCATTTACTTCTTTAATTCTTCTTCCATTGAATCTCACCACTTTCTCTCTCTCTATCTTCTTTTGTCTCTCCCCCCTGAGGCACAAGAAACCAAATCATCACTTTTTCTCATCTCATTGTTTTTGAGCCAAATACAGATAACATCATTCACCTTCGTATAACTCCAAAACCCATTAATATTTTTGAGTAACATCCCCAATGAACCTATACCAATACTAGTTTCATTTACACAGAACAAACAAATCAAAGATAATATATTCTTTTGATAACAAAAAAAAAGAGAGAGAGAGAAACCGTTAAGTTGTACCATAGAATAGTGTTATCAATAGCATATGATGATGACTCTTTTTTCTTCATAAAATATCCCAAAAGCAAAACATGCAACTAGTCATCCACCCTTCACAGATACCTTTCAATCCAACGTGGCCTATCCATAAGCAAATGGGAATTCTTTATTTGGACTAGTGATCTAACCATTCATTTATAGCTTTTATGTATATGAACACAAAGCAGGTAGTTTCCAAAACCGTATTCAAAGAGAAAAGTAGTAATGCTGACCTTTTTTTAAGACCAGGTTATCTAATCTTCATGGCTATATAAAAATGGGTTTGGCATGCTTGCTTACTATAACTTAGGACACGGTGGGATCAACACACATAACCTCAAGTACCAAAACAGATTCTTGAGAAACCAATGGAGGAAACAAATAAGAGTGTACTTGATGATTGCTTTACTACTGCCATGGCACTTACCGAGTCAGGTGTCCTTCGCGTGCCTACCCGTTACATTCTTCCACCTTCACAACGACCAATGCTCGGTTCAAGCAGTGGCACTGATACCATCACACTTCCTGTCATTGATCTCTCCCTCTTACACGATCCTTTGCTTAGACCCTGTGTAATCCATGAGATTGAAATGGCCTGCAAAGGATTTGGTTTTTTTCAGGTAATGGCTATACTCTTTTTGGCTACATACACATTACAAGTCATGTAACTCTGTTTCAAGCATTATTACTATCCCAAATGAATAAAAAGTTTGGTGCTTAAGTGTCTTATTCATGTGTCTACATTTCTCAGTTCATTAAATTCAGTCATGTGTTTCATTCCTCGGGTCACTAAGACCAGTCTGGACTGTACGTGTAGCATCTACCAGTCACACTGATATATGACTTTATGAGAAAGGCAGTTCTTGTCTTTTTGCATTTATATCATACTCAACAAAGTCCCTAATCAGAAAAAGAACAAAGTCCTTAGTTACTGTCTTTATTGACAATAAGAAAAATAGCCATGTGAAGATGCTTATCTTCTAACTTTATGAAGATGTCAGTATCTCGGTTTCATTAAAAACACACTACTCTATTGTATCATTTGCATTATTTCAGTACAGAACTCAGATTCAAACTTATGTATCTACAGATTATAAACCATGGAATATCATCATCGGTGGTGAAAGATGCACTAGATGCAGCTACAAGGTTCTTTGACTTACCTGTTGATGAGAAGATACTTCTGGGTTCTGATAATGTTCATACGCCAGTACGGTATGGCACCAGCTTTAACCATTCAAAGGACAAAGTTCATTACTGGAGAGATTTCATCAAACATTACTCCCATCCTCTCGCAAAGTGGATTGATTTGTGGCCGTCCAACCCTCCATGCTACAAGTAAGTAAACATATCTGGCCATCTTCACTGTCTGAATATTCTCCTTTGACGGGTATAAGCATCCAATTAGCAGCAATATGTATCAAAACATTGGGACTCAGAAATGATGTGATCTCCTAAAAATCTCCTTTCTTGTCAGGGAAAAAGTGGGGAAATACGCAGAAGCAACACATTTGCTGCATAAGCAACTAATTGAAGCTATCTCAGAAAGTCTAGGGCTGGAGAGAAAATACTTAGAGGAAGAAATTGAAGAAGGTTCGCAAGTCATGGCGGTGAACTGCTATCCAGCTTGTCCCGAACCTGATATTGCCTTGGGAATGCCACCACACTCGGACTTTGGCTCACTGACCATATTACTCCAGAGTAGCAAGGGGCTGCAGATAATGGACTGCAACAATAACTGGGTTTCTGTGCCATATATCGAAGGAGCACTGATAGTTCAGTTGGGTGATCAGGTGGAAGTCATGAGCAATGGCATATACAAGAGTGTGGTTCATCGTGTAACAGTGAACAAAGATTTCAAGCGGCTATCTTTTGCAAGTCTTCACAGTCTACCTCTGCATAAAAAAATAAGTCCAGCACCTCAGCTCGTCAATGAAAAGAAATCAGCTGCCTATGGAGAATTCAGCTTCAACGATTTTCTTGAATATATCTCTAGCAATGATATCACACAACAAAGATTCATTGATACACTCAGGAAGAACAATTTCTGAAGATGGTGTTAATGACTCTCACCCAAATCATACAATTCGACTCGGCTATTCCCATGTTGGATTATGCGGACCTAGGTTGCATGCATCTTGTTTATAATCTATGGCTTAATCTCACTAGATTATCACATAACAACATGAGCAAAATCCCTGCAAGTAAACTGCATTGTATATATCACATAAAAGCATACTTTGTTATCATATAAGTGTATCATTATTCTCCAAGAATGATGCTAAAGTACTCAAGCTAAATTCCAGGAATTTTCTTCTATCCGAGTCAGATTCATATTAGTTTCTCATCTAAGAGAAAGGTTTGATAATGGATCAAAACATCAAGGGCAAAGACGCAACCGAAAAAAGATAACAAGTATTGGAAGAAAAAGCAAGATAATAATATTTTGAGAACTTATTTCAGGTCAACAAAAAGACTAGAAATAGATATTCATTTTTTTTAGTAAAGGCTGAGTAAGAGCAGCACCACGTCCAATAACAAAAGCACCAAAGAGAACATAGGCAGGGTCTTACCTTCATCAATAAATTTTTAATAGAGTTACTAGTTTGATCCTTAGAGAAGGAACCTTCTGGACCACACCACAACAAACTAACCTTGTTTCATCATGCACTAACTCTACTACTTTTACTAGTCTAGTCTAGTCCTTTTGTCTAAAAAGGTGTCGTAACCTGTCCAACTATATCTCACATTACCAATCTTAATTGATTGACAAAGTAAAGTGACAAGAGTTCTGGTAGAAAGATCAGAAGTAGTATAATTGTTGATACAAGTTTATCAAATCTCACATAAATTTTAAGAGTAAAAGACAGTTATTCAAACTCTATTAAAACGAATTGTCCTGAAGCTTAACTAAGATAGTGAAACAGCCAACAAAGCAAAAACCAGTTTTGGAAACAAACTGCATCAACCAGATAAGATAATGTATGGGATTTGAACAATTACCATCATTAACAGCTTGAATTCTCAATCTTCACAATCCGTACAATACATGGAAGCAAACATGTTTCCAAACCAGCCAACGTATCCTGTAAATCAAACAAAAACCTGTAAAATTTCTCGAATGAAAGAGCAAAGAAGCTCGATTTTATGGGAAAGTCGCATTACTGAATCGAAATAACTACTTACACTCACGGCGTCCATAGCCTCTTTAGTCCCGTCGGCAGATTCCCGGTAAAATTTAACTCCGTCACCGCAATGTCTTTTTATTGCGACTCTTTTTCTTATTTACCTTTTTTATAGCAATTTTTTAAAACTTTACTTATTGTGGCTGTAATTATTGAATTGAACATAACCACCCAATTTTCGTTGTATCAGGAATACCAGTTTTGATTAAAAAGGGTGAATTAAGCAAACAATACTAAATTTGGATGAAATCAGAAGAAAATTGTAATATATTGGACCGTTTTAGATATTAGAAGAAACTACAATAAGATATAATGCAAAAAAAAACGTGGCGAAAAGAAAAAAAGAGAGAGAAAAAAGGGGTCTGCTTCTTCTTCATCGCCGTCTCTGTGCGGCCGGCCGAGAGTGCTTATCTTCCTCTTCTAAACATGTCGGAGGAAGAGGTAGCGATGGAAGTAGAAGCTGTAGAAGCAGTTTACAGCGAAGACTGCTTCATATTGAATTCATATCCTCCTCATCTTCACCTCCATATCAAACCCCGTACCGCCGAGATCTCTTCTCAGCAGGTTTTTTTCTCCGTTTTCTTCTGCTTTTTTCTTAGGAATCGCGAACCGTCTGAGAACCCATAATTTTTACACATTGAGATTGTTTGATTAGGTTGCGGCTTTTTTTCTTAGATTAGGCGATCGTTCGTATCAATAGTTCGAAGTTAACATGGTTTTTTTTTGGTTCTGCAGTTTGTGGAAGCGGTTCTGAGAATCCAAGCAGGTTCTAAGGTAGATTTGGTATCGATCTCATTGTCCTGGAGCTTTTTTTGGAGAACCATTGAGCTTAAGTATTATCTTTTGTTGTAACAGTACCCAGATGAACCACCTCGAATTAGTCTGATTGAATCCAAGGGTCTTGATGAGCAAAGGCAAAAGCATTTGATTGGCATAGTTCAAGAGAGAGCTTCTGAATTATCATCATCTTTAATGCTAGTAGAACTTTGTGAGGTACGAGCTCTCTATATTTTCTTATATACTAATGTGCCGTATCATTGCACCATGCTACTGTAACAATCTCAGTCTTTTTACTTCATTTTCTTGATGAGAAATAAACGATTAGTAGATTTAACGTTATGAAAAGGAAATAAGTCGTATGTAGAATAAGAAAAGACCTAAGTTTGTTGAATCACAAGCAGACAATGTCGTTAAGATTAGAATCTCATGTAGTGTACTAAACATATATGTTTCTAGGAAGCAGTTGAGAGGCTCACGATTATGAATCACCCAGATGGAGATTGTCCACTGTGTCTGTATCCATTATTCCCTGAGGATGAAGGGAGTAAACAAATGCCATTTATGAAGCTGATGTCTTGTTTTCATTGTTTTCACTGGTGAAGAATAGTTAGCCTCTCTTTTCATTCTTAGTTTGGGATTATTTTCTGGTGTTTAAGGTGCCTAATTGTTCTTTATTGATTTCAAGTGATCAGTGAGTGCATCATTAGGTGGTGGAATTGGCTTCATGCACAGAAAGATGCTGATTCGGAATCTGGTGATGCTTCACACACGCGAAGAGGCTCAACTGCTGAACAAGGTCTGTATCGTAAGGTCTTTTTTTTTCTAACGGAAAACTGAAAAAGATAGTGGTTCTCCGAAAGAAAGCTTTACAAAATAAGCTAAAGAAATAGGTATTGCAGGTAATTCTGGATCAGCAGATGAAAGCTTGGGAAACTGTCCGGTGTGCCGCAAAATATTTCATGCGAGTGATATTGAACATGTTCTTGACTTAGTTGGTACTCAATCACCTCAACCGGTGAGCCGTCAACATCAGATAATTTCTGCTTGTTTGTATTGATTGGACCTTTAATCCACAATTCAAGATTCAACTTTTGTTCTTTTTTCTATCGACTACATCAGCTTACATGCTTTGAACCAAACAGGATTCTGGTTTGATACAAGGTGAGGAAGAAGATCCGCTGCTCCAGTCAGATTCAGAGAACATCAGAAGAGAGCGATTTGAGTCTATTCTAAAGACACAGGAAGAAAAAGGAGGTTTGGTTCAGCCTAAGAAAAACATATCGGTTGTGCCTGGTATGTATCTTCCTCCGCCAACCCCTGCATCATCATCTCCAAACAAAGAAGAAGAAGCTGGTCAAAGCCAAGAACAAGGAGAAGAAGAACCCAAAGAAGCTGAATCAGAGACAAACTCTAGCAGCTCAGCCAACAGAAGAGGCCGAGGCAGAGGGAGAGGCCGAGGCCGTGGACATAATCCCAACAGAAGGAAACAGACTTTGCAAGATCCAAGAAAACCGATGAGGCAATGGGTGCAGAGAGCAAGAGAAGGTGACAACTAATATATTATTCGAATCTTGTATGATACATCAAACCCAGACTCAAACACAAGAGTATACTATATTAACTGGCGGGCGAAATAATATATTCGGCAAAATATCTCTATTTTACCAACTTGTAAGTTTGTATGAGCATGATGTATTTGTTTTTGACAAATTTAGCTGTAGAAAATACAAACCGCACGCAGTGTAAGAAGAAGAAGAAGTAAAGGTGTCGTCTCATAATTGGGCCTCAATGGCCATTGGGCTTGAGCTTAATATCTTACTAAGTGGTCATAGTTCATACCATAAGTCCATAATACACCGTACATATATTAACCGGTTTATGATCAGAGTGAGGAGGACGCACAGTTTAGCTTAACCGGTTTATGATCTGAGTCTTTCACTCGAATTCAATATCGCCGGCAATAGCTCAACCAAAAAAAAAATATCGCCGGCAATAGTGCTCATCTGTTCGATGTCCTCTCCGTCTGCGGTCGCCGATCTCTTGAACGTGCTTGCCTACCGGCTTCAGAGCAGAAATCAATTGTTGGGAGAAGAACTTGAAGAGTCTACTTCATCTATGGGACTAGCTATCTCGGAGCTAAACCGATCTCTGACTATGGACATCGGCGCCGAGGAGTCTGGGGTTAAGGTTATGGACGCAGCATTATCTCTAATGTGCTTCAAGGCACCTCAGGTTAGTGTTTTGAACTCTGGAATTTTGCATTGTTTCGAGATATATGCGTGATTTTCTCATTCAAATTTCTTCCTCAGGTATTTGATTCGGCGATTGAGTATCTGGTGCGAACCATTGTTTGCGCCTTATCATCTTCAAGAAACTGTAAAGTACTTAGGGATCGAAACGAGGAAACGTTACAGTTTGGGAGCTCCTATTTACCTCGCTGCTCTGAAGAATTGATCGAAATCTCTAAGGATATTATTGATAAATTGGGATCAAACGGTGAGTTTTGATTTGGTATTTCCTAGTGTTACCTTAAGCTTTTAATCTTTTCTTCTTTCGTATCTTCTCTGACTTGGAACTGTTTATAGGAAAGTTGGCTAAACAATTGTTCCAAGCTGTTGTAAGATCGGCATCCTCAACATCATGCAGCGTGCATAGAATGTTAGAGGATGGAAGAAATAGGGCTGTATCAAAGCTTCTTGCTTTCTTACCGAGAGAATCATCTACAGATAACCACGAGATACCTCTGAGGTTTGACCTCTTGTACTGTTTTTATTTATTTATTCCAAGCTGTGTCTTAGTCTGCATTTTTCATATTAGTCTATAGAACTTGTGAAACTGAAGCCACAGCTTCTGAGATGTTTCCTCTCTTGTTTCAGAGAAAGGTAGACCGGTCTGACACTTTTTGATAATCAGGATCCTGTTCTGGTATCAAGATCCATCGTCTTTGAAGGAACATGTTTCCGGAATCTTGAAAGATGTGGTGGAAAGGCCTTTCCTTTGTCTAAAGAAGGAGCTTTTCGAGAGGGCAGAGTGGCGCGATATTGTCAGCTGTTTAGTGCTATCTCCTACTATGTTTATCAACACCAGAGCCCTCTTACATAAATGGCTTTTGCTTACGTGAGTTCTCATCCTATTCATGTCTCAAATATCTACAACAGTAGATGCATGTAACCTGATACTATATCATTTATAGCTTTCCATCTGTCTTGCTTTCTGATGCAATTTCATTCTTAACGCCAGGGGACTTGCTTCTGTCTTTGAAGTACTTGCTGGTTTGGTCTCTGCAATAATGGACACAATTTCAAGACCATCGATGTGGGGTATACCAATGGAATTAGCTTCCATGTTGCCATTCTCTGATGCATACTTTCCTTTCCAGTGTCAGTTTCTGAGAATCTTGACTGGTCCTCTCACATCCAAGTCCCTCCTAATGTTAGCTCATACTGTCAGTAAATCATCTGCTGCTCCTGGGCAACAACGACAGAATACTAATTGTAAGCCTACTCCAATCAAAGTTCAAGCATTAGATGACAAAACCGAATGGTAACTTTACATGAAATACAAATTGATTCCTTCATGTTTGATTGATTTATACATACATGCATGTGAGTGGTTTTTGAACGATGTTGTATCTTCTGGCAGGGCTTTGGCTATCAACTTCCCCGATTGGTTTTATTTTGCTTCTGCTATGCTCTTCTCAGAAGGGAATTCAGTGGAATCTATCCACCATAGATACACTTCAAAAGTGGCTGATAGTAAACAACCATGTGATGTGGAAGATCTCTCCATTGCTGCGGCTACATACATTTCTTGGTTTCTAAATCCTGGAAGTGGAACCGTTCAAGAATCACTAAGTAAGTCTCTCATTAGAGTCTCAGAGATATGTATCAGCAAAAGTTGTGGGTCAGAAGCACATCGTAGTGAGACTATAACTGGCAAGCGAAAGAAACCAGATAGGCTTGTTTCTGGAAAAATAAAGGCTTCCAGTATTCTGGAAGACTTATTGAGAGAATTTGAAAACCAAATCATCAATTCAGTTTCTTATGAATTTGATTCTCGGAAAACACATCCAGCTTTCAACTCTGGCCTCCAGAACAATTTGTTGGTAAGAAGAGTGGTGGTTGGTGTACTGTTTGGTTCTCCATTTTCAGTAACAGATGAGGAGTATGAACTGGTACTGCACTATGCTGCATCTGGGAAAATTATTTCCTTTAAGAAATCACGAAATACCGGATTCAAACAAGGAAAGGGATTCTCTAGAACATCTGCTTTACTGTCGGATGAAATGACCAAGGAAGAGGCTATTGAAGGCACACTTCTTGTTTTCAAAATAACAGACACTTTTGAGAGTATTTGTGTATCAAGTTTTGAAGGTGAAGAGGACTCCGAGGAGTTTATTAACTATTTTAAGCTAAGATCCAGCAAGTACTTGGTCAAATGCATCGACCGCCTGCTTCAACTTTACTGTAAAGAAGATGGAGATTTTATACTAAGTGACATTAATATCAGACTAGTAAAGTGGACAGTAAAAGGAAGAGAAGTTCCGAATTTCAACAAAGATCTTAATGATATTGCTGCTAAATTGGCCTGCAAATTCTCCCCCACGTAACTGCCTCCCTTTTGCATGACTTGTGTCATCAATCATCATATTTTGTCGAACACATAATTTTGGGAAATTGGTGATCTCAGATATGAAATGTTTAAAGCTCTCACCTGACTGGGAGGAAGATAATATTGGTAATCAGGTAACTGGAATTTAATGCCTTCTTTGGTTATTTTCTAGAGCAGTAGCACAATTATAAGTGACAAGATTATTTAGGCTTCAAAGTAGCAGCACTCTTAGATAAAATTTAAGTTGGGTGTTTGAATGTCTCTGGTATCGTGAAATGGTTAGCTATAAGCTGGGTGTTTGAATGTCTCTGGTATCTAGTGCACTAAATTTTGTAGAACTTAAAGTTTTAAGTTGGCAGTCGTATCTAAGGGACCTTTACTCTTTTTGCACATGGATGATGATGACTTATGACCTGTGTTTATTTCTTACTGTTAAATTTTCTGTGATCATACTAACATATCTACTATTACATTTTATATTTCAGATCCGCACCTAAAATGATTTGATCTGCCTGGAGTGAACCAGACAATTTTGGAAAATTTAATGGTAAGCCTTGGAACCACTTGATGCCGTTGCCATGCTCTCTTAATATTATTTGACAACCAGAATACAATAATAAGCTTTTCAACAGTTTTAACCGGATTCTCTTCTGAAAGGGACAATGTAGACTCATTATCATGATTTTCTCTTGGCTAGATATGTGCAACAACATAATGATGCCATCACTGTTGGCCACAGTTCCTTGTGCTAGCCAGGGCATCTGAGGTTCGTCATCCCATGGCCATGAGAGTTGCAAAAGGAGTGTGATCGAGAGAAGTGAGCAGTGAGCACAAGTACTTGGGTTTTGCTGTTAGGCTTTTTAATTATGTTGTAAAATATTTTTATTGAATATTTTGTATGGACTATGGAGATGGAAGCCAGCCAGAAGGTCTGGCTTTCAGATGGAAAGAGTGAAGTAATTCGATATATTTATTTTTCCAGTTTTTTTTGTTTGTTTGTCTCTTCCGATGTGTGGGATCTTTTATCCTCAAGCAGAGGGGGGGACATGGGAGAGATTCTGTCTATTAGGTTCTGGGAGGGACACAAGGTAAGAAGAAGACACCTATAGAAGATCCGGTAAAATCCTGATTTCAACAAAACCATGTGGTTTCACTTTCAGACAAGAAATGAGGAGTTGTCTGATGCGAACTCGAGAGGGAATCCGATGGAGACAGACCCCACCCACTTGGAATTGAAGATCATGGCTATTCAAATCAAAGCTTTTTTAGTATATTCTCACCGGATATTTTTACCTACTCCCTAGTTTCTTGCTTACAGTTTTCCTTCATCTTTCACTCTTTTACTTTTCACTTCGCCAAGCACAGTAAATAAACCACAAAATCTAGAAAGCAACCAATTTCGTTTTTCTAGATTCTAGTTACCAAAACCATAGTCGATATTTATCACATCCTGACTAGATAAGAACATGTTAACTTAAGAGGTTTAATACTTCCAGAATCAAAGCGACACCCTCAGTTTCAAAACTTTCGTTTATTTACATTCTCCTTTATGATAATTAAAAAAAACGTGTTCAACACTTGTTTGGGGAAAAGGGAGTAACACAATAACCATAATCAAGGACAAAAGACGAGAGAGCCATACGAAATATTTTAAGAGTTGAAGCTTTGTTATAGTTAACATAACTCTGTGTAAGAATATCAATAAATATGTGTGAATATAATATAATGTCTATTTGATAGAGTATGAGCGAGTGCATACCGTTTGGAGAGACTCCATGAACAAAGCAGAAAAACTTGTTAAAGATTGGAACACACCAGGCAACCCTGTCTGCAGATTATTTAAAGTCATGGCTCTTGTCACTTCTATTGCCTTTGAGTATTTCACCATCTCTTCCTCAACTCTTCGTTGGCAAACCGCAAGCTCTGACTTTTTATCGCTTAGTGGGTCTCGAGCATCTAACATGTGTTGGTTATCAGGTCCTGAATCTGGTAAACCGACACCGACCATTGAATATGACTGGTAATATTTCCTCTCTAGGTTTCTAAGCGAAGAAGCTTTCTTCTCGAGATCTTTTGATGCTGATTCTGTTCTTTTCTTTATCTTGTGTTCATCAGCTTGTTTCACGGAAATCACATGCACAACATTGATGAAACTCTTGATTGCTTCGGATGCGACTGTATCGGGAACACGATCTAGAGCGAGTTTCCACTCATCGCAGAAGGCGTATGCATCAAGTGGCTCTTTGTGATTACTATTGGCGTCTTCTTGGCAAACTGGGAGAAGGGTTAGCTTGAACCAGGTGTGGACCGAGTGTATGAAGTCACGTTGGAATTTAATTAGACGACTGAAATTGGTGTGCCAAGAAGAGACAGCTGATTCCAAGTCACGTGTTGCTTGTCGGTGTAGCTCAGAGGTTGATTCACCTTTCCCTGATCTGTTAATGAGCCCCCGGACTTGCTCCACAATGCTGTTCTGAGTCTCATGGTATTGATGCATAGATTTCCACATGTACATAAAGCTGCATCAGGTGAAAAACACATAGATTAATGCCTCCTACAGTATATTGCTTCTTATAGTTGACTGCCTCTTAACTATGATGAGATATATTACCAAATTCAGTAACTTACTATCGATAAGTTATGAAACTTAAAAAGCTAAGAATTAAACTGTAATAAAAGATAAGAAAATAAGTTATGAAACTTAAAAAGCTAAGAATTAAACTGTAATAAAAGATAAGAAAATAAGTTATGAAACTTAAAAAGCTAAGAATTAAACTGTAACAATAGATAAGAGGTAAGAGACCTTTTCTGTCTCACTCTAAACATGTCAAGGACCACAGAATTCTAAAACGCATGGGCTCATTTTGTTCACCTACTTATTGAGACCACAAGATTCTTCTAAAGATATGAAAAGTAGGTGGAAATAAATTTAAGACAGCAAATGGGTAAGTAATGATTGCTTGCCAAAAATGTCAAATTCAAGAAAACTGTTGGATGACAAGATGACATCAAGCAACTGGTGATTTAGTTATATAGAAAAATTACCCATGACAGAGCTCAACGAGTTGTGGAACAAGGTCGGTATCACGAAGACGGATTATGGCAGTAGATGTGGTTGTAACAGCTTGAGAAGTAACAATTATCAATGACTGTAACCTCGTTATAGAGGCCTTTGTCTTGTTTAGCTTAGCTTCATCCTCCCCTTTATACTCTTGGCTTTGAAGTTGTGATAACTTCTTCTCATGTTCAATCTTGAATCCTTCTCTAGCCTGGAAAACAAAAACATCAGCTACCAACACTTAAGCGGTAATATTTATCAAAAGTAAAAAACCTACAAAGGCTTTGATTTGACAAACTGTAAAAGACCTTAATTTCTTCATAGAGCTTCTTCTCCCATGCCAAGAGACGGTCAAGAGTGGAACAAAGGCTCTTAGAACTGCTGGGTTGATCCAGCGCCGTCGTGTCTAGCCTGTACTTGACTGCCAATGGTGGCTTCGATGTCCATGTTGAGCTCAAGTTGCTTAATATGCTACTCGAATGAATCACCGTTTCTGATAAACAAAAATCACAATGTCACACACTCAATTTCCATCAAAGCATGGATAATAACAAGCTATTAAAGCAAGAAAACAGAGAAGAACAATAGAACTCACTCTTCAACTGGCTGAAACTGCGATCGAGCTCAGCTCGGCCGAGCTCAAGCATCTGAGACACTTGATCGCCAGCCGAGGCCGCTTTGTCAAAATTCTCCTTAATCGCATCCACGATTTCTTTCAAATCCCTATGCCTTACCACCATCTTCATGTCAGTGATCTCTCCTCCGCCTCTATAGCTACCAGGAGACATCGTCGCATCATCTGCTTTGTCATATTTTCCTTGTTCAGCGCCGCCGTATTCTCGCGGCATTGGCGAAGGTTGCTGATGATGCGGTCTCATCGAATTAGTTCTCACCGTAGATCCAAGGTCGGAGCGTGTCCCGATTTCAGAAATTGACTCTCTATCGTCATCTTCTTCTTCCTCGGAACTCGTGGTGCTGTAATGATCGTGATCCTCCCATTCACTACAATGTACTTCTTCTCTCTCTGTCTCCGTCTCCTCCTCAACCGCATTGCTCATTGATTCGAACTGCTTCTGCTTTTGCTTACTCGTGTCGAAGAAATCATACTCTGACCTCTCTGTTTCAGTATCCTCATGGTTATAGCGATGATCGGAGTTCTGTTTCTTCTCTTGAGCCTTCCGATTGAAGAATTCGGAATCTGGAGGAGAAGGAGGGTAGAAATTTTCCCAGTTCCAGACGGAGGAGGCATGAGAAGGAGTAGCGGAGTAAGTAGAGTTCTGATAAGCTCCGGGATAAAAATTGGGCATGAAATTGGATCTCTCGCTTCTCGGAGAAGACGAAGGACTAGACTCCGAGAGTATATGAGGCAGCTTAGGTTTGGGTGGCTGTTTCCTTCGTCGATTTGAAGAGACGGAACTGACTGAAGACTGCTTGGTACTAGCAACAGAGGGAGACATTGGAGGAGGCGACGGAGGAAAACGTGGAGGGACTAATTTAGCCGGAGATTGTTCAGAAAGAGGAGGTGGAGGAGGATGGAGGAAAACCGCCGGAGTCTGATCCGAAACAGAAAGAGGCTCACCGGCGGCGAATGAGGAGAGAGCAGATCCAGTGAAACGAAGGGAGCGGCAGTAATCGGCGTGAGCGGCGGCGAGATGATGACGAGCGAAGACAGCTTCTTTCATCAGACGGCGGCGATCCTTACACCGGCGTACAGAATCTTCGTTATCGAGCTTGGAGGCTGCACATCCCATGGCTTGTTTGTTTCTTCTTCTCCTTCAGGTATCTTCTTTATGGTTACGGTGGCGCGTGAAGCTCACGTCGGCTCTGCATATTTTTCACAAATAATCAATGAATCATGGAGAAAAGGGAAAAAAGTTATATAGCTGTTTCCAAAGTTTCCACTTAATACTAATACTACACTAGCTACTCTACTACTACACTGTACTCTTTTTTTCTCATATTTATCATGAAATATAAAAAACATAACCGACAAACAAAAATAAAAATAAAAATAAAAACCCTGGACAAATCTTTACCTTTCGGTTTGATTTTTTTTTTCGTTAGTTAAAAATATTAAAACTTTATAATAAAATATGTAATAACGACATTTTCTGACACGTTAATTAACGGTTACCAGAACCTACATTACAATATTACGGTTAACCATACTAATAATATTCAATTAGAACTGTGATTGCAACAGTAAACAAAGAAAAAGGTAAATTTGTAATTAACATTGAAAAAAAAATGAAATTTGAGATTTTTACTAATACGTCAGTAATATTTGTTTTAAAGCTTAAAGGGTCGTCGTGGGCCACGGCTCGTGGGTCTGAAGCTTCTGAGCTAAGGTCCAAGATAAAACAAAAAAAGCACCGATAAAAAGGGAGAAAAAACGGCAGGATTGGTGAAAAGCTGGAGCTAAAAACGGTGAAAAGTGTTGTTTTCTTCTTTGAAAAAGTCTCTTATGAACAGAACAAAACCACATGCATTTTCCCTTTTTCCTTTTTCTTTTTTTTGTTAGCTTTCTAATTATCTTTACCAATCACTTTGTTCCAAAAGGGACATCATCACCGCCATGACAATAAAACCGACCTTTAAAAGACTTTTAAAGTGAGTCTTGGAGGAACTATATTATAAGGAGTAAGGACCCAAGAGCAGAGCATCTAATTCCTGTGCTTCTTCAATACATGTCTCCTTCCAAATCTTTTTCGATCTCTCGTGAAGCTTGTTCTTCAATACTATTCTTTGATCGCTAAAACTACCAAAATTACTGAAAACCGAAGATATAACATTTTTGCGTGTATCATAATTCATTACATGTGGGTTTCTTAATAACTATATAGAATTATAGAGAACAGATGAAATCCTTTTTCTTTTTCTTTTTGGAAGTGCATAGAAATGTTGCAAATACATATTACAAACTAGGCAAGCACATTAATGAGGATGTGTGTGCTTTAGAATGAGTCCTTGGGGGAAGAAGAAAACGATAAAAAAAGACCGAGTCCAGGAAGTGGAGTCTCCAACAAATAAAGAGGGGATGATGTATTATCATCCTTCGAGTAGTCATATTTTTTGGTTGAGAGATTATGTAACGTATGTATGACACTTATATGTACGTAATACTGTGGATGACCATTTCATACAATACCAACGAAAATAATCTTCATATTATCTCCAACTACTCTTCTTCTTTTTTTTTTTCCTTCTCTGTTAATTATCACATTGTATTCCAAATTTATAATTCAAGATTTTGTTTACAAACTTCGCTAACGTTTATAGTAAAATCTACAAAAAAGGGGCTCTTGTTTCCGTCCTGGAACGTCTTAAACGTGTTTTTGTTTTTGCTATGAACGTACCGTGGAATACTCTCTGCTTTGAGGATCAGTGTCGCTTTGATCGCGTTTTGTTTTACTACTTTAAGCTTCAATCCAATTTTGGCATTGATCTTGTTTTTAAGTGTAGTCTCTCTCACGCGTTTAACATCTCGCGGCACATAACTGGCTTTACTTAATTAAATTGCCCACGAGTTGTTCGTCAAAATTCCCAAATGAAGTTTCGTCTATGTTTTTGTGTTTGAACGATTATGAGACTGTCAAGGAAGGGCTCTTGGGTTCTAAGAAAGTAAAGTGTTTCTGCACCTTCGTTAACGTTACTACAAGGAAAGGATCAATGAATTGTCGTGGAGAGCACCCCAATCTTACTTTTTCATGAACATCTGTCTCATTCTTTTCCCATACTATGTTTTGCCTCTCTACTAAGTTTTAAGAGTTTAGACCAATCTAGTCTGACAACTTGCTATCGGTTTTCATTTCGTAGACAATGCCTCTCCAAGGAACATTTGTCTCTCTGCAGAGTGTAACCGTATATAACAACTTGTTACTTGTTACATATATGCATGCAGAGCTTGGCTTTAAGAGGATAAAATGAAGTTTGCTCGGTTAACCGACCAATTCACGAGTGGGACCGAACCACTGTTTTCGGGTTCAGCTACTGCAGTTCACACCAGAATCCACAGCTCCAAAAGCAGAAGCTGTAGCGTTCCAGTGGAAAAACTAAAGGACCATGAGAAGCTTTTATGTTGACAGGCTTTCTCGATTTGAGATTATCGATGCCTATGGATACTTCTTGACCAATTCCCTGATGTCATGTCACCTCCAAGGTACACCAAATTTCACCCTTAGTGTTATTGTTTTCCCGTATTTGGCACGGCCATTGATCTTGATCTTAGAATCTAATTAAACAATATCAAAAAAGAAGGCAAGAAACTTGTCGAAAAGACGTCCGGCTAAAATGTTGTTGTCCACTAAATGGTTCTTTGTCTTCTGAAGATTTATATGGTCAAAATAACTTGGGTTATATATATATATATATATATATATTAATTTCTTGATTTTGCTATAATATAGGGTGTTGTTAAGCTCTCAAGAATCTCGGAATATCCTGATTAGCGTAGAAAATGAAAATTTCCCAACATCATGGATTACCACTATCTTGAATTGTTTATTATAGAACTTCATTTTGAGAGTTTCCTTTCACGTTCTAAGATTAGGACCGTTCGTTGTGCTAACTAATGCGATTACGGGTGAAATAAAGAATTTTGATCAAATTATTTGACGCGTGTGCCAATTGTGTTTTTTGTCCCTCTAACCTTTTCAATAGGCAAAAACAGAGGTCAATGCTTTGATCGGCTCGACCTTAGACATTAACATCTTAGTCAGATTCTTTTTGACTTTTGAGAATTTTCTTCTCCTGATTGCTAGGAGCACGAGTTACAATCTAGGATTTCTTACGGAGGTAAAATGCTAACAAAGAGAATAAAACCTAAGGAATAGGCTAGTTTTTAACTATATCCAATGTAATGCAGTTTAGTTTAGATTTTATTACTACCCTAATGCCGGTAGATGCTGAAAGAGGCTACTCCTTCTACGTCTACGAATGTACATTGGTAAAGAAATATCTCAGATCTTGTTTCTTTTTTCATCTTTATTTTAGTTTACATTTTAAATGACAATTAGAAAAAGAAGAAAGAGTTGAATTGCATTATGAATGAGTCAGCTTTCTTCTGCATTGGGTTAATCTGGCCGGCAAATCTTTGAACTCGTTATTATATAGACCTTATTGTCTTCTTTATATATTGCCTGCACTACATATTTGCCTCAACTCCCCGATCTGCCCCTGGTTTTAAACGCTTGTCTTGTTTCCTTTGTGAAGGGCTAACGGGTGATGCTTTGCTGAAGGTTTTTTCTGGTCCTGGTAAGGGTTTATTCTGCATTTCTTGTCTTTGATAAACGTCTGTATTCAAATAACTAATTTCCGTTTGAGTTGAGTATGTAGAAAAAAGTGTTAGAGGGAGATGCTTTATGATAAAAAAGGGGATTGTATTATCTTCAGGAAGAAGGAACATATGTAGTCTTTTTTAATGACGAATTTATTAACCTGCCATTGTAGATTTCATAACTGGGTTTTAGTAACTTCCAGCTCAAGCAAAAGGAAGTTCGATATGACGGACATATCAGAATCTCTCAAGGCTATCACCACGGAGAGCATTGATCTGGTATGTAGTTTTTATACATCACCACTTTTTTGTTTGCAGATATTTGCTTTGGATAGCTATTTAAGTAACTATAGAAACTATGATTAATTGCAATTTCTCATGGATCATTGCAGGAAAATGTTCCCGTTGAAGAGGTTTTTCAACATCTCAAATGCACGAAAGAAGGGTTGACCACCAATGAAGTACAGGAGCGACTTACCTTGTTTGGTTACAACAAACTTGAGGAGAAAAAGGTTAAAAGATAGAAGTTTTCAATCTCACATTTATCCATTGTTTTTCTTATTCTCTCTCCTTTAATGTTATGTTGATCTCTCTTTTTATGTGGTTCTGCAGGAAAGTAAGATACTCAAGTTCTTAGGGTTCATGTGGAATCCACTTTCATGGGTCATGGAAGCTGCAGCCCTCATGGCCATTGGTCTTGCACATGGAGGAGTATGTTTTGTTCCTTCTCATTACTCGTTTCTTCTTTGAAGATGTGTAAATTTTGGATGGTCTCGGCTTATCGCAGATTCTTAAAACAATTTTTATGACTCTGATGAAACTAATTTGTCTCAACTGTTCAGGGCAAGCCACCGGATTATCACGATTTCGTGGGTATTGTGATTTTACTTTTGATAAACTCGACAATCAGTTTTGTAGAAGAAAACAATGCTGGAAATGCAGCTGCTGCTCTCATGGCTCAGTTAGCCCCTAAAGCGAAGGTTTTTATTCCTTTTTGTTGTGTTCATTTAAAGTTTGATTTCAGAATATAATTTTTTTTAATCAACTGTTTTAGGCCATCCGCGATGGGAAATGGAACGAGATAGACGCAGCTGAGTTGGTTCCAGGAGATATAGTTAGTATCAAACTTGGAGATATCATTCCTGCTGATGCTCGTCTTCTTGAAGGAGACCCTTTAAAAATTGACCAGGCAAGCATAACTTCTATATATGGGGATATCATAGCTCTGCATCCCTATCTCTTTTTCGACTAATCTTGGCTAGTTATATCTTTTCTCCAGTCGGCACTCACAGGGGAATCTCTTCCAGTGACCAAAAATCCCGGTTCTTCAGTGTACTCTGGTTCAACCTGCAAGCAAGGTGAAATTGAAGCAGTTGTTATAGCCACTGGTGTCCACACTTTCTTTGGAAAGGCGGCTCATCTTGTGGACAGTACCACCCATGTTGGCCACTTCCAAAAGGTTGGTTCACACTTTAGAGTAAAATAAAATTCTCAAGGATTTGGAGTCAGTGACTAAAAATCAAGTTTGTCTATTGATTTCCAGGTTTTGACAGCAATAGGAAATTTCTGTATCTGCTCGATTGCAGTAGGAATGGCGATTGAAATCGTTGTTATATACGGTCTCCAAAAGAGAGGGTACCGTGTTGGTATTGATAACCTTCTTGTCTTGTTGATTGGTGGAATCCCCATTGCTATGCCTACTGTTCTTTCTGTTACAATGGCAATTGGTGCTCATCGGTTGGCTCAACAGGTCAATACAAGTCTTTAAGATAGAGTCAGTTAACTTTTGTTGATTTAGTGTTTCTGTATACATGACTTTACAATCTATTTCAGGGTGCCATAACAAAGAGAATGACAGCCATTGAAGAAATGGCAGGAATGGATGTTTTGTGCAGTGACAAAACAGGTACTCTCACGCTAAACAAGCTTTCCGTGGATAAGAATCTGATAGAGGTTTGCATCTTTCATTCTACTTACTTGATAGTTACAGATCCTGATAGGTTTGGGACGATGATATACTAACAGCACTATTATCTCTTTTGTTGCAGGTTTTTAAGAGGGGGATCGACAAAGATATGGCTGTGCTTATGGCTGCAAGAGCTGCACGTTTAGAGAACCAAGATGCTATCGATACTGCAATTGTTTCAATGTTGTCAGACCCGAAAGAGGTATTGACTACTCAACTTTCCATAAACTAGATACAATTAACTCGTATATAAAATTATAAGTTATGATGTATTGATCTGATATTTTGTTTTCAGGCACGTGCTGGAATTCAAGAACTCCATTTTCTTCCATTCAGTCCAGCTAATAGAAGAACTGCATTAACGTACTTAGACGGAGAAGGCAAAATGCACCGTGTCAGCAAAGGCGCGCCTGAGGAGGTTAGATCATTTGCTGTCAACTTTCTTTATATAATAGCTATTACAACATTACCTTAAGTTTACCCATTGTTTTCTTAGAGATCGTTCTTATCATTTTTCCGTCTCTAGATTTTGGATATGGCACACAACAAATTAGAAATCAAGGACAAGGTACACTCTACAATAGACAAATTTGCAGAACGTGGCCTAAGATCCCTTGGGTTGGCATATCAGGTGAGACATATTTAATTAGCAATAAGAGTAAACTCTGCACTTGTGTTAAATGGATATCTCCTCTGATTACGTTGTAAAATCCTTCTTCAATAATAGGAAGTACCAGATGGTGATGTTAAAGGCGAAGGTGGTCCATGGGACTTTGTAGCTCTTCTTCCTCTGTTTGATCCTCCTCGTCATGACAGTGCACAGACAATTGAGCGAGCACTTCATCTTGGAGTCAGTGTTAAAATGATCACAGGTACAAAGCCATTCTTTATCCCCTTTCGCCTTTCCTATATATTTAGCTCCTACTCGACCTTAATAAAACGTCGAAAATCATATTAATTGCAGGTGACCAGCTTGCAATTGCCAAAGAAACGGGAAGAAGGCTTGGAATGGGCACAAACATGTACCCTTCTTCATCTTTGCTCTCTGACAACAACGCTGAAGGAGTTGCCATTGATGAACTTATTGAGAACGCAGACGGTTTTGCAGGAGTATTTCCTGGTAAATTTACTTACTTTTAAACTACATTTGTAACTATGATCTTTCATAGATATCTGATAAACACCTTTTCTGATCTTTAGAGCATAAGTATGAGATTGTGAAGAGATTACAATCCCGAAAACACATATGCGGTATGACTGGTGATGGAGTGAATGACGCACCAGCCTTGAAGAAAGCTGATATTGGAATTGCTGTGGATGATGCCACTGATGCTGCTCGGAGTGCTTCTGATATTGTCTTAACAGAACCCGGGCTTAGTGTTATCATCAGTGCTGTCTTGACTAGCCGTGCAATTTTCCAGAGAATGAAAAATTACACGGTACATAAATGCTTCAGCCTCAGTTACTTATTACCTGTGATGCAGTTTAAATGTGATGCTTAGATTGATTATTTTTTTAACCTACATTTGCAGATATATGCTGTTTCTATCACTATACGTATTGTGGTAAGTTTCTACGTCGGAAGTGCATCAGATTTTTACATACATGTTCATATTTTCATCTGATAACACATTTTTCGATGCCTGTGTTACAGATGGGTTTCATGCTTCTCTGTGTCTTCTGGGAGTTTGACTTCCCTCCATTCATGGTTCTTGTAATTGCAATCCTTAACGATGGTTAGTTACTGTTAACTATCTTGATGATTAAGCTTAAGGATTTGCTGGTTCTTGAAGTATTAACCTGATGAATTTGCTTCATGTTTAAAAGGTACTATAATGACCATATCCAAGGACAGAGTCAAGCCTTCTCCAACTCCAGATTGTTGGAAACTCAAGGAAATTTTTGCTACTGGTGTTGTACTTGGAGCTTACTTGGCAATCATGACTGTTGTGTTTTTCTGGGCAGCATACGAAACCAACTTCTTCCCTGTAAGCTACACATTGTCCTTGTCTTTATTTGACTCTAATTTCAAGTGTCAGCAGAATATAACTTTCCCTTTTGTGGTAGAACATTTTCAAAGTGAGAGACTTCAACCAGCACCATTTTGACATGAAAGACAAGAAAGTGGCTGCACATTTGAATGAACAGATGGCTTCCGCGGTCTACCTTCAAATCAGCACAATCAGCCAAGCATTGATCTTCGTGACCCGTTCCAGGAGCTGGTCATTTGTTGAGCGTCCCGGTTTTCTTCTTGTAATTGCTTTCCTAATTGCTCAGCTGGTAAAGAGATTTTACTCAACTCTCTTATCCTCTTCCTTAATTACTTACCCTCTTCATAATATAGTTTGTTAATGGAATCGAATTGTGTATTCTTATAAGATTGCATCTGGGATATCAGCAATGGCAACTTGGCCTTTCGCTGGAATTAGAAGCATTGGATGGGGTTGGACTGGAGTTATCTGGATATTCAACATAGTAACTTACATGTTACTTGATCCTATCAAATTCTTAGTTCGCTATGCTCTAAGTGGTAAATCATGGAACCGAATGGTCGAGGGGAGGGTCAGTAGATAAAAAGACGAAATCTCTGAAAGTTTAAATTTGGAACTTCACAATCACATTTTCCTAACTAGAAATCGTGATTTGTTTCCAGATTGCACTTACAGGGAAGAAGGATTTTGGCAAAGAAGAACGAATGGCTGCGTGGGCCACCGAGAAGCGTACACAGCACGGTTTAGAGACCGGCCAAAAGCCAGCTTATGAGAGAAATAGCGCCACGGAGCTAAACAATATGGCTGAAGAAGCCAAGAGACGCGCAGAAATTGCAAGGTTAGATATTTGCTAATTTATCTCTAATATGTTTAATTAGTAGAGATTGCTTGTGAAGTCTCTGCAATGTTTTGAATTTCTGATGAAAATATTTCAGAATGAGAGAGCTTCAGACATTGAAGGGGAAAGTCGAATCATCTGCAAAGCTGAAAGGCTATGATCTTGACGATGTAAACAACAACAACTATACAATCTGAGAGAGAGTCTCGATATGTTCTCTTATAGTTCATTTTTTATCATTTCATCTTTTTAATTTCTTTTTCGTATATGTATTATTACTAATTCTTCTTGATATTGACATGAATTTTGATATCTTAGTGGAAGATGTCTCATGTTGTAATCTTTCATTTGATGCTTGTAACTTTATTTACTTTTATTTGATGAAAATTCTTATTTGTTCGGCCCTATCTATACACACTTTGAATGTTAACTCTTGTTTTGGTCTCTACTCCTACATGGGAAAGAAAAAGTGTTGAGGTCGGTGAGAAGTAAAGAATTTTATTAGATTATAGAACTCTCTTGTAAAGGTGTGATCTAGTTGACTATCTTTGGTTTTAAATGGATTTACATTCACTTAATTAGTACAAACCTAATGTAAAGAATCATAATCATCATTCTAAAGATAGAATCATCATACGCGTTAATTGTTTGTTTTGTTTATCTAATCAAATCGTTAATTCTCTTTTGCAACTGCGACCAATGTTTTAACTGACTAATTTAATTATAACACTCTCACACGCTTCATTCGCGCGTGGATAAGACAACCTAAACGAAAAGTCAACTAACTTATTAGCGCGTGTAAACTTTACACGTGCCTAACTACTGATATGAAGAAATCCACAAGAGTTAAAACAAAACAAATAAAAATAATAAAAGTACACGAAGCGATCCTTGGAGATAATATTAAATCCGGTCGGAGACGAGACTAAAGCTTCGCCGGGGGAGTTTGTTCCGGTACCAGAGTTTTTACAAATTGCCATGCTTTCTTATCCCACCAAACCCAAAGATTAAGATTCTGTTGCCGGAAAAGCAATATCACTGTTTCTAAGTTGAGTTTGATCTGTTTGTTGTCTTTGAATCAAATCGCAGGAAGAAAAAAATGGTGTTTCTTAAGGCAGCGATTATTGTTGCCCTAATCTGCACTTTTCTCACAGTTGCTTCTTCTGTTCCTTTCATAGTTCTGCATGGTAATTTTTGTTATCTGATTTTTTTTTTCCCTTTTCTCCTTAAGTCATTGGATCGTAAATTGAATGGATTAGATACAGCAACAGTCATGTTCCTTTTTGAGTTATCTAATCGTTCAATTTTTTAAACTTACTTTAGTGAAGATTGTTTAGCTTGGTAAGTGTGTTTTTAGGGTTTTGGGATTCCCAAATCTCTGGAAAAAACAAAGTGAAAAAGGATTTGTGTGGTTTGCTTTCTCAGGAATTGGGGATAAATGCAGTAATGCAGGAGTGAAACAATTCACAGAGCTTTTAGGTGATTGGTCTGGTTCTCAGGGATATTGCTTGTATGTCCTCTTTATTTATACCAGCAAACACTTTCAAATATGGCTCAGAAGTTTTGGTATTAATCCATTATTGTGTTTCTTTGTAAAAATTCAGGGAGATTGGGAATGGCTCATGGGACTCATGGACCATGCCCCTCCTTGATCAGGTAGTGATGTTACATCTTGGAATTGTATGAGTCTACTGCCGGAAAAAGAAAGAGTTTATCTGACTTTTGGTCTTTTTCTTTGTGTGTTCTGCAGACATCTCTTGTTTGTGACAAGGTCAGATATATATATATATATAAACTGCATCAAGTGTTTGCTGATTGTTGGCTTTAGAAAATACCATTTTCATTATAGGTAATGTTTAATACTTCAGGTGAAAAGTATGCCTGAGCTTAGTGATGGTTACAGCATTGTGGGGCTTTCTCAGGGTAACATGATTGGTCGAGCTCTCATTGAGTTTTGCGATGGAGCACCACCTGTAAGTCCCATAAACGTGCATACTACTATATGTGTATGAATGCTTTTATATCTGTATTAGCTTTCTCAATCATATATTTTCCTCTAATGATTGTTTTGCGGTTAATAGGTTAAGAATTTTGTTTCGGTAGCCGGTCCTCATGCTGGTACTGCATCGATTCCTTTCTGCGGCGTAAGTAAACTAACTCCCTCCAAATTTTGGTTTCTTCTAGAATAACACTGCCATTGACATGGGAACTTTTTTTTTGTTATATTTTCTTGATTTTGCAGGCTACCTGGATTTGCATCATGTTGGACAGTATGATCAAAGCAGAGATCTATGGTGACTATTTGCAGGTATGATATCAGGAGTATTTTGACGCTTCTGTTACCGAAGCGAAACTTAGTACATCTGTTTGTGTTTCAGGAACATTTGGCCCCTAGTGGTTTTCTCAAAATCCCAACTGTAAGTTTATTTGGTTAGAGGTTTATAAGTTTCGACTTGTCATTCTTGTTATATAACTTAATGCCTTCAATAGGACATAGCCGGTTACATGGAAGGTTGTAGGTTTCTCCCAAAGCTAAACAACGAATATTCAGTTAAAAACTCTACTTATAAGGAGAGGTTCTCAAGCTTGGAAAATCTTGTGCTTATTATGGTGAGTTATTGAACCCGCTTCTCTGCTGTTGACGTACAAGTTTCTTTTGATGGTAATATTTTATTGTTTTTTTATTGAATATCAGTTTGAGCATGACACAATACTGATTCCTAAAGAGACCTCATGGTTTGGATATTATCCTGATGGCTCCTTTAAGACCATTCTTCCGCCCCAAGAGGTAACTTAAACTCTTCAAATGGCTTGGTTCTGCAGATACATTTAGGTATGGTTATATTTGGATTTTTTTCCTTTTGTAGACCAAGCTCTATACTGAGGACTGGATCGGTTTGAGAACCTTGGATGAAGCTGGAAAGGTGAAGTTCGTTAACGTCTCTGGAAATCATCTTCAGATATCTGATACAGACATGAAGAAGCATATAGTGCCATACCTCTCTGACAAAGCATCATCTTCATCATTCACAACAGTGTCAGTTTCCGAGTCGTCTTCCTCACCCCAGTGGCTTCCAAGTGTAGGGACCGTTATCATGGATCTGATTGGTCCAGACGTGGATCAGCTTCAGCTTGTGCTGCGTCATGTCTGAGTCTGATGTTCTCTGTTGTTGTATATCTTCTTACTGAACACAATTGTCACGTGTTAAGTTTGTAACTTGAAGGTAAAACAAGAAAAGCGTTCCAAAATCCTCCTCGCAAAGGTTCTTATATTAATGATAAAATGTCAAATATATATGTCACACGAAATGGACAGAGCTGTAGGCAAAAAAAGAAATGGACAAAGCCTTAAATAAAGGGATAAAAACACTGTTGATCCCTATGGTCTGTTATTACAGAAAATCTCAGAACGAGACAAAGAACAATAAGTCCACATATATATATCACAACAGCTTTCTGTCTTCAATCCAATCAAACATCTTCTGAGGCAAATTCTGATTCTTTGCAGCATGAGCCTGAATTTTTTGCTTGGCTTGACTTGTATAGTTTGAGAGATGCAGAGGTATTCTATCACTATGATTTGCTAAGAAAAAGGCTCAAATCCTATTATATGATACTTTTCTTTCCTTTAGAAGATTCTGCCTGGTGATGCTCGAGATTGCGAAGCACAATTTTCGCAAAGATCCTGGCTTCACGAGGCATTTTCGCAGCTGCAGCTGCAGAACGTAAGGCTCTTGCTTCTCCAGCGTTCTGCATCAAGCTTGCGTGATGCATTGCGTGACGACCTCCAGGTATTGTAAACTGCAAGTTCATCGATTAGTATTAAAATGCAACTGATTAGAGCACACACGCATAAAAAAAGATTTCGACACATAAAAATTGGAATCATGAAAAGTACCTGAAGAAGCGCAAAAGCTGCACAAGCTTTGAGTGTATCATCAGGGTTTCGTAACATTGTAACAAATCTTCCAATTTCGGAACCACTGCATCTCAAGTGGCCAGCTTCTGGGATTCGAGCTTTCTCTGAGACTTGTGCTAACATAGATGGAGCAGATGATAAAGCACCAGCTGCAAAGACTTGGTGCTCCATGAAAGTTGTCAAAAATGCTCCAATGTGTTTAAGAGCCATCATTCTAGCACCATTTAAGGTAACACTTTTAGATGCACTTTCCGATGAAGTCCCTATCATTGCGTATTCATCCATCCTGTATAATATTTAAGTAAGATCAAAGTCAGATTTAGTATAATAAAGTAATATGCCAAATATCATTAATGTGATATGATTAGTTAAGCAGTAAGTACCTTCCATCAAACATGTATGCCAATGCTAATGCTGCCATGAAACGAGCCATTTTGGAAACAGAAGACGAACAGAGGTGAACGAGTGATATAACTCCCCCTTCCTCCACAATCCGCAGAGCATTACCAGGATTAAAAGCAAGATTCCACAGAGCTCCAGCAGCAGTTTCATGTACATCCTGGAAAAGGTAAAAGCTGGATCAAATGAACTTTAAAGAGTAGGACATGAGAACTTATAAGGAAACAAATTACCTCAGCTTCGGATTTTGCAAGAGCAATCAGAGGTGGTATACCACCATCACGACCAATTGCAATGCTGATAGAAATATATCATAAAATAAATTATAAAAATTGAAGGATTGTCATTAAGGTTTTATGTAACTCGCTTTTTCAGAGATGCAGCTAGAAAGATGCATTAATATATGCACGCATACAAGCTGCATCGCACACATATCAGCATACAATAACAAATGAATAAATAAATTCAAAGGGTTGCACCTGTTTGCTTCTGAGACGGATAGCCCCCAAAGAGCACCAGCTGCTCTCTCTTGGAGACCTGTGGATGCATTTGAACAAGACTTCGCAAGTGCCACCTATTATATGATCGGAAACAAGTGATAAGTTGCCCGAAGGTGAAGCTAATAAATGAATGAAATCAAGAAAAAAGATAGAAAAGGAAACATAATACCAAGGCTTCAACACCACCAAATGCAGCAATCGATTCTCGATTCTTGTCATCAAATGACAAATTCCAAAGAGCGCCAGCAGCTTCCTGTTTAACACCTTCATGAGGCGATTGCGTAAGCTGAACAAGAGCTTCTAATGCACCAGCCTCTTGTCCAACAGCAGCATTATTATTGTTGCTATCACCATGAGCAGCCAGATTAGCCAAAGCACGAGCCGCCTGAAAAAAGGAAAATTTGTCACAAACTCAGTTCACTAGCATCCATCATTCAAAATACCACAAGCATTCAATAAAATAATAAAAATGAGGTGCATTTGAAGACAATGACGTACCTGTTCTTGTGCTCCTTCATACTTGCAATTCCGAGCTAGCATCACCAAGGCATGGACACCTCCTGCTCTTGCAACTTCCGTACTGCATTTATCGTCTGCTGCTAAGTTTGCTAATGCCCCAGCAGCACGTTCCTAATCACACAAAAAGGGTAGATTTCTTTTTTTAGAAAGAACCAAAATATATATAAATAATAACACTAGCTGAACATAGTAACTAGCACCACAAAATAAAACTACCAAATCCAGCAAATACCTAGATACCCTTGTCCCTACAACTTTTATATAATTATAAATCTAGAAATATAAACATAATACAAAAGGATAAGCTAAAGGTTTATATTATAAATCCCTGTGTGAACAAGTAGTTTCTATAATCAATGCTTTCATAAGACAGTCGTCAATGGCAATAATATGTAGTCAGAGGTGTTAATTTTGGATATTTCCAAATCAAGAGTGCAAGGTTTTAAAGGTGGCAAACGTGTACCAGAACTCCATCACAGCCACTTGGCCATCTAAAGATAAGATCGACTAACGCATTCACTCCTCCAGCTTGAGCAATCGCGTTCTGATAGAAAATAAACAAGAAACAACAATGTTAGTTAAAAGAGCAAAAGGTTCAAGTGTGTTTAACTCTTTACCAGAGAACCTTACCTTATGCTCTTCTCCAACAGAGAGATTCCATAGCCCACCAGCAGCCTCTTCAGCCACAAGTCTATTCATGGACTTTGCCAAACCAGCAAGAACACTGATTCCTCCTTCTTCGGCAACGGCCTTTGCAACTTTAGCATTTACTGACAAGTTTGCAATAGCCTTCGCAGCTTCTGATTGAAGACCTTCTCGCCAAGATTTAGCAAGTTCTAGAAGAAGTCGGATCCCTCCATCTCGCATAACTGCTTCGGCTCTTCCACAGTCTATACTAGCATTCTCATCATCAACAACGATGAAAGTCGCAAGTCCCGTGGCTGCTCTCTCTTGGACATCCTCTTGTGCACTTTGCATTAAACTGAGAAGCAACGTAGCTCCCTGATTCAGCCAGAAATCGTTAACTCCTTGTGAATTGCTCTCTGCAATCCGTAGAAGCGTATGAGAAATGATCCACTCAATCCAAATCATTAATTCGTCGATGCTTTTATCCTTTCTTATCAAATTTCTCCAGTAAGAAAATATATCCTTTGGTTTCTTTGAGTTGTCGGCAAATATTGAAGCCAGCTCATCAAAAGTATCGGTAAACATAGCAAGCAAGACCTTTCCCTTGAATTTATTGGAGCTGAAACTTTTATCCTCTTCGAGAAAAGGGCAGTTAAAAGCACACAAAACTTTCAAGCTCTGTGATGATTTCAACAACCGCGACACTGCAATATGGTCAATGGTAGTTCTGGAGACATCCAAACCCGTTAACTTTGGTAGCTTCTCCCAATTATCTAATGAAACTTTCCATTTTATGTTTGATGTCCCAGCAACAGAGAGGTAGCGAACAGACACAACTTTTCCAAGGGCCTCTTCGTTGATGTTCAGGCAATCTAAGAATCCAAGATCACTGAGCTGTGGGCAATGTTTGGCCAAAGATTCAATAGCCTCAGAAGTAACATCTCTCATGCCAGAAACCCGTAGCTTTTTCAGTTTCGGACAGCAAAAGGCTATAACTCTTAAAGCATCACTAGTGATCTTCTCACAGAAGTCTGGTCCAAGTTGAAGGCTCTCAAGAGCTTCATGGCGTGCCCCAATCATAGACAATGTAGCATCTGTAATCTTCCTACAATAGTCGCCGCTAATTTCAAGCAGGTTCCTTGCTTTGAGATGAATTATGGCATCAGCAGAGTCAACGCCACGAAACCTAATCTTCTGAAGATCAGCACACCTAGTAGCAAGAGAAGGAGCCATTGAAAGATCAAACTTATGGGCACGAAGATCCAATGAATTCCACAAACAAGAAGAAGCACCAAGGCTTCTCCATGTCCTACAAGTCGATGCTAAGCTAGCTCTATCGCGATAATTCAATCGAGTAAACAGATGAAGTACTGTATCATAAGGCAAACTAGTCCAATCCGCATACTCTTGAACCTTATGTGGTAAATCCTCATCGCCAATCACAGGATAACTTGGTGAATCGAGCTTGTTCCTTCCATTTCCCTCCAGTCTCTGCCGCACCCTACGACTCATATCTTGATCAGATGTATAAATATACACTTTAAATGAGCAATCCCTCTAGGAGCTACCAAAATCAAACCACTTTGCTTATAAAGGGCATAATGATACAATAACAGAGATCCTACTCCACATAGATAATCCAAACCTGTGGAACAAGAAGAAACATAAGATCAAAGAAGTCCCCCAATTTGGAAAATTTAGATAACCCAATGGCTCCAAAACTAAAATCTAAAGAGAAACCAAATTCAATACAAATGGACAGAACTGGGAATGAGAACAAGAATGCTCGCCGGATTCTGACAACAAAAACCCTCGAATAGACAGACTTAGAAGGAACAAATCGTATGGCCTCACTATTCAAATTCAATTTGAGACAAGCTCCATTGGAAATAAAAAGTGAAAGAGTGATGATGATGGTCGGAGAGAAATCAGGCGAGCCTAGAGAAACTGTATATAACACAGAAAAGAGGAAGAGGGCAAAAACCAAAACACCTTAAAGTAATCACCTTTGGAGAGAAAGAGAGGAGCTTTCTCTTCCCTTATTCCGAGAGACAGAGAAAGGAAGGAAGAATTTGAGGAATTGGGGAACGAAGATGAAGAAAGAAACAAAGAAAGAGAGAGAAAGAGACGACAAGGGCGGTGTTGAAACCACAGCTCATATAGGCATTGTAATTGTAAGAGAGCTTCAATCACCTCCTTTGCACGGTACATTATATATTACCAATTACCACTCCTCTTTTCTTCTTTTTTTTTTTTCTTTCTTTCAAAGTTGATTTAAGATTTTTCCTTAATATCACCTTTTCTCTTTAATACTTCTGTTAAATAGGCTTTTTAATATTTTTTGCAATAAGTGTTCTAAAATACGGTAGACCTTGTATTGACGATGAATAAGTATCTAAAAATATAATTCATTATAAAGATAATGTAACTATGATATAATGTTGAATTTTGATATAATGTTAACAAAGTTTTCGCGCGTAATATACGATATTAAACAATTTATTTAAATTTCGAATTGAAAGGTATAACTAATTTTTAAAAGATTAATGATTTTGTCATATTTACATTGAGATATAAAAAGTTAAAGTATCACAACACTTTTTCTTTGCTTGTTTGATTTGTCAAATTATTTTTCTGTCATTAATTTCATATCTATATTTTACTTATCTTTTTGGTTAATAAGTAAAGAGATAACTAAAATAACTTTATTTTCTGATATATGTTCTAATTAGAGACTCATTTTAAGTACTAATAACGCATATCATGAACACATGGTGACATGTGTCTTATGCCTTTAATAGTGAAGATTTTTTTTTTTTTTAAGTTATGGCTTTTATGATATTTCTTAAACAAATTTTAAGACTAATTTGTTTTTAGTAGAAACAGCAAATATCATAAACCATGAATGACATGTGTTTTAGGCCAAAGAGGGATGTTTGGGATTTTGATTCAAAATTAAACTCGTACCAAAAAAACTGCAATCGCACCAAATCATTTAAATTTCAAAATCCCATTACTTAAAGAGTAAAATGAATAAAAAATTCGAAAAAAGCTGAAGCAATATTTTCAAGTCTACTTTACAAAATCGAAGACCAAAATAAGAACCGAGTTAAACAGTCGTTTAGAGTAAAGATTTTGCACATTTTAGGTAAAAACCAAATAAAAGAGAAAAGGACACATTAATTATTGCTATTAATAAACAGACTTCTTTTTCATTTTTTTTTTTGTAACGAGAACTTTTATGTTAAGAGGGTAACAACACATTTAAAGTCTTCAATCTTCGATATCATAACTATTTTGGCTCCATGTGTTTAAATTTCGTCAATCACATTAGCAAAAGCTTTTCCAGATATCCAACAAAAATAAAGTTTAAAGTAAACAAAAATATCCCACCAAAATTTGCATCTAATGTTTGCAGGTTCTAAAGATCAAAAAGTATAATAAAACTCTGCTATATAAACTTTAGTAGAGATCAGAACAATGATGTGAAGCTACACAACCATGAAAGCTTTTCTTCAGCGCTTTCTATCAGCACGCCATTTGTATACCGGTTTACCATTTGGATTCAGTATCTCGTCTTCACGCAGCTTACGTTTGCGACCCTTTTTCTGTCCATTAAAAGCGTTTAGTCGGAGATTTTCTAGATGCCTTAAACATTAGCTAGAGACTGATGATGATATTACCTGTAATTCCTTCTGCATTGACATATCCATGTATAACTTTTCCAAATCTTTAGCCCTGCTCTTCCGTGCCTCAAGGTCTCTATAGGACCTATCCATTTTCCTGTTTCAAGATATAGAAGATGATGACTATTGCTTGTCGGTGTGATTACCCTTGAAAACATCTAATGCATTTCAGATACATACTTTTTAATATCTTTCGGGATCTCTATCGCAGAGATATCACTTTTGCTTCTACTTTGTAAATCCAGTTCTCTAGCCTCCTCTCTGATAAAGAAGCACCAGAGTTACAGATCATAAGACAACATAGATGACGTATGTCTTTCGAATCTTAAGGTAACAAGGATCAAAATTTCCAGTGTCCATATGAACAGGCACACTGAAAGATGAAAGTATGAAAGCTGCACCAAGTAAGAAAGGACTAAAATGTTGGGATTAACCTGTCTTCTGCGAAGTAAACATGTCTACGACTAGACTGACCCTCAGTACATTGCAGTGATGCAGTAAGCTTGTCAATTTTCTACAAAAGATAAGAAGGAAAAAGAGAAAAAGGGATAAATATGATTGTAACCAGAAAGCTCTCGGGATGTGATTGAGGAAAGACAACTTACGTTTTTCTCACTCTGCCATTTTTGGAACACATATCCTATATCTTGGGTCTTCATTATCATGAGCTCTTCTGCAGAGTATTTATTTACCTCATCCCTGAAAACAATAACTTTGTCAAAAATTTACAAACCAAGAAGAAGAAGGAAGAACCATGAGAGTTGGTCTATGATACAGCGAAAATTTACAAACCAAGAAAAAAATACAGTGAAAATAGAAAATCAAACACAAAAAATTCGATATGCTTACTTTGATCTATGATATCCATCAACTGTTTTACTATTGATCATCTTAAAGTTGAATTCATCTGGATTCTTGAATGCTGCCTTCTGTCTAAGTATCTACAGTAAATCAAAAATAAGAACGATGTAAGAGAAGCTGAACTCTGCAACGCGCTAGCTAAGAATGCCTTCAATGGTTTTGAGTTTCTTGAGCTATCTCACACAAATTAATCAGTCAATCCCTTAAACCAACAAATGTCTACTTGAAAGACTCCACAAACATATATTGCTAAATCCCTATGATCTCTCAACAGCAGAAATATAGCAGAGATACAATCGTAAGCAGAGAGTGTAGTACCTTTAAAGTTTCCTGCTTTTTGTGAAAAGCTTTAGCTCGGATAACATAATCCTTATGCTTCTCGAGGATACCAAACCTCTTCCTCGCTTGACTGATACGTTTAAAAATCCAAACTTGAATAAAGAGAAAGATGGCAAGCAAACGAAGAAAGAACAAAGGACAAGAGTAATAACAACTTACGGTTGAGATCGCTCCTTGTGAGCAGGCCGCGGAACACAATTACGCAGCGACGACATGTTTGATGGCTCTTAACGCTGCAATCACAGTCACGAAACTGTAGGAGTAAGAGAGCTTAAACAATACTCGAGTTCATGAACTTAATGAATTGAAACTAAAACCTAGGCAGAATTCTGAATCTCTATCAACATCCTCAAGTCTAACCCCTAACTACGAACTGAAGCTGGATTGAGGAAAAAGAAGGAAAGGGATAACAAAGCGTCTCACGTGAAATACAGGAGAATCCTAGATATTAGATGGCGTCCAGAATAGAGACGAAAGTAGAAGAAGCACTCGCCGGGAACACAACTATTTCACCGATGACCTGAACTCGATTTCTGGAGAGGAGTAGAAGACAGAATAGTTTAGGGTTTTGGGGGGATAAAGAAAACTGAACTCGAACCCTCTGCCTAAGTCTAAGGGTTTAATTGTAACGGAGAAGCTGTGACAATTACCCATTTACCCTTTCAATAGATTTGGTTGCTTTACCCTACAATTAGTACAAAGTACAAACAATGATATTTATCCTCTTTCTTCATAATTTTGTTGCATCAAATTAAGGGTTATTACAACCCCATTAAACGTAAAACAATTTATGTTTAACGAAATTTTAGATGAAACTTTTGTAATTAACTTTCCAAATGTGGGGAGCATTGAGCATCTACCGTTCCAAATTTCAATGTATCTTTGGACAATTTACAATTTATTTAAATTGTTTGGGGTGTTTCCTAAAGATTGCCAAAAGTTTGGGTAGAACATATAAAAATAACGAAATAATGAAGGAAAGGGAGAGATAAAGTTTGGAATGCATTGCTTTAGGCCTTTAACCTTGACGAACGCGCATATTTGCAAACGAAACAGAGATCTAGGGGAATAAAACAAAAGCTCCAAACGCTTAGAACGTGATCAACCAAAAGTAAACTATGATTATGAGTCATAATTTATGACAAAGGTCGAAACTCCACAAGTTTGAGACACTCATACACCAATTGCAATTGCTTCGACATAAGAATCATTGCATTAAACACTCGTATAGTAATACTAAGCATGATCTACATATTCTCCTGTTTTTAATTTGAAAATCTTTTAATCAAAAATAAGTTTAATGTTTGTTTTGCATAGCATGGTCACAAATTCAGCCAAAATCTGAATAAGCAATCACAATACGGAGTATTGATTTTACCTTATAGTTGTTCTAATAGAATGATAATTCCAAATTTGGTTGAAACTAACTTAGTTATGATTAAGTCAGAATGGTATGGTGTGTGTGTACTGTGTATAGAACCAATCAGGGCTTCACTCTTGCATTTTGAATTTAAACGGTCCACCTAAAGGCTAAAAAGCCTATATACTCTAATAGCCACTTGTGAAGAGTGGCATTGCCTTCTAGGCCCATTTACTAGTTTCTGTATAATTTTCTTTTTCTTATCGCCCTCTGCGGAAAAATTTGAAGCATCGAGAGAGAGAGAAAGAGATCTTCGTCGTACCTCTCAATTTCTCTTTCTCTGTCGGTTGGGAGATCTTTTGACACAAGGAAGAAAGAAAAATATCGTATCTTCAGTATTCTGCAAGAGAGATTCTAATGGGTCTGACTTGGTGTATGTGGTGGACCCAAAAAATCTCCAAATACAGACCAAATGCTATGTTATGTCACGTACATGTCTCGATATTCGTATTGGCCTAAAAACATTTACTGTACTTACATTTTACATATGCAAACAACACACGCTTGCTTGCTCCATCAAATATCAATCACAACCCCCTCATTCCTACTTTTACTTTTATATACTTCTAACTAATCTCATCTTTACAAAATCCCTTTCTTAAGTGCCAAGTAAGTAACGTAATTATACTAGTACAACTTTAACAAACGACGGTCGCTAATAGTATCAGTTTTTATGCAACAATCATTTTCTTTATTCAATCAATTCTAACTCTGGATTTGGTGAAGACAACTTAGACAAAGTACATAAGTACTGTGTATCTTCCGCTGCAAAACATGTCCCAACTATTCCAATTGTTACGAATAAATAAAACAACAAAAAAGAATTAAGAAACATTAGTAGATTTCTCCATTTTCAGCTATAAAATAGAAACTGAATAAAACAAAGGAAAGAAGAGCATGGACCAACTCTTGAAAAAGAAAGAACTTCCAAAGATCGTTTGACATAATAGTAAAAAGAACAAATCACAAAACCTATATTAGACTCTATTACTACTAAAAATAAAAGGGACAATATCTCTAATGAGAACCAGCAGCAGGTCGTTGTCGGAGAGGAATGGCAGCCCATGGACTCATTTGCCCCATAGGAGACGAAGAAGTCATGACAGGAGGAGCCACCGACGAGGATGATGATGTAACAGCCACTCGTTCGCAAGAAGGGCACATTGTTAGCGTAGTGGGAGGTTTCATGTGCATGTATAAGTGTGGCGAAAGCTTCAAAGCCCTTAGCTCACTCACTTCCTTTTGCAATCTTCGATTCTCCTCCGTTAGATTCTCGCAACGTCTCCTCAGATATTCACAGTCTACTTCCGTTTGCTTCAGCTTCGTCCTATACACACATCAGTCCAAAAACCTTTAACCGATTACAATGAGCCCCAAACCGGTTTCACATTGGTGGTTATTAATTCTTAAACCGGATAATACAACTCGAATTAAACTTCCTAATTAAAGACAAGGACCCGTTAGGATCATCTTTATGGGTCGTAAAATGGACCATTGCATATATCCATCGTAACAATAGTTAACGTTTTTGTTTTATTAGACTTAAGATGAATCTACGAAACTAACCCTTAAAACCAGATGAAAATGTCTACCTTGCCCTTCGGTTTTGGAACCACACTTCCACTTGCCTCGTCTGCAGATTCAATTGCTTAGCCAACGCCATCTTTTGCTTCTGCATTCGACGACCCCAATCAAAAAGTCAATGGAAACGTTATAAAGTCAACTTTTTGAAGAAAAAGCCAGCGATAGAATTACGAAAATACCACTGACCGGATTGAGTGTGCTATGTTCTTTAAAAGTCTCTTCAAGAACCAAAGCTTGTTCTTTAGACAAACGGAGTTTCTTCCTCGAACCGTCGTCTCCGTTCCCACTCCCGTCCTCATCGTCGCTACCACCACCGAGCGAACAAGAAGCTCTCTCCATCTCGTTATCTTCTGCTCTGCCTCCTCCGGCTGCAGCTGCCGCAGCCATTAGCTCCCGCTCGCTCCTCTTCCCGCTCACCACGCTTGACACGGTGCTGTTCGGGGACGAGACTCCGGCGGCGTCATCCTCCACGTCAACCACCACCGTCGATGGAGCTCTGTTCACGTCGATTCCCCGGAGAAACGATCTCATGTCGGAGTTTCTCTCTGCACACGTTACGTCAACAGAATCTTGATTATTGCATTATCAAGCAAAAGGATTAAAATCACATAAATATCAAGAAAATTATATATAAAAGTATATAAAGATCGGATCTACAACAAAGAAAAATAAACATCGCATGAATCAAGATTCGTATATATTGTTGTATTCGAACAGCATATGTATAATAGATTCACATAAATAGTAAGAAATCGTTTGAAAGAAGGTCAAAAATATTTATTGCCAAATCAGGTGATATACCGATTGATTAAGAGGAGGAAGTACCTGAAGACTGGAACATGTTGATCCAACTGTTCTGAATCTTGTGAGGATGGCTATAATTGCTCTGCTGCTGCATATGCATGTGTGAAGAAGATGAATAAGAAGCCATAGGCATTGGATTAAACCTAGAAGACGGCTCCTTTGGAGTAAAACCTAAACTCAAGCTCAAGCTTAGACCCAATCCATCATCTCTTTCACCCATTTTTTTGGTTTTTCCTAGCCCAAAAACAGAAAGAAGAAAGAAGAAAATTTGTCTCTGGGTTCTCAGGTTTTTTTTTAGCGAGAAAATGAATAAATGACTATTTTCTCTCTATGGTGTTCTCTCTCTATCTATCATAAAGATGTTGTTGTTGTGCCACTGCCTCTACACTTGTGCAGCAGTACAGTTTGAAAGATATGGCTAATATATTTATATATAGCAAAAGAGTTGATTCAGACAAAGAGATATGGGGTTGTGGGGAGGCTTAGGGTTTCAATGATGACTTGTGTCAGAGAGACCTCTGTTACCTCAATGATGATATATACTGCATAAAAACCTGCTTCCTTCGTCTCTGTCTCTCTTTATTCAAAACTTAACCATGGTTAAAATTAAAACCAGGAGTTATATCATTACTTTCACCCTTTTCAACCATGGTTAATAATAATTATTAAAGGAAGAAAAGTCCAAGTATATTTGTTCTTTCTTTATTCTCATTTTCCGTTTTGTGTATATTGTAAGTTGTAACTATTTTTAAAATCATAAAAGAAACTATGAACGTTTTCTTCAACTATTATTATTAGGATTTCTTCGAAGATAATAATAAACTCACCAAATCCTTTCACGTGAGGTTTTACTACATATAGATTAAAAGTGTTTCTTTATCTTTACAAAAACAGAAAAGCTGAGTTTCTACTTTAGAAGATAAGAGAAATTGAGTAAGACTAATAAAAAAAGAGAGATTTCTTTTAATAAACCGAGTTTCAAAATATAAGAAGAAAATCTATAAATGAAAAAAAAAAAGGACTATTACCAAAAACAAAACCACAGAAAACAAAGAAAGAGCAGCTTAATAAGCTTTTATGTAATGTGGCTTTCATTACGAAAGCGGCTTTCTCGGTCGTTGACCGTTGACTAGTGAGTATAAAAGGATTAAAAAGCTGCGACCAGAGACAGACGGTAAAACCCACGCGCTCGTGAGTGGGTTGAAGCAATAATAATAATATCATAATAATTGTAAAAAATGATGATGATCATCAACATCATCATTTTAGAGAAACATCATCATCATCACATCATGCCTTATTTGTTATCATCATCATGCTATCTCTCTCTCACACTATTGAGAGAAGGTGTCCTACGCATCTCAAAAGGCGGTGGGCTCAAAACGGGTATGGAATCAGAGAGGAGCAGAGATACGGTGTCGTATCGTAATAGATTAGGCTGCACAGAGCCTACGGTAAAAACCCTAAACACTGCATGGCATTTGAGTTTGACTGCGATTCCAACATGCCTCCCTTCATTTATTGTTCCTTTTTCCCAATGTTTTTTTTCTTTCTTTTCTTTTAAAGAAGAGTTACTACTACCATGACTATAATAGTAATAATATTACCAAAAGAAAAATATTATTAAATTTTATTTATCAGTCAGTCAAACAATAAATAAAAACGCACGACAAGTGTTTTGTTGGTTTGATCTCCCCCTTTAACTTTAATGACTCCAATAGACACCATTATTATTATTATGTTAATTTGATGATATTGCCATCATTACTTCTCTTGCTTTCTCCCTTCAGTTAAGTCTCTTCAAAGCCTTTCCAAGCAGTTACCACAGACAAGACAGGTCACCCCTTTCATTTTCAACGTTACTACTTGCTTCTTCTTCTTACTCAGTTTCTTAACTTCTACTGTTTATTTCTTATCTAAACACCCCCCCCCCCCCCGCCCCCACAAATTATATATATGTTTGTTTTTACGTTTACAAGCGAAACCAAATCTATAACATAACCCTTCTTATTCATTTATGTCCACCATTAATTCACAAGTTGATTTATTAGATTTTTGAAAACCGATCTCGAATACTACTGTATTTTATTTTATTTTATTTTATTTTATTTTTCTTTTAAATCTCCAAAGGGGTCAAACACCTGAATACTACTGTATTGCTTAAATTGTGGTATGTGTCTTCGATTATAGAAATTTTTCTATATATGTTTTGTAATGCGCAAAGAAAAAAATCTATACTACTACAAAGAGAAGCAACCTAGGCATCATCACGTCGTACGTCGTAATAATTTTTATATACGCAGATTATGGGTTCATCTCTGATGTTGAACGGTCCAGATCTCGAGACAGCCTTTGTTATTTAAGCATGTGACTTCCATTACATAACAATAATAACCTCTCTTGGTTTTTGTTTGGTTTTAACACAAGATATGAGAAAAGGACCTTTCACTAATGTTTCTGTTTCCTGCTTTATTATTTTATACAAATTTGAAAACAAAGTTACAGAATAAAAGAGAGAGAGAGAGAGAGTCTATCTTATCATAAACTAAAATGGATTATTATTAACAAGAAGAGTACTATCATTTCTTAATAAACAATTTTTGTTAGTTCACCTCACCATTTTGTTTGTTAAGTAAACAATTGAGATAAAGACATTCAAAATAGCATAATATATGTTACCTTTCCATTTTATTATATCAAAAACTTGAAATTTCTTCTTTTCATCAACTTAAATTTCATTTAATAGTTATCTTTTAAGGTAGTACATCTATATATACTACCCCTTTTTGTTCAAATACATGATACTTTAGATATCAGTTGAAATGTGGATGAATATTTTAAGAAAAATGAATTCTTTAAAATCTTAAAAAGAGTTGTAATTTTGATTTAAAAGAAGAAGAAGAAGAAGAAAAAATAGTTGTAGTTTTTAAAAATCCCAGATTGTGTAAACAAGATACTTCTAGAGATGAATTTAACGTAGCGATGAGTTGATGAGTCTATATGTGGCATCGCTTGCGATATACGAATTGGTGAGACAAAAACTTTAAAAATACGAGCTGGGAAGCTAGGGGTTTTGGAACGCAAGCCTGATCAAATATAAAGTATAGTTTATTGAATATAAACTTTTGTTTAGCGTAAATCAAAATCTTCTTAAATCTTGTAGACTTACGAACGTACGTCAGATGTTTATCTAGTATTCCGTTCGTATACGAATACTTTATCTGCACGTGAGAAAGAGTCGGGACGTGTTGATATCCTCGAAAAATATGAAAGCAGGGTTCATTTCTTTATTAATACGTACATACTCTAGTGGATAGATCATGCATGCTTTACAATAAATTAAACAAGCATGGGTCTTTCACATATATTTTCAGACATTACTTACGTAATGGCACCACCGCCTATTAATGAAGCCATACGAATTAATATATTTTTTGGTTAAATTGATTCACAGTAATTAAAAAGAAAATGATTTCTTGGACCCGTTGATCAAAAGAAGTGTCCAGAACACAGTAGCAGTGGACTATGTGTTAGCTGCGTGTATATGATTTTCTATATTAAAAAAAAAAATACAGATCCATCTATATAAATCACTAGACCAAATATATATCAGCATAAAGATCAAATTAACTTTAATTGATCGTCGTATTTGGTAGAGATATACGTTTGTACAATGAGAATATGAACGAGCTAATGAAAACAGCAGTAAGAAATATTCAAAAGAAAAAGACATAGATCCCTTCCTATGTTATAAAATACTAGATGTTAGTCGATATATAGTTTAATGAGATAAAGATACATGCATGGATGACTCAAGCTAACTTATTTTTTTAATGTGATACATAGTCATCCATGTAAATTTTGAAAGCAAAATGAAAAACAAATGAATCGAATAAAGGAGAGGATATGACAGGGAAGATCTACGAAGAAGAAGACGTGGAGTGGGAGGCCATCCATGATCCATTCCCATGGGAAGGAGATAAAAAGAAAGGAATAGAGAGAGGTGATTCACACTACGTTCACGTGCATGAGCATGTGAGATTTTTGTAAGACGTGGCAACACGTGGTCCCAAGTGACCACACTCGTGCGGTGTTAATATTGTTCCTCCACGACCAGACATCCCACTTCTCAACAATCATTTGATCACATCTCTCCTACGCGCCTTTTCTCTTCACCGTGTGTTACAAACACCCCTTTATTTGTTTTTGTTTTTTTAGTCCAAATCATATCAAGATCTGCTGCACATGTCACTTTATATTTTTTTTGTAATTAATCAGTAGTACTAGTCGATAGAATTTAATCATATGTGTATCTGTGACGACAAAAAAAAAAAAAAAAAAAAAAAATCATATGTGTATCTGTGAAATATGAGCATTTCGATTGATTATGATGGTCGTTTTGTCATTTGTGCTAATCATTGTGTTGGGTAAGACCAAAAAACTACTATATTATATTTTCTAAATGATCACTTCATATTTTAAAACACTAGATCATTGTGTAGACATTCTAAACTCCTAAACCACACAAAAAACGTATTTTACATATCCTTAATGTATGTGACCGAAATTTGTAATAAGTGGAGACATTTTTTACTGTCAAACTATAAGTGGACTCTAGTTATTTATTTATTCGTTCAATTATAACATGTTATCAATTGTAAACATAGAAAGTAGAAACTTTAGAGATATAGCTAGGTGTAAAAGTTTTCAAGTCATACACATCATCATCATTACTATGGTAAGAAACAAATGAGATAGGGATCCGATGTCAGCCGACCAACAAACCTATCATGTGTATACCGAATAATGAGGTCGTTAGATTAGTAAACAGTAGTGCATCGTCTAAAAATATAATTAGGCTATCATTTTGATCACTTAATAACGCCCATAAATAGTAGATTATCGGACCTAATAGTAATAGTATCAAATGTTTATGTCATACTTATTTTTTAATATATGGTCCTACTACGTGCGTGCCCAACCATGTGCTAAATAATCTTTCGTACTTTCCCCCTTTTGTTTTCGTATCCTCAGTTTTAAACTTACACACACTATATTTTATTTTGTTAAACAACTTACTCCACCACTATATATGACCATCTTCTTTTTTCTTTTATGTTACAAAACAATAACCATGACCATCTTCTAGGAACAAAAAACACAAATCATTTTTAGGATTATGCAAATATGGGGATCTCAACATAAAAGGGCAATACACATTCATTATACATACACTTCAGTTATTTTCTAAGAGTTTGGTTTGACACACATAAACAAACCAATGCATTTAAAAACTATAACTGGTTCGTATGTAATTAAAATTATGATCCCATGAAGTGAAACTTTATTCTTTTATTTTTTGAATTTATTGTGTGTTTTATTTATTTATACTTTAAACATTGCAAAGAAGAAGATACTATTAATAAAGTTAACTTTATTCTTTTATTTTTTGAATTTATTGTGTGTTTTATTTATTTATACTTTAAACATTGCAAAGAAGAAGATACTATTAATAAAGTTATGAGACAAAAGCCGATTTTAAAAAGTTTGTTTACAAGATCTTCTTTTCTGCAGGAAAAAAAATGATAAAAATAAAAAATCTTTAAAGCTAAAGATTCCATCGATCCTTAATCAATAGGCAGCAAGACTTTCCTAAAAGACGACAATCTATAATCTATATATATACATGTCATGCCTAAACTAAAGAGATCGAAAACACACAATCATATTGTGCTTACAGAAGATAAGAAGTATATGTGACTATTCTATATATGGAAGCAAGGTTCTATGATGAACATGAAACTTACAAATACTATTATAAAGAAATTTGATTAAAAGGTAAGGGACAGGAGCGAGTGAAAGCCACGTGAGGAAAATATAAATAAAAGAAATCGTTTTTGTAGTAATAGAGAGAGTAAATGGCAGAGTAAAATCACGTGGGTAGGCACATGACAGAACGTACACGTGTCAAAGAAAGAAAGGAGGAAATGACACGTGGTCCTACGTAAGTCGCGCGTGGCTCGTTGTCCCTCCCTCACCGGACACTCAATTTCTTTCCCAATCATTTGATGCGAGCGAGAGATTGATTACAGTTTCTTTCTTTTTCTTTTAGCTACGAGTAGTACTAAAATACTTGTGGGAATTTTACGTTTTTACCATTTGTATTGGGCCATCATCCACTCATGAGCTTATCAAAGCCTCAATCATTCAAATCTGATGATGATGGCTTTCAGTTTCTTTTTCTATACCCACACCCCCCCTTTACATTATTTACAGCTGTGTTTACTCCCCTCGTGACTCGCACGTGACCTCTTCCCATTCTCTCTATCTTCGTTTGGGCCACTTAACTAATGTCCCTTGTTTGCTTATAGATAAGGCCCTAACTTATGTCCATGCATTTTCTTTTTAGCCTTTATCACTTTAAACCAAGAAAAAAATTTCAATGAGAAAAAGAGCAAATTCATAGCCCAATTTAATGGCGAAGCAATCTCTCGACTTAACCGGTACATTTCTCCCGGTTCAAATTTGTCATCTTGGTCGGTTCAATTACTTATCAGATTCGAACTATGAATTGCAAAAGAGTAATTCCGTTTAGGTCTTCCCTAGACGGCAGCGGGTAGAGAGAGAAAAGACCCAGACACACCGGGGTGGAGTCAACCCTAATCCCCCAAAAAGTTCGACCATGCTCAAGGTTAGATTGAAATTCGCAACGGTCTTCCACAATTTCAGTACGGCGGCGGCGAAACATAGAAGAGTGCCGTCCAAGTACAAGTCTCTAGCCATCGGCAAAGCCCAGCAAGCTATTACAGACTATCTCCACACCACCAGGTCTCTCTCCTACACTCACGCCGAACACATTGCCTCGAACGCCTCTGTTTCTATTCGAAACCTCATCCTCAAGCTTGATTTCTCTGTTCCTACCTTCTCCAAATCGCTCCGGAAGCATCTTAGTTACCACCCTATTAACGAATTCGTGTTTTTCTTCGAGAGCATTGGCATTGATTACAACGAGGTTAGCGAGTTTTTGCCTCAGAAGAAATTCTTCTTCTATGAGGATCGGAGTGTGCTGGATGCAGCTTGTGCGTTATCTAAATTCGGGTTTCCTTGGAACAAACTTGGTAACCTATATAAAGAGGAAAGGTTAGTTTTTGTGCAGAGTCCTGGAGAGATTGAATCCAGGCTGCTTAAGCTCAAAGATTTAGGATTTACTTCTGTTGCCGTGATTGGTATTTGTTTAGCGATTCCTCGTACTCTGTCGGGAGGTGGAGAATTGGGTTCGGAGATACGTTGTTTGTTTGTTATGCTGAGGAGGCTTTTTGATGAATTCGATTCACATCATGTTTTTGAAGAAAATGTGGATTCTTTGCACGCCATTAGTAGGAAAATTAGGGTCTTTTACGATTTGGGTTGTGACAATATAGAGATGTGGGAGTTGATGGGTATAAATAAATCACTTTTTGTGGAATATTCTGAAGAAGCTTTGATGAGAAAGGTTGAATATTTTTGTAGGTTTGGTGTTAGGAAAGAAGATGTTGCTCTTTTGATTCTTCGAAATCCCGCTATTATGGATTTTGATCTAGATAAACCGGTGTTCTCAGTTACAGGAATGCTTAAGCATTTTGGATTGAGCCAGGATGAAGTGGATGCTGTTGCTCAAAAATACCCATACGTTATTGGTAGAAACAAACTGAAGAATCTGCCTCATGTGCTTAGAGCGTTAGATCTACAGGAAAGGATCTTTGATAGATTGATGAATGGGAATCATCATTTACTCGCTAGCTATTCATTGATGGATCCCGAAGAAGATTTAGACAGAGAATATCAAGAAGGCTTGGAGGAGCTTCAAAACTCGAGAACCAAAACACATAATGTTCAAAAATTGGATTTCCTTCATGAAATAGGGTTTGGCGAAAACGGCATGACCATGAAGGTACTACAGCATGTCCATGGTACCGCCATAGAGCTACAAGACCGATTCCAAATCTTACTAAACAATGGCGTCATTTTCTCAAAGACATGCATGTTGATAAGATCAGCACCAAAGATCTTGAACCAGAAACCGCATAGCATACAAGATAAGCTAAGGTTTCTGTGTGGCGAGATGGGAAGTTCTTTGGAATACCTAGAGAGTTTTCCCGCTTATCTATTGTTTGACCTGGATAACAGAATCAATCCAAGGTTCAGATTCCATAAGTGGCTTGTGGAGAAAGGGTTGAGTGAGAAAAGCTATTCAGTCGCAAGCATGGTAGCTACGAGCGAAAAGGCCTTCATAGCTCGTCTATATGGAATTCATCCAGCAATCCCGAAACACTGGTTTGAACGCTTCTCATACAGGAAAACCTGATACACTGAATTATAACTGAAGAAAGTACTCGTTGGATCTTGCAGCAGCTTGAAGCAATATCTGGACCTGAACACAAAAAATCTTGTTGTCAAAACACACGTTACAAACTCTCTAAAAGGTAACAACTGCTTGTGGATATTTGCAGAGGAAAGGTTTGTTTGTTTCTGGGATGTAGAAATGATGGGGACACTTGGATAATTTGTGGTTACCGATTATTAGATGAGGGAATAATAACTTATCTGTACCACTCCGTTTTTGGGCTCTTGAGAGATCATGTAAGTGAAAGATTACAGTTAACTTTTGTATATACTACTACTTTTTCCTTTTATAATCAGACAACTTATTGCAATTGGTTGGTTGGTTTTGAGCTCCCAGTCAACCTACACGTCTGGGTGAGTAGTGGTAATGACTTAAGTTGCAAAACGTGGGACCAAATGGCACACGTGCCAGTGAATATTATCGAGCTTCGTTGTTATGTGCGTCCGGGTTAGTTTGACTACAACACAATGTCAGTCTTAAAGTCTTGTAAAGCAAGCAACGGGGGTGGGTGCAAGTCACGTGCATCTTACGTTTGGATTCCCTAGTGCTCGCTCAGTGTGGCAGCGGTAGTAAATCCGACGACAAAGAAAGGGTAACATAGTCATTTACTATGTTTCTATCTCCTTTTTTGGTTAACACTTTGGTTCGTTTGGGGTTTTCATGACATGAGAATGAGAGCAATAACATAACTGCCGCTCTCTCCTTCTTCATGCTCTCTCTCTCTACATTGGCTCTGTGTTTTTTTGAATTCTCATTAATTTCATTAGGGTTCTCATTAATTTCATTAGGGTTTTCCACCTTTTCCGATTGATTGAATTATAGATGTTCCGTCAGTCCATGGCGTTTCCTCCTCCGATCCATGGTTCTGATGCGCCGCCGCCGCAACAGCCACCGCCGGTGGTGACCGTCAGTGAAACCTCTAGACGGCAGCAACAGATTGCAGCAGCTTCTTCTTCGCCGGTGAAGTCCCATCCGCTTCACAACTTCCCGTTATCTGATCTCAGATGGGCTATGAATCACGCCAATACACATCGGCTCCGCAAGGCATCAAGTAGATCTCCGCTTCGTGAACCTAATCCTGGAAAAGGGAATCTGGTGAAGGAGGAGGTGAATGAAGCTTCCGGCTCTTCGTCTTTTGAATTGAGACCGGAGAAGAGGAAGGGCGATTCCGCCGCAGATCGATCTGGGGCCAAGTCAACGACGCCGGACGGTAGATCGAAGATCTTCATCCGGATCCGCACGAAGAACAACGAAGAAACAGCTGATGTCGCCACCACCGCCGTCTCCACTGATATCCCTCCCGCCGTCGCCGCTGTCCATGCGGCTGATGATTCAGCTGGTCCGGCTATCGATGCTGATGGTGAACGGATCTCCGACGGTGGTGGTCAGGAAGCTGATGACTTTGGTCCCAAGACTTGGAATTTGAGGCCGAGGAAACCACCGTCGACGAAGAAGCGTTCAATTGGACACGCCGGTGGGATATTGAAGAGCTGTAACGGTTCATTACCGGAGAACAAACCTCTTGGAACGGTTCGAACTGAGTCAATTCGATCCAGGAGCGGTGTAGATGCTAAGATGGCGGCGACGACGACAGAGAGGAAGGAGAAGAAACCGAGGTTATCGATTTCGCTCTCAAAATTGGAGATAGATGAAGATATCTACGCGTTGACTGGAGCAAAACCTAGCAGAAGACCAAAGAAGAGAGCCAAGAATGTGCAGAAGCAGCTCGATGTAAGATTTCACATTTCTCATGAATCTCCCCTTTTCCACTCAACATGACCTAACAATTTTGGCTTGGGTTTGTTTTTCAGGTTCTTTTCCCAGGTTTGTGGATGGGTAACGTTTCTTCGGACGCTTACAAGGTCTCGGAACATGCTTGAAAGGTATAACATTTTATATGAATCCGATTCGATTCTTCTTCCTGTCATATTTTGAATTGCCTGGATGTATATTTGTTCTGTTTGGTGTCTAAGTGGGAAAAATGTACTCTTTTCTGAATTGATATAGGATGATGTGAAGTTAATCTTGTTGAATTGGCTTCGACGGAAACCAGATGGGGGCGTCGAAGAAGTCCTTTCCACAGATTTGAGGTATAAAAGGTATTGATTCAATGTTGTTTGCCATCTTGATTTAGACTATCTCCTCGGTGATCTTGTCTACCTTATTGGCCTTTTGAAGTACAGTAATATTTGTAAATTCATGAGTGCAAATTCGCAGAAGAAACTGTTTTCTGTTAAGAGTTTTAGACTTGCTTTGCTTGGTAGATATATGATGTAGTGAATAATTGGTGTCTTACCATTAAACCCTAAAGGTTAAAGTTCCGATTTTTCAGTGTTGATGACTGGCGTTTAAGCATTCTAATTCAAAATCCTGATTTGGTCGAGACTAGAGAGTGAGGGTCATTAGAGTATTGGTGGTATGAACTCTGAAGTTGCTATGATTTCGAGGTCTAGACTTGGATAAATGGAGTCACTTTGTATAAAACATTCACCTTCTTACTCTCTCTCGTTGTACTCTGATGATGCAGAACTGGGAATGATTCGTGTCTTTGGCTTCATTGCGCTGGACTAGTGAATACTCTGTCTCCTGCTGTCAGTTAAACTTCCAACTTCAGCTTCAGATTCTGTCCTAACCGGCGGCAGTATAAAATGTGAACCAGAATAGTTGTGATCCAGCCATCTTAGTTGTTGCCACTGATGTGAATTGATACGGCCTTTTGTTTGTTTATTCACACTTATGTCTCTGGGGACTCTCTTTTGTAAGAAGAAGATTAGTGGATAGCCTGACCTATTTGTAAAGGTGGAAAATAAAAGAAGAATTATCAACATAATTTATTTATTTCATTACTAAATTGATAAGTGAGTTTATCTAATTTCCGTTAATAAAACGGATTAATTGGTCAAACCTATGAAACAGTAAAATCATCTCCTGCGATATTTTAAGTGTTGTAAACTTATCCCTCTTTGAAGTTCAAAGTTCAAACTCGGATCCAGTAAATAAAGAATATAATGTGGAGTCTGTTTAATGGTCAAGTGTCATCATATATAATCCTGCAATATGTATTATATTTTTATGGAAGGACCACAGGCTTCTTGCTTCGTCACGACATTCATCACCTCCACTCGCTTTGTCCCTTGGTCCTTCTGTTATGCATTAATTACATATTGTTAAAACTAAAAAGAGATTTACTACTAATGTGGACCTATAAAAAGGTAGAAGAAAAAGACTATATTCTTAAGTAAATTAGTACAGTATAGAGAAAAATAAAAGATTCATTTTTAATCCAAAAGATGAACCACATACACCTTAAATCTTTAAAATTTAACAACAAAATAATTAATAAATTAACTTTGTTGGATATAATCCCATTTGCTAATGCTGTAAAAGTGTAAAGCCTTAACTAAAGAATTCAGTTGACGTTTTTATATTTTGTATTATCGGATCATTCGTAGTGGCTTCTGGTCATGTTGGATTTTAGAGAAGTAGACTTCCTAGTATTACTCAAGGGGAGTCAACGTGTCGTGTTTAAGAAGCAACTTATTCCTAACTTTCTTGTGTTATAATCTTCCTCGCAATTTCCTACTGTGGAGAAAGAAAACACCCATCGAAAGTTTATAAAAAAAAAGTACTTAAAAACACTTCTCGCATCTGTATGTATATAATACCTCCCCGTTTCTACTGGCAAAGGCCACACAACAAAGAAAGAGCAATGGAGTCTGCTAAACCAAACACCTATAGCCACCAAAATGTCATCGTGATGCGTCATGGTGATCGGCTCGACGAAGCCCATTCCGAGTCCGAGCCACTATGGACTTCAACAGCTGCCAGACCGTGGGATCCACCGCTTGCTCCGGTCGGTATGGATCGTGCCTTTAGAACCGGTCAGAGAATCCGGTCTGAGATTGGGTTTCCGATTCACCGTGTCTTCGTCTCCCCTTTCCTCCGCTGCATCCAGACCGCTTCCCAAGTCGTTGCCGCTCTCTCCGCCGTCGAGCCTGAACACAAAGCCATGTCTTCTAAAGACGTCCTTGGCATGGACAACACTAAGCTCAAGGTCAGTCAAAACATCGCTCTATATATTTGTTGAAACCACACCGGAGTTTGTAGTCTAGTGGTTTATGCTAGTGTTGTACTGTTGTTGGTCCGTGTCATAATCTAGTTTTTAATTCAGAAGCGTTATAAAATACACGTATATAATGAAACTTTGGAGGATTTACTGATTTTCTAAGCAAAACTCTGTAATATTCCAATAGGCAATTATTACCATGTTGGTCATTTTAATTAATGAAGCATTTGAGATGCTTTTAGTCTTATTAGGCCTTGTCTTTTCTGCTTCAGGTATCTATGGAATTTGGATTGTGCGAGGTACTCAGCACAACTTGCATGAATAGTGAAGTTGTTCCCAAAGATGGGAATTTTGATTTCAAGATTTCAGATCTTGAAGCTATGTTTCCTGAGGGAACAGTGGATTCTAATGTGGACATGGTTTACAAAGAGGTGATTTTTTCCTTTGGTGTTTTCTTTTCTTTATATTTTGTTGTTTTGTACTTGTGTGACTATATATATATATATATATATATATATATATATATATATGTGTGTGACTATATATATATATATATATGTGTGTGTGTGAACTTTCATATCTATATTATTTATGAACTCCTTGTTGGTTCTGTTTAGTTGCCACAATGGGGAGAATCTTCACAAGGCTTCAAGGATCGATATTACAATACAGTGAAGGCTCTGGCCGAGAAGTATCCTTCTGAGAACTTGCTCTTAGTCACTCATTGTAAGCAAAATAAAGAATGTTTTCTTTTTGTTATAAACCAAAACTGACGTTATCCTAATTTTCGAGACCATTTCTTTGTGGGGGTGGGGAAATTGCAGGGGGAGGAGTAAGTGTTGCTCTTTACAACTACTTCAAAGATGCAACCAAGTACATGGTAGATTACTGTGGTTATGTTGAAATGACAAGGCAGGTTTTGGATGGTAAACCTGAGGAATTCGAGGTGGTTACTAGTCATAGAGTGTCTTTCAAGGAGAACAACCTCCCAATCCATGATCTTCATGTTATAAGCCAATCTCCCGTTAAGCCGGTTTGTATGTGATTATTTTGGTTTCAGTTTTTTTATTCAATAAACAATATAAGATCAGCTATTTTCCTTTTCTTATTACACAAAGTAAGTTACATAACCCAAAAGTGTTTGTAATTTAATTTGTATTGTATGATAAGAAATTTTCATTCCACAATTTTTTTTTTATCAATGTAGAATTGTTAGAATTCCCTCAACAGAAATTATTTAGTTACTTGAGTTCAATCAAAATCACTTTTTTTTGGTATAGAGTCTCTCCCGTTATATGATGATATGACAATTAATTAACTTTTAAAAAGACATTTCTATTTCTCTAATAAAAAAAAAACATGAAACATATCTTTGCAACAAAAAAGACCATTTAAATATGAGACCATTTATTAACTGGAAATTCCAAACTATAATTATAAAATACAACTTTCAGTTTTGTTCAAATGAAGATAACAACATATATATGTAATTTTAAATATAAAAAAACAAACAAAATTAAGACCAAAGGTAGTCTTCCGCATGTCTGATTCTTCACATTACAATGGCAAATAGACTAATAATAAGTCAACGGTAACCTTAATCGCATGTGCTATATTATTATTAATTTACTACTATATGTACACATACATACTTGCATCATGAGGCCAGGAAGGAAGCAACAAGAAACAGAGCAAATGGAGACTAAATCGAACGTCGATGGCCACCAACATGTTATCATGATGCGCCATGGCGATCGCATTGATAAGTTTGAGCCACAATGGGTCTCCACTGCTGCTCGACCTTGGATGGGAATGCGCAGGGGAAGGAGTAAGCTTTATATATTCAACCTTAATTCTTCAAAGAGCCAACACACAGGTTAGATTTCTGTGCTTGTGTTGAACTAAGAAGACAAGGAGCTGGAGACTTTGAAGCGATTACAAGTCATGGTCAAGATGGAATCATGTACCCTCCCTCCAACTCCGGTCAAATTTGGCAATGTCTTCCGATGATCACAACGGACCGGATTAAACCGGAGTTAGCCGTTCCCTCAAACTGATTCAGTCTTTATTTGTGGTTACTAGTCATGGATTGATTATATCTTTCAAGGACCACAAAGTCCCAATCCATGATCATGATCCTATTCTTATATAAGCCAGCCAATCTCTCTGGTTTTGCTGGTTTGTTCATTACAGTATGAGTTAAAAGTTAATTGTATATCATTTGGATACATTAGCTTAATAAAGAATATATTATACCTTTTTGAGTAAAAAATCAAAGACAAAAAAAACGGACATCATGTATACTATTGCTTCCAACGTACTCACAAAGGTCACACCAGCAGCAGGAACAATCAGAGCAACAATGGAGTCTGCTAAATCTAATACCGATGGCTACCAAAATATCTTGATGATGCGTCACGGTGATCGCATTGACAAAATCGACCCACTCTGGCTCGATACGGCCGCGAGACCATGGGATCCTCCCCTCGTTCAGGACGGTATGGTTCGAGCGTTTCAAACTGGTCAACGGATTCGATCTCAGATCCAGTTTCCGATTCACCGTGTATTCGTCTCTCCCTTCATCCGCTGCGTTCAGACTGCTTCCCAAGTTATCGCTGCTCTCTCCGCCGTCGATTTCGATCCCAACGCTACCTCTTCTACAGACGTCGACAAGTCTAAGTTCAAGGTCTGATTTGAAATCTTTTGGTGCTCATGAAATCTGTGAAACTCTGTTGATACTCAGTCTAGTCTCTAGAATGTTGAGCTGAATCGAGATAAGCGTTGTAAGTGTGATATGTGATTCTTGTACGCTTCTCAGGTTTCTATTGAATATGGATTGAGTGAGATGTTGAACTCAATTGCTATTAGGCCTGAGATTGCTCCCAAGGATGGGAAATTCGATTTCATGATTTCGGATCTTGAAGCTATGTTTCCTGATGGGATGGTTGATCATAGTGTGGATCCTGTTTATAAAGAGGTGAGCTTTATCTCTAGTCTCCTTCTGTTTCTGATTATCTTCTAATCCTGGAAGCAATTTTTGATGAGTATATACTTTGATTCTCTTGTTGTGTTTGTTTTAGATGCCGCAATGGGAAGAGACTGTGGAAAGATGCACAGATAGATTTCTTAATTTGATTAAGACTCTTGCCGATAAGTATCCTTCAGAGAACTTGCTCTTAGTCACTCACGGTACGCAATAACATTCTTGTTTTTTTACTCTTGTAGCTCTTGTAAACGTTCCTTACTTAAATCAAATTTAATCTCTAAGTCTTTCTGCTTTGTGTTGTTCTCTATGAGTCTGTGAGAATTAAATGGTTAGTTCCTTTCTTCAATCTCTTTGCTGGGAAAGTGCAGGGGAAGGGGTAAGGACTACATTTGCAACCTTTAAAGACGTAGATGTGTACGACGTGGAATATTGTGCTTGTGCTGAGCTTAGAAGACAGGTCTTGAGTAAAGATGGAGCTACTATAGCTGGAGACTTCGAGGTGATTACAAGTCTTGGTCAATGTGGAATCAAGTACCATTCCTAGAGTAGTACTACTGACCAAACTCCTGTTCAAGTCAAATTGTTCCGGATGATAATGGAACTAGTAACCCGGAATCAAACCGGCCGGTTACTGGCTAATAGCTATCTAGAGTTTAACCGGACTTCAAATGGGAACGTTACGTATACGACAACGGCTGATGATGAGTCATTCAACCTTTTTATCTTTTAACTCATGGATTTCGTGGAAACTTATTGTGTTGTTTCATTGAATAAACAAAAAAAAAAAGACGTTTCACAGTAAATTTCACGGCAAACTAAAGACATATTCTCAGTAATTTACGACTCCACGCTAATCAGAATGAAATTCATCGTTATATTTTATTTTTATGCAAATAACTTTTCATAGAATTTGTCTTCTCTAACAAATGATCTCTAAACATGATTGGTCAACTATATTAAAATAAGATTATTAATAAAGTCATTAGCGTGCGTGCGTGGGGTTGTGACCAACAAACAAGAAACAAACCCCTCCATTAAGGAACAGTTCAATTTCTATTAAACTAGTTACAACAAGTCGCAAACTATATGACAGGGAGTTATTAACATCCAAAATTTTATTTTATTAGCATCCAAAAAATGTATTTAGTTATAGTAATCCCCGTATTATCGTATCATCCCGTTTAGTTAGTTTATTTGAAGATCATTGCCTTGTTTCGTCACGTCATATATCACCACCCACCAATGACCAATACGTGTCTTGCTACCTTTTTTTATTGTTTTTCTTACTTTTCACCCGATCCTTTCTGATATAAAAGCCAGAAAAAAAATATTATCTTGGTGAAAAATATCTTATGACCACCACCGACTAGTCGTTAATACGATGTCGATTGTCGACATACATGTAATCTCATCCATCGATGGAGAGAAAGTATCAAATTAGTAGTTTCCAAGTCATTTTATATTATTGATAAAGTCAAAAACAAAACACACACAATTTATGTAGCCTATATGTTAAAGTATATCCTGTTTAGTGCGGCAATACAATTGCATTACAACAACCAAAAGTTTTTAGTTTTTTTTTCTCAAAAAAAAAAAAGAAATTATATAATTAACATATCATATTCTCTAATTAGAAAAACCTTTGCAATTTCCTACTGTTAAAAAAATAGGGAAATGGCAGTTGAAATTTATGATAAAACACTATAATTTGAGAATTTAGTAGAAGTTACCACTTTATGACGTATCCACAAAAAGTAGTATATAAAAAATCTCATTCCGTTAACAGTCGCAAAAACGGAAGAGAAAGAAGAAGAAACCAAAAAAAAGAAAACACACAATGGAGTCTCCCAAATCTAACATCGATGATGGCTACCAAAACGTCTTCGTCATGCGCCACGGTGATCGAATCGACAACTTCGAGCCACTTTGGGTTTCAACTGCCGAGAAACCTTGGGATCCTCCTTTGGTTCAAGACGGTATGATTCGAGCGTTTCGTACCGGTCAAAGGATCCGATCTCAGATCGGGTTTCCGATTCACCGTGTCTTCGTCTCCCCTTTCCTCCGATGCGCCCAGACTGCTTCTGAAGTCGTCGCTGCTCTCTCCGCCGTCAATGTCGATCCCAACGCTATGTCTTCCAAAGACGTCCCTTCAATTGATAACTCTAAGCTCAAGGTTAGATCATAGTCATCACTTTAAACTCAGATTCACCATACTTCTCCTTTTCTTTGGTGGACTAGTTGTGCTATTTAGGCAGAAATTTCATATTTTGAGTGTGTATGGTAAAATCAGCTGAGGTGTTTATTTTGTTTGCTCTTTCTCAGGTCTCTATTGAGTTTGGTTTGTGTGAGATGCTGAACGCAGTGGCTATAAGGCGTGAACTTGCTCCTAAAGATGGAAACTTTGACTTCAGTATTTCAGATCTTGAAGCTATGTTTCCTGAGGGAATGGTGGATCGTAATGTGGACATGGTTTATAAAGAGGTGCTTTACTCTCTTAAGATCTTTTCAAGTTTTGGTTTTTTCAATCGGTTTCTTTCTTATATGTTGATTGATCCTCGGTTCCTTTTGCTCAGTTGCCAAAATGGGAGGAGTCTGTGGAAGGCTGCAGAGACCGATATGTTAAAGTTGTAAAAGCTCTTGCTGATAAGTATCCGTCAGAGAACTTGCTCTTAGTCACCCATGGTATGCAAGTTTCTGACTTTTAGTTTCCACATCAACTTGTTTTAGCTTGTTGTGTATCTGTAGTCAAACAACTTGTATGGATCTTGTATAACTTCCTACTTTGGCGTTGATCATTTTCAATCCGTCTTAACTCAGTCAGATGTAAACCAGTTCCGCTCTCTATAGTGAACTATCTCTCTCTGATGAACTATGCGCAGTATCAATTTTGTTACCTTCTAAACCTCTTTTTGAAAATTTACAGGGGAAGGAGTTGGAACTACATTTTCGACGTTCTATAAAGATACAACTGTGTACGAAGTAGACTACTGTGCTTATGTTGAATTGAGAAGAGAGCCCTCAAGTAAAGATGGATCGGTTAAAGCTGGGGAGTATGAGGTGGTTTTGAGTCATGGTAAAGCTGGAATCAGGTTTAGTCATGATCCTGTTAGCCATGAACCTGTCATAAGCCAGTCACCGGTTTAGTCAATTGTCTTCAGTGTCCTCTGTTTCTGTACGTTTGATTGTATTTTGAACTGCTTTTGTATGAACTATGAAACATTGTTTCAAAGTTTTCATTCAATCGAATAAAGATATCTATAGTTCTGCCAGAAAACAACACTTCTTTCTTACGTAATATAACAAGGAAGCAATGATTGTCATTACATAAAAGGAATGTAGTTAAGATTGTTGCTTGAAACATTTAGAAACAATTAACAGTCAAATTAGAGGTAAACACACAAAAGAAACCATCTACAAAGAAGAAGAACAATCTAAGGACTCCGAATTGGATCAACCTGATCAAACATGTCAGCGGGGAAATCGTGTAAGAAAACATCATCATCATGTTCTTCATCCTTTGAAACATGTCTGCATCTTCTAGGCGCAGGAGATGGCTCGAAAAACGGCTGAGGAAGAGCGAACAATGGCTCAGAAGAGTCGGCTGGTCCAAGTATATCATAGTAAAAAGGGTCGTCAAGTCTAGCCAAAAGCTCTCTGCTTTCAGGAGAGAAAGGGATAATGGCTTGCTGATTTGCATCATCATGTGAGTCAGAGAAGTCAGCTAGAACAAGATCAGTGCCAAAAGTGAAAGGCTGATGCTCTAATTTAATACCCAAATCCGGCAACCTCAGGGCTTCGTCATGAACTTGATCAGATGAATAAGAAACTGTAACCTCTTCCTCAACCAAACCAAAACCCTGAAACCACAAAATCGAGGATTAAAAATCTTGTCTGTAAACCCAAAAAGGAAAATTTCGAAGAAGTACCTGAGTGGGTTTGCAGGATTGACGGATTGGTTTGACGTTTTTGCCCTTGGAGCGATGAGAAGAAGAAGAAGACTTGGGATTGAAACTCGAAGTCGAAGCATCAGAGGAGGAGTTATGAAGAATCCTAGCGAGTCTCTTTTGTCTGCTACTCCAGAAGTTCTTCACATCGTTATCAGTTCTTCCTGGCAAATAGGTAGCGATTCTCGCCCATTTGTTCCCAAACTCAGATTGCAACTCAATCACAACCCTCTCTTCGTCAGCCGAGAACTTGCATCCACTTCAACCCCCAAAAAAAAAGAAATAAAACTCAAATTGTTTAAGGCAAACAAACATCAAAATTGAAATTACAGAGGAAAGAAGAAGTGTACTTTTTGAGATTGGGACGGAGTTTATTGACCCAACGGAGACGGCATGATTTGCCAGTGCGTTGAAGAAGACCTTTGGATCGAATGGAGCTCCAGTCACGAGGACCGTATCTCTTAACATGGTTGATCAGTACTTCGTCTTCTTCGGCTTTCCATGGTCCTTTCTTTATCTCTTCCTTCTTCGCTTCCATTTTCCTCATCTCTCTCTCTCTCGATTCGATTGTTTCTATTTCTTGTCTCTCTTCTGCTTCTGGTTCTGCTTCTGTGTGCGGAAGTTTCTTTGGGTTTTGTAGTGACGGTTGGATGCGGTTATCATCACCCCCCACATTACCCCCATTACCCCTCACCTTTCAGTACCCCACTCCCCAAGTTTCTCTCTCTCACATTTCGAATTTGCTAATATTACCAAATTGCCCTTCCGTGTTTTTACTATCGATTATAATAGTAGCCCAATACCAGGCCCAAATTATACGAGCCCGTCTAAGGCCCCCGCTATATTCGATCTTTAATCTATTTTGTACATGAATGTGGGTTATGACTGTACATATTTTCTTGGTTAAGGCCTAAACTTACATAGATTTAAATGTGATAATAAGATTAGTGAGTTGAATGTGTGAAAGAGTTGTGCCTCTTTTTCCGCATTTTTACTTAAAACATGTCAAATTAACGAGTAGTACACTAGTCTTCATATTCACGAGTATTAAAGATGGCTTATGTTGCCATACTGTTTGATACCAGTCTTGAGCTGGGGGTTCATAAACCTGCATCTGATGCCTTCCTCATTACGTTAATTGATAACATCAATAACTTATTTTGGTACCACTAGCTGTGGGTTCTTAATTTTCTCGAATCTAGAAAAGTAAGTGTATTTAAAACAGTTTAGGATGTGATTCAGGTTTCGAATCAATTATATAGTTTTTATGCATCCTGATTAAGCACCTATTTTCATGAACTCATCATGGTCTACGTCTACGTATATATACACATCAACTTAAAACCGAAATTTCGAACGGTCTTTCTTTCTCTATAAACTTCAACTTTTAACTTCTGACAGATACTTTTAAATTCGATCCGGAAAACAATGGAACGAATCTTGGATCTTGAATCGGGTACAATCCATGAGTCGAACAAACCGGCTCCTGGGATGTGGCGTTTTCCTACAAATCCTGATCTTTGTTGTATCTACGGAGTCCCAAACTGCTTACGTCAAGTAAACCCAGAAGCATACACGCCTCACCTGGTACTCATTGGACCTCTTCACCATTCTTTAAAATCTCTAGCTCTCAAGTCTCGCGGAGATATCACAAACACGAAGCTAATGGGCTACTTAAACATGGAGGAGCACAAGAAAGTTTACTTGGTGGAATTCGCACGAAGGGTTGAAGGGACTAAAGCCATTGATGGATTCAGGAGAATAATCGAAGAAGACGAAGATATAATCAGAGCAAGCTATTCTGAATCAACGGCCTGGATTCCATCTTCAGAGTTCGTGGACATGGTTTTGCACGACTCTGTTTTCATACTAGAGCTCATTTTGAGGTTATACGTACAAGGACCAGAGAAAATAGGGGATCCTATCATGGACGAGCCTTGTCTTGCACACACAGTCACTGGAGATCTCATCTTGCTCGAGAACCAGCTTCCTTATTTCATCCTCAAGAAGCTCTTCGATCCAATAGTTTCAATGCTCTGCCCGTACCAAACATTCCGTGAATTAACCGTCATCCATTTTGGACTTCAAAATAAGATTGGAAACAACTCAAAGTTTAGACACTTTACTGATTTGGTTAGGTGTGTCCGCGTGGAGACAGTTCCAGATCATGGTTTTGGGATATTCAAGCCTATGTATGACATGTACAGTGCTGATAAGCTAGACACCGGGGGAGTGAAATTCAAAGCCGTAGAAGACGAGCTGTCGGTCGAGGTGAAATTCAAAAATGGTGTTTTGAATATACCATGTTTTTTAGCTGATGACGATGCAGAGATGATACTTAGAAACATAATGGCACTTGAGCAATGCCATTATCCGTTCAACGCCCATGTATGTAACTACATCATGTTCTTGGATTTCCTCATCGACACCCACAAGGACGTCGACTTGCTTGTCGAGAAAGGTAACCCTTTTACCTTATTAGCTAGGTCTATATGTGTAAGCAATTATGAACTTCAAGTCTTCCAACTCAATATTAATTAAGCGATGGTATATGTAACTGTGTAAGTATGAGTATTGATTTTATGATGGTTATGGGCTCTGTAAGGGATAATAAACAATTGTCTTGGGGACCATCGTGCGGTGGCGAAGATGGTGAACAAGCTCAGTGTGGGAGTCATGCACGATGGCTCTTACTATTCTGATATTGCAACGGAAGTCGTGAAACACTACAACAACAAATGCAATAAGTCACACGCCATCCTAAGGCGCGTGTATTGCAGCGACCTGTGGACAGGGACAGCCACGGTTGCCGCTGCCTGTCTATTGCTGATGACTCTTATCCAGACGGTGTCTTCGGTCATTCCAATTATAAAGAAGTGAATCCCTTACTCCTAAACGCTTATCAGTTTCTTGTTCGATGTTATAGTTCACCCTTTGTTCAAACTACTTAGCTAGATTTGTTGTCCGTTTAATGTATCAATTGTTATGAATTTCTTTGTTCAAAAGTATTGTCAAGTTTGTAGAGTTTGATTCGGAGAGTTATTGCAATGTGAACTGCCTCAATAGTGAGCTGTACGTCCATATACTACTGTATAGTACTCAAATGTCGTATCAATATAATAGATCATACGCCAGACAAACTCAGTAATTAATAATCAGTATATTGACTTTTCGCATTAAATTATATGGTGGACAAATTACCGAGACTAAAAGGAGGAGACGACTCTTTAAAACAATATATGAATAATTTACAAGACTTTTCTATTCACATGCTTTTTTCCTCAGTCAATATCTATAACATCATATTGTAATGATATCCAACTGTACTATACTGGATTAATGTTAATATACATATATAGCAAGTGCGATTTAAACAAAGAATTTATATAGATTTGGGAGCTTATTTGCAAACATAAGATATAAAAGCAAGAGAATAAAAATCGCAATAGGGCTTAACGAAACAAAAGGATCAGACTTTCATCTGAATGTTCATCCCTATCAAATTCACTCTGCAATTTGCATGCATGTAATTTCTCGCTACATCAATAAGATTTTCTTAAGCTAATTTACAAATCACAAGGATAAGATCATCAACCGAAATAAACATATTTCGAGCTTAATTAAACACAAGGACCCAATATATCGTTCCACTTATTATAAAGAAGACCTAGAAAACACACAACAAATGAAAAGAAAGACTTGATCTCGAACCACGTTGGGCTCTGAATCCACCACAAACCTATGTTAATATCTATATATATATATATATATATATATATATATATATATATATGTGTGTGTGTGTGTGTAAAACACCTATGTTAATATATAAAATTTACTATTTATTACTAACAAGTGACTTTCATGTACATGGACATGTTCGTGTGGAAGTTTCCTCAACTCCTTCCCTTCATCCTCATTTACTACTTACAAAGAGGGAAATTTAATTCGAACGTTAAGTTCTATCGTCTTTCTTCTTCCTTCTCCTTCACATTGACTCTCTCCAAACTTTCATGTTATACTTTATCACAAGACAAACTTCAGATTCTAGAGACAAGGTACTTGATTACTTGCGATAAAAACAATGAACCGAAGGTTAAATGTACCGGACACGATTCTTGAGTTTAAGGAGTCGGCTCCAGGGATGTGGTGGTTTCCTACAAACCCTGAGCATCGTTGCATCTACCGAGTCCCTCATCGCCTACGTCGTGTAAGTCCAGAAGCATACACGCCTCAATTACTCCTCATTGGACCTCTTCACCATTCTTTAAAATTTCAAGCCTTCTCTCGTGGAGATATCACAAACACAAAGCTAATAGGCTACTTGAACATGGAGGAGCATAAGAAGATCTACCTTGCCAGATTTTCAGAAAGGCTTAAAGGGGAAAAAACCATTGATGAACTCAGAGGAACAATAGAACAAAATGAAGATATAATCAGGGCAAGCTACTCTGAATCTACCGCCTGGATTGAATCTCCAAAGTTCGTGGACATGATCCTGCACGACTCTGTTTTCATACTAGAGTTCCTTTTAAGGAGTAATGAGCACCAAAGCTCACTCACCAAGAAAACATGGGATCCTATATTTGAGCAGCCTTGTCTTCAGACCACTGTGGACGAAGACCTCATTTTGCTCGAGAATCAACTTCCTTACTTCATCCTCGAGAAACTCTTCGATCCTATCGTTCCTAGACTCAGGCAAAACCAGACACTCCGTGAGATAGTCATCACTTACTTCAGGTTCCAAGGTAATATAAGAGATGGCTCCAGATTCAAACATTTCACTGATCTATCCAGATGTGTTCGCGTGGAGACACTTAAGTCCAAAGAAAAGGCTAAGAGTAAATTCAGATCTTTAGCTGGTCTATTCAAATTTGCCCGCTTGGGAGCACACGGGTCAACAGAATCAGTAAGGAGTCATCCTGAAGGACACGAAGCTTTTCGCATGGAGGAGGAGACACATGGGTCAAGAGAACCAACTAAGACCAAATTCAGATATATAGCTGATCTTTTCCGATGTGTTCCCATGGAGACACAAGGGTCAAGAGATACAGAAAAGAGTCGTCTTGAACGATTCAAGACTCATCGCATGGACGAGACACGTGGTTGTAAAAAAAAAAAAACGAAGCCCCCGATCATCAAACACATGTATAGTGCGGCAAAGCTACACAATGCTGGGGTGAAGTTCAAGGCCGTGACAGATGAGTTCTCAATAGATGTCAGGTTCGAGAATGGTTGCTTGAAGATACCTTGTTTGTGGGTTCCGGATGATGCGGAGATCACACTAAGAAATATAATGGCCCTTGAGCAATGCCATTACCCTTTCCAAGCATTCGTCTGTAACTTCGTCAGTTTCTTGGATTTTCTCATCGACACTGATAAGGACGTCGACTTGCTCATGGAGAACGGTAAGCTTTACGCATATATGTACAAATTCTGTGTTTTGTGTGTTGTATATACCAGTGTTCTAAATTGCAGTATCACCTAAAGTTATAACATCTTAAAGACTTAAATTATAGTGTGACTATTTATCTCTCATAGATTAAAATGATGTAGTTTGTAATTATTAAGCAAAACTAGGCGCGCCTAATTAAGTAAGTTTAAGCAAAACTAGGCGCACCTAATTAAGTAAGTTTAAACGATTCTAGGCAGCCGTTAGTCAGCAATTTATTTAGTTTCGTCTAATTTTTATTTTTCATTAGCTAAAATTTTAAGATTTGACATTTTTAAAAAATTAGGTGATGCATAAAAAGTTATGTTGATGCATATATATATATATATTTATATGCTTTGTTTTGCTTACTTATGCTTTGCTTAGAACTTTTCTTGAATAATCAAAATACTAATAGAAATGACATGGTATTTTGTTCAAAAAAAACAAGAAATGACATGGTATATATGGTTTGTGAAAGGGATACTAAACAACTGGGGGGAGAAGAGTTCGGTGGCCGTAGCGGAGATGGTGAACACACTCTTTTCGGGGGTGGTGGAGAGTCATTCTTGCTATGCTGGTATAGCGTATAGAGTCAACGCCTATTATGAAAATCCATTCAACAGGTCACGCACGATCCTCGGTCGCCAGTATTTCGGTAATCTATGGAGAGGTACGGCCACCGTCGCTGCCGCGCTTCTGTTGGTGATGACTCTTATCCAGACGGTAGCTTCGGTTATGCAGGTTATGCAAAAGTGAACGTTCTTTTCACTTGCTTGGACGACTTCGTTTTCATTCTCTCCCGTTAATTCTGTCTTTTGTGTTTTAAATTTTTGAATAAATTAGGCATTTCTACCATTTCCCCTCTCTCGTCATATGTGTTTTAATAAGTTAATTTATAGTCATGTCACAAATCACAATCTATTACGAAGTGTGGGATTTTATTCCGAGAGTTTTTTTTTTTTTTAACAGTGTTTAGAAATGTGTAGATTTTATTCCGAGAGTTGTAATAATGTTGTATCCAGAAGCTGTTTTGCTCAAGACTCGCTAATAATAAAGCCTTTGAATTGAAGGACCCTTCTCCTAATCTTTAACTTTAGTTAATGATTTATTATATACTTATGTGGATAGGGATCTTTGTTGCCATTCTCAGATTTTGCCTTTGTTTCACTCACACAAAGGTTAGTTATCTCTCTGTCTGTTTACGGATTCATCGTCTTAAAGAGAAAGAACAAGAAACTCTTTTTCTTTAAGGACTAAATTTTTAATAACTAAGATTAACTTTTACAACATCATACAAGCATACTTATATCGTAGCTTAGCAACACACACTTGCCACCCATACTTTAGATCATCATGACTCTTAAGTTCTAACACTTGCACATCTTATGCTCTTAGCAAAACATTTTGTATGACTCAATAACATTGTGATGTGTGAAGTTGTGGATTTTGATCCGAAGCATTGTGAAATTTTGGTTCTATGTAGAATCATATATATGTACATTTCGTCAATCTTGAGATATGATTTATTGAGAAAAAACTTTGATCTTAAGAAAGGAAACTAAGACAGAGCGCATAACCTTTGAACAAACATACACGAGAGGAATCTACCAGATTAGCTCATTCCATGATCGTCTCATAGTGAATCCGAGCAGAGTTTTTATAGCTCCATCTGTTCATGATAAATCATCCGTCTCTGCAAAACAAAATAAATCCCAAAACCCTGCGATTCAGCAAGAAACAATATTTGATCAAATATGTAGTTAAACCCTATGAAGAAACAATGGCGTACCGGTGATTTGCTTATCCGGAATCTGAGGAGTAACCCCCAAATTCGTTCTAATGTTAGCTCCAAGATCAATCGCATCTTGAACCTGAAACCACAATAGTCACCATTTCATCAATCTCTCACACACATACACACACACAAGAGATAGATAGAGAAGTCAATGAGTTTTAAGGAGGATCTAACCGTGTGGATCCCTGTGGCGCGGACTAATGCGACGGAGCTAGTGGCTAACGAGCCGACGAAGAGTGATGCGACGCCGAAGGCTTTGAGAGGCATTAAACGAATGTCGCCGGCGTAACCTCTCCGGATCAATCGCACTCCCCACATGATTTGAGCTCCACTTCCCAATGCCCACCACCAGTGAGCGGTTCCATCCAACAAACTGCTCTCTCCGGCGTCGTTCCGTTCCTCCATTTTCGCCGTCGAATGTTGAAAATGGGAATCCGATTGCGATTTGCGAGATTCCTATTTCGTCGTGTTGTGTGTTGCCCCCTCTTCATTTCACTGCGATCGTTGCAAGTTCAGTGGGTTCAAGTTTTGGGCTCACCTTACGGCCCACGTACAGGATTTAATGTAAGCCCTTTTCAAGAGGCTATATTGTATATCCAAAAGGCGCGCGTTTTGTAGTATTTGTCATCATCACTCATAAACGTATTTAGCCTTTAAAGCTCTTCTTACCGTTTGCGCATAAAAAACACTTTAAAATAAAATAAAAACATTTGCTATGAATTAATTAGGAAATTATCTATTACTTAAAAAAAAAAAAGTTAAGAGACATCGAATTTGGGTAATGGTGTCACGACTCACTACATTAATATTAAAAAAATTAAAACTTTATGTCGGGCCGAGGAAAGATTTGGCATGGCCCAGAAAAAAAATGCTACATTCAACCATCCTCATCATGATTTTCTTACAATATAATTGTATGTTTAACGGAAGAATTTAATACTACTAACTATATATATAATATATATATTACTTTAAATTATTACTACATTACACATTACATTATATCCCTACCATTGTTTGTTGCATTATATTATTTTGTTCTTGTTAATGAACGAACGACAATCGTGATTTTGTTGATGTCAATCAAAATTTTACCTTTTTCCGTAGAGTGAATGAATATTTCAACGTTGTGAGACTATAAACATTGAATATCACCATCATCATCATCAATAGACTTGACAATTGACAGTATTCATCAATTTCAATGTTGATCAACAACGACAACAACCACAGAAAAAACAAGATAAATGTGTGTACTACATATATGTGTTCATAATTAATGAAGTAAAACACTTAAAACCAAAAATAGAAAAAAGAATTAAAATGATAGCAACGAATAATGGAGTACACTGTTCAATGATTTAGTAGGGAAAGGTGGTGTTGATTTTAGTAATTCAACATCATTATTCAAATTAAAAAGTGTTTCTTAGTTATAATGGCGCCGAATGGAATAAACATATACTATATATGTAAATACATTCGCATAGCGGCATAGGTTTAACGTTATATTGAACATCATCAGACCCATCAAGAAAGAAAAAACAACGTATACACTATAACAAGATTGCTTAAGTATTCAGTAATGTAATATTGTTTCTTAGTCAGTAACAAATTTGACATATAGAACTATCTATAAATCCAAAAGACCCCTCTTGGAATAATACTATATGGTATGAGTAATAATTGATGAAGCGTAACGTAAAGGAACCGTTGAATTAATAACGTGATACTCGTGGTTAAAAGAAAAAAATAATAATTAATTAACTAATTAAATTTATTGTTATCGTGTATTCCAAAGTTTCCAACGTCCAATTAAGTTAAAATTAGGAATTTGGGTACATATGTCTATTTACTGTAAAGCACAAGTTGGACGACAACAGAATACTTCTATGTACTACTTACTACTACATATTTAGTCTATCTTATTTTGCTTGGTACGAAATGAAAGTCTTTTTTGTTTTTGTTTTGTCGTCATCAGCTTATAGAGAGGTCATAGTTTTCTTTAGCTACTTATTGATAAAATATGACGCCACGCAATCCCAAATCGTAGTTGATGGGTTATGTGAATGTGACATACATGCATGAGTGTCCGTCCATATATTACACTAGCGAATTTGTCAAATAAACTTTCCCATTCAACGATTGCCATCTAAATTGTTAATCCATTTTAGTTTTTTTCTTCTTTTTTGGTTGTGAACAGGGAGAGTATTATAATTTGATCGTAAAATATGGAGACACCATGTTTTCCTTTAATTTCACATGGAGGGTAAAGCTTACTCGATTAAACATACGGACCCATTGTTATAACGAAATAATAGTGATTTATTTTCCTTCTTAATATTTAACGAAGTAAGAAAAAAAAAACAACTCTGAAGAATATATTAATAGCAGCCCACTTCTTCAGACTGCAACATATTACTTTTAATTTTAAGCTCTCTCTCTAGTCTAGTCTCTTCTCTTCTCTTCTCTCTAAAATGGAAAAACAAATCAACATAGAGAGTAGTGAAACTCATCATCATCACGACAACAATGCTTCCGTTATAACGACCTCCAACGTCGCAGCCGCCTCCTCCTCCTCATCAGCTGTAACATCTTCTTCGTCGGAGTCTTGGACGACTTCCTCCAAAAGATCGTTAGTGCAAGACAATAATGACGCCGGAGGAAAAAGGCGGAAGAGCAACGATGATCACAAGAATCCGACAACGTCGTATAGAGGAGTGAGGATGAGGAGTTGGGGGAAATGGGTGTCGGAGATTAGAGAGCCGAGGAAGAAATCTAGAATATGGCTCGGCACCTTTCCAACGGCTGAGATGGCAGCTCGAGCTCATGACGTCGCCTCTTTAGCTATCAAAGGCAACTCCGGTTATCTCAATTTCCCTGAATTATCCGGTTTGCTTCCTCGTCCGGTTAGTTCCTCTCCCAAAGATATACAAGCTGCAGCTACCAAAGCCGCCGAAACAACCACGTGGCAAGAACTGGCCACCGATGAGAAACTAGCAGAGCCGGAAGCTGATGAGCTAAGCCATTCTTCTGAGTTGTTAATGTCTACTACTACTACTACTACTACTGCTGCTGCTGATCAGTCCTCGACTTCGAGTAGTTTCGTGTTTTCTTCGGACACGTCGGAGACTTGTAGTACGGACAAGGAAAGCAGTGAAGAGACGTTGTTTGATTTGCCGGACCTTTTCACCGACGGGCTGATGAACGGAAACGATGCGTTTTGTTTGTGCAACGGCACTTCTACGTGGCAGCTTTACGGAGAAGATGTGGGTTTTCTCCGGTTCGAAGAGCCGTTCATATGGCAAAATGACTAAACCATCCTTCACAACTTGCTTACTAACATATAGTTTTCTTGATAAAGAACATATATTTAGTTCCAATAGATATATATATATATATATATGGTATGTAACTAATCTTTTTCTATATATATCACTTTTATTTCCTTTTCTGGTTTTCTGCATTTAAGTATGGCTATTTTCAACATCTATATTGTGTTTCGGAATCGAAGAGGTAAAGCAAAGTGACAAATACAAAGTAAATAATAAGTGGAAAGTGGCAAAAACGTAATTTAAAACGTACACAGAAAAATAGGCAAACGTTTGTTGTTGAAAGTGACACACTCTCTCATAGAACTTTTAAGCTTTTATTCTGTATTCTCTCGTTGGACGACGAATGTTAAAGATTGTCGACAGATTTGACTTGAAGAGAGACAAAGCATCCACTTACGGCTCACTCATATATGTATCAGTGATATCGGAAACCTAACTAATTAATCTCTCTATTTTTGCATGTCTACATCGTTAATTAAGTCTATATATAACGTACATAAAGTTTGATTAGTATTTAAAATAGTAGCAATTTTGGTAGCTTCGATATATCTTTGACTAGCGATCACTGTTTTCTAATTGTGATGTGACTAGTAAAATTTGATTTGTAGTAGTTTTTAGTGGTTATCTAGTAAGTAAAAGTTTTGGTTATGATTAATTATGTTACTAGATAAACGAATATCCATTGACAAAATCATTTGTTATGTTAATCAAAAGGATATTATCAAGATAAAGAATATTCTACCGAAAGAAATTGATCAGATGACCTTGATCCCAATCCGACTGGTTCTACTAAAAATTAACACAATACATACGATTCTCTTGTTTATATAGCTGCTTAATATATACAGAAACCTATTTAAGGTAATCCAAATGAGATTAGCGCAGGCACCATGTATATATATATATATGCCATATTTAGTGTGTGCGTCATTGATGAGACGATGATTGCGAATTTGAAAGCGAAGAGGAGACAAGCTTTTGAAGTAATTATCGCTTTATTATTATATATGGGGTGGGAATATAACATGACTCACATGTTCATCATTGCTTTTTTTCCTGTTAAAGTTATATAATAAGTTAATAACCTTTCACTTTTTTTTTTTATAAAATATTTCTATTTTTCTCTAATTTGCGTTAAAAAGGTGAAAGGATATATGCTAAAACAATGGGAATGCTTTTGCCCAACATCTTACTTTGTCCACTGTGTGAGGCATAACACGACTGTTATGGATTCCCAAACACATTCATTGGATCCATTAAGCATAGTACTAATAGTAACAATGCAATATTCCGAATACTATAGTAAAAACAATTATAACAAAATTGCACATTAATAATATTATCTGTAAAAAAGCCACCAATCTTTTAAAAAAATAATTAATCAGGCACAATAAGAAACCAAAACGAAACAATTAGTTTTTTTTTTTTTTTGAAACAAAACGAAACAATTAGTTAAAAAGAAAATCCGTAATATATCTAAATACATACAGAAACCAAATGTCATTCGAATGTCATGCGAACATATATGTATAATATTTGTTTCGAAAACGGAATTTGACTCCGGAACAGGAAATATATAGGTGAAATTCTTAAAACAAAGCAATTATAGGCATATGTATATTCTTTTGGTAGACTTATTATGAGTTGTTTCATTTCTTTCTTTTTTGTTTAAGTAGACTTGTGAGTTGTTGAGGCCACTGATTCTTTAAAAAAAAAAAAAAACATATATAAAGATAGATAGTGGATGTTAGTGTGAGCTCACTATCACATTATGTCTATTGTCTACGTACATGTTTAATATGCCGAGCAATTGTTGTCTACTTATTCCATATTCCCATTATGTTAGGGTTTGAATTCAATGTGTGTGTGTGAGAGCCTCAATCTATTTGACTGTTATTTAAGTAATTATAAATATGATATATACATGGGTTTTAATTTGGGTTCTCAGCCGTGAGTGATATACATGCTTAGTTAGCTCACACTTACCTAATCTTTTGTAATGATGATCTACTTCTTTTTTGTGGAAAATATTCTGATTATTGTGGATGTGGAGCTATGCATATCTCTATATCCGTTTCCATGCGAATCACTTTGGAGTTTGGACATCATTTTTTATGGAAAAGATTCTGATTATTGTGGTACAATATATATATACGTTTCCATATATGCGAATCACTAGTTTGGAGTATGGATATCACTACAACAACCTAATGCTTACAAATTACAAGGAGCTGAAGTAGTCTTTTGGCTTCTTGCATTATATATGCACAAAAACTAGTCCAAGTATCACTATAAAAAACACATGAATAAGCTATCGAATAAATAAATGATTAAAATAAAAGTAAAATAGTTATTTAAACATTCGATCTTTATCTTTGGAATAAAGTGGGCAAAAAGAAAAGAAAAACAAGCAAATCAGAAAGAAGAAAAATGAAAGCAACAGCAGAAGAAAAATAATATACATTTTCATATTTGTTCACTTAATCAACAATTTAACATATATAGTTTCTACTCACATCTCAATCAAAATAAATGAATAAATAAAGGAGAGCATGTAGAAAGCTAAAAGATTGAAACCTAGTTGGAAATAATGAAAGAAACCTATATCCCCTACACTAATCTCGTTCTAACAATAATTCAGTAAGTTAAGAATTATTTAACGAAATATTTTATGTTATAGTAAATTTTCTCCGGCCGGCTCGGCTCTAGTCCATGTAGTGTGTGTATGTTTGCGTGAAGCAGACATCGACATGTTTCAATCGAGTTCTAGATTCATCTCATCACGTGTCTTGTTCATATATATCATATCTAAGTAAACTATACATAGACAAATCTCAAATTAAGATGATAATGGTGCAACTATATATCACATATTCCTCATGATCCTCGACAAAATATAAAGTAAAGAACATGTTAAAAAGTTAAAACACATAGATCGAATAATTAAAAGCTTGCTAAAATTCTTTTTATGTTTGTTTACTAAATTATCCATTAAAGTCTTAAACATGTTATATTTGAGTAGGTCGGATATGAATCTAGTCTCCAAGTGTACATGATCTCCAATATTCAGGATTTTGTAAGAAGTTAAAGAATATGAAAAATGTGTTGGCCTGATCATGAATATTCTTAATTCTATCCACAAAAGAATATCGAACATGAGCTGAAACAACAATTGATGAGATAATAATGGAAACTGATTATTTTGTGATGTCCGCTAAGGATGAAAATCAAGCCCGTTGGGCTTATATCCATTATTTTTTGTCTTTTGTCTTAAACAGACGAACGACATCGTTTCTAATTATTTCGGTTTAATTAAACCCGTTGGACGAAACGATGTCGGTTTAATCATTTCTGACCCTCTCAAAATTTTCTCACGAGTGTGGTTTGACCTGTTTCCCTTCCACCACCAAAGCTTTCTCTGAATCGCAGCCGTGTTACTATTGTGTTGTGAATGCCGGGGAGACAGATTTAAAAACCAAAGAAGCTTTTGCCGCCGCTCCCTAGTAGTATCTTTGGAGCTCCTTCTTCGTTAGCCTGAGTTGAATTGTCCAAGGAGAAAAAATCGAAAGATGATCGTCCAAGTGTCTCTGCTCATCTCTTTCCTTCAATAAGTAAGTTGTATTTTTATTTCTCTTGTTAATTTCTAACTCCAGGAGATGATCTGTTTCTATATATTGTATTGGGTTGCCCAAGGTTTTGATTTTTAGTTTGTAGTCATAGCAGATAATGGAGGGGTGATTGGCTAATATGTGGAGGTTGACTGCAAAAGAGAGTAAATTTGTGGAAACTGCATTACAAATTTACAATCTGAGCTCAGAGTCGATGTTCGTGGCCTTTATGATTACCGCAAGCTTACTATTAACTTTGGAACGTAAGTGCACACTCTCCTTCTACTTACACTTGTCTTCTGCTTATTGATACCGTTTCCATAGCTCCAAAGCTTCAACTTTTGCTGTCTTTTGTGATAAATTTGAATGCAGATACCTCTATTCTAGTCTATAACCTATGTTAGAACGAATACTAGCATACTTGTACATTTGATCTGGGTCTGTAATGTTTTCTAAAAAGACAGCTTATATAATATTGTGTGAATTAACAGAGAATATGGTAGCTTGCAAGTTCAACTTGGTCAGACTCATGTTATGGGTTTTGTGACTACTCAGTTGGTACAACCTTACAAAGATAGACCCAACGAAGGCTCCCTATCTATCTTCACTGAATTTTCTCCAATGGCTGATCCGTCGTTTGAGCCTGGTCTCGTCCTGGGGAATCTGCAGTGGAGCTTGGACGCATTATCGACCGAGCTCTAAGGTAGAGCTTGTTTGTGATGATAATCTGTAATTGATTCAGCAAAAAAAAAAATTCTGTCTGTTTTGACTGGAGTAAGGCTTAACTGGTGAATCACTGTGTTGGTTGCAGAGAAAGCCGTGCAGTACATCGGATACTGGTCTGGTCTGTTCGCATTGATCTACACATTTTGAACAACGGAGGGTAGGTTTTATTGGCTTCATTACTTGTCTTCTCATTATTTTTCATTGAAGGTTCAAGTTTTAAAATGACCTTTAAGCATGTTTCTATTACTCACTCTTGTATAGGAACTTGGTTGATGCTTCCAATATTCCTGCTTTACCAGCTCTCGTGACGTTTAGGAGACCAGTTTGCACGGTAGGAGAGAATGGTCAAGAAGTGATCATACACCCACCAGAGGTTAGTCATATGTTTTCGGTTTAGAGAAACCTGTAAGAACTTGTTAAGTAGAAAAGGCAATTCTCAACTTCAACTGTTTGAAGAAGCAGTAATGTGTGAGAGAATGACTGTGACAGTTAATGCAAATGGCGACATATGTGCAATTCAGAAACCGGGTGAAGAAGGCTTGAGCCAGAGTGTAATCCTTCATTGTATGCGTCTTGCTTCTTCAAGAGCTGCTGCAACAACAAAGATAATTAGAAAAGAAGTAAGGTTTCTAAATCTAAATCGTTTTTCTTTTTCGGATCCAAACGATTCAACAACTGACATTTTGTTGTGCTCTGTATTCTTGGTGTAGGTTGAAGCATATAACCGTGAAAAAAGCTTAAAGAAGGTGAAGCGACATCCCACTTTGGCTAAGTCTGAAGTTTCTGGACCGACTGTAGCTGTGAAGGAGGGACATAGGAAGTCCTCTGATCAGGAAAGAGCTGCAGAGATATCTCGGGAACATGTTGAAAGGCTAGATCTTTGTGAAGAGAAACTAAGAAGCAATACGAAAGAAGAAGTTGCTACAAAACAAAAAGGATGGAGAGGTAACACTCAAAGATGCTGTCAAACCGAAGAAGAAGTGGAAAAACAAGAGCAATAAGAAAGTCCCTAAGTTGTAAAGTAGAATCCAGAACCTAGCTGAGTTGGATTGTCATGATCACTCGATTACTCTCTTCTCCCATTAATACTCAGACTAGACACGGTTTATGGTGAAAATGCATCGAGTTAGCAGTGTCCAGTGTGTTGTTAAATTTCTTTGCGGTCTTGTAACGCTATAAATGAAACGGATACGGTGAAGAAGATTCATAAAATAAGGCCCATTCTGGAGGAGGGAGCGGGGCCTCATTGAGGCAGTAATAACTAAATGGTACCGTATAGAGTATTTTACCGGTGAAAGAAGTAAATGGTAAAAAAACTAACTCAGAAACATAGGTGGTTCTCACATTATGGTCTCAATTCTCAAGTGTTATTTAAATAAACTTTAATAGATTCTGATGTATATTTAGCAAATATCGAGTTCCGTACTCTTGGCGAGGCCCTAGGCAACTAAAGGTCATGTCTCTCCTCCGCCTCCGTTCTGGCCTCTCTTTCTCCTCTCCCATCTACCAGCTCCGCCGCCAAATGTCTTCTCTCCTCTTCCAAAACCATCCAACTCCCAGCCCCGACGCCGCCTTCCCCTTCCCCATTCCGAGAGACCCTTCCTCGCCTCCCCTGAAGCTACCTACAGATATCATATCCAAGTTCGATTACACCGTCTCCCATGTTTTGGCCAAAGTTAAGGTCTTGATCAATCTGTCTAACCTCGACGCAGCCGCTGAGTACGCGCGTCTGGCTGTCTTGGCCGTTCCCAAAAGCCTTGAAGACACTAGAACCAAAGACCAAATCGCCGAGACTTGCCATCGTATCATCGGCGCAATGTGGGGGGAGAAAAGATTTGAGGAGGCATACGAGCTATTCCATTATTTTTTCAACGTTAACAAAGTAGAGCCAGACTGCCATTGCTGCAGTTACGTCATCTCTGCTCTTAGCCAGCAAGGTCGTCTTGACGAGGCTATTTTATTTTACCGCCGCACAATCCCTTACGCTCATTTTTGTCCTGATTCCAGTTCTTTGATGAACGCCTTGCTTGATGCCGGAAGAGTCGACGAAGCTTACAGTCTCTTCTTTGGCGGGCGCACGTACCCTGATTTTATTCGTGGCTTTTTGGCTCATGGGAACATCGACAAGGCTAATGGACTTTTCCAAGATCTGAAACAGGGGGGTGAGAGTTATCCAGACGATGTAGCTGAGCAATTTGAGATGTCGCAAGTGGCATACATGGAGCACTGCTTTAAGCAAGGGAAAGACGAGGAAGCCATGGAATGGTACCGTTCTCTAGTAGCCAAATACTGTTTGAAGCAAGACACGAATGATGAGCAAGGCACCGAACCTAAGTGGAGACCCAAAATTTGGGTTACGCGTGCGGACACTGTTAACACAGTCTTGCAAATTTTGCTCAAGCACGGCAAGAAGACGGAAGCTTGGTCGCTTTACGACAAGCTGTGTGGGACTTGCGACATAGAACAAAAAGAAGCGGGAGCTTCAAGAGACTTGGATCAAGAGACTCATTGTATAATGATCGGCGAGTGTTTTGAAACGGGAGAGATTAGCAAAGCAATGGAGATTACCCGGAAGGAAGCTAGGGCTGGGCATTATGGGTGTTACGAGACCCTAGTCACTAGATTGGTGAGACAGGAGATGATGACTGAGGCAGAGGAGATGTTCAATGAAATGTTCTCCGTTCGCATTCCGTTGTATTATCATATAGGGATACATCGAATAATGGTAGATGGGTTTGCTAAAGCAGGCAAATTCGATGATGCTCACCGATTTGTTAACAAGATTGCCGATATTTCTCTGGTTCACGTTTCAAGATGCCTTCACTGCCGATCACTTACTGGGCGAGATTTCCTTATCTAAGATACATGTATTTATCATATTATTATCTACGTTGGAATCAGAGTTGTACTTTGTGATCGAATTGTACCACTAATTGTTACGTTTTAATAAGATTGTGGTACTAACCATATAATTGTATTGAAATATATGTGTATCGAGCGTGGCGATGACCAAATAAACAAACTAGTCAAATCCCAAATAGGTAAAACACTTTTATAACGTTTGAAAGAAAAACAAGAAAGTTTTAACAAGAAATTATAGAGGTAATGAATTATACACCCGAGTATCAAAGCCTTTATCATAAACGCATATCAGCAAAATCAAAGGCAAGAGAAAGTGGCAACGCACTTTAGATTAGCCTCCACTGCTCGGTCCAACACTCGGAAGGCATCGTCAAATCTTGTAGCCTTACAGTAAGCATCGATCATCGTTCGATACGAAGGAATGTTAGGGATAAGGTATTGCCTAGAGGACATCTCGGCAAAGTAAGTCTCTGCTTCTGGCAACATGCTTTGCTCACAGAACCTTGCGAGTATGTTGGCGTAACATAATAGTGACTCATCATCCTCATCATTCTTAACCTTTTCAAAGGTCTTGATTGCTTCACTAACCTCTCCCAACTTGAAACACTCGTTCACCATTATATTACAAGTCTCGGAGTCGAACCCCGATGGCTGCGCATAGCGTCTCTCCAGCATTTGGTTGAACAATGTCCAAGCTTCGGTTTTCTTGCCGTACTTGAGGAAAAGTTGCAAAAGGGTATTTCCTGTTCTTGCATTCATTCTGAAATCTTTGGGCGCGAGGGTCCTGTAACACTCCATAGCTTCCTTATCATCTCCTTGCTCAAACCAAAACTCCATGAACGTGGCCTTCACGATCGCAATGTCGTTGTAGTCTCCACCAAGGAAAGAATAAACCAAGTCGAAAACGTGAGCATCTATCGGGGAGACAAGTTTCCGCTTTAGTACATCGAAGATTCTCTTGGCAGAGGTGAAGTCCCCGTCTTTCAAGTGGCCGCGAATCAAATGGTTAAGCACAGAGGAACCCACCTCCTCTTCCTTCTTCATCAATCTCTTAACGAAATGCAGAGCGCTTTGAAGTTTGTCTGCATCGACCAACCCTTTGGCCAAGTGCTGGTGAGTGTCCTCGTTTGGACGGAGGAAAGGAGCGTTTTCCAAGATGTGACCGTAGAGAGCAAATGCGTCTTCGAGTCGATTTTGATCACAGAGGGCACCGATGATGTGATTGCAGCAAGAGATGTTTGGTTTGAGGTTGAACTCGTTGAAGAAGTAATGGAAGTGGTGCAATGCGTCCTTGTAGCGCTTGGCTTTGCACATTGCGCCGATTATGGCCTCGCAGATCTCGGCGGTGACGTTTTGGCGGTGTTTAGTGAAGACGGCGTATCGCGAGAGCTCCGCCGCGTAGTCGAGATTTAACATCTTGATCATGAGCTTAACTCTGGTGTTTAGATCGGTGGCGCAGCATTCCATTTTAGCCTTCGTTGGTGGCGTCAGGGGTGGTGACGACGGATCCTTAGGTAGAGGGAAAGGGACGTCAGCTGCTGAGATAGGAGTAGAGCGAGAGAGAGACGAGACTTGGCGGTGGGGCTGGTAGATCGTAGAGGAGAAAGAGAGGGCGGAGCGAAGGCGGAGGAGAGACATGACCACCTTAGTTGCTTAATTAGGGTTCCGAGAAGAGTACGGTACTAACCGCTTCAATTATATTTTTCTTCCTTTGAAAAGTTATCATCAGACCATGAAAGTGGGATTGCTAATTTATATATAGATTAATATTAAAATTTCAAGTAAATATATTTGTTAATACTTAATACAAAGAATCCTGAAACACATTCTGCTTCTGGAAGAATGAAATCAGTCGTCTCCCAACGAACATGGTCTTTTCGTTCACCAAGGGAAGTGGTGTTAGTCAATTTCGAAGCTTTGTTTGACGAAGAAGAATCTAAATGCTTTCTCTGAGTTTGATAGGAAGGTCAAGATCAGGTTCCGTGGCTGTCAAGGCAGAGAAGTAATCATCCACCATGTCCTCTGATACTTTCTCCAAGCTCGGTGGATCCCACTGCACACCCACCAAACCTTATCGTTATTTTAATGGCTTGCTTATTTATATACACAGTGATGGGTTACTGGAATATGGTTTAACATAATACCTTCGGTACTTCGTCCTTGTCTATCAATCGAGCTCGTACTCCCTTGTCACACCCATTGAAACATTACTCATTAGTGATTCCTTACTCTGTAATTTCAAGCCTTTTCTATACTGGAAATTCACATACCTCGCAAAAATTGCCACACATTGGCCCGATAGTTCCTTGTAGCGACATTCTATACTCTCGGATTAAGCATTGGTCAAGTGTTAGAAATCTTGCTTCTCGGATCTATTGGATTCGTTTAGAGAAGCTATATAAGCAGAGAGAAGGAAATTTGTATTTTTTGAAGATGCTTACAAGCTAAGTTGATTGTGAACTTACAGATCTCAACGCCACCTTCAAAGATAACGGTGAGTTTGCTTTAAGTCTACGAAGAGTCGTAGTGCACCATGTGTCTTTTCTTCTACCAGCCTCTGTTTCCTGGCAACCCAAAACACTGTTACTTCTAGTGACTCGATGGCCATACTCTCACAATCATTTCATTTGTATAGAGCCTTACCAAAGAATCAATAATTTCTTCTACTGTGTCATGGCCGAAGCATTTGTCAAGTAAATCAATCCTACGAAAAATCAGATACAAAGCAAGGTTAAAAGCTATTATGGGAATAAAAGGAAGGATTTTTGTATCTCAAGTTTCAGGATAACAAACCTGCAAAGAACACTAGTCTTTTCTGGATGAGCAACTTCTGAATATTTTTCTAAGGATGACTCAACAACCGAAGGATCATCAGTGAGCAGCTTCTTGAGCTGTTCTTCCATTACAAGAACCTCCTGTTGTAGGAGAGCAAATCCTTATTATCAGCATCTAAGGTAATTTCAATGGAAACAGGAAAATCTCAAATTATGTAATCCAAATTACCTCACTTCTAATATAATGTGTCGCAAGGCCACATGTCAACATTTCTGCCCCACTGAGCTTTAACCCAGTCAGACCCAGATACTCCCCTGCATATACTCTATTAAAGCGTCCATCTAGGAGAGCTAATGTATACTATGAACCAGGAAGATTTATAAAGCAATCTAGGCTGAGTTGGCAGTTAATAGCCAGAATTTGTTTCCTACTTGATCAGTGATTTCTATGGTAATTGCCCAAAAAATATGGCTTTCCAGAACTGAATAACATTGTCAAATGAAAAACTTAGAGACAATTTAAGCAGTTCAAAACATATCACAAGCATACCTAAGCGACCAGGTAAGTGGGAGAGATTAAAAGAAGCACCAGCATCAGGATGAAAACCAATGATTGTTTCAGGGGTAGCAAAAATCTGCAATATCCATGACCTAGTTACTGAAATCTCCAAGAAGTTGGACATCGAAACTAAACTAGACTCCAGCTGACAGAATAACTGAAAGGAGGAAATAGATGGTGGAAGCTGGAGAAATAGCATATAGATGGAAAATTACATACAGTTCTATCAGTAGCAACACGAAATGTCCCAGGTATAGAAACTCCAGTTCCGCCTCCCATGGTAACGCCGTTAAGAATTGCCACCTGCATGCAGGGAAACTCATGGTGTCATTCTACTCATCGTGGAATGTAACATAGTTATTTCCTATTGGTTGCAGAATGATTAAAAGGTAAAGATAACTTACATGTGGCTTTAAATATGTGCCTAGCAAGTATATAAAACTATACAAACTCGAGAAAAACTCCCTAATAGCATCCGGGCTACCTACATAGATTTAAGGAGAAATAAGTGAAGCAATGAGCCGAGAATAATACATTGCGTAAATAAGATACTGGTGAATCCTCTCTAATCAGTAAGAAGGCCGTGTTTCCAACCCCAAGACAGATACCCAAAGTATGGCAAAAACTGAAAAGTGTTAGATTAACATACACCCTCCCATGCAATCTAATCTTCATGCAAAAGAACTTGTTTTTTTTTTTTTCAATTTTTATCTAGCTTCCCAGGAATCAAACATGGCAACGAATAGTGACATTTGATGTACCTCTCTTTATTAAATGGTAGAGAGACACAACATCGCCACCAGCACAAAATGCCCTTCCACTCCCCTTCAACAGTTCGAGGAGAAAATGGTTAGGAGCTTTTACACCTCTCAAAAACAAGAATTACATAAACAATAAGAAGGAGAAGCAACAAAGTGTTGCACAAAGTTACCTTCATCATCACAAATCCAATATTTGGATCTTCTTCCCAGTTCTTATAAAGTTTCTGCAACCTATATCCCTTTTCACAAGAATACACAACCAATGTCACATAATTGATGCCGCCACGAAATCACATATCCATCAAAACCAGTAATCAATGTACCAGTCAAACTACAAAACCCAAAATCTGAGAGCGAGAGACTAAAATATACAGTTCTACCACGGAATTGAAGAATCCAGCCTCGAAGAAACCACAATTGCTAGTAGCAATACAAACAGAGAAATTTAGAGAGTACCATGTGAGGGGTGAGGGCATTAAGTTGAGGTGGTCTGTTAAGAATCGCAGTACGGGAGCAGCCATTTCCTTCGACGAGAACCTAATCAAAACAATCGAACCTTAAATTCCCGAAAAGAGAAAGAGAGACTGAGCTAATTCAAAAAAAAAAAAAAAGAAAGAGAGAGTGAGCATGATTTGGAGATACACCTCCGAACCTGGTTATCGAGATCCTCGGGAGTGAGCTTAAGCGAACAGAAGCTTCTCCGATGACAAAGTCTCCATAGCTTATCTCGAACGACTCCCCCCAGCAACCCCTTCGCGTTATGCATATTTCGTTGAAAACAAAGAACTCTTTACTCTGATTTGGTAAAATTAAAAATGGCGGATCGTATCCGTGTCGTGGCGAGTTTATCGGCTCCTCCGATCCCACGAGGCAAGACACTCTAAGCCAGAAAGAGGTTTCTGACTCACTCTGATGACGTCTCTAGGCATGTCAATCGGGCTAGCCTGGCCCGGCCCGGCCCGAAACTCGTAAAGCCCTCATATATGTGAGTCCGGCCCGAAAAATTTCCGAGCCTATATTTCAAAGCCCGGCCCGGCCCTAACAGGGCTACAGGGCTTTTCGGGCTTTTTTGGGCTTTATTTACCGATAAAAAAATCAATTTCTAAGTTCATAATAGTTTTTTAAAAACTATATTTAAAAGTCTACTATAAAAATAATGCATCAAATTTTAAATAACTTATCAATATTCAATAAAACTAACTTAATTTAAGAGAAAAAAATAAAAGCCAAATAAACTATTTACACTTTAACCCAATAAAACATGGAACTAAAATACTTTAAAGTATAAGATAGAGTGAAATTTTAATAGATATTTTGATGATTTCAAAATCATGATACTTATATATATTTAGTTTTAGCTTTGTATAAAGATTTTAAAAGTAATAAGTAAGACTAGTAAGTAAATATAAAAACTATAACATTAATCAAATCTTTTAATCAAAATAAAATATTCAAAAAATTCAAAATATATTTGTATAAGGGCTTTTCGGGCCGGCCCGAGCCCGACCGGGCTAAGCCCAAAAAACCCTTTAGCCCGAATGGGCTTAGCCCAAAATGCCCGTTTTTTTCTGAACATATATATTTAAACCCGAGCCCTATGTTTTTCAGGGCCGGGCCAAACTAGCCCGCGGGCTTTAACCCTAATTGACATGCCTAGACGTCTCTCGTATTGGGGCTGATGGGCCGATCCAAACATATATTTAGTTCTTATTATGGCTGATGGGCCGATCCAAACTTAAATTTAGACCACTGGGCTTTCTGGTTACCAGGTCGTCTTAATAATATTATATTTACCATAATCTCCTTACATTTTTTTGGGTGTTACTTTCTTAACCCGTCTGTTTGTAAATTTCTAACAAAACCCTAACCGTAATATTTCACATTGGTCAGCCTCCCAAATAAAAGCAACGTCGTCGTCTGCCTGACGTAATGCCTTTTTTTTTTTAATTCGGTTAACGAAAGCAAAGGGGACCTGTTTGGGTAAAAACAAAAAACAAAAATTCAATTCAATGTGATGTATGCAACTATGCATTAATAAAAGGATTAGAATTGTGATGCGGTACGGTCACATGTTTATCACTTGTTTATAGCCGAAACAGTGTTAGTGGCTAAAAAGAAACTTAAAAAAAAAAAAGAAGAGAGAAAGGACGAACGCATTTGAGTGGCAGAGAAAGAAGGTGGCAGCTTTTTTTTTTGTTTTTAGTTTTTTTTCTTATATATCATTTGGTCCAAAAGAGGAAACAAGACAAAGGACTAAAACGCATTCATTTCTCCTGAATATGAATCTCAGCAATATATGTGGGATCGATGTGCGTGACACTGCTTTGCTTGTGACTTCAAATTTCATATCATTCGTTGTATACATATATTCACACATATATATTTGAACTGCACACGGTGAGACCATGAACAGCTATAAATACGGATGAGGCCGGCCGTGATTAGATTCTTTTCGATCTCAGTGTTAATCTGAAGCAATCTCTCGATCGATCGCCACGCTAATTTCTCATTGTTATTCAGTACTCTATATATGTTTCTGTATAAAAATTTGTAGTCCTCGTCAAATAGTCTTTTTCAACTACTAAACTGTTTGTGACTCCTCTACTAATCTTATAATACAACAACGCTTTTCGTTAATGTTGTGCAACGATATATCTATTTGATGATTGAATTATTGATATTCCTCTTACCTACTACTAACGTTGGCAACTTACAAATATTTACTAGAGAGACATGAAACATCCACAGCATTCAAATCATGTAAATATTAATGTATGACGTAGTTCTTACATGTCTTTATAAGAACTTGATCCGCTAAACACATCTCAAAACTATGAAAGCATAAACACTAACTTCAAAAACAAAAGAAAGCATTTTCAGCATAAGAAAACAATGTAAATTAACTAGCTTGTATGCGGCTTTTGAATAGTGTCATCATCATATGATAAAAATAAGCTCAAAAATAATCATTCAACCAAAGAGAAGATTTCTGTTGTCATAAACATACTTAATTTATTTCAAACACTAGAGCACTCTAGCACAGCATAACTATGACATATATATAAAACTCCGATCCGCAGGTAAATTACATTGCTTCTCAAACCATAAAAACATCTATATAATATAACCCTAGCTAGTTATATATATATATCTTACATACATACATGTGTCTTATTATCCCAAATCCTACTTAACTCTCCATAAGATTAAAACTGTTTTGTTGTTGTTGTTGTTGTTGTTGTTACTCTTAAATATGAGAAACATGGATCCTAACACATAACATCCTTGAGAAGCTTGTACCTGCGAGTGGCTGGTCTAGGAGAAGGCACGCCGGTTTTACCCTTGTCCGCTGCTGGAGGAATAGTGTTACTACTACTACCAGTGGTTTGGTTGATCTCTTGCTGTTTGATTTGGTGGGCTGAAGAGTATTCCGAGCGGTAGGATCTCTTAGTAGTACTGGATCCACCATTAAGACCGTGTTTTGCTCCGGTTCGACTCTTTGCTTCACACTGACACCAATCGCAGATCTTGATTGGATCATCTTGCTCTCTGTAATAGCTACTACAGTACCTGCAAGGTATCAAAGATTTATGATCATGATAATTGATGATTGATGGTACGATAATGTATGTATCATGTAGTTGTTGAGATAGCTGTCGTAATTTGGTATGCAAAATATACTCACCCTATATATATACATAATATATAGAAAAAAATATGCATGTTAGCGATTGATTTGAGGTATGAATGATGATGGTGATGATCATCAGCAGCTAAAATAGAAAAAGAGCACGTGGCACGCGATCTCACCGACAACTGCGATCTAAATCCACTCTTTTAAGTTGTTAAGATATAGATATGCATATGATTGATGATGATAAGTAAAGACAGTAGACACATATGGTATAAGAGAAACATTAAGGTAAGGTATAGACAGAAATAAATGTGTGAAAGAATTAAGAAAAGAAGAGAGACATACGAGTGTTGAAAGCGATGAAGGCACTTGGAGCAGTGAAAGAGCTTGTCGAAGAAACCAACATCACCACACATGCAACACACTCTTCTTTCGAGATCCACCATTTTTTTTTTCCCAGACGGAGAGAATATGAAGGGAGAGGAGGAGGAGATGGAGAGTGAATGAGAAAGGGAGAGAGAGAGAGAGAGAAGAAGAAGAAGAATTGATTCTACAAAGAGAGGAGAAATATATATATAAAAATGGGGGTGTGTATTTATTAAAAAGAAAAAAAAGACTAGTATATTAATATTCGCAAAGTCGGTCCATAAGAGAAATAATAATAATAATTTTTACAAAATCAAGGAAAATATTATAATGAATAATAGTATATAAATGAAATAGCGTAATAAGGCAGGTAGAGAGAGAGACCGCGCAGGTTGCTTTGCAGTCGTTTTCAGTTGGAGGGGAGCTTTTGGGGAGGTGGAAAGAAAGAAGAGGAGAAGAAACAAAGAGAACCTTAAATTATTATAATAAAAAAATTTAAAAAAAATATGAATCGAATTATTAAATGACTAGTTTACCCTTTTGTGTCTGTGTTATTTGGTCTCATCGTGGAAGCCTGTTTCTGTCTTTTCTCAAATTGGCAAAACTTGTGGGATGTCATATCTTTTGATTTTATCTCTCTCTCCGTCTACGTAGAGAGCGTGATAGATACTCCCTCTTCCTTTTTGTTAGAGGAAGAAGCAATACTTCTTTTAAGGGCTCACAATTTTCTTTGTATAACATATATAAATAGCCATGTTTTTTTCTAAAACTAATTTATAACCTCAAAACTATAAAAGAAAAACAAAACTGTCGTAGTAGTTGGCGAAAGGAAAATCTGATCTCATCGTGAAAGTATCATCATATGATAGTTACAAAGTTATAAAAGAAAGTTCAATATGCTTTTCTATTTCATGTTTGTTTGTTTTATAAAAGAGAATCCACTTTTTATCATCTACTACTCTACATACATATATATATATATATATATATGCACTCTCACACGATAATGAATTTTAAAGAAAGACTAGTCAACTCATTCAACTTCTCGTGCGTTACATTAATTTCTCAAATAGACTTCTATCGAATCCTAAGTCCTTTTGATAACTTTTATTTTCTATCATAGCCTCTATTATAGAGAGGTCTAGAAAATAAATGTGACTTGATGAAACTTTTCTTTTAGCATAATATATAGTACGCGACATTAATTTACTCACATGATCCTAATATCATAAACTTTTTTAAAAAAAATTTCTTCGTCGTCCCTGCATGATCAGATAAACTTATCGTGTTTGAGTTGCATCATCACACCATTTCAAGAACTCTCTTATTGTTATAAAATCTATAGGGCGAGGGAATAAACTACACATTTATATATACATCATGCACCATTTTACATGTAAAAACCGTGTGCCATGGATTATATATATATATGGATGATGAAAAGTTGGAAACCATACTTATCTAGGTCGTTTATGAATGTAATTGGTTCTTTGTTTGGAAATTTATAAATTAATACACACGATGGTTTGGTGTAGTAAGTCGACAAAGTGGATTCCATATTTATTTATATTTACATTCGGAAAAATGTATGTAAATATCATATGCATGGTAACACATGTTGATAGAAAAAGAAATTAGCCAATTCGAGAATCATGCTATAATAATGCCAGTCAACTCTGACAACATTTTCTTCCCAATAAGTTTCACGCGACAAACACAAGAACTCATCTAACGTGTTTGTACGTACAATAAGCAAAAATATATATATATATATCATAAAAGTACCCTTCAACAGTCTTCAGACGTATAGTTTATTTTCTAGGTATAGTCTCAGACGTAGCATCTTATTTGATATTGATGATAATCAAAAGAGAAAATTAAATGTAGACTTGCTAACAAGATGTAATTAACTAAGTCTTAACTAGAGAACATCGTCTTTTTGAAATTTCTATTGCGTAGTTGAAAATAATAACTGATCTCACTTAGTTACATATATAGTTTCACATCTAGCTTTTTAAGCATTTGCCAACAACTTATAACAAATCTCTCGTAAAGAGTCATAACTAGAATAATCATCATATAATTAAACAATTTTCTACATTAGTTAAGAGATAATGATATAGTTTATCTGGTTTTATAGTCAATTATATGGTCTGAGTTCATATGTAGTGTTCAAGCACAAAGCGATTAAATTTTCATGACATTTTTGTAAATAAACAGTTGAAGAATATACACGACCCAAAGTATCTATTCAATTCAATAAAGCCAATGAAAGAGTCACTTTCAACTGTACGTTTAATTATCACACAACAGTGATCATGGTGAATATCGAATTGGAAAGTATATATATATTATACAAAAACCCTCACATGTGCTAGATTTTAAAATACATTGAACAGAGAACAATATGTAGAGAAAGAAAGTAGTAATTAAGGAATATTCATTCATAAACCCTGACGTCTTTAAAAAGGAGAGGCTATGGCTATGGCTACATACATGTATGTGAATGTGAAAGAAGAAAGCCATAATGAATCATATATGGATAAGTAAGAAATGAAATGGAGAGAGAAAGGGATCTGTTCCATGCATCGTAATATCTATCTTCCAATGCGTTCCTCTTTAAGGGGACCATTTCTCTCTGAACACCCTTTTTTTTTTCTTGTCCATTTATCTCAACCTTACACGCGTCCGGGTCAAAATATCTCTCTCTCAGCTTTTTCATTAATTAGCGTTGTGTTAACGGCAAGTTATACTACAAGTCACAGAGCGTGTGTTCCACTCTCTCCGTGGCTCAAATCGCCGATGAAGGTGTAATGGGTCCGGCCATATTGTAAGCGACCGTTCACCAGAAATCCTTTTTTGTGGGTCTCAGTCTCACATCCACGATCCACCTGTCACCATCTCCGTCCTTCACGCATTTAACATTTAAACACCACCATCGAATCCTGTCTTAGATATTTTCTAGAATATCAGAAGTAGAGAAATTCTAGATTTAATCAAACCTTAATTAACCTAAACTAACATGATTCGACTTTTGATAACCAGCATCTAATCAACCTGCAGAACATCAGTAAGTATATTATTAGTGGATTGGGACACGACGTACAAAGGTTGATTAATTCAGCAAAATTTTGTATTCAAAGCAACAACAAAAAAAAGGTTATTATAACAAGAAGCTATGTACAAATATATATACGTAAATTATTCTATATGCAGTATCAATGATGCATTATATATGGACGTTGAATTTTTACTTTCATCTAACGTAAAAAATCAATACATATTTTCGTATTTGTAAATTCTAATTGGGATAATGATTTGGAACAAAATTAGACTTCGCAGCACACGTTTCTAAAATCGAATACACTGACTGCGGCATTTTGCTTTCATCCATAATGAATGGGTTGTTGTGGTTTATACTTATAGATATAGATACGACGGCCCAATTTCAAAAGGTTTGGCTTTGCCGGAGATTTCCGACGCACCGTAACATTCATATGGCAGCATATACGACGCCGTACGTAGTTTCTGTCTTATGTCCGACACATATTCTGTGCTAAACAATGTACCCAAGTGGTGGTTGTCGCATCCTATTGGAGACTAGGCCCCACGGCCCATAATTCATAATACAAACAGAAGCCCATTCCACCTCATCTTCTCTCACTAGCTTATTGTCTTCAAAAACTGTTGATCTTGACGTGTAGATAATAAAAACGAAAGAAGGAAACAAACAAAAACGAAAAATAGCTTGCGTGGCTAAATCATTGACCTTAGCTTATTACTTCATCACTGGGACACAACAAGTCTTTAGCTTCAACGTCCACGAAGTTAATGAAATATTCTGTTCTTATTGGATTACGTACGGTGGTCTCGTGTTTACACCTAGCTTAAACGAAAAAAAAAACATACTGTAGTCTTTTACTACTACTAACAAATACTATACGCTTCGAAACGCATCGTGGAATTGAGTCTTTTATTTTGTTGTTAGTACGAAATATCTCTAAGGTCACTCTATTAACCACAAAACATGAATATCTCACAATAGTCAATACACTACTCAAAAGATTTTGGTATTTTTATTATTAAAAAAAAAAGGGGAGACAAGAAGGACAGTGGACGAGCATAAGGTCATCATATTTGCATGTTATTCGTCAGAAGAGTAACATTATCTCAATTAGATTAAATATTTTACTTAGAGGGTGGTGAATAAAGTAAACACACACACACTCTAATCTCTCTGTAGCTAGCGAGTTAAACAAACGAGATATATAATAAATAAAACACTAAAATGTGTCATTATGGGCACATGAGGTCGCACGTGTCTCGGCTTTGGGATCACCGCCGTCACGTGATTCAAGAAAAGCCGAACTAGGCATTTTGCTGAAGTTGAAGCACGATGAATAATACTAATATTCGTATGTATCATCATCATATGAATAAGCAAAGCAGAGAGAGAGAGAGAGAGATTCTTTATTCCAAAGGAAGAATAAAAAAGCAAGTGGAAGTGGAACCACACTAAGAAAGGCCTCTGATTAACCAAAAGAGAACCGCTTTGGTGAGAGAAGCTAAGCGCACCGTACGTCAATATGTACTTGGCTCTGCTCTGTATGTGTAAGTTAAGTTCTCTCATAGTCTATGAGACTGAACCATGACAGTCTTTGGCCCCCACCAATCACACCGTCACATTCTCTCTTCACTCCCTTTTCTCACTCGTCTTCTTTTTAATATTTTTCTTAAATTTTGATAAATCAAAAATGTGTTTAATTTTAATAATATAATTGAGTTTCTGATTCTCTGTTTCTTTGTGGTCAGCAAGTTCCTAATCATGTTTTGTCAACTTATTGGCTGGATACATACACATAGTTGCCTAGTGGTCCTTTTCGAGAAGTCTGATCAAATGAATACTATAATATGCATACACACAGTTGCCTCGTGGTTAAGTCATAAGTGTGTATACAATTTAGCGACAACCATAAGTTCAAACTTCCACCAGTTCTCTCATTGCAACAAAACTAAAAATGAAACTTTGGAATAAGCTCGTACAAGAACTACAACAAATTCCCGTACGCAACCTTTTCCTACATTGCGATTTATACTTAAATAAAAAAAGTTCTAACAACTAAATTTGTCTAGGTGTCAAGGAAAGGGAACCTTCTGAATGAGACAGAAGTTGCCAGCTGGAAAAGCCGTTGTCGGTACTGGTGGTAGTCGAATAAAAAAGAAGCAAACCTGATTAATATAAAAAAAACAATTGATCTCCGTTGGTGTTGGCTCTCTAGTTTCGTGCCATCTTGTTTTACAAGTTAATGTCCCACTCCGGTGGACGACTGTTTGTTTCAGTAACACAACCAATGCTTAACATATCGCAATACGCATTTATAGTATGAGACACTATGAGTGGTTAGTTGACCACATAAAAATATACTATTCCACGCCCATAGGCCATATATAGAGATTAGTAAAACGGTATTCAAATAATTTGCAAATTACTATATGAAAAATACTTGGGCATGATCTATAAAAAAACTACCATAGTAGCGCAACAACCTTTGGAAATGAAATTGACTTCATAAGTTCGTGTAGTCAAGTAATTTGATTTTAAAACTTCATAGCAATTTTTTTTCTTCTTATTACACACCTTCTTCATGGCTTCGTCTTCTTACTTTATAACAAGGAAAACAAAATATATATATAAAAAAATCTTCTTTTTATTTTCGAGGCACGTGAAGATGAGAACGGTCCCCACATGCGGCCACGTGGACTTACTGAATTATTTTTGTGTAATAATAATTAAAAAAAATTGTGTAGCTTCAGAACTTGTGTAAATGGATAGGCCAATAATTTTTTTAAAAAATTGTCGGCTCGTAGCATAAAATCACTAATTTTATCTGCCGAAACAAACAGCTCTACTAGTAAAATAAGTATGTAGCAAAGAACATTTGTTTTGTGGAACAACCAAAACCAAACACTTGGACAAGTTGCGCCACGCTATTCTGCTGCGAACACCATGTAACTTTGCAAATTGAAAAGTTCTGGTCTGTTGTAACTTCAAAGCCTTGCAAATCATATAATTACATTGGAATATGTGTTTTACTGCAAATATATACACGCATTGTGTATGCAATACATAGATTTAGATTGGTTAAATATAATCAGAGATACATCTTCCCCAATTGATAGTGATATGCAATATGAACGTTTATTTTTTTCTTAAGCCGAATATGATAACAAATGGTCACATACACAATTGGTTCCCCGTTCTTTATATCATATGCATGTGTCGTGCGTCTTTGTACATTATGAGTGGTTGAAAAAGAAAAATTATTAGATTTTTTTAGAAGCAATGTGCATGAAAGAGACATAAGAAGATAAATGTTAGGAAAATAAAAATAAAGAAAAGGTATAGAGAAACCTAAAAGGAGGGCCATAGGGAAATTTATAGAACCAAAGTGCAATGCACTTCTTCGGATCGTCGTCGGTCTACTCATCTCCTTGATTGCCTCCATCCATTTTTCCCCATTCCCCACTTCATTTTTATTATTATCTCTTCCCATTTTTTATTTTTTTGTTGGTTAACAATTTAATAACCAAAATGCGAAAATAACAATATTTTATACTGGTTAACAATTTAAGGGCCGATTTTGTTCTCTATTTTCCTTAATTAATTATTTTGGTTGCCTTGTTGAAGTTTTAGCAACTTTTTTGGGTTTTATACTTGGAGGTTTTTATTATCTTTGCCAACCTACTGATTAAACTATAATATATGTACATATATTATCTTTTTGATTTTCTAGGTTTATAAATTCCAGGAGAAAAAAAGTTCTACAAAAATAATATCAAGCGTTTTAGACAAATTCTACAAAAAAAAAAACAACATAATCGTCCTTACAAATTCAAATTCATGGTTCAAATGGAGAGTTTTAGACAATCTTGCATTTATCTAATTTTTTCACTTCGTTATTTAGTTCAAACTCATCATCATAGTCTAATCTATTGATTTGACAGAAATGTATATTCATGGTTAATTAATCCTATTAAGTAAGATAGCACATGCATGTTCGAAGTAAAATGTAGATAAAATTTATTAAAGTCGAGATTTTAATAAAAAATATATAAAAAAGGGAGTGGTCAGGTCAGGCTCGGTGCATGGTAACTCTATGCACGTTCTCTTCTCTTCGTCTCTTTCCTCACTTACACTTCACTACACTCTCTCTCTCTCTCTCTATATTAAACCCCAGGACCAGTGACCACATTACTCAGTGAGCGAGTCCTAGTCCAATTCCAAAGTCCAGTCTTGAGTTAACTAACAATGGACGTCTACGGCATGTCTTCACCTGACTTGCTTCGCATAGACGACCTTCTCGATTTCTCCAACGACGAACTCTTCTCTTCTTCCTCATCCACCGTCACTTCCTCCGCCGCTTCCTCCGCCGCGTCTTCCTCTTTCCCATCCGAGAACCCTTTCAATTTCCCTTCCTCCGCCTACACTTCTCCTCCTCTCCTCACCGATTTCACTCACGATCTCTGCGTCCCCGTACGTCTTCTTCAGTTTCCATTTTCAATTTCCCCCAATTTCTGATTTTGAATTTTCGACTTCTGATTTTTTTGGTTTTGCAGAGTGACGACGCAGCTCATCTCGAATGGTTATCACGATTCGTTGACGATTCATTTTCCGATTACCCGACGAATCCTTTAACCATGACCGTTAGGCCTGAGATTTCATTTACCGGGAAACCTAGAAGTCGCCGATCAAGAGCTCCAGCACCTTCCGTCGCTGGAACTTGGGCTCCGATGCCTGAATCCGAGCTTTGTCACTCTGTTCCCAAAACTAAACACAAGAAGGAGTACAACGCTGAACCAGTCACGCCCGATGTAGGAGGAGCGAGGCGGTGCACGCACTGCGCGTCTGAGAAAACGCCACAGTGGAGAACTGGACCGCTCGGACCTAAAACGCTTTGTAACGCCTGCGGTGTTCGTTTCAAATCAGGCAGGCTTGTACCGGAATACAGACCGGCTTCGAGTCCGACGTTCGTGCTCACTCAGCATTCCAACTCTCACCGGAAAGTTATGGAACTCCGGCGGCAGAAGGAACAGCAAGAATCGTGTGCTTCTATTCCATCGTTTCAGCCGCGGTAAATTCGCGTTTTCGTCTTCGGAGGTTTTTTTTTTTGTGATTGGGGGTGACGTGTCGTGATCCTAACGGCGATGACCACGTGACCGACGAGTTAAGGACTTTAATTATCATCAGTATTTAGTTTTTAAAAAATGGAACTCTGCTAATCACGTCATTAATTTGTTAGTATTCATTTGATTTTGTTTTGGTTATTATTTTTTGTTTTTTTTTGGTTTCACGGCTCTCCTTAAAGTTAAATCATTAAATGATTTTATTGGCGGCATTTAATTTTCTTCTTTTCAGATATAAAAGCTTCTCAACCACCAATGCGCTCTGCTTTTTGTGACCTTATTATGATATTTAATCACACTTACTTGCTCTCTCGTCTCGTTCATCTTCTTCATATACAAAAATACATGTTACATGAATCATAAGCAAGACTATACCAAACCAATCTAATTTGGTTAAACTTTCCGCTTGAACCGCAAAACTATCTACTGAGCCAAGCCAAGGACAAGATGATACAAATTCACTATATTAGAAAGACAAAACTTCCAAATACCAAGAAACTGCAAATTGTTGAACTGGATGCAGTAAGATGTACTTAAAAAAAAAAAAAACATATCTCAAAACATGAACGACAAAAATCTAATCAGTAAAGGAAAAAAAAAGGTATTGATGACATTGCTTTGTTTGGTTGTGTCCTGTTTATTTGCTCTTGACAAAATAGAGTTTACCCATGACATGGAGAACAGCAACAAAGGCAATGAAACCAATATTCATAATAAGAACGACATTTAGAGATATCTTGAGACCAGGTGCGTCATCTGTGTAGAACTGAAGCATTGTTCCTGCTGCTGCTGCTGCTACTAGCTGGCTATCTCCTTCTCATGCTTGCAGTTGCAGCTGCACTTCCTTTCTGTGGAGCTCCACCTCCAACCATTTTTGCTTCACTTCTTGTTTATTCAGCCAAACTCAATAAACAAAACAAACAATGAAACAAACGTAAGAAAGAATGAAGTAGAAATGTTTGTTAAACCATCGAGATCAAAAGAGAGCAATGTCAAATAAACACCTTCTAAAGTTATATGATGAATAAATACATCTAATTGAACCCAATAAAAGTTGAATTCCATAATTCAATCATCAAATCAAATTCAGATATTAACAAAACAGTCCTTAATAGTGCACGACTTTGCGTTTGGTTCTTAAAAAACATCCCATAAAAAAATTATTGAGATGAACAAAACAACCAACCACGATGAAGGGAACTAAAAAAAGAAGAAGATAAGAGATCACAACATATGCACATACCGTATCGGATGCAGCTCGCAATGATTATAATGACTTTCAAAAAAACACTATTAACTTCATTACTATAGTTTAGAGACCCATTAGTTTCTTCTGCCAACTTGTTATAAAAACCTTTTTAAGCTTATGAGCCCAACTCCATTATATCTTTTCCAGTTATTGGGCTCGGCCTGTTTATTCTACCAACTCAGAAATTTGTATCCGTCACAACTTACTAGTTACACAACACACTTAGTCATTGGTTTCATCAACAACATTTGGTCTTATGAATTACTCTCGGTTTATAGTGTTTAGGGATGCATGCCTCAAATCGTTTTCGTTTTGACTTTTGACCAACACCACGACAACATTATTAATAAATCACCAAATTACAACGTTACAACCACTCATAATTGGTTTCATCAACAACATTTGGTTGAACCGGTTTAAGAAAACAAAGTTTAATTTTGATGGCGATTATTTAATTTAAGAAAACCAGTAGCTTCAATTTTCTTTATCACAACAGAAAAATACAACTTGTTCTATATCTTTACCCTATACCAAAAATTTTGCAAAGAAATATCAAGCTAAACCCAATCTCATCATGATTATATTATTTCCTGGTCCTAACTCGTACTTACAAATGTTGAGAAAAATCATAGTTTATACGAGGAGAATTAATATGTAAACCGGTGAGACAATGATATATAATCGCTAATATATATACTTGAATGGTAGGTCATGTACTCATGTACTTAACTATATTTATATATATATATATATATATATATATATATATATATGAGGTCGTAATTAAAGTCAGAATTAGAAATATCTGCTGACGGCAACATTTCTCCACAGCAACGAACACTTTAATTTTTTCAGTTAGGGCAATATTATAGGGGTATCTTAGAAGGTAAGATAAACTCAGATTTTCAAAACTTATATAAGATTTTTCTTTGAAAATCTGGAGATATCTTATCTCCTAAAATATCCCCTATAATGTTGGTCTTAGTACTATTAAAGTATTAATTATATATACAAGAAAAAACGTATGTTTCGACACGGTTTCGATAATCCCTATGCGTGTGAATATAATAAAGTTAATTAAGCTGTTAACGGAGGAAACGAAGAAACAAAGAATCATGACAGAAGCTTCGCCGGGGGTACGTTCAAGTAAGTACGTACTACGTACCGTCGTACCTTGTGTGTATTTTAAACGTATTAGTTAATACTTTTTTTTTTTTTTTTGAACTTATTAGTTAATACCTATATCATACATCTTTTCATTTCTTTTTTAGAACTTGATTACGATTTATCAGGCGAAAGAATCTGAGAGTGTGATATATAAATAAATAAAGAGTGTATATAATCTCACTATATATATATATCACTATATATATATTGTAAGTGGACGACAAAGGAAAAAACAGTATGTGATGTTTTTATGACAAAAAAAGTATGTGTGATGTTTTCTCTTTTTTCATGGTAGTGATAAAGAAAGGTGATGTTTGATATGTTGTTAGCCCATTAGATTTTCTTCCACTTCGAACATATTTACACATAATGGAATCCGATTTTAAATAACATTTACATAGTTTCTGAAAACCGCGATGGAGGTAAAAATCGACATATATCAAATTAAATTTGGTTAAGGAGTTATGTAGTTATCTTAATTTATAAAATTTCTAAAAACCATTCGTGAATAATTATCATAGATTTTCATTTATAATGTTGTCGGTTGAATCTATATTTGTATTTCATTGTAGTGACGTACACAATATTATGAACACTAGAGTCCAACGATAAATGTAGAATCCAACGAAAACTCTATATATATATTTTGTAACATTTCTTTATGTGAAAAAAAAAAAAAGTATCCCAAAACTTATCAATTTACGATTCTCAACTTTCCGAGTTAAAAATATGTCATTATTTCATGTTCCTTTATCTCATTCTACAATTTTTTATTTGTTCTGTTGTCAGTTGAAATCTATAATTTTGTATCTCACTGTAATGACACATTATTATCAACAATACTAGAGTCCAACGACAAAGGTAGAATCCAACCAAAAGATGTGATGTGAAATGAATGGAGAAAAATTAGTTAATATATAAATAGAAGCTAGCATACGTATACGTCGCATATAAACAGTACACTCCAACGAACTCGGTGTGTAGGAATTAAGATTAGCTTGTTGAAAAGTAGAAAGAACATAACTTCTTGTCATTCTAATAAATATAGTGTGTAGGGATACAGCTTTATTATTATATATAGACATGTCCATATTTAATATAAGAAGACAAAGACGTAGAAGTAGTTATACAAAATAGTTTTGTGAAAAAAGATGAAGTTTGGTTGATTTGTGGAATCTGAGTTGGGCTGTGTAATTGATATAATGCAATTTATCTTTATATAAAATTCTTACTTCCCTATGATTTGATTTGCTTCATTAACATATTCTCAGCAAATCATTCGTACTAGAAACCAAACATGAGTTTTGATATAGCAATTAACTGAACTGATTGATGGATGGGTTAGTTCGTACGGTGAGTGGGTAGATTGATTGGTAGCTTCTTCTGTTTCTTAAAATTATTACTTGTAGTTTTATTGCGTCCATATTGCAAGTAGACTATTATACCATACGGATTTTAGATATCCACACAAAAACAAAAATAAAAAAGGTGAATGAATGACGAAGCATATAGTTTCTACATCACTACATAAACTATAGGGTATATTTCCATAAAGACGACAGTACTTGATAGAACTTGATATGTCTCTCAAGGGCAATATATGGCATTGCACATGCAATGTATTTCTTTTGAGATAGTTACATGTATAATTTTATACCTATTTAGACGGTGCGATTTTTAGACCACTCAGAGAAGTCAGACCGATGTTGACTTGTACCTTTTGTGTTGTTTTAACTCAATGTTAGTGACTAGTATAAAAAGGCTAAACCAAAAAATTGAAGGACATTAGCCTAAGATGGGTGACCCGGTGAGTAATTATTAATAGGGGCATGGAAGAAGAAATTAGCGTTAGAAACAGTGCACGTGTGGGTCGCGTTATGGTAACTTGGCGACCAGGAGTTGACGAAAGATTCACATCACACGAGTGGAGTGGGTTTCCAAGAAGCTAAAAGCCTCCGTTTCACCTAGAGACTTTGCACTACGCTGACTTCTTCTCACCTCCCACCAAACTGTCGGCGGCGATTCTTTGTTTTTGTTTAACAACGTAAACTTTTTTGGGATTTGTTTAATTTTGAAAGTCCTTTTGGATTTTTGGTTCATTGGAACTCTTTTCAATATATTTTAAAATTCAAGAAGTAAAATATAAAATGAAAGAAAAATGCCTAGCTGTTATATCTGTACGCTGGCTTACAAAAAAGGAGACACACAAATCTTTTATACTATTTTTTTTTCTTTCTTTTAGTCAAATAAAAAAAAGAAAAAAAAGAAAAAAGAATTGCTTGTTTTTTTAGTAGCTTCTTTCCACCTTCCAAATGACTCCAAAAACTCGATGTCTTTTCTATTTTCCAAATATTACCCATTTTTGAAATTCTCTCAGATGTATCTTGTAATTTTTATAGGTAACATTGTATTTATTTATTTTTGAGTCGAATTTATTTCTCTGTTTCAGAGATTTGTACTTGCTTGTTTGTGTGTTTTGTGATATTCCATCTATTTTAGACTATGTAAAAATCGTACGATTCAGTTCACTATTTTAACTATTTGATCCTAACTACACACCTAGTAATTTTAAAATTACGCGATGAAGATTTTAATATATATAAACAACATTTAAAACTCACATGAAACTCTTGAAAACAAGTATTGTAGTTCTTTAATCCTTAATCTATACCTTTTTATATGATTTTATTGGTTTGAAAACATTACACACTTATAAAAAAACTTGTTCGACCTTGGATTACTGAGAGATGAGATCCGAATCTGAAGTATTTATACATTAGCACATATTTTACGATATTCAAAACTCAAAACTTTGACTTACCGTACACATGAAACTGTATTTAATTTGTTACTCTATAATATTAAAATCATTATTAAAAACGAGTTTATTCATACACACGAAGGTTAGTGAAAATAATTAACAGAATAAAGTAAAATAATTGAAAGAAGAGAAGGGGAAGGTACGTAATCGTTACAACACCCTCAAAGCTTCTATATATATATATATATATACAAAACCTCTCTCTTTCACTTCATCACTTCAAATCCTCTCTTCCTCCTCCTCCTCGTCTATTAAGCTCTGTTGCCGACGAAAACAAGAAAACTCAACATGGCGGTTTCGAGTTCTTTAACCATCTCTCCAAGAAAACTCCGGTCTGATCTTTATTCATACTCCAACAACCAAAGCAACTCCGAGACGCCTCTGGTTATCTCTGTTCTGTCGTCTCTGATCGAACGAACTCTTGCTCGTAACCAGAGGATTAGCAGCCGGAGAGCGTTTCCGACGTCGCCGTCTTCTTCCACCGGCAAGACTCAGATCTTCGATTGCCGTGAAGTGCCTGACATGACCATTCAATCGTACCTAGAGAGAATTTTCCGGTACACAAAAGCCGGTCCTTCGGTTTACGTGGTGGCTTATGTCTACATTGACCGGTTTTGTCAAACCAATCCCGGTTTTAGAATCAGTCTCACAAATGTACATCGGCTCCTCATCACCACCATCATGATCGCTTCTAAATACGTAGAAGATTTGTAAGCATCCAACCAAAAACTTTACTTAAACAACAAAACTTTTTAGTTTTTCAAGAAAGCTACATTTAAGATTAAGTTTGCTGAATAAGTTTCATTTCTCTGTGTGTTTGTTTCCTTAGGAACTACAGGAATTCATATTTCGCTAAAGTAGGTGGACTAGAGACAGAGGAACTGAACAAGTTAGAGTTAGAGTTTCTGTTCTTGGTGGGATTCAAGCTACATGTGAATGTGAGTGTGTTCGAGAGCTATTGTTGTCATCTTGAAAGAGAAGTTAGCTTTGGAGGAGGTTATCAAATCGAGAAGGCATTACGTTGCGCTGAAGAAATCAAATCCAGACAAATGATCGTTCAAGATCCTAAACACCATCATCATCATCATCATCACTTTGCTCGAATCTTGTTATAGAGAAAGAACCTCTGTTTTTTCCTTTTTTTCCATTTAAATTTTAGTTTTGTAGGTTTTGTCGTTTTGTGCTTTGTGATCTTTTGACTTTCTGACAAACTTGTTGGTTAGAGTGTTTCTTTTGTATATTTTTGTTTGGTAGGTCGTAAAATGTAAATATAGATGAGCGGTGATGTAAAAAAGAATGAAATTCAATATCTAATTGAATTTGGTAACGCGGTACAAATCTATATGTCTTTTGCATTCATCTAATCAACAATTACAATTCCAGGTATCATTAAAGGCGATAAAACTAGCCAATTAGTATCAGTATTTGAAATCTAAAACGCATAATTTAGAGAAACTCTTACAACTTTGTGGACTAAAATATATAGAAATTGTGTTTATTTTTCTATCCTTTGGAAATGAAAATCTAAGCAACTTGAATCGGAAAATAGCAAATAAAGGCACAAATAAAGACAACCACACATTATTTAATCCAATAATTAAGCGATATCTAAATTGATGATTATTCTAAATATTTATACATGAAAGTTAAAAGATAAGGATTTGTTGTGCTGATTTGGTGTCTAATAATTGATTAAACGGTGGCATTATTATTGCCAAATAGCTTTTAAATTCTTTAATAAAGGTGTCTTCTTATATATACTTTCTATATCTATATTATACGCGCACCAACTTTTCTTATTATAAAATATATATGAAACAAGTTATAGTTGCAGATTAATTGAACCTTTCTCATATTTTTTTTGGATGTAGGAAACCATGCGATCGTGTCTAGTTTCCCATATAAGAAATGTATTCTCAATCCATCATTGGTCATATTGTTTTCTTAGAAACTCACAAGAGTTAGCATATTAATTGTATCTTTTTATTCTTATGCTATTGAAGTTAAGGCCTCTTTACATCTATATTAATTAACGTTAATTACTTCTGCCATTAAGAAGACAAAATGTAGTGTGTGGTTCACGAGCATTTACCTATTAATTACTTCTATATTTTTCTTCGTCTTATTAATCCTATTAAAAAAGAAAAGTGTAGTGTGGTTCACGAGCATTTACCTAACCAAAGGCATTGATCAATCATTAGGCCTTAATCCTTTGCACCAAATATATAAAAGAATAAGATTAGGATCGATGTGTTGATATGATGTCTAATAATTGCCTCACCAAAGGTATACACACTAATATAGTAGTATACCTTGACTATGTCTTCTTTTGATATTTTTATTATATTTGTTCAACTTCTATAATAATGTTAACAAAAATTCACAATTGCTCGCACGTACGTTAGCCATTGTAAATTTTGGAGTTTTTTTTTTTTTATGGGACAGAAATTTAGATATGTAACTAAAAGTACGTTGGATCTGGGATGGTTTTATTATTGTGTAAGTTGTTGGATGGTAATAATTTGATGGTGAATTGATAAGTTCACCGCCAAAAATAATGAGGATATCAGATGAGATGACTTGATGTTTAAGTTGTTGGATAGTAATAGTTTGATTGGCAACTTAAAAAGCGTTCACAGCCCATTTTGCTTAGCAAAACGAATACGGGAAAGGCTTTTATACATATCATTGGCCCAAAGAGAACAAAACAAACCCCTTTCTGTTGTAACCTTCCCCGGGAGCAAAGGTCTGATTAATCAAACCCTAGAAACCATATCGTCGACGTCTTCTTTTCCGTTATTGGATGGTCTACTGTATGAATCGTGTTTAGATTAATCGGTTTTATATGAGTCCTTCAAAGGAACGACGTTTTATATGACGAATTTACCAAATTCAGCTTACATATAGCCAACAATATCAACCACGATCTTACCCCCTGATGTCATAAATAAGAAACTATATGAATCCACGAGAAAGATTAAATATGACAATTTCATCTAATCTAATTAAGTTCAGAAATAGAGAAATTCAGAAAAATGAAAAGAACGAAACTAATTATCAAAATAAAACCCTTTATTGAACGGTACCGGTTTCTGTTATAGTTTTTGTTTTCTAAAATAACTTCAAAAACAAATCTCATCATAGATTCTCCAATAAGCTTTCTAAAGATTTTGTTTTGCTCGAATCTAGGATAACTATAATTGTCTTTTTAGTATTAAAAAAAAAAAACTAAAAATCTATTCTAGTTTGTTAAACTCTAACAACCAGAAACTAGAAACTTAAAACCTAAAAAAAAAAAACTTTGATAAATTATATATAAACTCTAAAAAGATCTGTACCCATTCAAGATCTAAATTAAAAATGGCTTCCTCATCTATTAAATCTTTTTCTTTTATCCTTGCTCTCACAACTCTCTTTGCAATCTCGTTGAAGCCATGTTATGGCCATAATAAAACCCACTGGAACACCGCCGGCATCACTTGGTATGGCGACCGAGAAGGCCCTGGCTCCACAGGTAAATTACTTAAACCCATTCATTGTTCCAATACATTATTAAAAATATTTTTACATATTTACATACGTATGGTCCCCAAATTCTATATACAGGAGGAGCTTGTGGATTTGGTGATGCAGTGGCAAAGCCCCCGTACAAATGTATGGTATCAGCCGGAGGACCTTCATTGTTCAAAGATGGAAAGGGTTGTGCGGCATGTTATAGGGTATTTACATATAACGATTACAATTAATCGGATATCATATTGTAAATGTATATCTCTCTATATATATACATACTAATCATGTGTTTATCTATGTTATATATAGCTTAAGTGCGACCATCCCTTTTGCACAAAAAAGCCGATCAAGGTGATGATATCGGATGAGTGTCCAGGCTGCACGAAGGAGTCTGTCCATTTTGATCTTAGCGGTAAGGCCTTTGGTGCATTGGCCAAACGTGGCAAGGGCGATCAATTACGCAACCTTGGAGAACTTAAAGTTAGTTACAAACGGTACGTATTGTCAAAAACTGTTCTGCATGGTTCGGTTTTCTCGGGTTTTTTTGGATAGAAAAAAGCATGTATAGACATTTCAGTATATATATACGCCGAACAAATTTTGCATGCATGTATCGACGACTTTTACGGATAAAAAAATAGACTAATTAATCCTAATTCAATATCATACATATACATATATATATGCAGTGCATGTTGCAAACACCCTAAGACTAAGATAGCTATCCATGTGGACGCCGGAGCAAATCCTTACTACATGTCTTTCACCGCTAAGTATGCAAACGGCGACGGGAACTTCGCCTGCATCGAGGTCCAACCGGCTGGAGGAAATTACATAAAGATGGAGGAAATGAGATCCGCCGTTTGGAAACTAAACTCTGGTTCTCCTTTGAAAGGTCCGTTCAACATCAGGCTTACCTCCGCCGTGTCTGGTAAGAAGATCGTCGCCAAAGGTGTTATCCCGGAAAAGTGGAGTCCTGGTGCTATTTACCATTCCAAGGTTAACTTCCCCGTTCCAAAGAAACACAAATGATTTATTTTTTTCTTCCCCCCCTAAACGAATTGTAACATTTGAAATCAAAAGGGCGGGGGTTATATTAACTTTGTAATCGATAGTACATATACTAATTTGAAATTCTTGATATGGGCTTAGCGTTGTTGTCATTCGGCTTAAAAAAGGCCCATTATTTTATAAACAGAAGCCGGTTTGGTTAACCTTTCAACGTGGAGCATAGTAGAGTCATAGACCGGATCGGTTTATGAGAGGCGTTTAATTTTAATTTTTCTATGTATGAAAGAAGTTGCACAAAGCATTGATTAACTGTTCTTCACAAGTTTGGTAAATAAAGACTTCTTAAGTTCACTCATAAAGCCTCTTAATTTGTGGTAAACCACCTAACTTTGTAAAAGAAATAAAATTTGAGAGTAAAAGTTATAAAAACACGCGTTGTATATTAGAAACACACAAATATGAACTGAAAATATAATAGAACGTTATCGAAAAAAACTCTAAATAGGTAGTAAATGGGTTTGCCATAATTATGGCATCTTGACTTGTTCTTTTTCCTAAGACAACGCTATATTCTACATATTTTTTTAATCTAACTAAGAAAGATCCAAATTAAAGGGGAAAAGCAAACACATTTGTTATAGAACTATAATTAATCACATTCACACGTCGCATGTTTTGTTTGATTATCTATCGTGATTAAGCTAAATCCATCTGTTATACTTTGAATCTGATTCGGTGAATAATATTAGTAATAGTAACTTGTAAGATGGTCAAATCACATTGAATTGAACCTTAACTTTTTAGTAGTTTTTAATTTGGTCAATACTAACTTTGATGAAAAATAGTTACTGCGGCTCTCGGTTGGAGTAATTTTATCAAGAAAGAACCGAAGTTGGACTAGGTTAGTACGTGGCTGTCACGTACGGTAAAGCTCTCTCACAGCAAACGGATGTTAACATTTTTAGACAGCGTTTTGTTTTGCTTTGCTGGTTCGTCGTTCGTTACAACTAAACAAAACAAACCACCTCCCCCAAGACTTTCGTACAATAGCAAAATTCCCCAAAATACCCTTTTTATTTATTTTGGGGTAAAATTAAGAAACGTTAGACCATCATTATTGGGGGGATCTTTAACCTCTAAGATCCCCCCAATAATGATGCCCTTAAAAGACTCAACCTAGAAATAGACAACAAAAAAAGTTACAGCAGCGTTGCGACTGCTATTTCGGGTGTAAAAAACAACAACACAAAACTCAAAGAGAAGGGTAAATCGGGAAATAGCCAAGAAGGGAGTTTTGTAGTAAGAAGAAGATTGCAGAAACGGGCAAGGGTCGCATGTTACATTGTCGCTTCTTTCTTCAACTTCATGCATACGCTTTTATTTAGATTTTCTTCTCTTTTTTATCTTTCCGTTTCGCCAGATAAAAAGAAAAACTTAAATGTTTTGTTTCTTAAACAGTAATAAGAAAGAGAAAGAGAGATTAATAAAATTTAATATAGTTTTTTAATTAATAATAATAATCTTGTTGAGTACAAATATTAAGTTCATTGGTGGAGGAGACGAATGCTTGTAGATTCCACTTCTTCTCTTCACTTTTTTCCTTCTCTTCTTCTTCTTCTTCTTCTTCTTGGTTCTCTCTCAAATTGAAGATGGAGAGTTACAAGTGCAGGTATTGCTTTAAGAGCTTTGCTAACGGAAGAGCTTTAGGTGGCCACATGAGATCTCACATCATGCCTAATCTTCATGTTGATGATAAAGACGAAGATCAAGAAAGGCCGAGTCAACTCAGTTACGACACTGAGTCCGATGTTTCTTCGTCTTCCTCTAAGGACAAAACTAATGGGGACGATCCGAAGTTTGCTTTTACGAGCTCTCTTCTTCTCGAAGAAGACGGCGAGAGCGAGACAGAGTCGTCTAGGAATGTTATCAACCTGACTCGGAAACGATCTAAGCGGACACGGAAGCTCGATTCGTTCGCGCTGAAGAAGAAGGTGAAGACGAGTCAACTCGGTTACAAGCCTGAGTCTGATCCCGAGCCTCCTCATAGCTCAGCTTCTGATACGACGACGGAGGAAGATCTAGCCTTTTGTCTCATGATGCTCTCAAGAGATAAATGGAAGAAGAACAAGAGTAGTAGTGATAAAGAAGTAGTAAAAGAGATCGAGACAGACGAAGAAGAAGAAGAAGAATCAGAAGAAGGTTACAACAACAGGTTGAGCAAGATGAATCGAGCGACGACGAAAGGGAGATACAAGTGCGAGACTTGTGGGAAAGTGTTCAAATCTTATCAAGCATTAGGTGGGCATAGAGCAAGTCATAAGAAGAACAGAGTAAGTAACAAAACAGAGCAACGAGGAGGCGAAACAGAGCATGATAATGTTGTCGTTGTTGCTGCTGAGAAGAGAATCCATGAATGTCCGATTTGTTTTAGAGTCTTCGCATCGGGGCAAGCACTTGGAGGTCACAAAAGATCTCACGGGATCGGGAATTTGTCTGTGAATCATCATCAAGTTCATCAAATGGAGTCTGTGAAACAGAGGATGATAGATCTTAATCTTCCTGCACCAACCGAGGAAGACGAAGTCTCTGTGGTGTTTCAATGAATGCTGAAAAAAGGTAACAGACTTTGCGTGATTCGGGTCGTCCAATTTTTCGTAAAGTTTGAATCTTTTTTTTTTGTTTTTTTTTTTTTTTAACTATTATTATTTTTTTGGGAGGGTTTTTAATGTGTTTATTTAAAATGCAAAGGAGGCTACTTTTACATGTTCTAACGCCGATTCTTTTTTCGTATTGGCCTCACGTCGTGTTGGCCTAACCACATAAAATTGAAGAACATTCAAATAAGCTTCTACTTAGTTTATATAGACTATTAATGTTATTTATTGTTATAAACTATACAACTTTTAATGTTTGTGTTGAAATTTTAATCTTTGGCTCTTCTTGTTGCTTCTTGAAAGCTTCTTCTAGCTCAAGTCCCCACTTGACTTATCATCTCATTCCTCTTTGTGTTTACGAGTTTGGTCAAGCCTCTTAAGAATTGAGAATCGCTTTCAAAGTCCAAAGATATTTAAGTGTATAGAAAAGTAAGGAAGACGTTTCGGTTGTAAAGTCCTAGTTTCCAACTTCCAACTTTATTTTACAAAGTACTTATGCTTGTGTGTTTGATAATAATTTATTAGGTTATTACGAATTTTCCTTACAAAAACATAACTTGTTAGTGAGATACTTGTCTTATGCTCATTATGTAGTGTTCAAACCATCAAATTTTAAGGTATGATATAGAATTCTTGTTTGCACAAGTAGATTTGAGTTTGGTCTACCACAAATGTAGAATTATTCTTCGAGTATACATACACACACACACACTTTATTCTTTACTTATGACTTGAAGCAAAACCCACTAACTTTCACCGCCCCAATAGAATCCAACAAATTGTGTGACTCAGAGTGGTTGTATCCAAGTAATTGCGAGATTGACTAATCTCTCACATTATTAATTTGGTAAGACTAATTACTTGGAATTTGGTGAGATTAGTTTCACTGAAATCATTTTTCCATCTGATAATTTTATTTTTATTTTTTTCCTAATTTTGGAGGCAATTAAAGTAGTGATGAAGCTGGAATGGGAGAGTTGAATCGTAGATATAATCTCATTTTTATTAAATGCATCTCCTCTGTCTAAATTTGTGAGCCCATTTGATGACAGCCGTTGGTACAAAGATCCTGAGACTGACACTAAACCTTCACTATTATTCTCGCCTATGAAAAAAGAATAAAGCAAAAGCAAACCCAAATCTTACACCAAAAATAAATAAATATATATATATATATATATATATTTACTTCACAATTATGCTGCTGTTGATTGGTCAAACACTCATGCTCGAGAAGGCTAAAACACACAATGACTTCAAAAATTAGGATTTGCTCTAGTATACAAAATCTGGTAAATTATATATCATACTAGTATCTTTACTGTGATTGTAGTTTCTAATCTTAATTCAAAATTGATTAATCTGTATTCGTAATATCCACCTTCAATTTCTACCAACACCAAGTATTATTTACAACATTTTTTTAATATAGAAAAGGAGACAAATCACATTGGGTGTGGTTTAAAAAAAAAACAGAGAAGCACAAAAGAAAAGATGTTTGGTTGGGCGTGATTAAAAGTGTCTCTCTGACTCAATGCACCAGTTTCAGCTTCAAGTCCTCTTCATTTAATTTGCTTCTCCAGTTATTAATGTTTTCGACTGCTCCTCTTTTTTGTTTTGCTCTGCTTTGCCTAACTTCGGTTTGTTTAATTTAGAGAAGAAACAAACTTACAATAATAATGACGTACAGCCACCGTTATATCTTTCTCAACTTACAAGAAGTTTCAATATATCTTAGATTAAAAGAAAGCAAACCAGTGTGGCTTCCACGTAATACGATGAAGCTTAATAGGTCAACTGATTCATAAAGTAACTTTCAAGAACATTAACCCACTTTGAATTACGATTCTCATTGTGGACTCAAAGAATTGATTAGTGGATAACGTGTCCTTGCTTTAATACTTTGGATCAGTTATAAGTTATGGTTAAAAAAAATTAGTGAAAAAAGAAGGAAAAAAAGAGTAATAATTATAAAACAAGAAGAAGAGGTAAAAACTAAAAAGTAGTATAGTTTTTTTTCCAAACATGTAAATATCATTAGAATGAAATCAAAGGTTTTACAAGAATGCATGACCTAACCAAAAGCAGTCAAGGCAAAAAAAAAAAAAAAACAAGGCCACAATAGATAGAGAAGAAGTAGAAGAACAATCTAATCCAAAGGAGCATTTAAGCCTCGCCAATGCTTCATGTGTCTTCGAAAGGATATTATGTTGCACATTTCACGGTCCACCATCTTGAAAACGCGGAGAGGAGCAAGCCTCGTGGAGTTATGCAGGACATCGTTCTTTTGCCTCCAAAGGTTGTAGATCACAACTTGCGCAGAAATCTTTCAAAGGAGCTTTGGAGCAGCTGGAGATGATCTTCGTGTCCATGAAAGCAGAAAAAAGTAGTATAGTTTGTATAAAAATGATAGAGGTACCGACTAATTTTTACTGGTTTTATCATTGGTAACAAATTATGTGATACACATCAATTACGGTCTACGGATACGGTTAAAATAGATCATCAATCAAAACCAATTATAAAAATGGGTTTATACTTAGGAACCAGTCTGTTTTATTGTCACTTTCTCCAGAACTAGACTAGTTTCAGTTTCTGGAAAAGTGGAACTTGTTTTCCTTATCGATTTTTTCAGTTTTTGTCTTCAAATTTTCTTAGAGACACTTATAATTAATTAATTTTATTCTTTAAACAAATAAGTATCTAAATTGGGTGTCTAAACCACAAAAATATCTTAAATGAGATACATTAGACAAATAAGTGTTTAATATTGATCTCAAAATCAATTCATTTACATTTTTTATTTTTAAAATCCACCTTTAAAACACCCAAAAATCACCATTGTAAATACTTTCCCTTGTCTCGAGTTCTATATTAAAGACTAATATGGGGAAAAAATGTTTCTAAGTATTCTTTTTTTTTTTTTTGCTTCTGTCCTATTTTCTTAAAGTCCTTGTCTCAAAGTCTCTTTCCACAAACCCTAAATTCTTACTATATCAAGCGCCAAATTGTTTCAAAAGCAAATATAAATGATGTCGACAAATACCCTTTTTTGTAGATTAAAAAGGCATGCACAAATGCAAAATTTAATCATAGTAGGAGATTCCGAATGAAAACAAAAACTCTTACATAATAATCTTACATGAGATTTACATACTCATTGTAAATTTTCCATCGTAGATTGCTTAATTGGAGCTGGCATCGGCGGAAAACTCTTAGCCATCACTTCGCCGGCTCACACGGGTGGAACTCGTACGGTAGCCATGATGGCTGCTGCGGTTAGAGCTCATGAGTCATGACGTGTATATGGATGTGGAAGAGTAAGAGTTTGATTGTGCCATTGAGGTTAATTTATTTGATTTAAAAATACTTCAAAAATGTGTATAAGTAAATTAATTTTAGCGCGTCAAGAGACTAACTTACTTACATCTCATATTAAATTGACTTTACTTATGTATGAACTCACGGCGAATATAAAGAATATATAATCGGTTCTATTCTACATATTTCTGTTTCGAATTAATAGATTTTTCTATGTAGAGTATATAGAGCACATTCCTTCGTCTTAAGAGTTATAATACCACATTAACCGAACATGTCTAGAGAATGTATATTCTTGTATTGATCATAAGAGATTACAATTGAGAATTTATACAGAGTGAGAGAGAGCTCCTAGGTTAAGTATTTACATATTCCATAAGAAGAGATACGAGATATTGAGGCCATTATGAGTTTCCTTCTATTGTCCTTTACAACATGATCGTAGTGTATATAGAGTACATTGTCTGTTAGATACACATCGTGACTGAAGAATGTTTCAATAATGTGCAGGGACATTTTGTATAAGAATTTTAGCCATTCGTTGCCAACAGTATAAGCCAAAACTTTCAAGTAAGCTTTTCATCTTGCGTGATCTATTTTGTCTGTCTATTTTATTGGGAATAGTGTCCTGCAATCTTCAGGCTTTAGGATTAGACATAGTTAGTCTCTTTTAAAGGTTTCCAATATAAAATCCATCAACCAGTAGTTTTGTCTCAGGCTTTAAGGGTTTGACATGGTAATACAAGTTTCTTTAGTGGAGATTTGGTTTTGTGACAGCTAAGAGGACTGTTCCTTAGAACCAACATTTGTAGTGATACCAGTTTGACCTTTTGTTTTTTTTCTGTATAGGTAATCTCCTTAATGACTCCGATCCAATTCCAAGAAAAAGAGTGGAAGACCCCAAAGAAGAATGGAAAAATGCAGAAAGAAAAACTAGGAAAAATGTGTATATGAATTTTAAGTTCTTTTATTAGTTTCAAAACATACATACAAGTGACTTTGATCTTAAGTACTATTGTCGTGTATGATGGTTAAAGTTAAAGATACAGCATGTTGTGATTATTATGTGATTACTGTTGTTGTAAGTATAATTTTTTTCAGGTTTTCTCCGAATTAGATTATAATTTACTGAGAAATTAATACATTTAGAAATAACTTAAATGCTAATGTATTTACGTCTCTTTTAAACTGACGTTAAAAATATAGAAAAGTGACGTGAGTTATTTGACGTTAACTAACGTCGTTCTTTTAAGTGACGCAAAGATAATTAACGTCGGCCAATGTTACGTCGCTTTACCAACCGACGTTTTGTTTTTAGAGTCAGTTATAAACTGACGTTAAGCTAAACATAAACCGACTTTAAAGCCCTTAGTTTTTTGTAATTGCAATTCATGATTGAGAAAATGCTTCAAATTCTACAAATATAATTAAGTAAAATACAATATTATTAGGTTAGAAAAGTACTTCACCTTTTTTTTTAGTGATGATGGCCAAAAGTTTATAATTAAAATTAATAGATAGATTTAAGTAACGTGTTATTGTTTATAAAAAAAAGGTTTCGACATCGAGGAACAAAAACAACGAACACAACACGTTCAATATTAAACAAAATATCATCGTATCGACGATCTTTTAACGCACAACAGAAAAGCACTTTTCGAGTTCAAAACGAGAAGGTACAGTCCCCAGAGAATGAAACGGCTCCGCAGTACCATTAATCTCGCTTCCCGTCATACGCAACTGAATCAGCGTGCACCAAATATTTTTAACATCTCCTGATTCTTCTATCCAAAGAAACGCTAACTTCCCATAGAAGTCAGCTAATCCAAAGCAATGAGCGTTGACTAAAGGAGCCTCGTGGAGATTCAGATTCGTAACTACTCTATTCAGCGCGGTGGGGAGATGCAACCCTAAAACCATCCTCCAACGTAGCAGGGCAGAGTCATACCACATCAACCCTAAGCCAGAGTCATAAACATATAGCACGTTGTTTATCACACACACGCCAGTTGAACACAATTGCTTTTGATTAGGCAGCTCAAATCTATCCCAAGACCCATCTCTGGTATCGTAGTAAACAGGGTTGTGTAAACGCAGGCCATAAACCTTCTTATCCGCAGATGCAATGGCATCTGGATATATGAACCATCTGTCGAAACATCTCATCCGATCAATAAACGTTGGTGCTGCACCATCGTTTGTTTTTTTATCAAAAACAACAAACGGTGGTGCTGAATCCCAAGTTTGTGTCTTTAAGTCAAACGATTCTGCTCGAATACGTGGCCCTGAGTTTCCCACCACATACAACTTTTCGCCGACTAGTCCCGCACTTATGAGCATCAACTGCTCATCTTGCATCACAGGGATCAGACGAAACACCTTATTCCGAGAATCAAATATCCTGAAGATTGGTTTCACACGCCGAGAAAACAAAATAAAGATAACGTCTACGCCATAGGTGATAACTAACCACCTCATATCCGGAGCAAGAGGAATATCAAAATCGGCGGAGACTAAGCAGTTCTCTCCATTCTTGTCGTCGTGGTTTTGGAGAGCGCGCCACGCACGACCGTTGTTCCCAGTAGCGAAGCACAAATAGACTGAATCTGTGCCGATACGACGTCGCCACGTGTTAATCAACGACGGCCGAAGAAGTCTATGAAACTCCTTCGAGACGAGAGATAAGAATGGGTATCTGCGTTTGGGGACACGAGCTAGTATCTCTAAACGCAGTTCCTCTGGCAGCGAGGAAAGCATCGGCGACGGCTTGCAGGAAACCATTGTTTTCTTGATCTTCTTCTTTGGTTCTCACACATATAAATTTCAGAGGGAAGCGATATATAAAATGTTTGTGGATTAACAATAGAAATAGGATTTGGTTAAAGGTTTGTGGATAAATAATGGAAATAGGATTTTGTTGTTTGTTATAATTTTTTTTAATAACAAATTAATAATTATAGAGGCTTCGAAAGTAAATTTTTATTTAAGCTCCTTGTGATATTTCTCATCGGACACATATATAAAGGAATATAGCCAAAGGATCGACCAATTTTTTACCTGAGATTCTCATGTGAGACTTAATTTTTAGATGTTTTTTTTCACTAAAATCAATATCCAAATCACCTCTTCAAACTGAAAACCACAAATTTAAGACAAAGAAGATGAGGCATTCTCAGAAAGAAAACACAGATAACGAAGACATAAGAAACCTATATATACATATTTTTTGAAATACTTTTATGTTGTTCTGTTTCTTGGCTACCAAGGAAGATGTACTTTTTAGGGTTTAACAAGTTTATTCCAAGGCTGCCGTTTCGCCAATCATGAAACACTACATGCGCCTGCATGGCATCACCAACGATCGACAACACGTACAACACAAACACTTCCTTGCCACACAAAAAAAGAAAAAACAAAAAAAAACATGGCGAATATAAAGAATAATCATGCAGGATACCAAGATAACTAACTCACTTTGAGATTCATGTTCACAACATATTAAAACCACACTTGTTGCTAGAATAATCTCCTTATCATCGTTACTTTTATAGCTAGATATCATTCCATACATGGGCCTTTAATCCGTACGACCTAAACAATGCAAAAAATCGTTGTGAGGAGGGACGGATCCTACGTAATTAGACCACTCAACGCGCCCCTGAATCTCTAGTCCACTACTACACAAGGCGATCATTGTACACCAAATCTCCTTATCCTGTTTTTTTACTTTTTGCCACAAAAACGCCAACTTGCCATTATATTCAGCCATTGCGAGACAAAAGAAAGCCTTGTTGAGCTCCAAACCACAAACCACTCTCCATTCCTTGGTCTTAGGGTTACACCACATTAATCCATCATCCTCGTAGTGTACATAGAGCACATTGTCTATTAGACACACATCGCGACTAGATAACTCCTCATATGGTAACTTAATGTGGTCAACTTTACCATCTCTAGTATCATACGCCATGACATATGCAAATTTCCTCACATAAATTTTCTTGTCTAGTGACAGGCTTACCACGGACATTCCGCAGTTTTGTAATCTATATGTCGGATTTGCAGCCACATGCCAAGTTTGCGTCTTTAAGTCAAATAATTGCGCTTGGATCTCTTCGGCCTCGCTAACCCCTCCAGAAACGTAAATCTTGTCGTCAACTACTCCCACGGCTGCATTTCGGGTGGCCACAAGCGAACGTGGACCCTGACGGAACTTTCCAGACCGAGAATCGAGGATCCACATGCTCCTCGTAGGATGATTGAAATAGCCGCCAACAAAATATATATCGTGACCCACCATGAGGGCACCAGAGTGTGGCTCAGGCGGGGAAGGGAACGGGATCGAGACCAAACGACGATCCTCAGTTAGAGTGAACCAACGATGATAGATTTTGGAAGGATCGAACAAATTTTCAAAGCAGACGTAGAAGCAATTTTTTCCCAGGAGAGATCGTGTCTTGTGGAGCTCAGAGCAGCTTACGAGAGATCGCAACTTGTTTGACACGCAAGAGAGAATCGGGTGATACCGTCTCGGTACACGGGCTAAGACGCTTATAACAATGTCGTCTGGCAATGAAGAAAACAACGTCGACGGTGCCTCTTTCGCGGGGCTACTAGTACTGCACATCGTCTTAGCTTTTGGGATGCGATTGCCGGAGCCCTAATTCTTGAGCTGTATCTAGGTTTCGTGATTTCTTTATCAAAATTATATATATGTATACTATTACGTACGGACTTTAAAAGATACAGAGCCGTAGTGGGCTTTCAAACAAGATGGGCCGAGTATTCAAGTTGTCTGTCTCTGCTCGTCGTCCTCTAATCATATCTCATGTCTTACATGATTATCTTTGCATCCAAACACGTCATATTCAAGTTTCCTCCTCCCCGGAGACCTTTGCCCACGGATTTAGGGATCTTACCGTTCTGCGATTCGCCGGTGAGTTTTTTTAATTTCTCCGACTTCACATCGATTTCTTTGATTCCATTTAATTATGATTTGTTTCGTCTTTGCTTTCATGGTAAATTCGATTGGTTTATGTATTTTGATTAATTCCTCTGCTTATGCTTCAAGCAAAAAAAATATATATATATATATATGTATTGCGTCTTGATCCAACTAGAAGAAACGAATTCAAAATCCTGTTAAGTGACTTAAAAGCGGCCTGATTTTGATTTTGAATATCCGGTTTAATATCTTTCAAGTGTTTGTTGTGTCCGTGTATTAATTTTTGGGATGTTTTGTTTATTTGTGCTAACAACAGAGAGTTGAAGCGTTTAGGGACTTCAATGGTGAGCCAAGGAATGGTTTCTCTAACAAAGTCTCTATGCACTATGACTCCAAGAGTCCGTCTCAAGAAGCCGAGTTTGATGCAGAACCTAAAGTCCCCCGGATCTTGTCATCTCCGTTTCAGAAATCTCCGTGTCTTATGCACAACTAAACTGTCTCAGTGGGAACCATCACCTTTTGTTCATGCTTCTGCAGAAGAAGCTGGTAGTATAGTATTGGACAAAACCGAGAATATGTTTGAATCTATCCTATCCGAGAGTGCAGAGGAAGAAGAGAAAGTAAATTCAGCAGCACAAAAACGAACTAATTCTCAAGTTCAGGTTCTTAAGTGGCCAATATGGCTTTTGGGTCCATCTGTTCTCCTCACTAGCGGTATGGCACCCACTTTATGGCTTCCATTGTCATCCGTTTTCCTCGGTTCCAACGTGGTTAGTCTACTCTCCTTGATCGGTCTAGATTGCATTTTCAACCTCGGAGCAACACTTTTCCTCTTGATGGCTGATTCTTGTGCACGTCCTAAAGACCCATCACAGTCCTGCAACAGCAAACCACCATTTAGCTACAAGTTCTGGAACTTGTTTTCACTTATCACCGGGTTTCTCGTCCCAACGCTACTTCTCTTCGGATCCCAATCTGGCCTACTCGCTTCTCTGCAACCCCAGCTTCCTTTCCTCTCCACCGCGGTTCTCCTCTTCCCGTACTTTATTCTCCTCGCGGTTCAGACATTAACAGAGATCCTCACATGGCACTGGCAATCTCCCGTATGGCTAGTCACACCAGTTGTCTACGAGGCTTACCGAATCTTGCAACTGATGAGAGGGTTGACACTCAGTGCAGAGGTGAACGCACCGGTTTGGGTGGTTCATATGCTTCGTGGGCTCGTCTCTTGGTGGGTACTGATCTTGGGAATGCAACTCATGAGAGTTGCTTGGTTTGCTGGTTTTGCATCTAGAACAACAACAAGTCAGCAACCACAGTCTGTTGCTTCTAAGTAAAGACATATATTTTAGATGTTTCTTCGTTTAGTTTTTATATTTTAAAAGTCATGTTAGACTAAATATATCTGTAACTCTTACCTCACTGTATAGCTTTTACTATTCGCGTCGTGTGAGTTGGTGATAATGATAAAATCATTTCGGACATTTTTGAACTTAGCATCCCAAACACGCACGTATTTGGTCAACTCTGTACTCCCGTCCCAAGAAATCCCCAATATGATGAGATGCAGAAATCCAAAGACCGCATCTGCCGAAGAGTTAGCTTGGCTTTGCATCTAGAACAACAAAATCAGCAACCATTCAATCTTTTGCTTCTAAGTAAAGAAGATGATTTGTTTTCTTCGTTTAGTTTTCAAGTCATGTCGGGAGGGAAAAACAAAAAAAAACTATAACGCTCTTTGCTGTATAGCATTTGGTATTTGTGAGTTGTTGGTAACAATTAAAAAAAAAAACATACTCTTTATGACACCACAGATTCTAATATTCCCCTCTTCACTCTTCTTTAGACTTTTAAGTTTGGTGTTGGTTGTCGTTAATTTATTTCAATGCGTCTGCGATTAGAGCGCGTTTGCGTTTTGATCACTTCTAACCAAAAAGACAATACTACCCTTGACTAATGAACAAGACAAATAGCGATGTCCCCACTCTCTTCATTAGCTCTCTCTCTCTCGATCTCGGTTTCTCGATCGACGACTGCTCTCTCTTGAACCGGAGACGGCGTCACGGGACGAATCTATTCGCCGGGAAACTTTTTTTTTGGGGGTCGTTTGCACGCGAAAATCGATTTGAATCTACAAGGATCTGATCGGGATGAGTAACAGCGAGCTTCTCACCGTCGAGCCTCTCGACCTTCAATTCCCTTGTAAGCTTATCATTTTTGGACCTTTTCGTTGTTTCGCATGTCTTCTTGTCCCAGATCTAGATAACTTCTGTGTTACGGTGTTAACGTTTTTGGTAATCTTCTTCTCTGATTTGCTTATAGTTGAACTGAAGAAGCAGATCTCTTGCTCTCTGTATTTGACGAACAAGACCGATAATAATGTGGCCTTTAAGGTAATTATTCTCTTATTTGAATTGAGAAATTGTTGTGATTATCTTATCTCTCGTGTTTCCTGAGGCTTCTCTTGGTTGGTGTGTGTTTTAAGGTTAAGACAACGAATCCCAAAAAGTATTGTGTGAGGCCTAACACTGGAGTTGTTCTCCCGAGGTCTACCTGTGAAGTTCTTGGTCCGTTCGCTATCTCCGTTTCTCTAACTCTCGAGATTGATTTGTGTTTCTGTTAATTTGCCAAATGATTCTTGAATTAGGAGTTTGATGAATTCTTCTTGTCTGGTGTTTTGATCTAGTGACCATGCAAGCTCAAAAGGAAGCTCCTTCCGATATGCAGTGTAAGGACAAGTTTCTGCTACAAGGTGTGATTGCTAGTCCTGGTGTCTCGGCCAAGGAAGTTACTCCTGAGATGGTATTGTATTGCATCCCATTGTTGATCTGATATAGATGATTTCAGTTTGGTTTTGGTTTTTTAAAGCTGTTGTTTGGTTTTCTTGTAATGGAACTTTGCAGTTTAGCAAAGAGGCTGGGCATCTAGTTGAGGAAACTAAACTGAGAGTTACTTATGTTGCTCCACCACGACCACCATCACCTGTTCATGAGGGATCAGAAGAGGGTTCTTCACCAAGGGCTTCTGTCTCAGATAACGGACATGGTTCTGAGTTTTCCGTAAGTAAATGTTAACTTAAGTTTAGATTTGATTGCTCTTGTAGACTTTTAGTTTTTGTAGATTTTCATGTATTTTTGTGTTCAATTTTAGTTTCAGAAATTTAGCGTGGACAAAGCTGAAGCTCAAGAAAACCCATCTGAGGTATTTTCACAATTCTTCTAAGCTTGTAACCGTCAAAAAACCATTTGTTATTATTATCTTTTGCTTTTGCTCTGTCGAAAACCGATTAGTTACAACTGTGGAGGTTACTTTATTGGAAAGTTGCCTTTTAGGCTGATTGATTAGGTTGAGAATCTTTCTTTATGTTGATTACTCAAAAGGTTCATCACATTTTTAGAAACCTGTTAGGTGCTCAAGCCGTCCATTACTTTTTGTGCACCAAATCCTCTAGCTGTTATTTGACACGCAGTTACCCGGAAAATCTGGTCATGTTACTATGTCTCTATTACAGCTAATTTTTGAGTGATTTTTCAGGCGAGGGCTCTCATCACAAAGCTAACTGAGGAAAAACAGTCTGCCATTCAACTGAACAACAGACTTCAAAGAGAACTGGTAAAAGAACTTCCACTTGAATCCTTTTTATTTCTGAAACTATCCTTCTTGCTGTTGTTTCTGGAACAAAAAGATTACTTGGATTGGATGATTAGCAACTACGAGCTAGCGTTGTACATGTATTTGAGAATAGATGCTTGAACTAATTGTTTTCAAAAAATTTCTTCAACATTTAACATCAAAATTGTTCGTTGAATCTGACTTGGAGAGTTATATTTCCATCAAAATGGTTGGTTTATCCTCACCATACCGTTAATGAAAACCAGTCTTCACAAGCTTACTCTAGAATCTTGAGATTGTTTTCTGACAAAGATTTTGGTTTGATGATGTACAGGATATGTTAAGGCGTGAAAGCAAGAAGAGCCAAAGTGGTGGTATCCCGTTCATGTACGTTCTTCTGGTCGGACTCATCGGTCTAATTTTGGGATACATTATGAAGAGGACATAAACCATCCCACCTGAACTTAATTCCTCACCGCCACGAAGGAAGAAAAACAAAAAAAATAGACTTTAACTCTTTCAGTCAGACATTTTTTTCTTTCTCTTTTGTATTTGTCAATTTCGCCTAAAAAGGTGCCCTAGAAGATTTGTGTTTCATAACTCAGTTTGCTTTGTTTTCAACATTTGTAATCCAATGACTTTGCGTGGGTTCTTTCTCCACTAATTCTCATCTCTCTTCACACAAATTTCATCATCTAAATGAAGTAGACTGAAGCCACAGCATAAAAAGAACAACACAGTTGATTAAATGAAACCTTCCTCCTGTGCCAGAGACTTGGGGTTTAACCACACTCAAATCCGAGAAGGAGAGTTAATCTACGCGCCAACAGAGGCGCGTGGAGTTCAAATCATCTCTCGTCGTACCGTCAGGTCCACCACCACTGCCCCATTAGTATCTCCACCGTACAAAAACTCTTAAGCTCCGATTAGATTCACCGAATCACACAATCTTAAACATCCCTCCTTTCATGATGCTGATGCGGAGGATTCCGTTATCGTGAAGACTTGTCCTTGATACCATCATCTTTAGGATTTTCAATTTTCTTTCTGCTCGCTTTCGGACTTCAATGGCGCCTTTTGTTGAAGTCTGCAGGTATAAGCCTGTACCACTCTCACTGAGCTCTCTCTGTACATGTCCTTGCCGTTCCTCTCCTAGAAAATCTCTAATTCTTCCCCATTTCTCCGAAAAGTATCCGAATTTGGGTCTCATCGATTCCAAAGCATTGACTCGTTCTCGCTTTTGTCGTATTCCTGTTAACCGGCGTATTATCACGGCCGTTGCTCGAGCTGAATCAAATCAAATAGGTGATGATGGCGAGGTAACTTTATTCCTCTTTCTTACCTTCTTCAATCTTTTCATACTCTATAAACTGCGTCTGAGTAGGAGAGATTGAAGACTAATCAGAAGAATAAACAAATTTAGCTTAGTTGTAAAATTCGTGTTAGCTGAATAGTACTAAGACTCGTGGTAAGGGCTTTGGGTTTTAGTGTAACACGGGAATTTCGATAAACAATTGTTCTTTTGGATTACTATGGGCTGGGAAACTTATCATAGCATTGCTGCAACTTCCATCTGTTTAGGAGCACAGCAGAGATCAGGAACTGCAAATTATTGAAGAAGATTCGAGTGTAGATGATCAGAAGCAGAAATCTAGAAGCCAGTTTAAGAAAAGAGTAATTTTCGGTCTAGGAATTGGATTGTCTGTAGGAGGTATTGTATTAGCTGGAGGATGGGTTTTCACAGCAGCATTGGCAGCTGCGGTTCTTCTAAGTGCCCGAGAATACTTCGAACTGGTGAGAAGTAAAGGAATTGCTCAAGGAATGACACCTCCTCCACGATATCTTTCTAGAGTCTGCTCGATTATTTGTGCCCTTATGCCCATACTTACATTGTGAGTAGTTTCAGTCAGTAAAAACCTTAAAGCTTGGGATTCTTTCTCTTAGTCTGATTAAAGGTTTTGTCGTTCTTTTGATTGTTGTTTTTAGGTATTTTGGTCATATAGATATCTCGGTGACATCCGCAGCATTTGTTGTTGCAATGGCATTGTTGTTACAGAGAGGAAACCCGCGTTTTTCTCAGCTGAGCAGTACGATGTTTGGGCTGTTTTACTGTGGATATCTTCCTTGTTTCTGGGTTAAGCTACGCTGTGGTCTTACTGCTCCTGTTCTAAACACCGGCAAGCACTCCTTATTGTTATTATCCTCCTTAGCTCTGATTCGTATAGTAATCAATGACTAAGTCTCCTGAGCAGTTTAATTTATTATAGGAATTGGAAGAAGCTGGCCAATTATTCTCGGTGGCCAAGCACATTGGACAGTTGGACTTGTTGCAATATTGATTTCATTCTGCGGTATAATTGCGTCAGACACATTTGCTTTTCTCGGTGGCAAGGTATGTCTCCAACGAAGATTAGATCTAAGTCACTAAATTATCTTTTCTACTCTAGTTGGGATAAGGGTCTTCAAAAATTTCAGATTTTCTCATGTAGAATACTTTTATAAGGATTTTAAAGAGTTCTTCTTTGCATCGGTCTATAAAGTTTAGAGCTTTCTCCACATCTCTCTTATTTTTCAGCATTTGTTTTGTGAAATTAAGGATGAGTACTATTCAGGGTATTCGATAAAACGACTCTACAAATTTAGTATATTGTCAACCTTCCGGTGCATATGTAGTCTTGCAGTAATTTTCCCGCGCCTGAAGTTAGTCTCATCTAAAATTGCAGGCATTTGGTAAAACTCCTCTTATTAGCATTAGTCCAAAGAAGACATGGGAAGGAGCTGTTGCAGGACTTGTTGGTTGTATATCCATTACCATTTTACTGTCCAAATCTTTGTCTTGGCCTCAACCTCTTGTCAGGTACTCAAATCCAATCGAATTCCCAGAGTCCTTTTAGATCGTAGTATAGCTTTGTACTGACTGGTTCTATTTTAAACAGCACGATAGCTTTTGGAGTTCTTAACTTCTTCGGATCAGTCTTTGGTGACTTAACTGAGTCAATGATCAAACGTGATGCGGGTGTCAAAGACTCTGGCTCACTCATCCCTGGACACGGTAATAATCTAATAAATCAGACCGGGTTTTGTCTATCAATGCCTCTCTAACTGATCTTTATGTAAGTTCAGGTGGAATATTGGACAGGGTTGATAGTTACATTTTCACTGGTGCATTGGCCTACTCGTTCGTGAGACTTCATGGAGTTTGATTCTATGGTGTATCTCCAAAAAAACTCATCATAGCTTCAACTTCAAGAAAACTTACAAAGCCGGTTCAATTTTTCCCCTCTACGAGAAGATATAGCAATGACTGGTGGGTGACGTGGCTGCAGAAAGTCTGAGATTAGCCTCCGGTTTGTTGTTTGATAGAGCCGGTATGCGACTTTTTGCTTCAATGGGAGTTAGTAACGGGTTCATTAGGCGAATTGTCGGACCGTTGCTTTTGTGTTGTCTGACTGGTCCATGAAACGGTGACGTATGGAATTGATTTACTTTCACACAAAAAAAAAGAAAAGAAAAATGAATCATATTGTTTTCCAGAGAAATGGACTTGAACTGATAAAGAAAATAACAAAAAAGAAAAAAAAGACTAAAATCATGTGGGGATGTCAATGAATGCGTTGTTCCCAAGCAGACTCTTTTAGGGAGGAATTTTTAAAAAAGAAAAAATTCTGAATGAAAAAGGAAACTATATACTAGTACTACTAAATAAATGAATAATCAAAATTCAATGATAAAGAGGCAAAAATTAAGAAATGATTGGGAAGAGGAAAGCCATGGCCATATGGGTGGATTTTGTTATCCAATACAAAATAAAGAATGTTTACTTTCTCACAATTTCACTGCAGAATCTTACTCAAGTGGTTGATTAATTAAGAATAAAGTTGTAACATTTATATGATTATATCAAATCTTAAACAGCTATGCTGCGACGACCATGTGATTGAATTACACTGACAAATCTCGTATTACGCAATCTCTTTACATTACTTAAAACTCTTACGCACAAGTTATCTCATCGGTTACGACATTAACCCAAAACACAAGTTTCATATGTTACGCTATTTATATAGAACAACAAAAACACTAGAACTTGATAATAAATATATTTCTTTCAGAATAATCATAAAATGTTTACAATTTAGTTCGGTAAAATGAATTTTGTTTGAGGTACCACTCTTTACTTTTAACAAGTACAATAATAGTGAACATGGTCAACCGAACATATCTAGTGAATCATAGAAGAATGTTGTTGTTTGATGTAGTATATAAAGGATCCATATTATTATTATTTTCATTTGAAGAAATGAAATATAAAAAGGTTTTTTTTTTTAAAAAGACTAACAAAAGGATATTATATATATCATTTGATTGGTTAACATCACAATCAAAGACTAAAGAAGAAGACATTAAAACATGATTATAACCCAAATTAAAAAGCTAACAATAAAACCCTGAAATGTCTTTTTTTCTTTTTTTTCTTTTTATTAATTAATATTTCTCGTTTAACATTTCCAAGCTGAGACAGCAACAAGTTCTTTCCTCTGCCAACACAAGACAAGTGAAGACGACGACGACTGTCTCTTCTCCAAGTGAAACCCTCTCATCGGATTCCTCTGCAACAAATACTCCGCTTGTGTCTCCGCCGTCTGACTCAGCGTCACCGGAGAAAACCCACATTGCCCAAACAAGCTTCTCCACGGCGGCGATCTCTCCATCCAACGGTAACGATTCGTCAACAGTTTCTGTATTGACGGTTGCACACAAAACCTCTCGATACTGGAAGCAGCTTCCGCGTTACTCGAGTCGAGTGACTCGAGCAGAGTTGTGTAGTACTGAAGCGCGTTAATCACACCGTTAGGGAACGGTGCGTCGTTGTCACGGTCACAGCTTCTGTCTGAGCAAACGACCACGTTTGGAGAGATTTGTTTGAGGAAACGAAGGATCAGCGGGAGGTAACCGGAGACAATGGAGCTGATTGGAAGGTTCACAGCAATTGCTTCTTTCTCCGATGATCGGAATAGAGAGAGAGGCCAATAAGTTGGATTCAAGAGAATCTCTACGTTCAAGAGCTCCATTTCCAAGGAGACACCTGTTTCTCCGGCGAAATTTCTGAGATTTTCTTCTGTGAATCTGAGCTCGAATTCATCGGAGACAGTTGAAGGAGATGCAAAAGCTGTAATCTTCAGCGACGGAAGTGATGGAGACCTGTTCCTTTTCCCGGCGAGCTCTTGAATCAGAGTCGCCCATTGACCTCCGTAACCGATATCGAAATCGACAATGTGTATCCGATCAAACCCCTGTAAGGACTCAAGGATCGTTTGGTTTGCCGTGAAGTTGACGAATTGAAGGAACGGTGAGGTTTCTGAGAAAGCCCTGTAAGCTGCGATTCGAAAGATAAGGTTTTGAGGAGGAGAGAGTGACGGTGGTGACGAGTTTTCAAGGAGAGAGTGTAGAGCTTCGGTTATATACGAAGCCGCTCTGTGAAACGGAGGTTTAGGAGTGTTGTTAGTGTCGTCGTTGTTCTTCTTCTTGTTAAGGTTGTGATTGAGCCGCGCCAATATCCCTTGCGCGAGAATGGGATTGTTATCTCCGCCGTTTGTGGTGGTTCCGATTAGCTCCGCCGCCGCGGAGAATAGCTGGTCGATGATTAACGTTGACTGGTCTTGGTCGTTTTCGTCTTGTCCCGCTATCTTCGGCGGCGTGAGAAACGGGTCGTGGGATTCTTGACCCGGATCCGAGAACGGGAAAACCCACTGCTGGGGGTGTTGAGATCCGGGTTGACCCGAATTGAGCCGTTTAGCCGGAGGAGACGACGGAGGATCCGAGAAAAAAGCAGGATTTGGGTTAATCAGAATCTCCGGGTTCGTTGAAACCTGAAACTTTTCTTCTTCCAGTGCATCGTGAAAAGGGAAGCCGTAGCCAAAGAGTGGATTAGGATTATCAATAACCGGGTCGGATCCAGAACCCGGGTGGAAACCCACAAACTCAGAACCCGGATCCACAACATCACCAGCCATGATTAACCTAAGAATACTCTGTTCTTGTCCCGGGGAGCCACCGGAGAGAACACCATCGAGATCCTCGAAACCCATTTGGTCACATTTTCCATCGGCGTCGGAAAAGGCAGGGGCAGGGCCGCCGCCGCCGCCGCTGGGACCACCGTGAGAGGAAGACAGCGTGGTGGTTGAAGAAGAGACGAAAGGGCTTGGACTTCTAACAGAGTCTAAAACAGACGTCGGCTCTGAGAAACCACCATTGTTAACAACAAAGCAGAGATCTTCTACCACTACACTTCCATGGAGTTTATCTGGATTTGCCCAGATTTTGTATCCCGGAGAAGAAGAAGAATCTAAGAAACCCAGAACCCCCTTCCCTTGAAATTGCTCAAAGGGCAGGGGCATGACCAATCTCAGAGATGAAAGAGAGTGAGAGAGAAGCAAGAGTGCAAACAAAGAAACCCAGAAAAAAAAAAAGAAACCCTAGTAGATCTCAGAAACTTAAAAGAGGAAGACGAAGATGAAAGCTTGAAACTGAAATTGGCGCCCACATTATTCTCTATAAGTCGGAGTTAATTAACAAAATCTAGTCTTCTCTCTTAGCTTTTGTAGATATTGACTCTGGCAGCTTGCAACAACATTCCAAAGTGATGATGATCTTCATCCAAAAATATATATAAAAATAAAAATAAAAATGCTCTCTCTTTTCTTTGGGTAAAGGATTTGGTTTTTGCTCTGTGTGTGTGTGTGGTGCCTTGTGTCTGTAGATTTACTTATCTACATCTGTATCCCCTCGTTTCTACGCCTACTCTCACTTTCGGCGCGTTTCTCTTACTCCCCCCCCCCCCAGACACACTGGTACATTCCTTTGTCTTTCTCTTTGCAATTTGGCTAAAATGTTCATACATCATATATATAGTTTTGTTATAATTTTGTTTCTTTCTAAATAATTTTTCTTCATATTAAAACTTCGATTTACCATTATTAATCTTCTTTTGCGTTGATTATGTAAAACCACCGATGAATGAGTCTATCTAATTTTGAACATAAATGAACTAAATTACTACTATGATGTCAACATGTTTAAATATGAAAGCGCTGATTTTATGCAGATTGGCAAAAAATGATGATGAACCTAAATATTTGTTTACTGGAAAAAAGGGTCAAAACTATTTGTTTTCAAATCATGTGTAAAACACTTACTACTCTATAATTCGGAAAATCAAAATAGTAATGAACCAAGACTTTATTCACTTCAAAAAAAGATTACTTAATTAATTATAAATTTAGGATATAGCAAAAGAAGTAGTAATATGGAAAAAGAAAACTGAAATATTCATAATCCAAACTATGCAAGGAAAAACAGGAAAAAAAAGATAAAATCAATTGGTATTATTATTCAACTGAGGCGCGTAAAAGAAAAATCTTAAAAATCTGAAAGACTGTTATAAAAATAAAAAATAAAAATCTAAAAAACATATACCGAGGTTGCAGAGCAAAAGGTTAATTTGACGCAGATGGCGTATTGTCTATATGAGTGTTTTCCATTATTACCCCTTTGTTTATACCAAACACGCTCAACGTGACGTAAGGGTAATACAGTAAAAGTTTTGATAATAAAGTAAGCTCTTGCAGGTTGCAGCAGTTGGCTTTGATATGCCCCGGTTATTTTAAACTGAATCTGACTGACTGACGCTTACTGAGCCTGTGGGTATCATGACCCGGACCATGTTCGGGGTGGCTCTCTAGTCTTAAGATTTCTACATGTCATGTCTTATTAACCATCATACTACTAAAGCAAGAAATGTCATTTTCTTAAAGTTTATTTAGCTACACTATATACTAGTCTTTATTATTCAAAACCAGCTGTCTAACTAACGACTCAAAAAGTAAAAAAATTGGTTACAAACTTTAGAAGACGGCTCTCAAGTGTCCGCTTTATATAGACTAGCTGCGTAATAGTAGAGGATAACCTAAGGGAAATCAAATGGAAAAGAAAGATGTATGTAGCTGGATTTACAAGACAAAGTTGGGACTTTTTTGTGGTTTGTTGTGTGAACGAGAGAGGGAGACATTGCTTATGTGGTTTCCCTAAACCATATTTTAATAACCAAAAACATTATAAAAACAAAACAAAACAAAACAATTATTGTAATTGGACATTGTAATAATGGGAGACATGTATTTTTTATCCTCCAAGACAGACAAGAAACCTCCATGTGATTTTCCTCCACCACCTTGTTATATGTCTAACATCATGCATTCTTGTATTAAACTATTTTCTTTCTTTGTTTATGTTTAATGGATTTAAAAGTTAACCAAATTGCTTTAGTTTAATCAACTCAATCTAATTGGTGGATGAATCATGAATGGCTTAGAAGAGGGACACATCGACCGTGTGTTACCTGCATGTACATACATACATACTCGCGATTCGGTTTCACGACTACATTTACTTATTTTGCTGCGTTCATATAGTCACATACATAAACACAAGTAATCAGTTTCACTTTCATAGATTCCCAAAATAAACCTAAAAGTCCTCAAAAATAAAACGATATATAGTCTCCGATCCTCTGCTGATCTCTCTCGATTCACGGATAAAGTTTTCTATTTCTTACTTAAAGTTTCACTTTTTGTAAGTTGAGAAATTCTAAAGGGGGTTTAACTTATTGGAATCAGGCCATATCATGCCATATATCATATCCAAGAGTCGCAGTCACAAAATACAATGTCTTTTTAATTTTAATTAACAAAGCATGTCAAGTTTTGGTTGGTTTATTATTAATTATCAAAGACTTAGGAGACACATTACAACACAACACAATAAAATTTGTCTCGCTTTAGAGAATAAACACAGTGACGGCGGAAGCAAAACCAAAAAAATAAAAATAAAGGATAGTGACTGATAGATTGTATGATCTTATAATTTGTCAAGACAACAACCAACACATGCCATGTAGTACTAACGTTAATACATTTGATTAAACGGTATTAATATCAGTGATTGCCACATTGTTAATCTTAAAATAATTTAAATACGAATTTAGAAAACAGTTGACAAAGCGTAACTAGACGAACAAATCTGACCGCCGCATGGCACTATTAATCCATCAAACCTATGAACCGCTGAACTAATGTGTGGATATTGTTTTAGAAGTCTAATGATTATCACAATTAATATTCATTTCCATCCACTACTTAAAGTTTAACAGAAAATTTAGTTTCGATCCATTGTTGTCCAATTCAGTATAATGAGATTCAATATTAATAATAATACTATGTATTTCTTATTTTCAGTAAAATGCATTATGTTGATTTAAATTCAAGGTTTATGATCTAGTAGTTATATTTTTTCTTGGTAAGAATTTGTTTTTAAAATAATAATAATATTTAAAATTTTCAATCGTCTGATCTTAGAGAAATAGAATTATGAACATATCGAACATCAAACTTTAGTTTCGTAATACTACATATGTAACTGAGCTGGGCTTCTATCTTCAATCAAAAACAAATACGGTAGTCTTATAACGGGCTTTATAGAAAATTTGGATGACCATTACTCTATGCTATTAACAAATAATGGGCCTTAGTCCATATACTAGTTCGATTAGGTAACTAAAATCACTAAAACAATCCTGAAATCATGCTAACTTGAAGGAATAAACACCAATCAAAAACCTTGATTTTTGGTCCTTATATATATAAAATAAAGCTGACGTGATTACAGATTGTATATTTACACATTCATATAACCGTGTCCATCGCAGTCGAATTTTGATATACATCCAAGTCTCGTACACAAACTCGAATCCAAAGTTGTTTTTTTTAGCTTAAACAAATCTCTTTATCTCTGTAAGTTTCTCTGATTTTACTTTGTTTTATACTTGAAAATTATGTTCGATCCCTACAGAAATAAGTGGATTACGACTTGGGTAGCAGAGATTAATTAGGGTTTTGTGTTGAGATTTGGTAAAAATCGTTTTTGGTGAAAATCGTTTATTGGATGAATCGGTGATTCTACAAACTTTGTTATATTTTTGCAGGAACGAAAGATGAGTAATGGCAGCTTCAAGCAGGATCATGATTTCGGTATTAAAAATCTTCTTTTTATTCTTCTTTTTACAGTGACTGGATTGTGATTATTCGTATTATACCAGTAAATATAGTTCTTAGTTGACAATTGATATAATACATGCAGAAAAGAGGAAAGCTGAAGCTTTAAGGATCAGAGACAAGTACCCTCACCGTGTCCCGGTAATTGAACTTGTTTCTATCTTGTGTTCTGTTTCATAGTTTTTTAAAATTTGTAGGATCATACCCTGATGAGAATCTCTTGTGTGGAATCACGAGGCCTGATTGATTAAAAATCTTGCTTATAAAAAAAAAAACACTTTGATAGATATATTCTTGTTTCCGTTGAAGGATCTTGAGAGTTTCAGAAATAAGATGTTTAATTGTTTGTGTCGTTTTTGTTTATATAGGTGATTGTGGAGAAGGGAGAGAAAAGTGACATACCAAACATGGACAAGAAGAAGTATGATCATGTTTAGTCGTTTTTTATTTATATATTTACATTCTATGAAATCAGATTCTTAAACTTTGGAGTATTTTCTTATTTTATTCATATGGTTTGGACTTTGGATATATATATTTTGCAGATACCTCGTCCCAGCGGATCTAACTGTAGGCCAGTTTGTGTATGTGATTCGTAAAAGAATCAAACTGAGTGCAGAGAAAGCTATCTTTATCTTTGTTGATGATGTTCTTCCTCCCACCGGTAATGACTCCTCTTCGTTTTCTCTTCTTTAATCACCATTACATAAACGCTTTGGTTTTTATATGAATTGGTAAAACTCAATTGCAGGAGCAATGATGTCAACCATATACGAAGACAAGAAAGATGAAGACGGCTTCTTGTATGTTACTTACAGTGGGGAAAACACATTTGGATCCTCATGATTGACTAGAAAAATCGAAACACTTGGATGTTTTTTGCTTTTTAAGTTGGAAGTTCATTGCTTTTAAGTTTTCAATGGAGCGTAAATGATTATAATCTTCGTGAAACTGTTTAGCTGCGGATACGATGAACACAAACTTAAATCGGTCTGCAAACAAAAAGTGTTTCGTTCAGTTTATAGTTGGGGCGGATATTTCGGTTTATGTATTGGTATATAAATTTGACCCGACAAGTGCTGGTCAAGCCCCACGGAAGCTTGTTGGGCTTAATCAAGACACAGTAAAGAACAATTGTGGGCCGGCCGACGTAGTAGTAAAAGACAAATAACATGGGGGGGGGGGGGGGGGAAGCGCCACGTAGTAAAGTGAGCGGTAATGGCGGCTTGGGGTTGCGGTTAGGGCACGACCTTCATGGAACAATGAACAACATAAAAACACAACGGTGATGGTCCACGCCACACTTGTCTGCTGTTTCTCTTTGGTCCCACACGTCCTTCTTGATCACTTCTGCATTTTCCTTTTTTCTTTTTTTATCTTCCATTAATGTATAATGTGTGTTCTCTCCCATGTCATGTCAACTACTAAATTTATAAACTACAGTATCAATATGTCTCTCTACTCTATTATTTTCTCACAATGTTTGACTACACATACAAAAACTGCCAAAAAAAAATATCTATATTTTTTGTTTTTTATACGTTCTCGCATCACAATGTAACAAATATCGGTGTTATGTATACAGTATATGCGTCTGTTTGAGCCATGCACATCTTTTCTCTTTATACCACGTTTTTTTGTTTTCTTTTTTAATCTTCTTCAGATTTGCTTAGCTAATTGATCGATAATTAAACAAGTTTTCCGGTGTAAATCTTCCTCTAGTCCATATGCCGATAGATCGTTCATCGTTGAATCAAAACTCAACACCAAGTTCTTTTTTAGTGTGTTTGTAAGATTTAGTGTCAAACTTTTCAGATGTTTTTGTCACTAATGAATGAACTACAAGATTTTAGGGATTTTCTGAGACGACTTCGATATAAGGCTTAATTACATATGTCTGTTAACTATACTATAGTTTTGCATCAAATACTGTTTTTTTTTCCTATTGAAACAGTCAACCAAATATATAATACAAAAATTGTTATTGACTTTCAAGGGTTTAGCAGACACTACCAGTGTCCACTTGTTGATATTATCAAACTAATGTCTCTTGGTGATTAGACGAAGCGTGGAAACTATTACTTTATTATGCCTAAAATAATATGTATATCTAATTTGCGATAAGTCTTCGCAATGCAACGAAATAGCTAGGTGGTTGTAACGTCGTCATTGTGTTCACGTATATATGAACAGGTATCATGTGGGAAAATCTATTTATATCTCAATGTGATAATTACATCTAACAACATAACTAATCACAGACAAGACCGTTGCTTACTTATTAGTTATTATCAAACTACATAGATAATACTTTATAATGTATGCATATATTTAATATTTTGTTTGAATATTGTGTTTAGTTCATGAATAAGCACTGAAAAGATCTTCTGCTTTTACTGCACATTCCCTGGATAGAAATTAATCAACAATCGATTTGTATATAACCTAATATATTCGAAACACCCCGTTCATGATACAGGTAAACATGAAAGAAAAATAAAATAAAAACTTAATTTGGACCTGTCAGAAATGGAACAATCCGTTTTGAAGAATGTTTGGACGAAAAAGTCTGCTTACTTTTTTGTTATATCCATTAGTACCATTAGAAATATCGATCGGTACGCGAATGTTATTGTTCCCGAGAAACACACACACACATGTAAATAAGAAAATGAGGAGACAGAGTTAGAAAGGTAGCGTAAAAACATGCAAAGTGTTTAAAGGCCTCAACGTAGAGACAAAGAGGTAAAAGAGATATTTAAACCACTTCTTGGGATAAACAAAGAAGCATATGCATCAAAAACCCTAATTCTCCCTTTTGCTCGTTTCGATGACTAGCTAGATTTTCGCTCCATTCTTATATTATAAACAAAAATATATACATAAAATCAGTAAGGGGGGTCGATCTGAGATTGCTATAACTACGAGAGAGAAGACACAAGTTTGGTCTTTTCTCTTTCGTTAGGTTGGTTTCTCTGGTTTGGGTCGGTGGATTCCGCAGAGACAGTAGAGGGGGCCACTACACAACACCATATCTGACCTTCACTACTCTTTTCTTCTTCTCACCCATACATTTGCATGTTCTCTCCTTCTCCTCTACCATCAACGACGACTCGTTCTCTCTCCATCTATATCTGCATTTATTGCGCAATCTCTCTGCCTTAAGGCATTTATATCAATCACGATACCTTTAAACCGCCATCTCTATCTCTCTCTCTATATATATATCTACATATTGGGCTGTCTCGGCAATAATCTAAATCATCTCTTGATCGATACTACTCGTATGGATATGCTGAGGAGTGCTTGCTTCTATTTCCTATTAATGCTTTTTGTCATCCTTTCTTGGTCTCCTTTATGCCATTCTCGCCATCTTGTACACATGGAGAAGAAGCTTAGTATGAATCTTGATCATTTAACTAAGGTAATAAGCCCTTTGCTCTGTGATCATAATTAATTAAAAGTCTCGGTTATTTTGAATATTAGTTTTTTTTTTTCTTTTCTTTTAAAACCCATATGCTTAATTATAGCTAGTTCTTCATCGATCATTGATATTAACATGTGTATAATGTATGGTCCGTGTTTTTAAAAATAAATATATAACTGGTTCTTCTGAATAAGCTTTAAAATTTGGTTTATATTGAAGAATTGGCGTGCATACTTTTTACTTTCAAAATCTAATCTAGCATGTTGAGTGGTGTAGTGCCACCAACTTTGAAAGTAGCTAGTCTGAATGTTATGCGTTTAAAAACGCTAGCTAGAGTTGATGATAATTAAGAGGCTCGGGAACTCCCATGTATCTGGGTTTGTATAATCAACAGAGTCCGCGCCATTAGTGTAAGTAACATAAAGTTGTAACTAATTAAGACTTAGATTCTAACTACTGTTACTTTATGTCTCAGAACCATGAAGAGATCACAAAACTAGAAGCTCAATCAACAAACAAGACGAACACCTTATCGAGCCAAGCACATGCCGTAGTTAATCATGGTGATATAAATAATAAAGGTCATCAGACAAACAGGAAGAGAACGAAGGAAAATCATAGAGTAAAACGAGCATCCGACAAAACTGTGGCGACTAAAAGAGGCTCATCAAGAACTTGGAAACCTCCTAAGTATTCAAAGAAGCAGCCTAGAGTAGATCAAGAACACCCCGGTTTCAATCTTGATTATATGCAGCCCACAACACACCCGCCGCATCATAATTAACAATTATGATCATGTAATAACAGAAACGAATTTCATATATCGTACTTTATTATGTATCATAACCTTTTAAGTCCACGAAGAATTTCCACATTTTTACTCGTGTGATATATCATGATGTATGGCCAGAAACGGCCTAATTTTAAGCTTTACAATTATAATACACATATTAATTAGATTAGTTAAAAAGAAACAGTTATCGACATTGTTCAATATATAGTAAAACTCCGTAGGGTTTCTTGATTTTGTTACTTTTACACTTGCATGCATATCATGATGTATACTATACACTACTGTTTTTTTTTTTTTTGTAATAAATGTGTACTATACACTACTATATATTCGTCTTTAAATGCACATGCATGTGTGTGATCATTTCGTTGCTATATTACTACATCAATATGCAATTTAGTTGTTGTTCACAAATTGATAGAAAAGAGACTTGGCGGTTGGTATACTTATACATGTCGTTTTCTACTAATCATGAACTTTTAAGTTACCATATATTCGTAAGTGATAGAAACTTGTATTCATTCATATTGGTTACATCAGTGCATATAACAACGATACAGAGTGTACTAGTTGTAAAATTTTCATCCGATTAAAGAATAGTCTAAGTCCCACTAGTCAAATGGCTTAATAATAATATGTATATATAAAACGAGACCGCGTGCACATTCACTGTTAACGATGTACGAAAAAGACGAAGATCCCGCGTTTGGTTCCAATGCAATCTGGGCATTATTATTGGTGGGATCTTAGAGCAATCCCAAAGGGGGTTCTTTAACCAATCTCTCACTATTAAAATAATAGAAAATGTGTAAAAAAAGAGGAAAAAGAGAGAATCGATTCTCTAAAAAGAACTTGGCCAACTTTCTAAAGAACCTCTCTTGCCACATGTTTGAATTTTATTGGTTCATCTCTATTTATGTATTAAATTTAATTATATAATAAAACTAAAATAAAAAATAATATATTTTAATTGTAAAGATACACTTGTTGAGATACCCACCGTTGTTGATGGCCTTAGAGGCTAAGATCCCCCGGTTTTTGCAAAGGAAAGATCTTATATATAATGATGGTCTCAAGTGTCCCAAATCCACGTCTCCTCTTAGGTTTGAAATTTAACTTGTAGTACTACTACAAACAAGTAATACTCCATCTGTTTCATAAAATGTGTTATTTTAGATTTTTTTTTTTGTTTCACAAAAAATGTTACTCTACAATTCCTATATTTTTTATATTAAATTTCTTAATTTACCCCTAAACCCAAAATTCATTTTTATTATTTAAATCATCAATCCCTTATTTAATAAGGATTATTATGTATAATTATACAATTTTTTAATATGTGTGAATTGTGTCATTTTGACACTCTTTGCAAAACAAAAGGAGTAATAAACTAAATAGAAAATATTATTTATCTTATTTTCTTATTAAAACACATGTTGCTTTATTTTCACGAAATTTCATATTTTGATTTATTTTTCCGTACATTAATTCTAATTTAACGAGATGACAAAATATAAATTTTGTGGAAAAATATAATACGAGTGTAAGAAATTTATTAATATAAGGCCCATTTAGATATAATAATGGGTCATTAAAGCCCATAACGTGCAATAGAGAATGCTGCGATCTGGCTAACAACAAAATCTTTCCCGCCGGAAAAGTTTCTGCGATTTCCAATTTGTAAAACCTAAAGTGGGACAGATACTCTCATATTGGGGGAGAGACTGAGAGATTCGTGAGAAGCATGGAGGGAGCTCAAGCTGGATCTACTCTAGATTCGTTGATAGCTTCGTTCCAGAAACGAATCGGCGAATTGCAGGAACTCGTCATCGCTCGGAACAGTGAGACCGAGTTTCTAACTCTCAATTACTCAATCCGTTGTTCAAGATCTCCGTCTGATGACCTAATTTCAATTTCATTCAGTGTATCCGGCGAGAAGCATCTCGGATTTATCGGCGATTGACACGGCGCTGAGCTCGATGGAGCTTCAGGTTCAGTCGATCAAGGACCGGTTGCGTGAAGAAACTGAAGCTATTCCGAAAGCCAAGGTAAGATGAATTTAAATCTGAATTTGCGTAGTCTAGGATTTGGAATCTGGAACTGGAGTTTTGAATTTTGGAAACCAAATTGTATGTTCTTAAATTTGAGAATTTTGTGTTGCTTGTAGAAACTTATTGAGGCGTCACTGAAACAACAAGGGAAATTGCAGAAGATGTCTATTTATGCACCTTCCCATTTGCCTGACAAGGCTACAATGTTGAATTCAGATCTAAATAGATGGTATATACATTTTACTCGCCCTATTCTTATTCAATGTCTTTGGTTTAGTTAAAGTTTGATTAAAGATTACTGTGTTTTTATTCCAGTTTGCTCCAAGAAAATGCCAAGCAGTATGAGCATAATCCTGGTCTCAGCTCTTTGAAATCTGATGAGGAAGCAGTTGTTTTACCCAAGGTAGTACTTGCATTTCTCCAAAGGGACTTTATGGCCTATAAGACTCTATGGCTACGAATGTTAAACTGTAGCTAGTGGTGTATTCTATTATCTCTGTCTATGGACTATGGTTAATCTTTGGGGTTCTGTTTCCAGGAGAAGAAGGGTCGCGGGTCTCCTCCACTTTGGCACATAACTGTTGAAGAGCTCAATTCCCTCTCATCGTAAGTGCAGTTTTACTTTTTCTTCTCTCTGCCTGTTTATGTGAAACGCCTATTGCTTTTCTGACATTTTTCCAAAAAAAGATACATGAGAGGAAGACTCACCCTTGAAAAAGTGAATGCGGCCATCAATGACATGGCTTCGTATGCTGAAGCAAATGCTCATCTTATTGCAGCCCCAAAGCAGAAGGTATATCTCATATATTTATGCTCTCTTCTTGGCTTGCGTATTTGACTTATATGCTACGATTGTACTGACTGTTGTTTAATTTGTT